TCAAACTACTAACTTTCAATATTTACTCACATTTTTCTGTTTTAGACATTCTTAATCTATTTGATTAACATATTAAAGGGGGGATGTGATTATATGCACTCTGTTTGTTGATTTACTGCTCCAACCGAAAGAACATCAAATGAGCACTTATCAAACAGGAGTTGAAGAAAGAAATGCAAAAGGGGATATTGAGGGATGCTAGACGTCAACAAGCATTAAGTGTTTAAAACAAAAAAAAAATTACAGGTCAAGTTGAAGTGAAACAGAGAAATTCACAGTAAAATACCCTAAAAAGATGGAAGAGACCTGGTTAGTTTGGTTAAATAAGAGCAGAATAAAATGCTTATAGCTACATATGAGACACATTAACCCAGAGTAATGCTTTATTTGTGGGGCAGACAGTGACATGGTTGGAGCTTGTATTCCTAGAAGTCATGAGGCGATGATTGACCTGATCTTTGAGGGCCTTTGTGCCTCATCTTTGTTAAAATATAAGCCGAGTTAAGGGAGTGAGCCATCCGGACATAACATTGGTCATTTAATGTCATCTTAAAGATTATATAACCAAAGAAGGAAGGTGCAGGGAGTGAGGAGAGGAGAGGATGGAGCAGACAGAAAGTGTGCTCTCTCTAATCACTGTGGTGCTGCAGCCATCACGCTGTCCCCCCTTGTGACAGTTTTATTATCAGAGCTGGTATGCAACACAAGAGTAATTTCCCCTAATGATCTCAGCCTCCGTCCACACCTCAGGACAAGTGAGTGTGGCTGACATGAGCCGAGAGGGGGGAGGGCAGGAGGGAGGGGAGAGAGAGATAAATACAGGAAAGAAAGAACAAAAGAAGGGAAATGACGGCTGAACTGAAACAGAGACTGATAAAGTTTTTAAATCAGCTTCAATGATGAGGTTTCTGAACTTTTACAAGAGGCAGCCTGTGAGCTTTAGACCTGAAGGAGCTTTCTTCATCTTTTACAGGGGATTTCTCATTTTTACGTGCAGGCCTTTTGTAACTTTGTGATAAAAAAATAAGTATGTCTGTCTTGAGATGGTGGCAAGGTGCCCTTTTTCAACCAAGACATTTTCAGCATAAACTTCTAACCTGCTGCCACGTTCCATCTCCTAAACCCTCTAAAATATATTGCCCCTGGCATTCTAGGTGATGCCTTAAGTAGATGGTCCCTGTTTTGTTCTACAACTTTTCCGATGCCATCTTGCCCCCATTTATCTTGATGTGTGTTAATTTTGTAATAGCTGCACCTCACTCATAATAATCACAATAATTTCAATAAAAAGAGGCTTTTCAAAACAGCTAAGGACACCTGACACGGTAATGAACAGTGAATTATTGCCAGTTGGAGTAAATGTGTTTTCTTAAGCAGCAACCTTGGGCCAAATTTAAGGTACTTTTTCCCAACTTAAAAGCATTCATGTTTGTACCACATTTTTCCTGGACTCCTTTTTAAATGGCTGTCTGTCTGTTATAAAAATGCTACTACTAACTTTCCAACTGCCTTGTAATTGTTGATACCTGGTTATCTGTTATTATCTGTAGAAATTTAAAGAAAAATACTAATTTTTACTGCTAATGACCACATGAGACGCACGCTATCAAGCAAAAGCAGGTGTATTTTAAAGAACTGATGTAAAGTAAAAAGTTCTCCAAAGTTAGCTTTAGCTCATTCAGAGCTTAAAAAGTGAAAATAGATGATCAGTTTTATGTAACTGCTGGCGCTGAATAAGACGTTATGGAGTGAATCAAGTGATGCAGATGAAAATGTGACAGAAGACAGCTGAGGGACACATCAGGATCTGTTTGGAGCAGCCTGCTGTGGTAGAATTACTGTGAATTGAGAAGTGAGAGACTGCAAAGGAGGTGAGGGTGAGGCAAGGTGTCATACCACCTCAACTTCATCCCATGAGATTGAACTTATTAACCAGCAGACATTGGGCTCTATTTTCGTGCTTCACCGGAGACACGGCACAGGCGCGGCGGACCGACAAGGCGTTCCCAAGCACATTTTGGTATTTTGGTGAGCGGCACAGCCTGGCGTAAGTATCCCCCCTCCCTAACTCAGCTCCTCCCACCGGCGTAAGTCGTAGCGAGAGGGCGTGGAGTGGGTTTAACACAGCCGAGACCTGTATTGACCAATATTGACAAAGGTGGGTTGAGCGCACAGATCACAATATAAACTCCAATAATGGCATTACAATCGGAACCATCTGTGCGTAAATGACGCATCGCGCTCCGTGGCCTGGCTCTTTCTTTCATTGATATTGGCATATGAAATTAATTTGGCTCACAAAACTGAATATTATAATATTCGTATGTAGGCTCAAAGTAAATAACTCATCTGATCACTGAAACAAATCATCTGTTCAGCCGCCTCAGCAGCAGCTGCAGCAGGATGGAGAGAGGACACAGAGACATGACCAGGTTGAGCTGCGCGAGAAATAAGAGCAAGAGGAAGAAAGAAAAGGAGGGAGACAAATTACATATCTTGTTAACTTCATCATGTGTGTTTATTTACTAGATATTTAATTTAATTTGATTTAATGCGGTTTCAGCTGTGTTGATTTGGTCAGGTTGTGTGTCCAAACGTGTGCCAAATGCGCTCGTCAGATCAGATATAGATCAGAATATATCTATATAGATCTAAATGTATGTGCTGACTCAGATTAATAGTTGTTGTTTATTATTTATTGCACTGAAATGTGCCTGACACTGTGGAAACCTGCTGGTGAGGCATCGGTGACATATGCCGATACGCCGCCGGTCTACCAAAAATACCACTAGACCAGCTGCACTCCGCCTGCACTGAAAGCTGACCAGGTTTGAATCGGCGAGCTTTCAGCGCACTCTATACGCCAGTTGCGAGCACGAAAATATCACTGCGCCCACTGATTCTGTCGACACCTCCCCCTGCCACGCCACCACGCCCAGCTTGGCAGACCTCGGTGCACCGGGCTCCGCCAGACGAAAATACCACTGCGCGGGGTCCGCCACTGTCCGCCACGTCGCCGGCAGACATGAAAACAGAGCCCGTTAAGTCACTGTCACCACCGTAGGAGAGAGAACTGAAGCTTACTAACATCTTTTCGAGCAGCGAGTGTTTGCATCACTCTGACAGTTTGCCTCCAATTGCATACAGAATACAAGTGTTTCTACTCTTATCTCAGCAATCCAGGATAATGATGCCTTCCTGCTTTTCACCTGTGCACACATGTCAAATTATCCGACTCCCTTCCAGATTATTGTTCAGCAACACATGGTTGAATTATACTGCCTGAAGGTCAAAGGTGAAGATCCCTAACGAGCTAGATTAAATGAAGGTAGGTGGCTTGAGTGGTGTTTAAACTGCCTGGGTCTCATGACAAGAAGCTCTTGTAAATATGATCATCTGTCATTATTCATTTGAGTGCTTTGGTCACCGGCAGCAGAAAGGCTTCTTTCTGACATGACGTCAAGAAAATACATTTTGAAGGAGAAGGCATCAGGTAACAGGTGAATCACTGTCCCTCTCAACCTGTATGAGCCTGTGCACCCACAGATCAGCTGATCAGGGTTTGCTGGTTTTACTCAGAGCCTGTTTGAAAACTAAAGGCCTAAAAAGTTTTGCTGTTTAGGCCTCTGAAATGATCAAATTTCCAGTCTTGATAAAAGTCAGAGTCTGTAGTTTCTTGTCCTGAGATACTTTCAGATGCTATCTCTTCTCTCTTTGGTCATGTCAGGTCCTATTAACACAGAGCTGCACCTGAACTGTTTGGAGCACCTGCTGATCTCAGGGTCAGCTAATGGACAGTTAGGGGTAAAAGCTCCTGCACCTGTTGAGGATAAAATCACATTCCCATGTTATGCATCACTGTCTGGGTCCTCAGAGCTATGCACACGACATGCATCTAACATCAAAATTCAAGAAAAGTGTAACAACAGGCATTAAGACTTGTCAAGAATATTGGCAATCATTTAACCTGGATATTTAACTTTATTAAAAACAAAACAAAAACTCATAAATTCCTCTAAATGTCATCAAAACTTAGACTCTCATCCTCTTAATCAGTTTCTAAAATCCCTGGTAAGCCGCAGAGGAGCTGGCTGAATACAGTTATATTTAACAGTCTGTTTTTCATTATCATGTTTCACTGGCTGAATTTATGAAGCATGCTCGGTTAGTAATATCTGTAGGCAATTTAATGCTCAATAAGTTAAATGGTTGTTTTGAAATATATCTTCATGAAGTTCTTTGAGAGCAGCATCCCATGCTGCCACTGCTGATAGACTAATTGAAAACATAATCAGAAGCTGTGTTACTTTACATTTGCACAGGTGTTAAGAATTAAAGGTAAACAGTGGACCATCTGTGGAGGTCATTTTTATTAGCTGTGTGGACATCTTCCCACAGGCAATTACTGATGGTGATAAAAGAGGCGAACATTAAGTTGAACTTAAAAATTACTCAGCAAACAAGTTCGTTTTATTCACTTCTGGCAGGACCAGGACAATTTTTTTGTTTTAGCATTATTTGGGCATCGAGACAAGAAACAACAGCTTAATGGATTTGTTCAGATGCTTCACAAAAGTTTAAATCTATTTTTCAGGGTCATACTTGGCAGGCCACCCAAGTATATTTTCAGCCACCTGAGCATAATGCAGATCAATTTCACATTTTTCTTCTTGATCATCATTCACAGTTAAACTAGATGATCTCTGCCTTTCATCGCTTATAACCTGCAACACCTAACCCATACTCTGCAGGTCCTACAGTCTATCTCTCATTTAGGTAGGCCCAGTTCTACAAGGCTGCAGACGCATGCATTGCACTCCCATTTCAAATTTCTGCACCCTGCAATCACAGACAACAGTGAGTAAGGTCATGTTTAACACATCCACAGTCATGACAGGTGAGTGTATGACCTGTCCTGCACAACACCAGCAACTATGCAAACATTCAACTTCACTTACTGTTTGCTTTGTTGTCAAAGAAAAAAAAAGTTGGAGACATCACATTTGTAACCTTCCAGCATTTATAAGTTTTCATAATCAAGAAAAACAGTCGAACTTTGTGCGGTTGACAAAACAAAAGACCTTTATTTATCTCAACAACAATAAAGGCACGACGCAGAGGTCTCTCTGCTTTTTTGTTCTGCAGCAAATGTGCCAGTTTTCTACATCTGTAGAAATCACAAACTCCCCTATCAAGCACAGGGCCCTGTCCAAATCTTCACGTATGTCTTAAGAAACACAAAGTATTTGGCAAACAGTCCCAGGTCCGGCTTCATGGTAGGACACGAACGGTCTACTGTTCCCTTAATCTCGTAATCTGCACACCACCTGACGTGCCGTACAAAGTATTTAAAATGGATAACATCAAAACAATCATTAATCAATAAAGTAAAAAGCATATGCCTTTATGACTATGAACAATTATATCATCCAGGACAGCCTTGGTCCTTTGAAATGCAGCTGCATGACTTTTTTATTCACAGCAAAGGCAGAAAATCATCAAAATAAACTGTATAAAAATAATCTCTTAAATAAAACTTAAAGCAGAGACAAGAAACAAAATCAGGAATGTTTGATGTACATATATGTGCCATCGATTTTGCTCATAAGCAATAAACCGGACATACAGTGGTCTTAATAAAAGCACTCTTTACCTCCTTTACTTTGCATTTGCTCTGAGTCACATTTTCAGTCCCTTTAAGGAATGATTCACTAAAATAAGTTCATTAGAGTGGATCTAATGTGCAGCTAAAAACCTGCAGCTCAGGACTAGATGGAATATTTCAGACATGAATTTGACTAAAAACAGGATTTTTGTATGTCCTTCAAATTTCTCTGTAACTTCAAACAGCTGCCATTTTCCTCAGATATCAGCTTAAATGTTGCTATCCAAGAGGGAATGGTGCATCCTTGAATTCAAGGTTACATATTACATTACTGGCAAAAAAGTTATTTTACCACTTTAAGACCGATCAGCAGCTAAAAAGCACCAAAAACTAGAACAAATGAGAATCTTGCATTAGTTTATATTAGCGCTCAGCCTTTCCGGAGCAAACATAATGAGAGTTTCACAAAAAATAGGAGCGATTTCTTGTCCTAACTATTTGTTTGATACATCCCAGGTCTAGCTTCTGTGTATTCACAGGCATAAATTAGCTAGGATGTGGCCAAATGCTGTACCTTGTCGGTTTTCCCCTAAAAAAATGTAGTTAAACTTGTATTTTGGTCCAATGTCAAGAGGACCTCAAATAATTACAGTTCAACGAGCCCTCACAACTTTGTGAACATTACAACCCTCCTCAAAGATTATACGCTGTTTTAGTTTAAAATATGACCAAATGTCCCTCTGATCCAGTCACTGTCCTTTTAGCTGCTGAACAAATAAAAAATGGTAAAATTTTAGTGATTCGTCAAACTCTTGATATTTAAAAGATCTGAGACCTGGACACTGAGCTAATGAGGTTGGGAGAAAATGGCAGCTGTGTCTAAATAGTGAATAAAAAACAGAAACTTGGTCGAGGCTGTCAGACGGACAGTCCTTTCAGTCGGGGCTTATAATAACACTGAACTGCCTGAAAGACAGTGGAATTAAATCTACATATTACAAGTGCAAATCAACAATGCTAATGTATTTACAAACAGCTGCAAAAGTTAAAAACGTTAATGAAAGTGGACTGAACAAACACGGGCACTAAACGACTACTGAGGTTTAGTTAAATCGCAGGCTGTGAGGGACCTCAGCCTGCTTTTAGTGCAGATAATTCCAGTTACTTACACAGTAAATAAAAATATACGATCAAAAATAAAAGTGCTACAGTGACAACAATGATAAAGCATAGTTAAAAATCAAACAAAACTTCTGCCATGAAGGTCCAATGGAAACCTCTGTAAGTGGTATTTCACTCAGGTCATCTGTTTAGCTGCAGGTGTTAAACTAAGATCAACAGTTTCCTCTGATATGAGGCAGTAAAACAAACAGACTTATCTATGTAGATTCTGAGGGCAGGCACACAAAAGCAGCTGACTGTTTCTAGGGCAGATGATGAATACAGTGTCTGTTTAACACTGATTTTTAGATAGCCAACAAGCAGAAATTTAGATGTTTACTCGCATTTAGGCCGAAACAGACAGACAGATGGCGCATTTCCTGAACCATGTGCTAGTCTGTGTGCAAGGTTTGCAAAAGCATGTGCAAACTTTATAAATCATGCATACATATTTGTTATTCCTGGAGACAGATTTGTAAACTGTGTGTGCAGATTTGGTTTAGATTTGAAATCTGCACACACTGGTTACAAAACAAAGTGTTAAAAAACCCTTAGACAGGTTGTGCATAAATTCATTTGTTATTGTTCCATGATAATTATGAATCTGTCCCACTCAATACAAATCCATATGCACTGAATATAAACTGTGTACTGATTTGCACATTTTGTCAACTGTTCCTTTGTTTTTGCAATGCTATCCTGCTACATTTGATTATATAGTGTGTTAAAAGACAGGACAGTGGAGCAGGTCTTCAAAGTGAAGCCACAGCATTTGGAGCTCCCCCTACTGGCAAGCTGTAGTATAGATTATCAACTGTTAAAAGGTAAGCTTGTGTAACACTTTAAAAATATCACATATGTTTCAAAAAGACTAACGGATATGTATGAGTGGTGAAACTTCACCACATGAAGCCTGACAGTTTGACTCTTGAGTGAAATACGACTTGCTGGTTTCTCTTGGTGGGTAACTGTGATCCACAGTGAACCACAAAGGATGTGTTTGTGCATGTGAGTGTGTGTGTGTTTGTGGTTACTAATGTGCAGTTTGGTTTGGGAATGCCTACATGTTGATGGGACAGGACGGGACGGGGCAGGACAAAGACAAAGGCTTAGGACACAGTCTGAGTTGGACAGGTGGGGTCAGGTTTGGTCAGATGGTGATGTAGTGCTGTCGCAGTTTGGCCACCAGGAACTCGTGTGTTAAATTATGTCTTGTGATTATTCCAACAATCTGGAGGAGAGAAAGTAGATCAGAAACATAAGTTTAGTCAGATTTAAGCCAAAATGTGTTGCATTCAAACATTACAGACACATTTTTATGTAAATCCACAGATTGCATTTATGAAGGGGATAAAACATGTAAGTCTGATAAGTGTGTGCGCCTCGAAGTGCCTTAAACAAGTTTTAACTGACGTTGAGCTGGAGATTACTCAACTAGGCGCAAGAAAAAGTGAGTTTGTCTTGATATTTTCTAGAAAATGTGCCTTTTTCTCAGTCAAACGTCTTGACCTGCTCTTGCAGAAATCTTCATTTCTGGCCCAAGATGACAAGAGCAAACAGACTGAAGATGTACTTTTCATATCTCATTTGTCATTTAAAATGTGAGTTGTGACCTGTACACCTGTGCAGAGTAAATAATCATGATTGTAATAATGCATTTATTCCATGACTACTTACTTCTCCTACAGCATTGACCACAGGTAGATGTCTCAGGCCCATAGTTCTGAAAAGGTTGAACACCTGGGAGATGCGAGTATTTGGTGACACTGTATACGGACATGGGTTCATGTAGGGGGTGACATCCTGGGAGCAAAAGAAGCACAAGTCTTTTATCTAATCTAGATATGATGTTTTATAAAACTCTGAATGATATTGTTTAACTCACAACCACTGATTCATTTTTACAAATACTCCTGAAACTTACAAAGAGGGACTGCAATGTTACAAGCACGTAGAGGATGTTTGCAGGATCTGAGACTTTTTTGGCATTTAAATGTTTCTTATTGTCTTTTCATTGAATTTCCCCTCTTGGATAAATACAGTTCTTCTTCTCTGATATTATCTTATCTTCAAAAATTAAGGCACATATAATAAATGCTTCTGAGTCAATCCCTCTTTACTGAAAACAGGTCGTACCACTATCATGCGGGGGTTAAGCAGGGCGAGGTCCAAGTCATGGATGTCAGGGTATCGCGGGTAATCTTCTGTCATCTCTGTGAAGGATAACCGCGGCTGTGTGGCACTCTGGGACAAAGAGCGGACAGTAAAGACACAAAGTAAGACGAACAAAATGATTTTGTTAGCACTTGCATTTGTGTCTGTGTGATGACTAACAGAAGTTTATTGTCTGTCCTAAAGTGCTTTCAGGCTGTTTAAGACATTGACTACCAAATTCACATCAAAAATAAGAGATGAAAGTAGCTGAAACAAAACATGAGCCCCAGGTGAAGATGATTTAGTTTAAAACCTGTTTGAAAAAGTGTGTTTTTGAAAAAGATAAAATGAAGCTGGCTTGTAAATGTAAAACATCAGCGAGGGTCCTAATAATGAAAGAGGAACAAAGATTTGTGTGTGTGTGTGTGTGTGTGTGTGTGTGTGTGTGTGTGTGTGTGTGTGTGTGTGTGTGCGTGCGTGCGTGCGTGCGTGCGTGCGTGCGTGTGCGTGTGTTTACGACAGACCGACTGGCTCTCAGAATAGCAGACCCCTCTGATGAGCAGGTTAACCAGTTGGGAGCGTAGGATGAGGCCGTGGAAGGTGAGGGGTCTGAAGCGCTCCTCCATGGTCCACTCCTCACTGGGAGACTGATCCGGGTACAGGTTTGGATACGGAGCATGTCTGTAGGTGGACGATGAAGACACAGATTTTCTCACCCCCAAATAACAGTGTGTTGTCATCCCTATTGTTTGTGTTATGTTGTTGTTTGCAGGTCAGTGCTGCTCTCTACTGGTCTTTAAAACATACTACACCACTATCCTTCACTTTCTGAGTTTGGATCTAACTCTGAGGTTTCATTAAAAACATAGTCAGCCATGATTAACCAGTGTTTGGAGTCAAAAATGCTCAATTGTTGTCTTGTTTCTTTTGACCCTAATACAAGTACAGTGTAGCTGCGCTAAGTTATAAACTCTATCATAACAATGACTGAACTTAAACGCTGATTTATTACCACAAGTGAAAACTAGACTTTGACAGAAATGTACGTCTTTGGCTGATCTTAATCCAGTATCAGCCATGAGGACAAAACAGTACGTCAAAGCCCCGAAAATACTCCTCCTTCTAACTATCTTACTTCTCTCTGTCAAACTTTACCAGCAGACAGTGACCATCAACTTGGCGTTTCTCACAAAAAAAAATCCAACTTAGATATAGGCATTTAAATTCTTAGTAATAAAAAAGCAAATCTTATTTCTAATAATCTCTTTCAACCACACAGGTCGGTACAAGAAGAGGCTATCATAGAATCATTATTTGCTTTGTCAGTGTTTGTGTCGTACCTCCTCTCCAGCATCTGCTGCAGCAGGTCCTCTCCCTCCTCTGCCGGCTCTGCAGCCGCGTTCTGCTCATCACAAACATTCTTCAGCTCGCTGGATGGGTACGACTTCATGGACTGACAGCGCCGCCGCTGTTCCCCCGCCCGAGTCATTACACTGGACTTCTGCAAACAACCGTTGAAGAGGTTTTGTAAATTCCTTTTTTGTGAAAGACTTACTGACAGATTATTTATTTTAATAGTCTGTCAGATTATCTTCTATGTCCAAAACTGATTGCAATAAGATGTCTGCTGACACTGCACTCAAGCCTCTACCTCCATCTGCTGGTTATAATGCTGAGCACACAAAAATCCTGAGGGAGTGTCTCAACTAAAATCAGATTGGAAGACACAATGAAACAAAATTAAATAATCGAGATTTTAATTTTCAGTGTAATTTTTATTTCTAGTTTATATACTTTAGATGTACTGGATGATTTGTTTGCACTGTGTTAAGACGACAAGAAAAGGAGGTTTAAAATAAAATCTATCAGATCCTTCCTGTCAGCTGGGACCATCTTAAACTCCTATTAAATTTGACATTACAGGACAAACCTTGAATCGGATGTTGTTGCTGACTAGGATGTTCCCCTTCATGAAGTCTCGTTCGTTCTGTCGGTTTTCAGTGACCACAGGGAAGGCGTGGTAGACAGTGGTGCGGAGGATGCTAACCAGGGACTGGACTCGGGTGTGGGGGTACACGTAGGTCAGGTTTGGCTCCATGATGTCACTGGCTGTCAGCCTGGAAAGGTTAAGGAAATATCAGGTACTAGTGCTGGTGTCAGTCTGTGATTTCTCAGAAAAAAAAACTACACATTTTTTAAATTCCTTATTTCTACGTTTCTCGTAAGCAGGTTATAAATCAGTTTTAAAGCTCATACAGGGAGCTCAGGGTTGTGTAATCTTACTTGTCCATCTCCACCTCTGTCTCCCACTCCAGCAGAGGAACTCCTCTCAGCTGGATGTGAATGTCATAGATGCCTTTGTTGAAGAAATCCCCGGTCCACTTTGCAACCTGAAAGTAAAAAGAAAATGATAAAGAACATAAAGTGACCTGAGAACATCATCAAATACAACACTTCAGTCATTTCTGCATAATGCTGATTTAAAAACATTAAACACATATATATATATGAACCTTTAAATCAGTGATGTAATTGGCAGAAAACGTAGATTTCACCATGCACATGTGATAATGTGAAATGATTCTTTTACTTCACACCACTTAAAAAAAAAAAAAGTGACTTAACAATCATTCAGGTTATGATTCGTTCCTATAAAAACAAACTGACAGACGGCTTCTTTTTTTATGAAATCTTAATTGTAATAAAACTGGAGGGGCTGCAAGAAAATTTGAATGACTGATGCAGACTGTCCAGTAAGCACAGAAACCAAACCACTGCGCTCCAGCTCATCAATACAGCCAGAAAGTGTTTTTTATGGATGTATCATCCTGGTTATAGAGTTAAGAGTTGGAGCATGTTCGTTTAATTCAAAAACACATGAAAATCCAAGCATGAATTGGATTACAATTTACCACATCCCTGATCAGAGGCAAACTTAGCGCCCTCATGTCTGAACAAAGCAGGGGGAAGTGCTGGCTCTAATGCTCTTGACGTAAATAAAAGTGTCTAACATGCCCTCTGCGGTGCTTTTTTTTTGCCTTTACACAGATTTACAAGCTCTTCTTCTTGTCGGATAATACATGGAAAAGTGCCCTCTGGATGCCCCTCTGATATATAAATTGTAACAAGTGTCCTCTGGATGTTCTTCCTTTAAATAAAAAAAAGTCTAAATGCACTTCCAGTGAATTTAAGCTTAAAATGCCCTCTGAACGCCTTTTCAAGGGGTAAAATGTGTTATGATGCCCTTTTGATAATGTACATTATACATATTAAGCAGACATGCAAGGTTTGAGAATCAGTTTTAGCCTTCATTATTAGTATTAAAACAGTTTATTCTATCACATGATTTAGATTTAATTACTAGCCTTTAAAATGACCAGGAGACAAATATCAGATCAGACTCAGTCATTTAATGGCAGTCATTTTTGATAATTATCCATGAATAATTAACTAAATGATGCAAAAGAAATTCACCAGAATGTACGAAATTAAGAGTTTCTGATGCTAAAAATTGTCAGGGGTGGACATCCGGACATCCAGACCCCCACCCCCGCCATAAAAGGAGCTTAAATAGTGTTTTTTTAAGACACCACTAAAGACATTAATCAAACCTGTCTGTGTGATGTTGCCCCACAGCGTACAGCAGGTGTCTTTTTGATTTGCTTTGCTCTCAAGCCACTTGAGTACCCCGCTGTCCCTAAAAACTGTCAAAATGAATCAAACGGCAGCTTTACCATTAGAGTGATCATGATGGGCAGCCCATACGTGATTTCATTGGTTGATTCGATGAGGATGACCGTCAGACTGATGGTCATTCTGACCACGCCCCCGAGGAAGGCGGCCGCTCCAATGAGAGCGAATGTCCCTGAGTAGATGTCCATCCCCAGTTTCCTATTAGAGGACAGAAACATTTTAGAAGTATTAATTCAGTCTGTGTTTGATGAGAGGGGGGCTGAGATTAAAAATAGAAAAACAAAGAGACTGTGCGGTTGTGTTTCATAGCAGGTTTGTACTGCGAACAGTCATTACTGTCAGCTGAGAGGAGCTCAAAGCTGGTTGTAACAGCAGGAGAAGAAAATGGTCCTGTCAGCAGATTCCAGCATGCTGCATGAGAACCTGCAGGAACAGCAGAGACACTACCAGACTGTCACTATTGACTTAGTGTGGTCTGTTTTCGGGTTTTAGAGTCTCTTTCTGCAGCTTTCACTTTAATTTGTTTCCTTTTACATTAGGTGCTCTGTAACTTTCTTCAAGAGTTAGATCTGAGATTTCATTTGTCAATACTACATATCCACTGTTGTCTGACTAAACAGTGGCACATCTGCACTGGCTTGGAAACTGAGGGAGATACATAGCTTGCTGGGCTCTGTCTAAAGTTAAAAAGTGGACCTAAAAACCCCTCGACTAACATTTTTCTCCAGAATTCTGAATTATTTTCTGCATCATATAAAAAATAAAACCTCAACATTTTGATGGCCTCAAATTTATGTTGTTGTTTTGCTTTTAACAAAGTATTTAACTCCTATTTACATGAAATATATAGCTGTTTCAAGGTTGTTGTTTATCTGCTTTTGAGAATCTGTGACAGACAGACTTTGTTCAAATGTGCTTTTGGAGAGGTTTAGTCTTACACTTTCAGGATGTTGGCAACCAGACGTCCAAAAGAAGCACCACACAGCAGAGAGGGGACGAACAGACCGCTGGGCACAGACACACCATATGTCCAACACGCCAACAGAAAATACAGCAGGAAGAACAGAGAGAGCGTGACAGGGCTGAAGGTTCCTGAGGGAAAAAGAGAAAAGTGTAAAGGTGGCACCAAAACGAAGAAACTGAAGGTTGCAATTTTTAGGAAAAACTCCACAGACACATGAGTCATTTTACTCTCTTTTCCAAACATAGAAAACAATGACATAATCTCAATGACCCAGGACAAAGAAGTAAAGTTGCAAAAGCTTTCAGGAAGAATGTGTTTTTCTCTTCTCACCGTCTTGGTGGAAAAGCTGATGGATAGCAGCCTCTTGAGGGTTGAAGAACAGCGTAGCCATGTCGTTGTAGGTCTTGTTGGTGCAGAAGAACTGGCGGATGGTCGAGTTGATGTCGTCACTGCCAGACAGCTGACAGAAAACATTTCATATGAGATAAGTGCAACCGTGAGGCCTGCAGTATAACCTTAGACTTTTCAATTTTATATGACCTGGGAGCGTTAACATATTAGATAAAACTATTTACATAAGCCACACTCATTTGCACCAAAACAGATTACCTGTCTGTTTTTAAATCTGTCTGAATCTGTTTTAAGCTTCTTTACTCAGAGGGGAGAAAAAAAGTTAGCTTACTGTGGAGTTGTGGTTTGTGGGGCTGGACAGATCACGACATTCGCCCAAGAGCAGGGACGCTGCAAATACCACCACTGATGTCACCATGGTGATCAGCAGACTCTCCAGAACTCTGGAATAAATGCAGGAATCAGATCAACTTCTACATTAGTAGAAAGAAGGAAATCTGAGACACAGCTTTGCTTTCAAAAATCTTGATTTGAAACCTTTAGACAAGTTTATTATGAGGTAGTTCTTACCTGATGAACTTGGCCTTTGGATGAATGTGTTTTATACGGTATTTGGACAAACTCTTGTTCATGCAGTTGAACAGTGCCCCCAGCAGGCCGCCCACCACCCCCATCAGGACGAAGAAAGCCAAGTCCACCACCGTCCACAGGTGGCAGTTCTTATCTCCATCCGGACACTGGTAAGACACACTCAGCAATCAATAAGAAATGTACTGAAAATGAGTCAAATCATATTTTCAGACAAAACAAACTCAGTGATCAACTTCTTACCTTAAACTCTCCAAAGTTGAGCAGACCTGGCAGCTGGAAGGAGCCCCACTTGTTGAAGTTGATCCCAGAACGGAAGAAGTTTAACGTGAAAGTGGCAGACATGGAGCAGAAGAGCTGAAACAGAAGATTCAGACTCAGACTCAGACAAGTAGTACTGGATTAATATGGGACCAAAACAACAGATCCGTGTTGTCCTACTAATTTGGCACTCTTCCGTGAGAGACACAAGCAAATCAATTTGACTCTTCAGGGTGAAGCTAGACATGCTACAACCAGCTGACAGGAAAAAGATTCATCCCTTCTTGTGCGACATTGGTCAAAATGGACAAACACAAAACTTTCCTTTTTCAGGAGAGTAAAAAAAACAGATTGTTTTGTGTCCCTCTTGGTCTACACTGACTTGATGACTTGACTCACCACTTTCCAGGTGAGCGCCTGGTTCCAGAAAGACGAGCCCTCCTCCAAACTGAAGAGCGTCCCTCCTATAGGAGCACCGAAGGCAGCAGCGACTCCAGCTGCAGCACCAGCCGACACAAAGTCCCGCTTGTCCCTGAAAAACAACAAAGACTTGCTTTTATATGTTGACTTCAATGAATCGGACAGAGTAAGGAACAGATTTACCTGTCACTGCGGAAGTACGGAAAATCAAACTTGATCCTCTTGAAACTGATGCTCTGAAACTAAAAATAGAAAAGCCAAAATGGGACAAATACATCAGCTAAAGCAGCTTAACAGTATGGTTTGTTATAAAATGCAATTCTACTCATTTCCAACCAAGCAGCTGCTCAGAATATACTACAAAAATCTGATTTTACTGCAATAAAAACAAAAAGTTTCTATTCCTCATTTAGGAGAGGCATGATGCAAACAGAAGCAAAGTGGAAATAACATCATGACTTTGATTAAATCTGCAAATTTTTCTGGAAACCTTTAGTATCTTTTAGGTGAATGAAGTGGAAAACTCAGCCACCAGAACTCTGGATGATTAGGTTTAAGAGACTCATGCAGCCTGAGTATTATTTAATTTAAAGGTGAAAGATAATTTTCAAAATGCTTTTTATAATGCTTGCAATATTTGACAGACAAGTGCAGTAAAATCCTAAGTAACTTCACATATTTTTCACCTTCCCCCAAAAAACACATAAGACAAGAGATACATTTTATCAACATTTCAGTCTCAGCATAAAAAGTGCTCATGCTTGTTCTCAGCTCATGCGTTCAGGTGTGTGTCTGTGTACCTGAGGAAGACCAGCTCCCACTATGGCTCCACTGTGAATCATCGGACCTTCTTTCCCCACAAACAGACCTAAGAGGACACACAACAAACACACAACTCCAACTCAATGCTCCTGATTCTTCAAAATATCTGTACGTGACTAACTGATCTGTTTGCTGAGTCACTGTATCTGTATTTTTCTGCATCATCATGTCCTGATATGAAACTGAAGATAGAAAGGACAGTCCATATAGTAGTTCAGAGATGGTGCAACTTTCTTTCATGCATTACCCTCAGTGTACAAGTACAATATTTCCCTCTGGAACGGCAGAAGGGAGGGTTCACAGCAGAAAATACCAAACTACATTAGTACAGCCAGTGCCTCGTAAACAAAAACTGCAAAACTGCACTTATCTACTGTAAACGAGTCGATACAGCTGCGTACTTTTGACCACTGCTTTGGTGCAGCACTTACAGTAGCAAGATATTTTCTGCTTTTGTGTATTCAAAGATTAGAACTGAATTTATTTTCTCTGATGAGATAATTATATCAGCAATTTGTACAAAAGGGAATATTTTTTAATTGTTAAAAATGTATCTCATAATCCTGAGATTAGTTATATTTTTAATTAAGAAAAATATACGGCAGCGTTTTTTTCTGAAGTACAAGAAGCAAACTTCCTAATATTTTGCGAAATTTTTGATTTAAAGAATAATGTAAGCCACGTTTTTTTTGCAAGTGTGCAGTCTTGTTACATTTCATCAAAAAACAGCCAATATTAAGTTTTGTAAATGCCCGTTGTTGAATTTTATCATCACCTCCAGCCACACTGAACAAAACTCCTGCAGCTTTGCAGAGAAAAGTTCGTAGCCGGACAATTCCGGGAATCTTCACTCCATTCAGGTAACTTTTGATTTCTGGGATTCCTGAACCTGCAGCGACAGGCTGAAAACAAGAAATCAAAATATCAGCATGTTAGCATCATCACATCACACCACAGCACAGAATCACAAACACAACTTTCCGTCTTTCTTAAAATTGAGTAACATTAAATCATAAGTCAATAACTTCAAGGCTGCAAAACCTGTAAAGTGACAATAATGGCAAACACTGTTGAGTAAACATATTAACAGGTTTTTTTTTTATTCTTCAGGGGGGAAAAAAATGTGTGTGTGTCAAAGTTTGTGTTTGAATTTTCCGTGTGAGGACAATTCTTTTTATCTTAACTTTTTTAGACATCCTCTGATGAAAATATCAAACTGAGCAACAGAAAACCAACATCAGCAGAAAATAACTAAAGCTGTAGATGAAAAAATAAGCAAATCTTACCTCGATGAGGACAAGCACACTGGCGATAAAGACAAAGAACATGTTGAAGGAGAGGAGCTCCAGCAGAGACAGAGCGAGGCAGCCTTTATCGCTGCACTTCTCTATAGCTGAAGACTCTTAGTTAAGGAGGAATCAACAGTAATAAATTTTGGGTTTCTAATTTTGTGAAGCTGCACCCCCACCCAAGATGATTGAATACCGATGTGAGAGCTCTCTCAGTTGTTTTATATCCAAAGGACTGTAGAGGCATGTGAAAGGATACAGTCACCAACCAGAGAAAACTTGATTTTTGTGAAGAGATGAACAAAGAAATCTACAAACAAGCCCACCTGAAAGAGAAGCGAAGAGACACAAAGAAGACTCAGACTCAAATGAACTGATTGAACTGTCATTTTTACATTACAATAAAACAGCCTCGACATGATGGTGTATTCAACAAACATCTGGAAAATAAAGAAAACTAACAACATTCAATTCCATTCAAAATATTGAATACAATAGCTAAAGTTTTTAGACAATACACGGGGAAACATTTGCTCAAAATTACAGCGTCTGAGGCAAAAAACACCAGCAGATTTGCAGCGATAAGAAAAAATATGAGACTACAAAGATCTTCAGTAACATTTGAAATATGCTTCTCATATAAAGATCTGTGTTATGATGACCAAGATACTTCAAATCGCACCTACCAGACCCACAGTGACTCCAATAGCAAACACCATCAGCCACCGCACAGCCTCATACTTTCCAGCTTTCTGTTAGTGAAAGAAAATTAAGTTCAGATAGAGAACCTGACTTCAAGAGCTGAAAATACTATGAAAGTTGCTGGGTTTTTGGGGGGTTTTTTTGGCCATTTTGACTTTTATATTGAAGCTGAATACACATGCTCTAAGATTATGTTCTTGAATTGAATCAGAATAAAGCCTGCTACTTAAAACACCCTTTGTGTCTTTCCCCTTCGCTTGTGAGCGCCTACATTTGCTTTTTTTAAACAGGACTAAGCAATGGTATGATATTTAAAGCTCCTTTGTTTGTGTTGATTTTGGCACCTCCTGTGAACCAAGTGACGCAGCTTATCTCTGAGCTTGTCTTGTGCATGTAAAAGAGAGTTTTCTGAAAAAATGAATAATCCTCCTTCTGTCTCATAACAAACTTAAATTACTTATTCTGCAGTTGGATTAAGTACAAGAAAGAAGTTTGGTTTGTCCAAACAACAGCTGAGGACCAACAAAGAGGCTTTAAGATTTTCATATTTTTTTGTCAAAACTCAAACCAGCCACACAATAAAAAATAATAACCAATCATCCTCAGCACGAGACTCAATATATTTCCCCTTACTTTGTTGTCCATCCCCTCCAGGACCTCAACATAGGGCTCGTTGATGCAGCGGTCATAATCCAAACTCTGCAGAAGCCAAAATAAACAGTGTGAGATTAAGACCAAGGTCAGATAACCACAGACTAACACGTGCACCAGGGACAGCATGTAAACAGCAACACAGGCTCAAAGCACTGTCTCTAAATAACAGATTTCAACCCTAAAAAGTTCCTCACCTCATAGTCTTTCCTGGGCAGGATTTCATCTTCTTCTTCTCTAATTTCCCCAAGAATTGTCTTGTAGAAAAAACAGGAAGAATATTATTGCAACACACAAGTCATAGCAGAGACAAGTTTTTTTAGAAACAAGGCCACACAATAAATTTAGACCTAAATGCTGATTCATATCCTAATCTTATCTGTAATAACAAAACAACACACCTTATCTTCTCCATTCATAAATCTGTGCAGTAAAAAATGCTTTACAAAAAAGAATACAGCTTTTCAGAGCACAAGTTTACATAGCTTAAGGCCACAATTTGTTAATTAAGGTTAATTCGATTTCAAATAATCCGCCAAACAATATCATACTTGGATTAAACTCAAGGTTAGTTAGATGGATTTATAGGGTCTTGTCATAAATTAGAGGTGTGGATTTCTACTGTAAAAAGGTAACTGGTGTACAATTTGCACACCGAATGAAAGAAGAGACTTTGATAAAAACATTACAGTAAAAATCCTATAAAGAGGTGAAAAGTAGATCTAATAAAAACAAGAAAGGCTTTAACTTGTTAGATTTATAAATGGAGATTAGTCTACAGTCCAGAACCCCATCAGCATAAAGAAAAACAGCAAGTGATTTCCATCTTAAGCAAAGTTACACTAAAAGTACTTGCCTGTTTTAGCCTCGTTATCAATTATGCATTGAATTTAACTGAAGGTTATTGTGGTTTGTTTGCAAAAGATACAACACTGAGTGGAGAGAGTGAGCAGGGTGGAGTAAGCAAACTAGAGCAGGACACTGAGAGAAGGTAAGAGGTTAATCTGAGAAAGCATGACTCAAGATAAAGTCCTCAATATGTTCCCACTTAACCACATATTTAAGACAATTTACCAGTTCCTCTGGTGTCCGTGTTTCTCCTTCTCTGCAGCAACATTGGCAACAAAAACAGTTCCCACAACACGCCATCTTCGTTGTTGTGTCATGCTATGTTCACGTCCCGCAGTGAAACAGTCAAAGGGGAGAAGAAACAAAAAAGGTCGAGGAATCTTGAAAAGAAAAAATCAAAAGTGCGTCAAGTTGAGCATAAATTACAAGAATCAAGGTATTCAAATGGTAGCTCTCTCTAGATATTTTGTTTCATAGAGTTCTTCGTCATTAACATCAACAGATGGAAATTTTTCCCAGGATATTCAAACGTAGCACAAGTGTGTATCATGTGACGCAGAAGAAGGAAATCCGTTTCAACCATCAAAACTGCGGCGTATTTACAAGAGTACCCAGATGCAGCGCCAAGATGGCGGACCCAAAGATAAAAAACCACATTTACAAAACGCAATAAGTTTCCGCATTACCTCCGATTGGCGGACCCAAAACATGAACTTTGAACTTCTGCTTTGCGATGCCAGAACAGTAGGTGGCGGTATGTACCTACACTTTCTGACGGCAAAATTTACAGAAGAAGAAGAACTCTCAGGAAGTTTGAAAAGAAGCAAGCCGTCCGCATTCATTCAATCTCACCTCCGACCACTCAAACTAACCCTAACCCTGCATTCCATTGTTTCCATCATGGGAAATCTAAGTGACGCTCTCAAATTAACAGGAACATTGCGCAGAAGATATGTCCTGGGCAATGGACTGAGAAAACGGGCAGAGATTTGGAGGTATTTGTGCATGCTCTATATTACAGTTGAAAAGTGTATAACAGCTTTCCAATGCTGTTACTTGTGGCGAACACCTTTTTGCTTGAGTTGATGCGTGCCCGCAGGTGGAATAATGTCACATGTCACACACATTTTCTGTTGTTTTGATTTATTTACTCATTCATCATTTTATGTGCGCACCTCTCCTAATCAACCCACCCATTAAATAGACGGGCACAATAGCACCATCTGCTGGCACAAAAAATACATAACAATAAACTGCAAAACCCCAATCTGGCTCCTACAAAGTGTATGTGACAAGATGATTAACGTTTGCTTTTGTTAAATCAGGGCTTCCCCAGCCAGGACTTCGGCTCAGACTGTGGCATATTCATGTTGATGGTAGGTCATAACGAGCTGTAATGCACAAATATTGTATCTAGAATAACTTTCCAACATGGACTTTTTTAAAGTTATCTCACATGTTGTCTCATAATTTTTTTTTTAAAGTCTGCCATGTACATCGTTATGGAGTCACAGTTTGACTACTCAGTTGTAAGTACTTTTCAACACGCAGTGTCATCCTCAAGATTGTATTTTGTATTGTGCACTAAAATGAAATACAAACAACAATTTCAGCATGACATGCCTGTTTGGCGGCGATGGTGGTGCCTGTTGCTCCTGGAGAACAATTCTTTGAACAGGTAGACAGTTTAAGTAAACTAGATGTCCTAATTAACTGGAAGACAATCAATATATTGTACTTAAAGACATATTGTCATTACAGTTGTGGGAAAATCTTCGCCCACTGGACCAAAGAATGTCAAGAGCTCATTGCTGGAAAGCATACTCCGGTCTTCAGTCTAAAGAGGAAGGCAGAGCAGCAGGACACAGAGGTTAGAAAATTGCCTTGTAAAAACAGTATTATCTCAGTGGGAGTCCTTCAAAATGCACACAGTTGTATGGATCAACATTGTCTCGATGTATTTGGTAATTGATGTTACTTTTCAAATTGCCTTGTCAAGGAAACCATGACGCAGACGGTATCGGATGTCCAAAGAATGTGCATGGCAGATTCAATGCAATTCTGTGTCTACCAGACATCGAACAACACAGGAGAGAGGTGTGTTGCAGACTCAATTTAATAAATGCAATTATCGGGGCCTATTCAGTGATTTTCCATGAAGTGACCACTTTTACATATAGTTTAAATGCACGAATCATGCAGGAAAATTATTTATACATTCAGATGTGCTGCAGAGGTATAATCAATTGGACAGCGTGTTTGTTTGATATTATGTTTGTCTCTCATTTGATCAGATTGCTTTACCCTGAGGTAAACGTCATAAAATGGGTCCAGTGCAAGACGTGCAGGGGCTGGCTGCATCAGGATTGTGCTGGGATTGAAATGGAGCCGTTTGACTGCGGGTGCGAGGACTCCATTGAGCATCCTCGGTATAACATAATTTATCAAGGAAACATAGTATCAGTCAAAAATACGAGGCTCAAAGGATGAAAAAATGAGGGCTTGCTCTTTTCTTATTTCTCTGCAGGATCAAGGATGCTGTTGACAGTTGAGGAATTCATGCTGTCTTTTCTAAGACACAGATCAAGGTTGCTTTTGAATGCACTATCAGTTGTTAAAGCCACCGTTTCTTTTTCAGATGATTACATTTTTGTCTCTTGCTCTTTGGTTTCAGACATTACACGATGATCTACTGTCTGGAAAGATCCGCTCCAACAGAATGTTCCTTTGGAGGAATCCCGCCACCTCACTCCGACTAAAGCAGCATCTTAAGATAAGGACACTAAGTTGGAGTGAGCAGCGCGTAAGTAAAAATGCCATCCATCATGAGTATTTTTACTCTCAGGGGTGTTACATTTGAAAGGTGTTTACTTTCTGTGTTTTTCTTCAATAGATGTTCGAGCTCCTGCGGTTCATTGAGGTGGCAACAAACATTTCTAAAAAAATAAAGAGAGGCGAGATTCATCTGCTTGATTTCGTTTTTGACGTCATGCTCCCAGAGGTGAGTAGATCAAACTATATAGCTTGCTTTGAAAAATGATGATATTGTTAAGAGGTTGTTCTTATTCATTTGGAAAGCTCAAGAACAACAATTAACCCATACTGCATAACTTCAATTGTTCACATTATTTGACTGTTTTTCAGCTTTTGATCAAAGCACTGAAGGAGCATGGCATCAACCGGTTCAGAGCAGAGCTGATGATGGCCTGTGGCAACGTGTTTTAAGCCCCCCACCACACCGACGGCAGTGCTGAATTTTGTATATATATATTTTTTTTTACTGTTCACAATTTTGTTTGGAAAAAATTAAAGAAATCTTCAAAGCAGTTGTATGACAATTTCCCATTTCTTTACACAGTCTGTAATGATATCGCTATTCAATTGTTTTTGCTATATGGCTCTTCTGAACCTTAAAGAGATCATGTGACTTGTGTCTCTACAACTATTGTATACTTGGATTTTGCACAGTCAAGCAATCCTGAAGAGGTTCACCAGGAAGCACACCATTTCATAAATTATGTCCCTGGTTACACAATGTTACTAAAGGATGGGGGGAGTAAATTTGTGCAGCAACATAAGCACTCTCATAAAACATAATTATGAACAACAGAAAATATGTGAGGGTCAGGGCAACATTGTTGACATTAAACGAGGTCCTAATAGGAGTGGAGAAACAAGGTCACAGAGAAGTTAAGAAACATTGATGTGCTGTGTAATAAAGCTATTGGAGAGAAAAGTTAGAAAACACTGTTATATGATGTGTAACGAGAGGTTAAAACAGTCCATACTTGTAGCAAACTCTTACAAAAGAATTTGAGTAAGATGATAACTTCTACATACATTTACCTATTCTGACAAATTATCAGAATATGAGGACATCAGGCTATATATACATATTACTGTAAACTTCAGAATTAAATCAGAACAAAACAGTAGTCATAATTAATACATAAACGTTTTATTTTGATTTTTAGCTCAATAATAAATTTAATTCGATTCTTATGGAATGAACGGAGCAAAAAAAAAGGATCCGGCGACTAAATCCGACTACCTGAAGTATTTCGGCGCCGGAAGTCCGCCAACGAGAAAGCCTTTCCACCGGAAGTAATTGTTTTGGGTCCGCCAATCGGAGGAACTTATTGCGTTTTGTAAATGTGGTTTTCTATCTTTGGGTCCGCCATCTTGCGCTGCATCTGGTCACCTCTCCGTATTTACGCAAAACTAGCTTACTGTATTTTTTTTTTAATTCAACATAAAATCTCAAAACCTGCGCGAATAATTGCAAAAACACTATTAATTGAAGTTTGGGGATATTACAGAATGACACATACAATATATTGGGAGCTGATTACCTTTATGTGCGTTTTATCGACATTCCAACCTCTGTCATTTTATTTCAATGATATTTAAATTAATTTATGTTGCAAATTTTTGACAAATACACGGATAAAAATCATATAAATCGAAAACAACACTAACTTATTCTCTTTAATCAGTACCAAAAAAACTGATAGGGCATGTTTTATGCTGCATTTAACGCCCCTTGGAAAAGCACGAAACGACAATAATCAAACACCAGCTTTAAAATAAACTCATCCCCCTATCCTTTTGTACCAATTATTGTAAACATATTTTGATAACAGTATTAAAATTAAAACCAATGTAAGAAAAAAAAGAGTCGCTTTATTCGATGTACAAACTAACTTTGATACTTTATGAGATATTTTCAAGAGAATATTACGTACATGAATTATGGATTGTGTACCAAGCATTGTTTTGAAGGTGAAATCAAAAGTGATATTTAAATTAACAGAAATCCTAAAACTCGTGTTTCGCTAAACAAAACTAGTTATGGTTTGATGACAAAAATCTGTTTGCGTGTTTTTTCTATAGACCGTAAACGCAGCACTGTGTCGTTGAGCTCGCCGTATGAACTCACACGCTGCTGTAGTCGCTAATGTTTAGACCTGGATGGGAGACAGTCGGGCTCCACTAAGACCGGTTGGAGGAGGTAAGGGAGGCAATGTTTGATTTATTTTCCCTGGACCCACTACAACGAACCTGGGTCAGGCTAGTTTGTTTTTTGTTTCGCTTATTTCTTCAACAAATGGAGTAGCATCGCTGCTGTAGCTGTAGAGGGCTAGCTGGTTCTCAATGTGGGTTACTGGATCAAACTTTTCACGCCATGTGAGGACACGGGAGTGACACTCATCTGAATTAAACGGGTTTTCAACTGTAGTCCTCACAGTATCTTAATGACATCCTCAGTAAAACTCTTTATTTGTGTAGATTATCGTTGTTACAGTGTAGTGACGGCTGTATGATGTGATGTGTTGGGGTCCGTTAATGCAGAATTGTGTGCGTAAAGTTGGACTCTAAAGACTTTCCCCCCGTTTATTGTCGAGTATCAAATAAGTGACCGAATATTTCTATACTTACTCTGTGCTATTGTGTGTTGTCGAAATGGCTGGTCGATGATGTGTGGCACATTTTGAATGAAGTTTGCAGGGCCGCGTCTAGTGTGGGGGCCAGGATTGGTATGAACCATACAGTCTATGGTATCAACCCTCTGAAATCTTACGGGCCACCCTACATGCCAATCTAAAATTCTGAAACATGATTGGCTGTTTGTTTAGACAGAGAGAAGACCTCTATTAAAGTCAATTCAGACCATAGACTGTACATAGAATGGACAGCGTCTGCCTCCTTGCTGTGTGAAGCCACTCCGAAAACAGCATCCTCTGTTGACGGGCTTATGGGGCTGTGGACAAACTTTAGAAATTTATTACACAGAACATACATTTTTCTCCCCCCTGCTTGCGGTGTTGACATGCAGTTACAGTAAGACTGGTTTTTGCTCGAGTCCTTTTTTTTCTTTGAAGCTCCGTTTTTAAAAGTTATTAGGGGGTTCATGTTTTCTATGATTGACACTTAATACAGCCTATTGGCGTTCAGGCATTGTGTAGCTCACCCAGGGGCAGTGTTGTTTTCTTTGACAATGACGTTGACGAAAATATTTCGTCGGCGTCATCGTCAATGAAAACAACATTGCAGAATATATGCTTAGCGTTTGCTAAACTCATGAATTTTTGCAATTCTGTTCGTCGTCCACCACTAAGGTTTTCGTCTAGTCTCGTCAACGTAAACGCACATTTGTCTCGTCACATTTTAGTCATCTAAGACTTATGTTTAGCTCGTCAATGTCACGTCTTCATAATGGAAAAAAAGGTGCAGTGACGAAAACAACACTGCTTGGGGGGTACGCTGTTTGAGCCGAGCGTCATCACAGCGACTCTCGGCAACTCCTGCTGAATGCGTACATCGCTACTGTGCAGCGCTGGTTTCAGGAAATGAAGAAAAATCCCGGAAATATCGAGAGCTTTTTGGCAGTAGGCGGAACCAAGTTGTCCATAGTATATACAGTCTATGATTCATACTTAGATTAGGGGCTGCCAACAGTTTTCTTTGCATTAAAAGTGGAGCACATTTTCTTTGGTTAGTATTTTAAGTTGTAGGAAATGAGTAGGAAACTATTATATACTTAATAGTTTCCTATTACATAAAATTTTGGCTTTGGACAAACATCCATTATTTTACTCCTTTAATTTTTTTACTCCTCATAAAATGAACTTTTTTCAAGACAGTCAAATGTTTAAGCTGCACCTGTATATCTGGTGTTTTAATTAACTTTAAAAAAAAAGTCAGGATAAAGTTTATGTGATGTTGACAGTCTAAAATCCTCCACCAATCTCAAAGTTCTGGCCCAGTAGGTATTTATTTTGTGTCTTCTTTTCCCAGTTTAATCTACCATCATGGTGAACCAGGTTCAGCAAAGAGACGGCAGCTGGCAGCCGTGCAAAAGCGACTCCAGTGGGGCCAGCAACAGTGGCGGCGAGAGCTCCAAGGAGAGCTCACGGTGCTCCACGCCAGTGCTAGATGCAGACCGAACAGACAGACTGCGGGACAAGATGCGGAGGAGGATCGAGTCTGGAGACCGCTGGTTCTCATTAGAGTTCTTTCCTCCCCGCACCGCCAGCGGAGCCGTCAACCTCATCTCAAGGTTTGTGCAACCCAACAAGATTTAGTTTGAGGATTCTCTGCAGGAAGAGATTTGAACTTAGTAGAAAAACAGTGAAAACTTGCATTTGCTAATTACTCCAATACGATTCAAATGTCACATGATTATGAGATAAAAAGATAAACTTATAACATGTTTCTGGCTTAATGTTCACTTTTTTAATCCCGTGACCATGACTTTTTAATCTTCCAATATTACTATATTACTTTATCAAAATAACATTTTTGGTCGTAATGAGGACTTACTTTGTCCCACTCATGACATAATCCCATAACTCTGACTTGATACGACACAATTTTGACCCACATTTTAATCATTTAGACATTCTTATATTGAAATTTTATCTCTTAATAAAGACTTCAAACTTTGGTTTAAATTGTTTATCATAGTTTTGACTTGTCATCTCAGTATTTGATTGTTCGTGTTATTTTTATCCCATTATTATGCTGTTTATCTCACAACTTTTAACTATTTATTCCATGATTGTAACTTGTACATCATAATTGTGACTTTTTAAAACCTTAAACCTAAAGTCTAAGTGTTGCTCCAATCATCATTCAGTTTTAGTTTCCTTTACTTTTGTCTGGGCTTTCGTAGAAACAAGCTTACACATGACCAAAGAATTCAGCAGAAAATTGTGGGTCAGTCCTGCTCAAAAAATCCCAGACAAGTAGCTTTATGAGGCTTTATTCAATCCATGCTTTAAAACTTTAGAGCTATTAGTTTGTGGTGACATATTTTCATGCATGCCAAAGGTGCTTACTGACTCCAAGAAAAGATTTTTCTACATTTACTAAACCACACCCTCCTAATGTCTTCTGTCCTTTTTCTGCAGATTTGACCGTATGGGCTCTGGAGGCCCCCTCTTTATAGATATCACCTGGCACCCAGCAGGAGATCCGGGCTCAGATAAAGAAACCTCATCCATGATGATCGCCAGCACAGCCGTAAACTACTGCGGGCTAGAGAGCATCCTGCACCTGACCTGCTGCAACCAGACCAGAGAAAAGATCAGCAGTTACTTAGCCAAGGCCAAACACCTGGGCCTGAAGAACATCATGGCTCTGAGGGGAGGTAAGGAGAGGTTTAGAATCTCATGTCTCAAAACAGCTCAACCTGGAGTGTGTGAAGTAGATTCAACATCAGGATGGCAGATTAAAATTATGGTCAAATATTCATGTTTCATATTCGGATGTCTCTGCAGATCCTGTGGGAACAGACTGGGAGGAAGAGGAGGGAGGCTTCAACTTTGCCATCGACCTCGTAAAACATATCCGATCAGAGTTTGATGACTACTTTGACATCTGTGTTGCTGGTTCGTTTTCCTGCCTCCACACCACCAGTAACAGAGAGTTGACCTGAGGAATCAGTCAGTGATTTAAGTTTTCTCGTTTCCAGGATACCCGACAGGCCACCCTGAGGCCGAGAGCTACGAGGACGACCTTAGACACCTGAAGGAGAAGGTGGATGCTGGAGCCGACTTCGTCATCACTCAGCTCTTTTTTAGAGCCGACACTTTCCTTAAGTTTTTAGACGACTGCAGAGCGATCGGTATCACGTGTCCCATCTTACCTGGAATCTTCCCCATCCAGGTAAATCACTGACACATTCTACAGAGATCACAGATGCAGTTAAGACAAACATATGTCTACAGCCAACCTGTGAATTAGTGCCTTTGAAGATTTGATCTTCATTTTAATGGCCTAAAATGATTTCAACTAGCTGGAAAATGATGTTTGTATATTTCTATAGAGATCAACCAAAGAAAGTATAACAGGAAGAAGCTTCATTTCCTTTTTGAAGAGAAAAACAGCTCCTGTTCTTTTGCACCATTGGGCTGACATAGTGTGTTGTTTGAAGTCCTCATGTTGCATCAGCTGTAAACAAAATAAGTTGAAAAACCTGCACAGGAGGAGTTGACCAAATATTGGGGGTGGAAGGTAGTTGTTTGTACAATTCTTTCAAAGCTGCATTCTGTTAAACATTTCAGGGGGGAAAAAAAATTCTAAGCTTCTAGATACAGAAACTTTGAGGACAGTTAAGGGTTTTTTGGGGGAAATATGATGAATTATAGTCAGTCAGTTTTAGATTTGACTCACTCAAATGTTTAATAAACTTCCTCACAGCTTAGTGTGTTTAGAGTCTGGTGTCATAAAAGCCTAAAAACATTGTCACACTAAGCAGAAATGCAAACAAATCTACTTTGATGGTTTACCCATTTTTCTCTGTAGGGTTATCAGTCTTTGCGTCAGCTCGTCAAACTGTCGAAGCTTGAGGTCCCAGAGGAGATAACTCAAGTTATCGAGCCGATCAAAGATAACGACGCTGCAATCCGAAACTACGGCATCCATCAGGCGGTGGAGATGTGCCGAGTGCTGCTGGACAGCGGGAAGGTGCCGGCTCTTCATTTCTACACCCTGAACAGAGAGGTGGCCACCATGGAGGTGCTGAGACAGCTGGGTCTGTGGATAGAGGACCCCAGGTCAGTCTGTTCACAGCAACCATAGCAACCATTTAGAAGCAGTTAAAGCTCCTGTGAGGAATTTTTGTCCAACTTTGAATTTATGTAAATTATTATGCATTTTTCAGACTCTATACTTCTTTTCTTACACCTCTTTAATAGCGTTACATGATTTTCAGGCCAAAAGAAACCTCCCATTTCTCACTCTGATGTATCAAAATATCATTATATCCGTCTCTGTCTGAAAAGCTTCATTTTAGCTGCTGTCTCTTTAATCCCAGATAACCCAGAAGTCTTTGCTAGTTTCGTAGAGACTCATCAGTCATTATGATTCACAGTAGGTCAGTATTTTTAGAGCTTGTTTCTTCTTTATCAGACGGCCTCTCCCATGGGCTGTGAGCGCCAATCCAAAACGAAAGGTAGAGGATGTTCGGCCCATCTTCTGGGCGTCCAGACCCAAGAGCTACATCTACAGAACCCAGGACTGGGATGAGTTCCCCAATGGCCGATGGTGAGCTCAGTCACAGGACAACTCAGCGGTTCAAATCCTCCAAACCTAAATTTCAGTTTCCTTTATTTGGAAAAAAAAGTGTTGAATAAGCTTTCATAAAACTTTTTCTTCAGGGGGAACTCTTCGTCTCCGGCGTTCGGCGAGTTAAACGACTACTACCTGTTCTACTTGAAGAGCAAATCCTCCAAAGAGGCTCTGCTGCAGATGTGGGGCGAGGAGTTAATGAACGAACAGAGCGTGTTCGAGGTCTTCACCTGCTACATCTCAGCACAACCAAACCACAATGGACAAAAGGTAGACAAAGGCCTGATCCACAGGAATGACAAACCATCATGCATGATATATTTGTTTGAAGCACAGATTATCTTTCTAATCTGAGAGGAGATTAGTAGGATGTCTTTTACCTAAAACGGGGATAACAGATACAAAACTTTAATAACCCTGATATCATTTTAACTTATTTCGTTTTAAGTTCTGTACGCAGGGTTGATTAATCAGCCTTTCAGGAATGTGTCAGTTGTTTTAAAGTTTTTATTTGCACAAAAACCTGTATATAAAACAATATTTCCCCGCCTATCAGGTGAAGTGTTTGCCGTGGAACGACGAACCTCTGGCCCCAGAGACAAACCTGCTGAAGGAGGAACTGGAGAAGGTGAACAGACGAGGAGTCCTGACCATCAACTCACAGCCCAACATCAACGGGAAACCCTCCACAGACCCCATCGTGGGCTGGGGGCCTGCAGGAGGATACGTTTTTCAGAAGGTAGGACAGCTTCTTGTTCAGGGGGAGCAGCTTATTTTTCTGTGATGCATTCCCTGAATCATCTCATTTTTACACCAACAGGCGTATTTGGAGTTCTTCACCTCCAGTGAAAACGTTACAGCTCTTCTCAAAGTCCTGAAGAAGTACGAGCCGCGGGTCAACTACCACATCGTTAATGTTCATGTAAGTTTGAACAGAAACTCTTCATTCTGTGTTTGTGTTTGCACGTTTACTAGTAGAACATCATATGTGTGTTTTGTGTGCAGGGACGAAACCTAACCAACGCCCCAGACATGCAACCCAATGCCGTGACGTGGGGAATATTCCCTGGCAGAGAGATTGTTCAGCCCACTGTCGCAGACCCTGTCAGCTTTATGTACTGGAAGGTGAGACTGAGCCGGATAATGAGCCTGAGAGTGATTCATAAATATTCAGCCTGTATCCTCAAGGTTTTATCAGAAGACAAAAGGGTTTTAGAGTTGAACTGTGTCATTAAAGCCAGTATGATTGAGGGTGCAGTCAGTTTCCTCCTTAACGTTTTCCTGTTACGACTTCTTCTATTCTTCAGGACGAGGCGTTCGCCCTGTGGATCGAGCAGTGGGCCAAACTCTATGAGGACGAGTCTCCTTCACGGATGATCATTAAGTACATCCACGATAACTACTTCCTGGTGAATCTGGTGGATAATGACTTTCCTCTGGAGAATTGTCTGTGGCAGGTCATCGACGACATGTTTGAGCTGCTGGACGCTCCTCCAGAGCCGCTAGACGCTCCTCCAGAGCCGCTCAGCGACGGCACCGTCTCTGAATAAACAGATTTTTTTTTATGACGCTAAGGAACTGTTTAGATTTATGCACCGTCAGAAAAAGCTGCTAAATGACAGTTTGAGTAAGAAGTGTACTTATGTACTTAACAGTATTTCGCAAAAGTTTTTATAAATGTTCTGAGTGAATGGAAAATGAAGCTGCACTGTCTCACCTGAACACAAACTCATTTCGATATGATTATCTCTCATCATGTAGCACTCCGAGTGGAAGCTTGACCTAATTTATTCAGATTATCATGAACGGATTATGGAATTACAAGAGACAGAGTGAATGTCAGCATGTAAGAGACTTCAATTTTAAAAACTATTTTTCATGGAGGTAAAAATTACACATTTGTCCTTTTTAAGGGGAAACGTACTGTAGAGATATTTTTAAGATGTTTGAACTGCTGATGATTTTATGAACCACAAAGAAAAGTTACATTTTTAACTGACTGCCTTAACGTGTTAAAATGTTGATGGTATTTATTTGTCTTCTCGGCTTTCTAAAGCTCATTAAACCATTTTTAGAAATGTACCACAGAGAAATATGAGTCCAGCATCTTTCTTTGTTATTCCTGAATGTGAGGTGACTGAGTTCAGGGTGAAGCTGCTCGACTACACGTACAAAACCTGGATTGCAGGACTTTGTAGCAGCCCAGTGATATGGCAGGGGGGTTTCACATGAGATAACTGTCTGAAGCTGAATATAGAAATCGTAACCATGCATCTTTACGCTGTAAGGTCAAGGAGATAAGTCCAACCACTGCACACACACTGGAGCCCTTACCTTGACCTCAGTCTGCCCACCAGGTCAGAGATGGTAAACTGTAGACAACCAGATGACTTTCACCTTTATCACAGAGACCTGGTCCTGCAATCTGTGCACCAGCAGCAGAGCTGGTGGGAGCATCTCTGAGCAGTAGAGCTTTGCTAATAAACTTAAAACAAGTTCTGTTCACCTTGTCTGACCTTACCTCTGATGGAAGGATGAATTTGTTGTGCTACTTTGGCATTGGAATAATAAAAAAATAATAATCACGCAACCCTCATTATCTGTGACAGATATCTCAGAGCTCAACATGAGGTGTTTCAGACTGTAAGGTGAAAGTTCAACAGTCATGAAGTTGCTGCAGTGTTAAACTCTGACAAAAGTGTATGATGAGTTCTTTGCTAGCAGCAACGAACCGCCAGTACCTCTGGTGGTAGGACCTATCTATGTGGACGTGCGTCGCACAGCCAGAGGATGATAAGGCCTCATTCTTCACCTGCTGTCATGCGTATTTCAAACTTAAAAACTCATGACCTTCAGAGGATCTTTAGTGAGTTCAGTTACCATGACATGCTGAACTTTGGTAGATATCGCTGGATTGTTTGAGAGTGGGCTTTACTTGAGTCAGTGGTCAGATAGTTTTCTTCCTCCCTAACTCAATTTTGTGAGTCATGATTGCTTTTTGGTTTTACAGCACAAAAATCCTCCAAAACAGACTTTATAAAAAATGACTGCAATTCACAAAGTTTCTGAAAAACAGACCTCATCTTTTTTTCTCTGTCTCACTCATTAGATCATCAAGTCTTTTCGAATTTCAACTATATTTAAATCAGCCCACAGGAATTGAATACAATACCCTCTGGCCACTGAAGGTGTTTGGTATTAAAAAAAACACAAAGAAACACTTTCATTATGTTTTATTTACTACAATTAAACACTGTACAGTTGAACTGCAGTTTACAACATTTTCATAACATACAAATCCACCCATTGTTCATTTACTTTGTAAAAAAAAAACGAACTCCTGTTTAGATGCTTATGAACCATAATAGAAATAAGTTTATTCACTTTTACAGCTTGCTAGTTGCCTAATCCTTCCTATTAATGAAGAATAGAATGATCTAAAAATTTAGTCTCTGAACAAACTGTTACAGACAGAGAAAAATATGTATGTACACAAAAGCTCTCTATATTAATAATTTTGTAGAAAACATTGTTCCCTTTACAAATATGCACTTATTTGAAAGGTCAAAATGAAAAACAGTTATTTGTAAATCTAAGTTTTTATAATCTGTAATAACTACTCTTCCTTTTTAACCCCTACAGTTACTTCTGCTGTTATTTTGTTGAAAATAAAACAAAAATAGACAACCTCTAACACATAAATCTACATGAAAATTCATACTGCAAAGTCCAGTGTTATTGTATTACACTTGTGCTGAATGGTCAAGTCCATAAAAGGTCAGTAGTTGAAACATTTTACAACTCATGTGAGGATTTTAAGCAGGTTATTTAACAGATGGATATTGTTGCTGATGCCCTTTTGGACCCACAAAAGCAAGTGGGACCACCAGACAAAAGACTGACTATTAACTTGTTGTAAATCAAGCCCAAAACAGCTACCACAGAGCCAGGGTCATTGCAGAGATATACAGAACTCTGCAGAAATACTTTTTAAATTACATTTCATGCAGTAAAGATGGTTGATAACAATACATTTTTACTGTTCTAATGAGATTTTTGATAAAATAGCTGTACTTACGCCTACACAGTGAGTACTGCTCTTTCCACAGGGGGGCGCCATAGTGATACAAAATAAAAAATTCCTGAAGTTTTAATATTCTGTAAGTTTAAAGCTAAAATTGTTCCTTAGTTTCAGTCTAAACAAACAGTTACTTATATTTACATGCTAAAAGTTTGACTCAGAGTCAAAGCAGCTTTTTACAGCTGAATATCTCATCATTATGAGAAGCTAGGGGTCAAGTTTCCTTCCAACTTTAGTGCAAATCTTAACCAAATCACCAGAAAATTGGCAAAAAAATTCTACTTTTACTCAACCAACTCCTTATAGTCAGATATTAAAGTGTTTAGATAATAAATAGAGTCAATTCTGAAGTAAATGTTGTCAAATTGTGACAGAAGAAGATGACACACAAGAAGAGGTTGTAAAAAGTGCTTTAGCCAAGCTCAGATTGATTCAAACAAGTGAAAAACATGATAAAATATGACTTTTCTGTCACAGCACCTCTTAAGTTCAATGTCGTTGGCTCCTCAATGATTCTCATAATACATTAATATTTACTCACTTGGTTCATGTACAGTGTACTTATTAAAGCTTGTCTCTATTGCACTTTGTCCCTTTTTGATTTCAAGGACACCAATACTTTACTGCAAAGTTGTTTTAAGTGTGATTTCCACTTTTTGTGAACATACACGGTGAGTATTTTTGTGCAAAAATGTTTTTTTTTTTTCCACATTAAAAACCATAAATTTTTCACTATCTTAACCCACCCTGCTTTTCCTGCCAACAGGTAACGCTCAATGTAAACTCTAAGTTAAGAAGCAGTGCAGGTTTTAGTGGCCTCTAGTGGCCAGGAGGCAGATTGCAGCCAGCTAATAACCACTCATCCCAAACTTGCTCCCTCTTTATACCTGTAAATGTGCCAAAATTACCCACTGAGCATTTTTTGGTCTAAAAGAGGTCCAATAGGTGTCTAAATGTAGCCTAGATGACTGGTCTAAAATCAGGCTACCACAGGTCGGAAAATGAAAGTTTTTTAGACGTCTAAATTTAGACCAAGTTTAGACCAAGTCTAAATTGGCACTATATTTATACTACACTTTATATTGCTTAACGGCTATCATAGTTATTTTGGTTTAGTACTTGGAGATCAGTTATGCAACTCACTGTTGCTTTTTGAAATAAATAGTTATTGAATAATGAGTTAAAGTGCAACGTCTAAATTCTAAAAATATACAGAATCTAGATGATTGAAATTAGTTCTAAAAAAGAAAAATCACATCTAATAGCCATTTATTGCTCAGTGGGTACTCAAGCAACAAGATGTCTGACTCATCCAAAGATTTAAATCCCTACTAAGATTTAAAAAACACAGCAATTCCTGATTTTATGTGATAAAACATAAATTCAAAACAACCTTGTATGAATATTATGTTTCTGCTGATAGATTCTCTGTTGCACTCTGGGCCTTTAATTTGAAAAGCATATGGGTGTTTTTAAAGTGCTGAGAACAGACTTCCTCGACTGCACTCTGCTCCTGTATTTACAAACACAGTCAGCCTCAGTCAGATCATCCATCTTTTTAACAGTCTGCTGGGAGACTACAGCTCTTATGTAACTCTAACACTGCTGCACAGATGTGGGAAAAATGACAGTATTGGTCTAAAAGTTTACCCCTGGTGTGAATCATAGCCTTTGCTGCACGTGTATGTGAGCATGTCCGGTGCCTTTCAGAGGTCAGGGTCTTCCCCTCGCAGGGTGTTGAACTCTTCAGGAGCAGAGTATTTATCTGCACTGTGACCCCCTGACTGACGGAAACCTGCTGCAATCCCATCAAAGGTGCGGCCCTTTGTCTCCGGCACCTTGAAGTAGGTGAACACAAAGAAGCCAAGCAGCAGGACGGTGAAGATGATGAAGACGTATGGGCCACAGAGTTGCTGCAGGGGTGTAAAAGTAAAACATGAAGAAATGTTATTACGTTATGCTCACACAGCTGCCATTTCTCTCTGGAATAACACTCAGTGGGATGCTCAAAGTCTGTTAGCTGTGCTGCTGTGTTTCAGGCAAGCAACAAAACCCAGTGTTGAAAAATGAGCGGGAATACAAAAAGCTGCAGTTCCTCTGCTGTCCACTTGGAGCTGTCCTCAAAAGCCAAGCAATCCCCATTAAAGACAGTATTGGAATATTTACTTTTACAGCAGATACTTTTACAGCCTTGAGAGTAACACAAAAGCACACTGAGACGTTCTTAATGTTGTTAATTCTAGTTAGCTCTATGGCCTTTTGGTGACTTTACATGTGGCTACTCTAAACCCCTAAAAAAATGACTTCTTGTTTGTAGCAAATAACTGGACGGATATAGTGGACATAGTATAAGACAAAGTAAAGACTTGTAAGTTTTACAGAAAAGTGAGGTTAAGATCTCTGAGTGAACAAAATTAAGTAGAATTCAGTAAACAAGGTGGGGTTGGAAACATGACTTTGCAGAAGTAGAAACTTCTTAATTCCAGTGGATGGCATTGTCACTTTTGAAAACAGATCAAATAGGTATGTGTTCAAGCTGGGTCCCTAAAAGCACAGGAAACTTTTGAAGATATTTTGAATGTTAGCAGAGCTTTAACACATTGAAATGTAATGGCGGGAAATGAAAATTCACAGTTACACCAAACTCTGATGTATTTCAGCTATTAGTTTACAAACAGAGACCAAACTTACAGGTGAAACATCACTGTCACAGCCCTGATATCAAAGAACAAAAAACTCCTTCTGCCTGTTAACTTACTTCTTACTGCAAAACTTAAGCACTCTGAACAAAGTAACTCCAGGATGAGTGCCTAATATTGACCCAGCTTTTTTTTGGAAAACACAACCCAAATTATTAAAATAATGGAGTATTAAATCAAGTTGCTGCCAATCTCATTGTACATGAAGAAGCATCTGTATGAAAGTGATCCTATTTTACAATCAGTTAAAACTGAATCAACACCATGAGAGAATAATGTTAATGTCCTACATAAAAAAATGTCTTGAAATAGAAGCTTACCTCAACATACTGGAAACCCATTCCCACGATGAAGTTTGCAGACCAGTTACAGAAACCAGCAACTGCAATTGCAGCAGGCCGAGGTCCCTGACTGAAGAGCTCAGCCACGATGAACCAGGGGATGGGCCCGGGACCAATCTCAAAGAAGGCTACGAAGCAAAAGATGGCCGCAATGCTGACGTAGGACATCCAGCTGAAATGATCCTGATAAGACAGAGAGATGTTCGGTCATTTATTTCAGAGCCTGGTGGATCAAGTAAAGATGATTACAAATACTCACCAACAGTGCCATAGCAACGGTCAGGAAAACTGCAGAGATGGCCATTCCCATCAGACCAATGAGGTGAAGAGGTCTCCTGCCCATCCGCTCCACCACAAACAGCTGCAGGGAAGGAGAGATGGTGACTTCAGACATCATGTTGACCACATGCTGGAGCTCAGCATCCTTTTAAAGGTCCATTTGTGACTTACAGACACCACAGTGAAGGCCGTATTGACCACTCCTGTACCAATAGTTGCATAGACCGGCTGGGACACGCCAGCTCGATGGAAGATCCCAGTAGAGTAGTAAAACACCTGGAGAGGATGATGAATGACAGAATTTGGATACATGCATGTCTCCTCTAAGCTAACCCTGTCATTTCTGGAATTTTCTTTGAAAAGTGCACACAGGGGGATATATTTATCCTCTTTCTCCAGGATTAACTTTCTCCTGGCTGCAGCTATTAAAGCTGACCAGTTTGTTGGCTTATTTGTAAGAAGTGATGCCAGGATTTCTTGGATTCATACCAACCAGCAGAGTTTAGTTACATCTATCTCTGCCAAGTTTTAAAAGTCACCTGTCAACATAAATCTGGCTTACTACAGAACTTGGAACCCTAGTTAAACTTATTTAGCCAGATATTGTTGAGGAGAACTCCAAACACTGCTGGGTTAATTACTTCATGTTACAGATTTGTAAAGTCTTCATAGGCTTTTTAGCGTTGGCCTTTTTAGAGAGTTTAACAGACTGAAGAGCCTCCTTTTCCATGTTTAAGCGGGTAAAATTCATCATTTATCTATTGCTTTTTTTCCTGTATTGTTGTTTTGTGAGAGGACAGCACTTTGCTTTGGGCTTTTGCATGCACCCAGTGTATCTGCAGTGTTTGAAAAGAAGAAAAATTAGCTTTATGCACTTTCTTGCTTCAGCATGGCCCTGACAGTGAAGGACCATTTGGGTCTTGTGACTTACAGCATTGATACCAGACAGCTGCTGTGAAAGCTGCAGCATGATGGCCACAAAGATGGGCTGCCTGTAGGCTGGAGAGCGAAACAGCTCAGGAATGGTCACTTTCTTCTCCCTCATCATCTGCTGGCTCTCCTCCTTCATCTCATGCATGTCCTCGCTCACCTCGTCAGTACCCCGCAGCTTCACCAGGACTGAAAAACACAAGTTTAACTTAGTTACATCAACCTGGAGCAGGATTTATAAAAATGTGACACATAGAAGGTACAAGTCATGGTCGGAAGTATCAAGATATATCATTGAGGACTTTATTTATGGTTGCATGTTTTGCATGATGTGTGTGTCCATTGTGAGTATATCTCACTGCTGCGAGCTTTGGTCTCCTCATTGCAGTTGATGAGCAGGTATCGGGGGCTCTCAGGGCAGAGGGGGAGCAGGATGCACTGCAGCACAGCTGGCAGCAGCGTGAAACTCAACAGAAGGGGCCACAGGGTGGAGTTACCCATGATGGCTTCGATTCCAAAGATCTAAAATACAGACACAATATGCTGCTTACCCACACTGTATGCAACACTGTGCAATACACATAAAACTAGATTTGTTACAGATCATAGTCAGGATACTCAGCAGCTCCCTCTGTAATAAACAGATCAGATCAGCTTCTTACCCCTAAATAGGCACACCATAAAAGTAAAGTTTGTTGGTCAGTTCTCTACAGGAATTGATCACATAAAGTCTATATTCATTCACTAGCAATTTGCTAACAACAACAAGATGGAAAGATTGGGCATCATCTAAAGTGTTTGCTCTGTCCTGCGGGAAAAAAAAATGTGCTGATTAATTTGTCAAGATCACCAAACTGCTGGTGCCTGCCCATGCCACGTTTGTTGTTTCTGCAGACTTTCACAACATCAAGTTCTTGCCGACAGCCTAAATCTTATAAATGTCACAAGACTGAGCCACATCCATATTTCATGTGTAGGTAGGAAATATTGTCCAGGATGGGCTGGACTTCTCTTGCTCCCCCTGTTACTCTTAAGTCATCGTACATCAATCAAAAAAATCTGCAAAACTCTTAAGTCAAATACAAAATGCAAAATATAAAGACCTGAAAAAGTGAAAGACAATGACTGTCTATGTTCTGCAAAGACACTTGACCTGAAATCACCAATTTTAGACATGTTGGTTGCAACCAAGTGAACAAGCTTAATTGGCAAAATTTGACATCTCATTACCATCTCAATACATTGCAACAGACTTCTCATTAGCAAAACTTCTTTTCTTGCTCTAACTTACAGTCTTGGAAAGGTTTACGAGCACTCAATAATCTAATTATGGTCAATTATCAGACTAAGGCTTTACTCGTATTAAGTTGTTTACACAGGTTGCTTTTACGAACTCACTTCGAGCACAGGAAGTTTCTTTGCAGACTAAAGGTTTAATCCTTCGAGACGGACCAGCAGTGAACAAACCCAATCAAAGCAAACTTCATTTCTCACCGAATTTAGTTACAGAAAGGTTTACAAAATGACAATACAGTTGCAAAAAAAAAACTCTGTTGCATGGAGCAACAATTTGGACAGTTGGCAGGACAAAATTTTACAGCCAAAATCCATTTTTAAGAAACACATGCTGTATGCAGTGCCAGGCGGCTCTTTGGATTTAAATATCATTTCTCCTCATGGGTTACACAAAGTTTTGTCAATGTCTGATTTCTGTCATGATTACACAACATTCAATTAGCTGCCTTCCAGACAGAGTTGGCCGAAAAACAAATTTAGGCCGCATTAATCCCCAACTTACAGGGTTACTATCAGGTAGGTTTGAGGTGATGGGTTAGTAGAGAGCACAGTTAAGGTGATCATTTTAGGATTTAAAGTTTGTTGGGGTCAATGACTTTGTGATTTCATCTCCAGTGATAATATGTGGCTGTATGGCCTTGGTAGCCCCCCATGCAGCTCACCTGTGGTAAAAACCCACTGAGGAGCTGCTTTTTTGTATTTCAAAATACAAACCAGGGATTTAAGCAGGTCGTACGGAAGGCTCAGGCTATATCCGATTGTCCTGATCACTCCCTGCTTAGTGAGTTTGAGCTTCTGCCTCCAGGCCATAGATACAGAGCTCCTGCTCAGAGGACCAAAAAATACAAAGCCTCTTTTCCCTGCTCAAAAATGATCAGCCTGAATTTGCACGTCATGCAGCAACCCTCGGCTACTTCAGCTCCGTTACCATCTCCAATTAGAAAACAACACTTTCTTATCCGTGTTGAATGAGATATGCCCTGCGGTGTACCTCACCTCTGTTTGTCAAACCCTCATTCATTGAATAAATTAAGTACACAGACTGATAGTGGCTCTTTAAAACAGGATTTGTCCTGTACTCTTGCTGCCAAGTATCACCTCGTATGCTTGTGGTGAATGCTTAAAGAGCTGGCCCAATTTTGGCAAGTTGGTGGATAATCTCAAGCCCTAACGGGACCTGGTGTTACAGTAAAACTTTATCCCCATGTCGCTAATACAGAATCTGACAAATCATTGCAGGGACACATGTACCTCAACAGCTAAAGTGTGCACCCCATAAGAGGCTTAGTCCTTGACCCAGCAGCCTGGGTTAAACTTTGATCCTCACTGACCCACTGTCTCTTCCTGTATATCAAACTTTCCCCAAAGTCAGGATGAGAGTGCACACCACAGCTTTCTGCAGAGATGCATGGAGATGCTTTATGGATCGTTTGAGTCTCAATCAAATGCAAAACAGGAGCAAAGTGCAAAAAGCTCCAGAACTTTGTGAGCATTTTCATGGTTGAATATCACTGACACAATCTGCTTTGTAAATTATAGTATCAGACAGAGCAGGCGGAAAGAGCAGATGATGCACGATTTCCGGTGCACTAGGTGGACTTGATCAAATCTTAGTAAATCCCCCATATATTAAAAAAACAATCAATGCCATCCACCAAAATCTAACTCAACAAAATGCAACAAATTGACCATGAGCCTCATTGGTGCATAGACTGTAAATCAAACCCTCCAAGTCTTACTCATGAGATGTTTTTGCCTTCATCACTAAGGCTAGAGATGTAAAGTATTTGCTATACAATCTTGCATTAACTTCCACAACTGACTGGGTCATGACTTAATTGTTCACAAACTTGACTAAACTCTATAAGTCCTACTGGAGTATACCTTTAGAGGGCAAATCATAACCTCGTGCATATACCTGATTGTGATGACCAGTGGTCTGAACACACCATCGACACTGCCCCAAGTGAGTTCTCCTCTAGATTTTAGCATCAAACTTTCCTTTCCCCAACTATTTTGACAGACATCTTTGCAGAAATTGTGCACATGTGTTCAAAAGCATGTGTATCCTCAGATTAAGACAACAAAATCTCACAGTGGGCAAAACAGCTCTTGTATTTTGGTGAAGCCATGGGGTCTTTTGGTGGCCCATAAAAGATGACGCCCAACTGCCATAAATGCAACCACCAATGAGCAAAAAGAAATGATTTAATTCAATTGAAAACCTTGATTTATTCTCCAAAGGACACTTACATTTACTTAATTTCCAATACCATCAAGATTTCATGCGATTGAGGCCACTATCAAAGCCTTCAAAAGGTAAATTAGGTACCATTTGGTTTCAAGGCGGTCCAATGCATCAATAATGATTATAAATGTACTTGGGAGTCTGAATGTCTCTGCTGGGCAACAATGATTTTGACTGTGAGTTATTAAATTAGTTCTGTCAATGTTCCCCTCTAGAATTTTCAGCATATGAGCAAGGTTATCATGAACATATCACAGGTCAACTCAACCCATTAGCCAAAAATGACACCAACCTTGGGTATTTTGACCCAACAGTTTCCATGGAGATCAGTTAAGGCACAAATTTATCCCATTTTAGATCCTCATCGGACCCTGGTAGATTATTGTAATACTGTATTGTATTATTGATTTTTGTATTATTGTAATACCCAATCCCTGCCCCATGACTATTCCTCTTGGCTGCCAAAGAAGGCCCAAACTTCGATTCATTCAAATCCCATCCAAAGCCCAAACTTGACAAAAATCAGTCTGACCAAAAGTGCTCATATGGGCCCAAGCTTCAAGTATTAAGTGAGAATTTTCATAGTTCCAATTTCTTTCATTGGCCCACATGCAGGTGAAGCTTCCAGTAATATTGTCATATGATAAAACTGACCTCTTGGCCAGGTCACCCTTGTGAAAGTGACCCTGATCTCATCGGGTTTTATCTGGCTTTGTAAAAAGAAAATAAGAATAAAATAAGAATACTAGAATTATTGTGTCAGTCAACAGCTTCCACAGGTTGGTACATGCGCTCACCTGTGCGAGGAGGATGCCAACCACCACACCGAGCTGATGTAAAGTGCCCAGCGCTCCACGGATTGACGTCGGTGAGATTTCCTCAACATAAAGGGGCACAAACCCAGTCGAGAGCCCGGAGTAGAGTCCAATGATAAACCGTCCGATGATTAGCATCTCAAAAGAACCAGCCAGTTTGGAAAAGCCCATAAACGCAGCAGCAATAAAGGCGAGCACGTTGGCCATGAGCATGGAGTTCTTCCTTTAGAAACAGAAGAGCATTTATAAACAGTCTGTATGTAAACTTCATGGAATGATGAAGAAAATCCAGAGGAGGAGAGACTTACCTGCCAAAACGGTTGACAAAGAGTCCAACAGAGAAGGAGCCAAGCATTCCTCCTACAGAGAAGATGGCCACAGAGAGTGACCACAGAGCTGTTAAAGTGGTGTGAGAGATGTCCTCTGAAAATCTGTGGTGCCACGTCTCATTGTAGAAGCTCTCAATGATCTGAAACACAAATACAGTGACTCATGAGAGCAATGATTAATATAACTCACTCATTTCAGGTTTTGTTTTTTATTGATACAGTTGTTGATGTTGTTGGTTGATCACTCTGTCTTGACCACTAAGGTCCAGAATGAATCATTTAAACACCTGCTGACTTCAGTGGTCATGATTTCTTCTCCAGGACCATCATAATTTTGTTAGTTTTCATTCTGGGTGGCCTAACTTTCCAGCATTGCAGTGACATTTGATGCAGACTTTCATGAACTGCAAGGGATGAATCCCAATGACTTAGTTGATCCTTTCCATCAAACATAACAATCACTGGTACATTTTAAGTTGGTGAAGAACATACTTTTTTCTCTTCTCTGCATTTAGAACAAACTTCAGTTCAAGCAGTTTATTCTCAGCAAAGTCATATTCATTCTGAGAGTATTCAACAATCAGTAAAAGACAGCAGTACATCACTGTGTCATCGGCGTATCAAGAGAATAAAGCATCTGTTACATTTGGCCCCAAATGTGTCCCCCCACCTATAGTCTCCCTACTGGCCAGCACTCACATTGCTGCTGGCCTAACCAAGTCTGAACAGAATTACTCCTCGTCAACATGTCATCACTAAGTGCACTCTTGTTTACAAGAAGCATGGTGTCAGAGTCAGCACAATGAGCAACAAAACAGAAAACATGGCTGCAACTTAACCAACGCTGTGCCTTATTTTAAGTTACTCACTTAAAGTTTTGGATTCTTTGCTGCTGTTGATTAAAATTACTTGTTCCATTTTATGTTATGTCCACGATGTGTACCTGTTTGTGCTTGTGCATGACCCAGTCATGCTGAAACTCACCTCTACTAACCAGCCCTAGCATAGTAAGACCTACTTCCACTGGTCAAACAAACTGTACCTTCTTTTTTTTTTTTTAAGGATATCTTTCATCAGTTGTTGCCCAAATTAATATAAAATATATCCCATCCAAAGCAGTCTATACTAGTATGTGACGTGTTAGATTACCCACATCACAACACATAAATTCTAAACTGTTTGTGTTGCTGCATTCAACTTGTTCTTTACTTTTAGTCTTTTCTTTGTCAATGCAGAGTACTTCAAACTGCCCCGATGTTGTGAGCGTGCCAAATAATTCAAGCCTTCTTGTCTCTGCCTGACCTATGTGCTTTTCTGTTGTTCAACTACAAGCACAGCATGCTACCAATCTGATAACCTTGAGCTCCTTTATCCGTAATGCCTCCAGCAAACTGCTTCATTATCTCATTAACCCGCTCCTTGTCATTTTAGATTTCTGTCAGACCACCTTCAGGGGCAGCTGACTGATTTAGAAGCTCCTCAGTGACTTAGGAGACAGAGATTAACATCCAAAACATGCTCTGCTGTCAGAATCTAAGAGCTCATTCCTTGAGGAGGACAATTTTGATTTTGTCACAAAATTAACAGTTTGTAGATGTGAGGAGCTTATCAGAAAGAATGAGGAGACTACCTGTAGCTGAAAAATTACCCCAAGTTTCCTGCCAGGTTTGCATAGATAAACAATAATCTGCTTTATTTTCTCTCCAAGATATTTTTATCATCCGCCAAAGAAAATAGAACCAAAGATGTCTTCTTATAGTTTCTTTTTTCCCTAAAAAATAGCTTTCATTAAATAAAGATAACTAGAATCAGAGGTCAATTAATGGTGACTATAAAGAGAAGATGCAGGTTATATTCACTGATAAATACTTACATGCTGTGGGGCGTTGATGACTCCTGTGTTGTAGCCAAACTGTAGCGAGCCAATCACAGCTGTCCCTGCAGCCATCATCAGCTGGGGCGTCACCTGGTGTTAAAACAAAGAAACAAGGCTGAAGGTCTGAATCTCTTATTACCAGTACAGTCTGCAGAATCAGACACATACAAACATTTATAGGTGAGAGTTTTCAGAAAAAGTGTTATTTAAAAAAAAAAAAAGTCACTGTGCTCTGACTGCTGAGATGCTTTTCCCTTTAAAAACATTCCCACTAACACATGCATGTTAAAGTATCTTATTCAGAAAGCACAGCACAGACATATGAGCACCTATCTATCTATCTATCTATCTATCTATCTATCTATCTATCTATCTATCTATCTAAACAGCTGTATTCAGGTCCAGTGTTGTTGCTCCACAATAAGAAGGTTACAGGTTCAGATCCCAGCCTTCACCCTAGTATTGAGTTTGCATGCTCTCTCTGTGCATGTGTGGATTCTCTTGGCAAACATGTACTGGTTCACAAACCATCACTGTGTGGTTTTCTTTGATGATTATTACAAAAAAAATGTAAATCACTTTCTGCAGCCACCTCTGTTACAAGCTCTTTATTCTCTCTACTGAGGTCTATCCTCCATTCTATTCAGGCCACAGGTGCAGCACCTGTAAAATCCCAGCACCAGGAACGGAAAGTTTTGGCTTTAACCACCTAAGATTATTTGAGTAGACCACAAAAGACATGCACAACCATATATATACAAAGGACAATTGTTTTCAATGTTTCAAATTCTGGTGCTGGTCTGAAACAATGCAAAGTGGAACATAATTTAAAAGCCTACAATGCAAAAATTATAACTTGGTGACTGTTTATGACTCATTTCTTGTAAAACATGTTTAGTAACATAGATGAATGTGTGCAAAAGTTAATAAAAAAGTACTAGAGAGTTTCTGTTTCAGTGTTACAAAGGGTAAAGTATATCCAAAATTTAGGATTTTAGAAAGATGTATCTGCAGGGATTCTGCAGAGCCCACACGCTACCCCGCTGATGTGACTGTGTAGAGCTTATAGCTTTCTTTTTATGCACTTTATTTTAAGGTTACCTTGTTTGCAATGTGACTGTTTTTTTCTGGTGATGCAGAAGACACTTGTGCCAATTGTAGTAAAATAAGTGTCTCTTATTTTCTATCTAAAATCCATTTTTAACTCAGAATCAGACTCATCAGTCACAGGCAGAGTGGACTGAACATCTCTGTGATTAAAAACCTTTGGAAACTTTTAACAAAAAGCATCTAATAATTCCATATATATATCATACAGGCTTAGAGCTGAAACAAACTGAAGAAAAATATGTTTTATTGAAGTACACTTACAAAGTAATGTTTGATGCTTCATTGCTTTTCAGATTAACCTTTTACATGCAAAGTAAAAGCAAACTTCCAAATATTAAACAATCCTTAGTTAAAATGTAAAAATGCATGCAAATGGTATTATTGTGCATCACAGCAGGGCCGCATTTCCCTGACAGGACTTTGTTTTTAAGGACTTTTACTTGCTGAAATGAGCAAATTTGAAAACTTTCACAGTCTGAATCCGGCTCACTGAAAAGTATATTTACACATACTAGGAATTTATCTTAGTGTTTAGGTGCTAATACAATTAACACAGAATGACAACAGAGATGAAAATATAAATATATGAGTAGTATGCATAAATAAATTAGTGAAAAGCTTTTGCTACAACTGTCAAGGACCCTGAAATAGGAAAAGATAAAATTATTGAAATGGTTTAAAAAAAATTTCAAATTAGCCATGAGAGTTGTACATTTGTGCAGGAGAACAGAGCTGTTTTGTTCCTCTCTTCTAAGATATATGCGTAAGACAAAAGGTATTTTAGAGATGCCCTGCTGATGGACAGCTTTGTTCACACAATGCAAAGAGTGCAGGGAGGACATTTAAGCAGCTTAAAGCTACAAAAACTTCAGTGGGCACCAAACCCAACATTTGCAGTCTCAGAAAACCTAAGCTGCACATTTTTTTCATGATGTTCGTATTTTTATCCTCTTTCAAAGGCTCATACTCCTCCCAGTTCCAGTCATACTGTTTATTCTAAATCAGTTTTTGTTTACTGTCCTGCACAAATACACACAGATTTCTCACTTTTGTTAACTGAACATTACTTATCTTATCAAAACCTTTAAAATACATATTTTTGATTTGTCTTTGTTGCGTAGCAGAGGTCACCAAAGGTCACCTGCAGGATGTCTGACAGTGCAGAAATCCTTACTTTAACGCATGTTGCTCCCTAATGTAGACTTGAGAGAAAGATTCTATCAGACATAAACAGTATTTGGCATGTGATAAGAATAAAAATGTGTTTAATCTTTGCTCTTTTTTTGATTATGTGTGCTGTGCAGAGAAGTTCTTGCTTTGTGCATGATGTCTAAGTGTAGGACACAGTCCTGTAACGATCACTCAGCTGTTACCTTTCCGCTGCACTCCATCCCGGCCTCCTGGATCACTCACAAACTCCAGACCTCACCTTCAGACTGTGGAATAGATCCTGCTGGTTTTTGTAATCTGTCAGCTTCTCTCAGATCTATTTTCTACAGACACATGTCGTCATGATGCTGTCTGCACTTTCTTTCAGTCCAACATCAATGTAAACAGATCTTTCTCAGTTTCTCCCTCCATTCACCTGCTGCGGCCATAAGCTGCTTACTTACGTCAGCACTAAGTGGATCTTAATGAGCTGGCGTGCATCCAGAGTAGCGCCAGGATCTCTGCACTGATTGGCTGAGGGGGATAATCACAGCAATATGGGCACATGTGTAACAGAGTGATAATAGATCGATAATCCAGGAGTCAGTGTGAGGTAAAAAATCAAAAATGGGACAATTTGAATTTGAAAATAGGAAAATTATTGATATCTTCACCCATGCGTGTTTAGACTGTTTCCACAAGGACGAAACCCAACAGGTGGTCATTATTATTTCCTCAAAAACTTCACTATCGTGGCTGAATTAACTTAACAAAAAAAGTTTAACTGGATGACCAGTATCTTCAAAAAAGTCTTCAGGTCACTGGGCCTGTGTGAACATCACTATTTTTATGATAAAAACCCAGAAACAGTCACCAACTAACCATACTTATGGGAGACTCCTTCAGCTCCTCCTCCTCTACTCTGTGTTGAACACTGACAGTCTCAGAGGTTCATGTGTTTAAAGCAATATCAGGAAAAATCAGGGCCTGAAAGTCCTGAAAAATGTTCAATTTTCAAGGGTTCATGTGTGAACGGGGTTTCATGATATCCACTTGTGTTTTGGTAGTGATGTTGGGATTTTAAATTGAGTGATAGGTCCAGAGAAAAGAGCAAAAAACTCAGTACAAAAGAAATGAGTGTCAGCTCCTCTTTTGCATGCACTCGCCAATTTACTGTGCATTACATACTCTGTTCAAGCAAACCAAATGAGTCAGTGAACCTTCTCCGTGCAGAGTGCATGGTTATCTTACGGCTGCTTAAAGTCTGTGGACATACAGTACAGTAAGCATAAGCAGGGATGGAGAGGATTAGTGGGGGTAATCAGGGACCTCCCGCTCAGTGTTGCCCCCTATTGTGATAATCTGTACCTGTAGTACCTGCAGAAGTACTAATGTAAAACACATTTAAGTAGACAGAAAACAGGACAATAAGGCTGTCACAGATTAATTTTATTGAACCTTTTCTAGCACATATTTTAGTTCAACAGCTTCAAAGGGCTTATTCTTCACACTGTCACACATGGAGTGTATGTGCCAAAACGTCCCAAGACTGTCTTTATCAATTGATTATGGATACTGCCTCTGATTGGTCTACAGACTGTCAAGATGGGAGCCTGTTAATAGCATTGTCAGTTTACTTGAATCACACTATATCACTAAATTTGGATCCAGACAGTATCAAAAAACCCTTTCTATCTATGGTATGTCACAAAAACTCACATATTTCATTCCCAGACAGCTGCCGGTTTCACAGAGTGAGTGGATTTTACAGGGAGTTGGTATGTCATACTGTTATATTTCTAGAGCTAATTTTGTAAACGAAACAATATTTATTTGTATGAAGCAGCCTGTAGACAAAGATGAGCATTTCAGAGTGGTGTTGTTATACTGATCTGCCTCATTATTTATCCAGCATGTTTCATGTTGTAAAAATGGATGCCTACTTCTTTGAGCACCATCTTCTGGGTGAAATAGACAACACTTTGAAATGCCTCCATCCAGGGGCATGTTCATAGGGGTGGCCAGGGGTGGTACAACCCCCTTGAACTCTGAGTGGCCACCCCAAAACCCTTGTTCATTAAATCAAAGAAAGGTAAGCTTTAAACTTTCACTGAATAATTTTTACCACTGGATCAAATAAGTCTGTTTTAGCCACTTATGCAATGGATAGGATAGGAGGGTAGATTAGTGGGTGGTATTTAAAGATAGTTGTTATGAGGAATGTAAAAAAAAAAATACTTTAGGTGTGTGTGTGTGTTTCAGCATATATTTAAGAGTGTGCATGATGGAGAGCTTGTTTCCAGTCTCAGTCTGGAGTATTTGTCCCATACAGGGCTGAGGTAAAGCGGATGGTAATGTGGGGGTCCTTGTCTCTTAGAATCTTGAGAGTAATCAGGAAAATAAGACTGCAGGTTTGAGCTGTTGGGTCGACATGATATGGAGCTGAAGATTTTTATTTATCAAGTAACTGCTCCACTATCTTCACCACCTGCTCCTTTACGGGAGCTGTTTGCTGTTTCTGCAGCAAAACACTAAAAAAAAAAGAAAAAGAAAAAACCTTAAGTGAAACCAAACAATTGAAAACTGACCAGAGCTCAAAACCAGAAAACAATGGCTAAGACGATTAGATAGATAGATATTTCTGTTTGTCAGTCATGACATGAGCACCTTTTAAATCACAAAAACTTGGTTATAACTGACAACTTAATGCCTGTTTTGGATCTTCTTCCTTGATTTCTTCGACAAACCTGACAGGTCCATGCTTTGAATGAAATATTATTTTCAGCTGGATTTAAATCAGGAATCAGTGTGAGATTTTTGCAGTAGCATGTGTTTTCCTATGTCGTTTCTAACATGTGAGGCATAATAACATCCCTGTCTTATTTCACATGTTGGTAAAGTAAATTCACTGTAGTGTTAAATTTACACACAGATGTGAGCAGAAATCTCTCCATATGATCCCTAACTCATCCTGTCATCCCTTTATACACTCCCTAAAACAGTGTGTGTACGTGTGTGTACGTGTGTTTGTGGGGGAGTTCCTCGTGTAAGTCCAGGTGAGATTCCTCTCTCTGTAATCCGCTGGGGACAGTAGCTATTTTTACCACACTCAGTGCAGTCAGTGAAGCCAACATGTGTGATCTGTTGTGATTACTTGTTAACTAATAAAAATGAGGTTTTTCTTAATTCATTCATTAAACTACAAAACTTTTAGGGTCGTCCCACAGTTAGCATTCTCTGTACTTTCTTGCAGCCAACAGGGGGCGACTTAACTGATTGCAAAATAAAGTCTGATACTTTGACCGCGGTATGATCCGTCATCAGGTCAGTTTTCCATGAGAAAAAAAATAACTTTGAAAATGTTTGTTAAATGGAGATTTTTCTGACACAGGTAAGAAAGAGCCTTTCCAGTCAAATCAGGTAAAAATGATCAATCCAAACAAGCTCTAATTAAATTGTACAGTTGAATCTCTAGGAATAAAATCTCATTACTCTGTCTGCAGGGTGTGAATAATAGTGTTAGTATGTCGCATCTTTCAGAGTTTAGTGTGAAGACAGCAGAAAGTGAGCGTCAGTCTCTGCCGAAGATTCCTGATACAGGTCTGGAATTCACTCTGAGGTGTAACAGTCTGTGACACCAAACTACTAGCGGCACAGAGAGGGTGAAAAGTTCAGAGATCCTGTGACATTAGTAAAGATTATCCACAGAGGAAAAGTCAAATCTGAACAAAATATACAGTATGCCAATGTCTATTCAAGGCCACTTTTTCAGTCTCTAGTATTTTGATGTAGAGTTTAAAGAAAAATCAACAACACTTAAGTTCTCTAGTGAACATTTTACTAGTATACAAGCAAAGACATGACACTGAAATTTTGCCAAAAAATGGACAGAACAGCACAAAGTGCTTATTCGGGGTTTAATGCGTTTGTGATTTGGTGCTTCAGCTGAGCACATCCTCAAAAATAAACACAATATGAACACGAGGTGCAGTATGAACATGAAAGGCAGGGAGCTGTGTAGAGACAGATGGGATGCGACAGTGATCATCTGGACTTGCTCAAGAATTATTCACTCACACAAACTTAGACTGAACAGAACAAAGATTTTTTCTTTTTGAGTTAACTTTGTTGATTTCAGGCCTCAAATCTAGCTGTTAGTCACGTATGGCTTAAGCTTTCTAGGGTGCCCTCTACAGGTATCCTCCAGGAAGACACAAAGTCTTGCATATGGACTGCACTTAGGGGTAGGGGTGGGGATAAAAACCTGATTCTGAATTTTTCAAATCCTGAAATCAAGAATGTTTAAGCTTCCTGGGTCTCAAGGGTGCCATGAAGTTAGCCTGGCTGGGCCATCCAGTTGCGTGAATTACTTGCCGTTCCTTCCCACAAATAACCTCCAACTTTAACTTAATTTTTAAAATGTGGAGATTTAGAGCATCAGTGTATTGGTCTTATTGGTTTATTTGGTTTTATTGTTTGCTTTTCTTTTTCATGTCTTTTGTTGTGGGAAGGAACGCCAAGTGATTCACGCAACTGAATGGCCCAGCCAGGCAACAATGAAGTCACATAATGCACTTTAATAGACTGTCTAATAAAGTTTTTGGAGAAATTAACAGTTGATGGGTATTAAACATCACAATGAAGAATCCTGGAGGTCACTTTTTTGCAACAGTGTCTAAAAATGCAAAGTGATCCAAAGTGTGTGTACATTTTACCAAAGCTAAAGATCGAGATGAAGTCAAATGCAGTCTTATACCAAACTAATCTTCTGCAAAATAAGGAAACAACCGCCACAACCAAACACATCAGCACTGAGCATCGAATCAGAAAGAAAATACAGAACCTTTAACTGTCAGTGGCGTCAAACAACTGAGGTGTCATGCGATTATATTGTGAGATTTTCAAGGTCAAGTTGGTAAAATGTGAACCATTATAATGTGAATTATTTCAATATGAAGGTTTTTATGTTGTAACTTTAATTGCTGTAAGGGTGAAGTTATTAGCCAAGCAGCTGAGGAACTAGACTGTTTGTAAAATTGTTCACTTAAAATACTCAAAAAGTGATGCATTTAACTGTCAAAAGTCATCAGGATGATTTTTTTACAAGGCACCACATTAGCAAGCATGGTGAGATAAGCAAAGACCACTCTGTCCACAGGGGGCACCAAAAGTGATACAAACAGAAAGTTTTTGCAAGTTCAAACATGTTTCTTTGTGTGTTTCAGTGTGTGCATTTTAATGTTTTAACTGTGTTGTTGCAGAGCACTTCTACTAAAGACTCCTTACTCTTGGTGTGTCCTTTGCTAAAATAACAATTGGAATTAAAAGGTGAGCTGAACTCTAACTCTCATTAAGGTACGTCCTGCTTTATCAGACACTCTCCCACCAAAAGATTAGAGCCCTGATAATTTTTGCATGTTGAAAATCAATTAAAATGCTTTAGTGATCTGTAAATCACACACTGAGAGGTTTAATGTCTGGAGGAACATTGTTAGAGCGGGCAAACCTCCCTCAAATCAACACACACTCTGCTTTAACGGTGTTCCTGTGTGGAAACAATGCACCAAAATAACCCTGGGAATGTGTGTATCCTGGACCATCTGTTGTTTCAGAGTGCTAGGTTCAGCTCCAGGACTCAGGTCACTTTGGACACTTCTGGGGAACACTGGTTTATACATTTACCTCTGTTTGAAACATTTCCACATTGATCTAATAAGAGCTAGCTTTTTCCAGTTTGCTTTTCAAGCAGCAGCAGCCAGGCTCTTATGCAACACTGCCTATCACCTCCACATATTTCCACTGTTAGCACTGGGAAGAGAGCTGAAACATGGAAACAATTCAATAGGTCCAGTGTGAGTGTGGAGGCCCAGACATTTCCCCACAGACCAATCCATCAGCAGAGGCCTGAGAGAAAGTCACAGTAAACTTTTTAAGAGGAGTGCCTCACATGTGACATCACAGAAACTCGAAACCATCATTTTCAGACGCCCTCCCTCCTCCACGCCTGCCACTGCTGCTGCTGCTCCAACATTTGCTCCTCGCTCCCCCCTCTCCAAACCTCTCCCTCTGCTTCTCTGCTGGGCTCCAAAAACAGGACAGAGTTCCCGTCCTCCCAGACCCAAGCTGCACCTCTGATCCAGGACGAGCTTGCTTGCAGGTTACCCCACTCTTTCCAGGACTCAGCTGAGCTTGTTGCAGCAGGTAAGAGACGCCTTTCTGCATGCCTTTGTGCCTGAGCTGGAGTTTCTGCTGCCACGTGGGTGAGACACTGGAGTAGAGTCTGCTCAGGAAGAGAGAGGGACCATGGGAGAGGAGAGCAGATAGAGCTCAGAGGCTTTTAATTTGAAAGGACTGTTAGACTCATTCAGATCTGCAGATGTTTGCAGCATTTTTTTACAGTTCGCTTACATTTATTTATTCAACATTGACTTAAACTTCATTTCAATCTTAAAAAAAACACCTAAAGCATGGTTATTTGATGTCATTTCAAGTAATATCATCTTTTTAAGTGTCTTTTAGCTTGTAAGTATAAAATTTCAAATGCATTTCTGTGTAAAATAAGTGCAGCATTAAAAGATTTTGCTCCAGTTTTTGCAAAAATGAAATCGCCTCATTATTTTGTCTTAGTTAAACTGAACATTTGAGTGTTTATAAAATTCTGAACAACAGGCCTTAGTTTGTTCGCATTTTCAGATTTTAAGAGAGAAATAAAGAGCCAAACAACAACAAAAGCGAACAGTTAAGGCTTTATCTGTTACTGAGGAGGACAGACGCTCAGCAGTTGCTCACTTTTGAGGGACTTTCTGCGATTGCATATGTAAAAAAAGACGAAAAACTTTTGAGGGAAGGTGACAGGATTACATAAGCCAAATATATCCTCGCAGTCCACGGTTGGGAAAACAGGGCAGGGCCTCACTCAGGCACACATTGTACACTATATGAGCTCCTCTTTCCTCACTGTGTGGTGGTTTCTATAAACTGATCATGCCTGATGAAAACACTGTCTGTGTCTGTGATTTCCAGCCTGTCAGATACTTTACAGACTCTTTGCCGTCTTGAAAAGATGCTTCCAGACGCTGTGTTTACAGTCCAGGCGTTACGACGTGTGTAAATGTCCAGATTTAACATATCGCATGTTGATCGATGAGCTTTTGAGGAATCGGTAGTTTTAGTTTTAAATTCTGGAGAGAGTAAAAGCAGCTGTTACCACCTGATCAGTCTTTATGCTAAGCTAAAGCTACTTGGGGCAGCAATCTGGAGAATTTTCAATGAAATTTGAGTCTTTCAGAGCAGAGGTCCTCCAACATTTAAGCCCACAGCCTTCAAAGTAACAGGGCCAGACTACACTGGAGATTCTCACAGCACTGATTGACCAATCCAGACACAGACGTACTGACTTTCAAATGCAAACCTTTTTTTTTTTTTTTAAATGGCCGCTCAGATAATTTGTAAAATAATGTAATAAAAGGCAATTGTAAAGTTTAAAGCACAAATGTGGAACTTTTGACTCAATGCCTCAATAAACATTGTCGTTACTCACCACTTTTCTCTATAATTAAATGATAAATTTTCTTTTCTCAAGTCCAGCAAACTGAGGTTGTGTAGATATATGTTTGTCTCAGTAGTGTTGCCATACTTATATGTCGCAGGATTAAGAGTGTGCTACACAATTGCGTAGCTAGAAAGTTCTTGGATGTACTGAACAACATTTTCTTTGTTTCTGTTATTGCTCCTGTTGTTATGGAGATACAGTGCTGGAATTTAAAAATGTGAATCACTTCAGGGTCATCCAGCAAAAATTAAAAGCAGAAAACTGATGGTACATTTTGGTTCACGACAAAAACTCAAATCTAAACAATAAAATTATGTGAAGATGGTGGTTTAATTTGACATAGAACCATGTAAATCCTGCAAAAACTCAAATTTAGTGAGTATTCTTGTCCTAATTCTTGTGTTAAGTGTCTTTTAACTAAAGCTAAATTTACCAGGCAAATGCAGAATAATATATTTTTTCAAGCTATGCATGTTGAAATAAGACCTGCATTAAACACATGAAAAAAGGAATCTGCCAATACACTTAGAGAATAAACTGTTCGAGTTTTTGTAGCACGAAAACATCTTATTTCAAGAACTTAACGAGTACATTTATGTTTTTTATTTCAGCTGCAGATTATTTTTGTTTATTACAAGCAATTTAGATCTCATTTTGGTGTGTAACATCCCAACATGAGACATTTTTCTAGTATGGCCAGGTGAATTTGGCTTAAAGCGGGCCTGAATAGACACTCTCTACTAGAATTAAAAACATAGGACTCGCTCAAATTTGGGTTTTTACAGAGTTTGCATGGTTTCATTTTTGATTTAACCACTCTTTTACATTCATTACTGGTAACCACTGTAAAAGACGACAATCTTCTCCTGAAGAAGATGTTAGAAAAACGACTAAGCCAGTGGTTTATTTTGCATTATTGTTGTATTTTGCAGGGTCCAAAGTTTGGAGTTAGATTGAGCATTTTGGTAGTACTTAGTTTGTAATGAATCTTGGGTGGACACAGTGGTTTGTTTTCTCTGGTTTTTGGTATAAGTTGTGTGTTGTAATATACTGTAATACTATGATAAAAAAGAAATCAAATTTGACCTTAAGAGACCTTCATGACAGTCACAGAGGAGGATCTTTGTTAGACTGATGTTGAAAACACACCTGTAGTTTTTACTCATAGGCATAACTGCCATCTAAATGTTGGAAATAAAAGCCACAAAACGGCAAAATTCAAACATACATGGGGGGTGACATCCATTCTTACTTAGTGGTTTTGGGATGAGAATTAGAAACTCTAAAATGAAAGACTTTTCTCATCCCATCTTTTCAGAGTTTAATCCTTAACTACTGCATGTTTTTGTTGTTTTTTTACCCCTCCTGGTCTCCACGCTGGGCAGATTTGTACGTTCTATTGTAAATCGAAAGTTCAAATAACATCCATGTTTGATTTTGTGTTGCATGAATGCTGTTTGCTCAGTGAAAGCACGTGTTTCTGCACAGAGTTTGGCACAAGTAGATGTTTCTGTTTACAGTCGTAATCGTATCTTTGGTCAGAAAAAAGTTGGCATGAGACTCTTGAAGCTGATTGGTGGACAGGGCGGGCGGGTGAACCTTCAATCAATCAGTTAGAAAGTGACAGTTGAGCCAACGGAGACACTCTGACTTTTTCATGATTAAATGACTTTTTTAATCTTTCATGTCTCAAATAACCTCCAAATTTAACTTTATTTTTTAAAATGTGGAGATTTAGAGCATCAGTGTTTTGGTCTTATTGGTTTATTTGCTTTTATTGTTTGCTTTTCTTTTTTATGTCTTCTTTTCTGATGACCATCTTTATTTAAAACATTTTGAGCTTTATGTTTTTTTGGCACTTTTCATTAAAAAAAAGTCTGATTGATGACCAGCCTCTAACTATACATTATCCTGCTTATTACCCAACCACAGACTTAAAAATGAACAAGTTTATACATGATATTGATGGAAAGATAAATCTTTTCATTGAAAAAATAATTCATTCATGCAGCTACAAGAATAGACTCTCTGACCCAACAGTATCATTAAAACTTGACATTTTCATTCAGGGTCAAGTTCGAACAGGATTGTGTTTATTTGTTCTTATTAACATGAAAGTGAACATTTCCATGACCAGGACTTCTACAGGAATATTTATGTTGATATGTCTGTCCTTATTTAGTTGACAAACCTTTAAACTTAACTTTAAACTTTAAATAGTGCTGCTTTTATCACTGCCACTCATAGTTTGAGTTACTTTGATTTGAGAGATGCTCTCACTGGCTCTGTTCAAGTGCACGGTTTGCAGGACAGGATGTTGCTCCTCTTTTCTGTTTCAGGGATGGTTGGGATGCAGTAACTCCTCAGGCCACTCCCATATCTGTCTTTTTTATCGCTTTAATACCAGCCTGAGACAGACACTGAGGTTTTTGCCACATAGTTAACAGGCAGAAGAGAAATGTGCCAAACTTTTCTGGAGACTATTTTGATAAGTTATTATGGGGATTTGACCAATCTGAATCAAGTATTTAACACAGCTGGGTAAGACATGCAAATAGTTTGTATACAAGAAATGAAAATAAGTTTGCACTTTCGATGAATATAACACAACTATGGTTGATATGAGTATACCATCACTGACTGGACTAGACTGGACTGGACTGGACTGGATGCAGCTTTCACTCTGGGAAACCTGATTATTCCTTGTTGTGCAGAGGCAGCAGCGTGAGATGTGAAGTCTATGTGCTCAGGGACAGTATTTACAAACACGCACTGAATGTCAAAGTCTGAGGAATCAGCTCAGTCATGTTTGAGCAGGGAGGTCATTCTCAGCTGTTATCACTGAGGCCTGCAGGGAGTTGATACACACAACCCGAGCCACACAGACCCGGGCCGCTCTCCAGCCCCTTATCTGCAGAGCCACGTTGCTTTTAGCTGAGCTTTGAGAAATGTTTTGGCACAAGTTGGACCTGTTAGCCGGTCTCTCTGTTTTTATTTGTGAAGTGCAATGTGCAATAGCATAATCTGCCCATTTAGCTGAATAATAATTATATTTAAGTGGCATAGTTATAAAATTCAAAAGCCAATTGATGTTTTTAGTCTAAAATTAAAAACTTTTGTAACTTTTGTGTAGTATTTTAAGGCTGATGATGAACATAAAGATTCCAAAATGAGTCCTGATTTAAAGGTTAAAGATGTTGAAGCCATACCTACAAGCTTTGGATGCTCAGTTTTAACAGCAGATCACCAGGTTACAGGACTAAATCAGCCTAAAAAATCTTTAAATTTCAGATTTGGTTATATTTTGGTGCGGTGAAGACCTCTCATCTGAATTTGTGTTTGTAATATTTATTTTGTGCGACTGTCCATAGAGGAAAATGAAATTGACACCAGCCTACCAAGTGGTAGTCTTCTGCATATGGAGACTAAATTTGCCAGTTTTAAGACAAATTATCAATTAAAACACTGAAGCCATGTTTTAGACCAGGGGTTCCCTAAGTTTTCAGCTTGCAACCTCCATATTAACATAACTGTCGACTATAGACGCCCCTTGTGCCTTATGCTTAAATGGTGCTCACAGCTGCACTTAAACATAAATAAACAAGTTCAAAAACAGAAATCAAAGAAACTTCTGCAAAACAACAACCATAGCATTACTTTGCAGTAATGTTTAACAGCTAGAAGCAGAAAAATAGTTATCTTCGTGTTCAGGCTTCAGCATTGATAGGACGTACAATATAAGCAGGTGAGTCTGTCTGCACGTGTGAGTTTCATGTTAGTTTCAAGCCTGTGACACTTCTTGCCTCTATCTTGCCTCTGTGGTAATTTGGCAGGAAAAAAAACATCCAAAATCTTAAGGAATCTTCGATTATATGCATGATTTATTTCAATTTCGACCAAATTTTTTTCATATCTGAGAATTTTGTGTGTTTTTATGACCTACTGGATCATCCTACCAGTTCACTTACTTCCCTTCAAGCAGCTGCTTTTTATTCCTGTTTCCATAAGAATAAATAAAGAAGTTGTATGGTATGGTTCAGGGCCTCCGCACACTTCATGACCAGTTTGTCCATTTTCCAGATGAAAGAACCTCCTTATGAACCTTTGTGAACCTACAGAGCATGCTCAGAAAAGTCTGTCTCTGTTTGGGCCTGACGTCTTATTGGCCTCCTTAGACACATAAATTATTCAATCCCATGATTCTTCTTCTTTTTTCAGAAACAGCTTAGGAAAATTGATCTAATTGTGGGATCATGATATACCAGCTGCTCCTTTTCAAAATGATTCCATAAATGACTCTTTTGACCCTAAAATATCATGTGAAACAGCGGCACTAAGTTTTGCTTTTCTGCTAAATTCTGCTAAAGCTTGGGGAAAACTTTTTTGGCTCATCAGTTTTTGACTTTTTTTTTTCGATTGTTAATCAAGCCTTGTCATTGCTTACCTTCACTATTACAAACAGGTGCATCATACTTTGATGTACATGCTTTCCCAACACATCCACACCTATTATTTGGCAGGTCTTTTCTAAATGTGTTACCCAAGCCTGTATACATTTAGGTGATGATATTTCTCTGTTTTATTGAGGCCTCTTTCTGCCCGCCACAACAGTCACTGTGTCAAGTTTGGTAATCACAGTCATAAAATTATGCCATGACTTGACCGCAAGACATGACAGACTACACACTCGTTTACAGCTACACACCACAACCATCAAGAGGACTTTGATCGATAGACGAACCAGATAAGATAACGCTCAACAGCAGTTAATCACCCGATTGCCTAAGTGTGCCCACTATCTCCCCCAAATGTGTCTCTTTTCTCAGTCCGCGGTGTTCATCTCGTCCCTCAACAACACCTCTCAGAGATAGAAGAAGTGTTGAAGCCAGGGCTTAATAAGCTATTTCTTATAGTCATATAAGATAAAGATAAGATATAAGATAAATCGCCAGAATCCTTAGTTGAAAGGATCGTGGCATGATCCTTTCAACTAAGGAAAAAAACTTGTTTTCTTAAAAAAGTGACATAGGCCATTATTTTAATAGGATGACGTCATGGTTATGACTTTTGCATAAAAGAACTCTGTGCTCTTACTGGTCAACACCACTATCGTCGTGGGAAAAATCATAGTTGGCAAAGACTAACATTACACATGCTAGACTGTCTGTCGGGAGGTTAGGAGCTGTCACAGACCTGTCTGTGGCTGCTGTTCCCTTGTATACATGCACTTACTAAACCAAAAAAGGGTCATTTTTAGACCAATAATAAATACGTTTACAGTTCAGGGCTTTCATTGCACCAACTGAACAGGAAGTGGGTTTTGGGGATGGCAGGAGGGTGTACTCTAGCTATTTGCCAGGAGGTTAAAGGCCTGCCTCTAGTAGGCTCAAGTCGAGTCAGCATTACCAGTGTAGCAACAGCTGTGGTGGGCTTTTAAAACTCCACAAACAGATGGGTGGTGTCACCAACACTGCATAGATTCGTTGGAAAGTCTATGGCTGGAACAGAGTTTCATCAGCTTCCTATTTACAGGTTGTACCCAGAAACAGCATAATATTGGTGTCCCAGTGTGTAGTTACACGCTAGATTACAAGCTTAAGATGCCCAGCATGATAACGCACAGGTGAAGCACCACATACATACACACATATTCATGTACATGCAGTTCTGTTTTGAGGCTATGCTTCATCACTTTCTTCTTACTAAACTAATCCTGTAGCTTTGCTAAAGCTCATACTGTGTTGTGCTTTGTGTTTGTGTTTTCTTCAATTTGCTAGACGTCTCTTTCACTCAGCTTGTTGTGTCGTTTAAATTTTCTTTTCTAGTTTCTGTTTCTACCTTCAGAAAGAGTGCAGACATGTGGAGGAAATAGAATAAAGACAGATGCCTCCATTTTCATCTGTTAAAACACAATGCAAAAAAATTTAGCCCTAAATTTAATTCAACCCCAACCAGAGAGAAATGATCAGTGTGAGTGTTTGCATGGATACACCAGCCCTTCTGATTCTGATTACTTGTGCTCCATGTAAACAAAGCAGCGAAGAGCGTCACAAAACCCTCACTGGGATACTCAAGTGTCTTAATAACCATGACAGAGAATTTATAATGAAAACTTATCAGTTTAGTTTCAGAGTCAATCAAATAAATCTGCGCATATTCAGAGGCCTGTGAACAGACTTAGTTCAGCCGGAGGCATCTCTGCCAGATGATGATTTTTTTTCTACTCTAGTTTGGACCTCTCTGCGTCATTTCTGCACAGTACAAACATTACAAAATGATACCTCGTGTGTGAGCCAATATTGTGGAAGTGTTTGACCCGAGGAGTCCTGGGGATGAATGCTGCAGTGTTTGTTGTTTGGCTCTTCTGTTGGTACATTCAGACCCGACAGACACATGGAGAGGAGTGTGTTTCTCATGTGTACTTTGATACTCGTGACTCTTACAGGGTTAACAGAGCTGCTGAACTCCAATTTTCTCTCTCTCTTGGTTGGTTGGCTGACGGCTGAGTCATAAATCTTTGATACAGTACAAATTACAGAAACAGATGATCCACTAATCAAATACAATCCTTAAACTCTACAGATTTCTTTGGTACCCAGAAGTAAGGACGTCAAAATAACTACTTTAAACAGCTTCAATAATGTTTGTTTTGACTGATAAGTAGATTTTTTTAAAGCTCTTTTCATTTTTAAAGTATAAAACTGGCTGCACGGTGAAATGTTGAGTATCAAATCACGATAATGTCTTTTACTGAGTTGTTAATAAATGTGGCAATACCTACAGTCTAACGAACAGTCGCATACATAAAATTGGAGCACATAAATAATAATTATTATCCTCCATAAAATCTTAATGATAGCTTGGGATGACGTGGAGTGCTGCAGAGATTCTTCATCTCAATTTACCTGGGTAGAAAAGGGTTAAATAAAAATCATAAATGATGAATAACAGCAAGTTCACACTCAAATAATGTAAATTGTGTCTTATGTATAAATAAAAAGTACAATATAAAGTGGCAATCAGGACCAAATTTTGCATGGTGTTAGTCCTGGCAGGACATAAAGTCCCAGCTTGTATGACTTCACCAGAGTCATATGTATTGTCACTGATGCCTGCTTTGTCCCATACCTTGAGGCCTTTGCTGTTGCTCTACCTGCCTCAGCTTTAGATATATGCACATCTAAGAGAGGGAAAGTGTGCTCTCCCTGCCTCAGGGTTTGTCATCCCATGTATGCATGTGGAAGGGCAGGGAGCTCTCAGAACAGCGACATAACTCGTTCCCTGCAAATTATATATATTTTTTAATTTAATGCGATAAACTGTACAGTATGGCACATTACAATATGAATGTAATGCAGTATGATATGGGGTAGCAAAAGTAAATTGAATAAAAAGTAGAAAATGCATTTATGTTATGAAGTAGAAATATGATTAGCTTCGAATATGAATGAATATATTTGTTGTGTATTTTCTGGGTAATCTAAGAAGATGCAATGTAAATAAATAACAGTAGGTTTTATAATCTTATCACTCTGGAACAAAGAGAAACCACCTCACAGTTCTTGTGGTCATGCTTCTGCACCACAGTACATACAAACAGCCAGCAAACAATGATTTAACCCCAGTGTTTTTCACTCTGACGAATATGCATGACCCACAAAGATTTTAAATGTACATAAAGCCGAGGTAAATGAGTCCTATTATTGTTGGCGATCTAAACCTCTTTGTTTTTATCTCCCTTTTTCAGATTTAACTTCCTGTAACTTTACATCCACATAAAGAACCAAGTCATCCTATGTGTCTGTCATAAGTATGGAGATGGAGAAAGTGGCAAATGGAAACCACCACCATGACGTTGAAGTGCCTCTGGAGGGAGGGTATGTCTCCTTTGTGTGTTCATGATGGGACTTTTTGGTAAACTTGTAATGTTTAAGCTAAAAAATCGTAGTGTTTCATATTTGTTTATGTCGTTTATCACAGAATCCCACCTGAAGAGGAAAAGTTCCTGCAACACAAGAGTGATGGATCGAAGCACACTCAGTTCACAGACGTGAGTATGGCAGAGAGACAGTTAAAATAAAAAAACTGGTGCTTGCTGGTTTGATTGGCAACATAGTGTGTCCCTTGTTGTTGTTGTAGTTCATTTTGAGAAAGTAAAATCCAAGTATTGAGCATGGTGGACAGTGAGGAATCTCAAACAAGTCAACTATATCATAAGTTTGGTTTATTTTTCTCTATCAATCTGAGGATGGTGCTCAGCTTTGGCTTGGCATCAAACAAAATGGACCAAGGACGTCCAAGGAAAATACATACGAGAATTTTTTTCAAGGGGAGGTTTTATTCAGGCCTTTATTTTAGTGTCGTTGTGCAGAGCAAAAGCTGAGACTTAATGTAAAGACCAATGTAGTTTATAAACTTCAAAAGGCTCTAATTGGAGCCAAAACTTGTTTTTTAACTAAAAAATGAATTTAATCAGTCTTCTGCGATGCTAAATATTGTTGCACAGCCTTTTGTGCAGATGCATATAGCAAGTTGCAAGTGTTACACAAGTTACAAGATAACTTTCTTCACAGAAATATTGAAAGACAGTTTGTTTCAACCCTGATTACCTCCTGTCTCAGAGTGAGGTGTACCAACAGGAGGTACTTAGGATGTTGTTGTCGACTATCATGTGCTAAAACAAATGGAAAAATGTTAGAGGTGGATTATAGACATATATCTAAAGAACTGGTGGTTGTTATCATCGCTGACTGGTTCTAATGTCACCAACCTGGTTCCTGTAATCCAGCTGTTGTTGTGTTGATGGCATGAGTTGTCATTTGCTCCACTCACAAATGTATCAACAGATAAATATTAATAGAAAAATCAAAGAAAAAGTAAATATGTAAAAGTAATTACATACATGAGTTAAGTTGGATTTTATCTCAGAAGTAGTCAAGTGTTAAAAACTTCTTAGACAAGAACAGGACTAAATCATCAAAGATAAAAAAAACAAAAAGTACCACTTCATACACAGGGGACACTAAAAGTGTCACAAGCCAAAAGTTCCACCAGATGCTGTAATGTACAATAGTTGCTGCATATGAATCAAAGTTAATATTCAACTCTTTTTTTGTCCAGTTTGAGGGTAAAACCTCTTTTGGGATGTCCGTCTTCAACCTGAGTAATGCCATCATGGGAAGCGGTATCCTGGGTTTGTCGTATGCCATGTCAAATACTGGCATCGTTCTCTTCCTGTGAGTAATACAAGTACACACACTGTGGTACACAGAGTCCAACTAAACATGACACACACCTTCACCCATACATAGTCAGCATGCAGTTCCTGAAAATGACAGACGGTCCACAAACAGATACACGAGGAGACAAGGTCCATGTTACATAACATACCAAAATCACTTAGGTCAGATTCAGAAGTGACACAAACCCTGAAAGTTACCGAAAGGCTAAACAGTATTATCTAATGTTTAGGCAGTATTATCTAATTAGATAATTAGATAATACTGTTTAGCCTTTTGGTAACTTTTGATAATCCTGTCATAGATAATGATATATCATTTTTTATAACTTAAGATGGACAGAACAATTTGGGGCGCTTAAGACAGACTGCCTCCTAAATTAGAGTCTGGTGTAATTTCAATCCATCCAACACCTGAAAAGCTAAATTCCATTTGATTCAACCCTCAGGGGCGTTTCTGTTTATGGCTCAATATTGTGACATTGCATATGGACGGCTGTCTGAAGATTAAAATTTGATCATAATCTCATAATATGACATTTATACACTTACCTCACACAGGGCACCAAAATAATTTGTAGTGATTTTAATTTATGGTAAATGTCATATGTTGAGATTATTAACAAATATTAATCTTCAGACATTTATTTAAATCACTTCAGGCAAATGGAAGCTAATCTTATTGAATGTTTTTCATCTGTAGACAGATATTTAGTTCTGCGCTGCTCAAACAAAAAGCCAAAAAAAAAGGCTCAGGGGTTTGGCCACGCGTCATCCTATCCACATGTCAAAGCACCCCTGGACAGGAAACTTGACCCAACTTGACTCTGCTATGTAGGATCAATTAAAACTGATGGGGGCTTGACATAACAGCCTCTGTCATCAGTGTATGAAAGTAGTGTGCAAGGGTGACTCTGAATTGTCAGAAGACTGAAGAAAGTGCTATATAAATATTGTCTATTTATCTTTTAAGGCTTAGGTTATATGGCAGCATCCTTGAACCATTTACTGTAGATTAATAAGGATAATTGTGTTGGTGGACCTTTTTTTCAGTTTGCTATCCTTGGACTCAGTGGAAAAAAAGTGAAACTACCCCTCACTTTTCTTCAACTTTTACAGGATCTTGTTGATGTGTATCGCCTGCTTATCCTGTTATTCCATCCATCTGCTGCTGACCAGTGCAGGAGTTGTGGGTAAGGCTTCAGGAAATTTTGAAAATCTTGCTGTAATTCTTAGAGAAATTGTCTCTGTATCGTTTTTTCCTCTTTTACATATCACAGCATTTTTTATTGATAGATACTCAAATGCATGCAACGTCAAAGATTAATTTGCCAGCAAGGACTACGATGGATATCTCTTTCTTGTCCTTCATTTCTTAGTGTATTTCATTTTTTGGTAGTGGTTGTGCACAGGTGTTTGATTGTTGCAAACATTGCTTTTTGCCTTTTCTCTCTCTAGGTATTCGTGCGTACGAGCAGCTAGGACTGCGAGCTTTCGGTCATCCTGGGAAAATTCTCGCAGCAGTCATCATAACACTACACAACATAGGAGGTGAGATTCTGACATCCTGGTGTGGTATTTGTACATCTGTGTCATATGAGTGGGTGGCGAAGACGCATCTTGCCGATGGAACCAAATGTGTCAGGAAACCACAGTTTTCAGGAAACGTTGGCAGATGTAGACTTAAGACTGGCTCTGTTTTCTTCCCTTGCAGCCATGTCAAGCTACCTGTTCATTGTCAAATCTGAGCTGCCACTGGTAATCCAGGCTTTTCTCGGCCAGACGTCCACCTCCAAGTGAGTGCTGACGAAAACTTTTTCAGTGTCAAGAGTTTTTACAGTGTAGATTATCAAGCCAGCGATGGAAGTGGCGTTTTGCTCCATTCATCTACACAAGGCTCCCTGTGTTTATTCTTCTCTTAATGGGGGTGACAACCATGCAGAGCCACCGCTGTCCCCCGACTACAAACCAATGAGTTACACGTCATTACCGTATGCTTATTTTAAACATAGGATCTTTGTCCTGCTCAGTTTTACATCCTCTATCAGTGGTTAAACTTGTAGTAGTTGGGTTTGACTCTATTTGTTTGATTTTACTGTATGTGTGATGTCTTGTTTTCTCCCCTTAGTGACTGGTTCATGAATGGAAACTACCTCATCATCATCGTCACTGTATGCATCATCCTCCCTCTCACCCTGATGAAACACCTTGGTACTACACATCCTAATTACCTTCACACACAGTGATCCCTGAAAATATTTTTACTACTGTTGTGTTTTTTTAAAAGGAAGCTTAAAGAAAATCAGTCTGCACTTTTATGAATATCTAGCAGCGAACAAAACTGAAACAGAGTTTGTATGTTAATAGCAAGTTGTCTTCTTGTGTCCTGCAGGGTATCTTGGTTACACAAGCGGCTTCTCTCTGTCCTGCATGGTCTTCTTCCTTTCTTCGGTAAGACATCAGAATGCATGCCTCAACAGTTTTTGTTATTGCACTGATAAAGCTGCAGTTATGTACTTTGTAAGAGAAGTTTTGGACAAGTTCTGTATTCATTTGTCCACGTTACTCAATATAGTCCTCTAAAATTTTACAAACACAAATGCAAAATATATTTTGTAATGATGATACAATGGTTTCCATCACATTCAGTAATATACCCTCGTGCACTGTGGTAAATAGTGCATGATGCAGCTGTTGGATGCTCTAAAAATATCACTTATACAAACCATGTTGCCCTGACGATAAATAAGGACAAGAACACCCGAAATCATCTGCAGCTCAGTGCAGATTGCTCCAGTTTGTGTCCATGATTGAGATGAGCTGTCAGGATCTCCACTGCTGTAAAAAGCTGCACTGTCCACATTCTACTTTCTCATCAGAGCAGGCTGGCAAAGAGCAGCTTGTTCAGACCAAAATAATAAAAAAAGTCTGCCTGAGCGTAGAGCCACAGACAGCCGTAGACTGCTGTAACCCTGCACCTGATGGTTGGCCACAGGTGCTAGTGAATTAGGGGTTATTGTTGCTGTTTTTTTTTCTATTTAGGCTCATTTGTAAAGAAAGAGGGGTAATTTGCTCCAAATTAATGCACAACGGCTCATTCTAATGAACGTAAACTACACTGGTGCACAGTGACGCTATTTGCTCTGCAGGATAGTTTAAGGTGCACTTAACCCATTGTGCAGGATTTGTGAATCAGATGATGTCTTTTTGGCTTATTTACTTCAGTTTTGCAGGTACACAAGTCATGCAAACCATTAAGGATTCAGGCCCCGGGTGTATGAGCAGGACTGACTATTACAAAATTAGAAAAATATTCTTCACATTTTAACTATAATGAAAGTATAATCAAAATTAGAGTTGGGCTGTTGAAGAGTGGGCAGTGATTCACTGGGCAAAATCAAGTCTGTTTGCACCTTATTTTCAAGAGTATGCAATGAGTGCTTACTGAAGCAACACAAGAGAAGAGTGTTTTTTACACGTTAAGTTCTTTTGTCTTTATTTGTAAGTTTGTTTTGTCTTCTGTTGAAGATAATCTAAAAAAAGGTGAACCCAAATATTATTGTATTGAGTTTTTAAGCCTCTTAAATTATAGACTATATAGATATAGATATTATAGATATTTCTTCATACTTTCTCCTCTCACTTTTTTATTAGGTGATCTACAAAAGATTCAACATTGCGTGCCCTCTGGAAGTGTTTGGTAACTACTCTGTGAGCTCCGTAATCCAAGACGACACGTGCACGGCCAAATTCTTCACCATCAACCAAGAGGTCAGAAATGAAGAACTCCCATTACACAGACATAAAAATTATAATCCAAGCTGCTGAAGTTTGGTACTCCATGTTCAGAGGAGTCAGTGTGCTCAGCACGTGTATGCTAAAGTGCTATTTGTGGGTGCATCGTATTTCATGGGGGGTATTGAGTTCATGTACTTCCTGGAATACTACCAAGTGACGTTACTGTATTACTTGACTTGCAGACAGCGTACACCATCCCCATCCTGGCATTTGCTTTCGTCTGTCACCCTGAAGTGCTTCCCATCTACACTGAACTGAGCAAGTAAGATGAACGCATTACTTCATGCTTCACATACAGTACACACCACGCACCTAAACAGTATGTATGCAGGGATCCCCTCATGCCTTACAGTGAAACGAGATGCAAAGAAATGGTTTTAGCGCACCCTCAATACTGTTTTTTCAGTTGCACTTGCTCTTATTTTACATGGTTCCAAATTACAGATATGTTTAGATACAAGTTACTTTGATGCCTATATGTCTGCCTGTATATTTGGCTCATGTTCCAACATTGCAAACTATAAACACTGAAGGACCCCTTGCTAAAAAAGTGAGACATGTTGATCGAAATAAAGACGTGTCTGTAATGCCTCAGTGACAGCACCACAACACTATTTCAGAGTGCTTCTCAGTGGAGCTACAGTTATGACTTGATCGAGTGATTTAAGTGGACTGCTCTTGTGGCTCCAGTTTCAAGCACTGGCTGAGAAATGATTTATTAACAACTGTATGTCCACCTCCACGAGGGTGGATGGTGATCATAGACCGTATATAGAGTGGACAGAGTCTGCCTCCTCACTGAGTGAAGCCCCCCCCCCCCCCCCCCCCCGAGAACAGCACCCTCTAGTGACGGGCTGCAGTAGAGGTCATAAATCCCGTCATAAATCCATCCTTATGGAGCTGTGGACAAGATTTAGGAATTTATTACCCACAAAATAATTTTTTTCTCCCCCCTGCTTGCTATGTTGACATGTAGTTACTGGTTTGTGCTCAATTCCTCTTTTTTCTGTACAGCCCCATTTTTTAAAGTTATTAGCGTCTTTGCGTCCTTGAAAAGCACTTTACAAATAAAATGTATTATTATTATTATTATTATTATTATTATAATTATTATTATTAGTAGTAGTAGTATTAGTAGTAGTAGTATTAGGGGGTTCATGTTTTCTATGATTGACACTTGATACAGCCTATGGGTGTACGAAGATTGTACAGCTCACCTGAGGGATACGCTCTCAGCGACTCTCCCGCCGAATGAACTGGCAGCTGCAATAGGTTAGCATATTGTACCCATCAAAAAGAATGGTCAAGCTGGTTTCTCTTCTCTAAACACCTCCATGACTGTCGACAAACGTTGATATCCAAAGTCTAGATCTCCATCTTTTTTGATTAATCAATTAGTAACTGTCTTTTAGACTTTGACTGCAGTAACAAAACCCAGATGAATGAGGGTGGTTCTGAGCTGGAGACACCTGGATGGACTGAAATAAAATTGGCAGTGCCAGCTCAAAATATTAATAGATACAACTTTGTGAATAGACACAGGTCTCCATAGCTGCAGTGAAGAGATTGGAAAATTACAGTGTGTAGAAAAATGCACTCTGGTAGTATTCATATTGAACTGGAATAACTGGTGACACAAATGGAGAAGTGTGGAATTGAAGCCATATCTAAGTCTTAATATTATTGTGATTGTCTATGCCAACACCATAAAGGCTTATAGCAGCACTCTTATTTACAGTATGTCTGTCTATAGTGAGTGTTGTTCCCCAAATACCTCATTTAAAAAAAAAAAAAAAAGGATAACATCAAACCTTCAGTAAAGTCTGACACTGGATGTGTAGCTTGTTTTAAATTGAGGACCACGTCAATAATCCTGCCTTTCATGAGTCTGTACACTGTATTCGTGAAATCATGTTGAATTTTGTTCCTTCTAAGCCCAACAAAGAGGAGGATGCAGAACATTGGCAACGTTTCCATCTTGGGCATGTTCGTCATGTACTTCCTCACGGCCATCTTTGGATACCTGACCTTTTATGGTGAGGAAATGTCTGTAAATCATCTGCAAACATAGCCCAGTGCACTGAGGATGAGGTGTCACAGGATCTATTTCTGTTTGTGTGCGTGTAGGCAACACTGAGGCAGAGCTCCTTCATACGTACAGTAAGGTGGACCCTCTGGATACCCTGATCCTGTGTGTCCGTCTGGCTGTCCTGGTGGCCGTCACTCTGACTGTCCCTGTGGTCCTGTTTCCTGTAAGAAAACTGTATTTAACACCTACAATAAAACAAACAGTTGAATGTTTACTAAAAACAGCAGCACATCAGATCATCATGAATTCTACATTTTTCTGTATTTTAGAGCTGCTAAGTACGTCAAAATGGTGTGATACTTAATCAGCAACGTACATTTTCCCTGTCAGATCCGTCGCGCCCTCCTGCAGCTGCTCTTCCCTGGGAAACCCTTTCACTGGGTCCGTCACATTGCCATCGCTGTGTGTCTGCTGTTCGCTGTCAACCTGCTGGTCATCCTCGTCCCCAACATTAGAGACATCTTTGGAATTACAGGTACAATTTTAGTCTTCAATTAAACAGAGAAAATAAAAAAAATAATGTTTCAATAGAAGGGGAGGAAGAGTTTGGGAAAACATGAAATTCCTTTAGAGCAAAAATGAAAAATTAGGGTGTTTTTTTTGTTTTGTTTTTCAAAAATTAACTAAATTTGCTGAAGCTTTTTGTGTTACCACAATAATAAGTTGCCATATTTTAGTAAACAAATTTTAACCTACTGTAGCGATTTGTTTTTACGCCCCTAAGATGAGCTTTGAGCAGTTTGTCTTACACAGGGACAAAACTGTGTAAATGTACTATACAAGGTCTTTAACATTAACATGCTCATACAGGTAAGTGGCGAAATGTGATGGACCACAGTACAGTACTTTACTGTAGAGACCTTTTGATTACAGCTGACATAATTCTCTCCAATAAGTTCCTTTGTTTTGCTTTCTCTGTGTCCAGGAGCGACCACTGCTCCCAGTCTGATCTTCATCCTTCCAGGGCTCTTTTACATCCGCATTGTCCCGACCGACAGAGAGCCCATGAAATCCAGACCAAAGATCCAGGTAAGCCCATTTCCCTTACACATTGAGGGAAAACAGTAAATCAATGTAAAGACCACCTAGTTTTGATTCAATGTTTTGTGTGTTTGTTGTGTTTCCAGGCTGCCTGTTTCACAGCTCTGGGCTTTGTTTTCATGACCATGAGTCTCACGTTTATTGGGCTGGACTGGACGAGTGGGGAAAAGCGAAGTCTTGGCGGTCATTAAGTCCCAACCCCCCCCAACCCTACAGCGACAGCGGCCCACTGCTGCACCCTACGTCCTCCAGTCCTCTGGACAGGAACCAAGACTCAACCTACTGCTGGACAGCTCGCAGCTTCGGTGGGACTGTTTTTATTGATCATAAGGACAATTTGTTCCTCCAAAGTGATGACAGGGGCCCACCCAGGTTGATAAAAACCATCAGCATTCATCACATGTGGTGTTCCTTTGTTTTTCATGAAGAGCCGACCAACACGCCGACTACGGACGCCCCAAAACCCCTCAGCAATATGCCTTTACAGAGGCTAGGAGTGGTGTTTAATACCAGCAATAATAAATGCAAATTGGACGAATGTCTGAATGAAAAGGTTTAATTAACGGAAAGGTTTGACGGAGTAAGGTTATTCATGGTGTGCTTTAAATTTTGTATTTAAAATGGATTCCATCATGGTGTTTAAGTCCAATTATTTCTGTTTAATGACAAGCTGAACTGTGTGAGAAAACTGAACAAATGAGCACAGATAATTCATTCTAATTCACATTTTGTGTAATTTATAAATCTAAGGAGAGTAGCCTATTTGCCATAAGAATTGGCAACCAGCCAATGATGTTTACACAACTGTGAGCCAAGTCATTTGGTGAAATCAATTTGTGAATTTGTTTTTGACAGTATATGTGGATATTGTTTAATAAAATTCACAAAAGATGAAATGTATTGTTGTCATTCGTTTGTGGTTATGTGGTTACAGTGGATAAAGCGAAGGGAGCCAACATGATATTATCTATGGTTGTGGCGAATACTGGCATTGCCAAGTCTTTCTGATTTTAGACTTACCAGACCTTATTTAAGGTTGTTCTCTAACATGATCATTAGAGGGCTCACTTTGACTAACCATCTTACTGCTCCCTTACTGGTTTGTTTCACTTTCACTTTGCACTCAGTCAGAAGAACAAACCCATTTGAACAAAATCAACAGGAATTTCATTAAACTACACACCATTGACAGGAATATGTGTGCCTCCACTCGCGCTTGATCTCTTGCAGGCAAAAACATCAACAAAATACATCAAGTGGCTGACAAGCTGTACATCAAACAGTGAAACGCCATCATTTTTATGCCACATTCTCACCAGACTCAAGTGAAATGTACTACATGTTTAATTCCTGGATATTTGAACTTCTAAATGTTCAGTGTTCACTTCATTGATCTCAGCTGTTCGTGATATGGCATGTGACTTAAGTGGTATTACATCCAGAGGGACCATTCAGTTCAAGAGAGAAGAGTGTTTTCACGCCATTTCAGTCTGTTTTCATCAAACCCAGTTGAGGTCAGATTTGACCAATTTAGCGAATCATCCTCCAGGCGAATCTCCCCTCATAGACTGTTGATATGTATCACCAGGAAATCTTAATCCTAACGAACTACCTCAGTGAAGGATTCACTTCATAAACAGTGAAGCAACATCAACTTTACACCGTTCACACAATAAATGCAAACCCAAGAAGGCGCCCAGTATGAGCAGTAGATGAGGCAGAAGGCCCTCCACCATGTTATTATTTTTTTTTTTTAATGTAAGTAGAATGAAGTTCTGAGGAAAAAGTTGATCCCTGATCAGTAAAAGAGACAACACCCTGATCAGTGGTTAAACAGAAACAGAGCGAGCTATTGACATGTTCATCTACAATTTATTGAAGATACATTAAGATTTAAGTGTCTACGTTATTTAAACAGGTGAGGGCCATGCTGTCCAGCCATGGTGCAGTTTTCACTCGTTTACGACACTAATGCTTTTTTTGGATCCTGGCTGTTGACAATTTCATTTTGCTTTTGGAGTTGGCTGCAGCTGGATTCATACTTACGAAAAAATAAAATTTCAACACCTCCACTTTATTTTTACTGCCAACCCCCTAAAATTACAAGAAAAACAGGTTTACTGACAAGGAAATGTTAAAGCTTCAGCCAATGATGTTTACACAACTGTGAACCAAGTAATTTGGTGAAATTAATTTGTGAATTTGTTTTTGACAGTATATGTGGATATTGTTTAATAAAATTCACAAAAGATGAAATGTATTGTTGTCATTCGTTTGTGGTTATGTGGTTACAGTGGATAAAGCGAAGGGAGCCAACATGATATTATCTATGGTTGTGGCGAATACTGGCATTGCCAAGTCTTTCTGATTTTAGACTTACCAGACCTTATTTAAGGTTGTTCTCTAACATGATCATTAGAGGGCTCACTTTGACTAACCATCTTACTGCTGCCTTACTGGTTTGTTTCACTTTCACTTTGCACTCAGTCAGAAGAACAAACCCATTTGAACAACAAAATCAACAGGAATTTCATTAAACTACACGTGATTGACAGGAATATGTGTGCCTCCACTCTAGCTTGATCTCTTACATGCAAAAACATCAACAAAATACATCAAGTGGCTGACAAGCTGTACATCAAACAGTGAAAACGGCATCATTTTTATGCCACATTCTCACCAGACTCAAGTGAAATGTACTACATGTTTAATTCCTGGATATTTGAACTTCTAAATGTTCAGTGTTCACTTCATTGATCTCAGCTGTTCGTGATATGGCATGTGACTTGAGTGGTATTTCATCCAGAGGGACCATTCAGTTCAAGAGAGAAGAGTGTTTTCACGCCATTTCAGTCTGTTTTCATCAAACCCAGTTGAGGTCAGATTTGACCAATTTAGCGAATCATCCTCCAGGCGAATCTCCCCTCATTGACTGTTGATATGTATCACCAGGAAATCTTAATCCTAACGAACTACCTCAGTGAAGGATTCACTTCACTGCACTTCATAAACAGTGAAGCAACATCAACTTTACACTGTTCACACAATAAATGCCAACCCAAGAAGGCGCCCAGTATGAGCAGGAGATGAGGCAGATGTAAGTAGAATGAAGTTCTGAAGAAAAAGTTGATACCTGATCAATAAAAGAGACAACACCCTGATCAGTGGTTAAACAGAAACAGAGCGAGCTATTGACATGTTCACCTACAATTTATTGAAGATACATTAAGATATAAGTGTCTACGTTATTTAAACAGGTGAGGGCCATACTGTCCAGCCATGGTGCAGTTTTCACTCGTTAAAGACACTAAAGCTGTTTTTGGATCCTGGCTGTTGACAATTTCATTTTGCTTTTGGAGTTGGCTGCAGTAGGATACATACTTAACAAAAAAAAATTTCAACACCTCAACTTTATTTTTACTGCCAACCCCCTAAATTGACAAGAAAAACAGGTTTACTGACAAGGAAATGTTAAAGCTTCAGCCAACGATGTTTGCACAACTGTGAGCCAAGTCATTTGGTGAAATCAATTTGTGAATTTGTTTTTGACAGTATATGTGGATATTGTTTAATAAGATTCACAAAAGATGAAATGTATTGTTGTCATTTGTTTGTGGTTACAGTGGAAAAAGCAAAGGTAGCAAACATGATGTTAACGAATGGTTGTGGTGAATACTGCCATAAGAATAAGAATAAAAAATAACTTTTTGATTTTAGACTTACCAGACTTTATTTAAGGTTGTTTTCTCACATGATCATTCTAGGGCTCACTTTGACTAGGAGCTGAAAGAGTGTTTTCACACCATTTCAGTCTGTTTTCATCAAACCTGGTTGAGGTCAACTTTGAGAGGATTTCCTGATCAGTAAGATCAGGCAAATCAAGAAAAACAGGTGTACTGACAAGGAAATGTTAAAGCTTTTTAAGATGTGTCTGTTCATTTTTGTTTCAGGGGGATTTCCCATCAGGAGTATTTACTTCACCTTCCCCTTCCAGAGAAGTTCATTCACATGACCAGGATATAGACAGAGTTCAGAGACTTTTCTGCACATTAAAAGATGACTTCAGTGATTGTTAAAGCTTTAATTCAAAGTCTCATTTTGGTCACTTTGAACAGTGAAAATACAAAACATCAAAATAAAACAGACAAGTTACTGAGATCAAATTAAAAAGAGAAACCATGATGGAAAATATCACAGATACTGTTAGAAAATGCGGGTGCACAGGTTTGACACCTTCAGGTGACATCAGAGAGTGTGTTTCCGGTGATGAAAGTACATAACTGATCAGATTCAGAGGTGAGGCTGAGTAAAGACATCGGGCGAGAATTGGTGAGTGGGAAAACTTATTTTAAGACTTAAAGAATTTTCTTAAATTTGACAGATCAAAATCAATTTTATAATTGACGATTACATCAAATATAGTAAAGATATTCCTCAACAGATATATAATGATGCAGGTCAAAACCGCAGGAGTGCAGCTTCTGTTGATTCATGTTCAGACTTTAATTTTGAAAGTTCAATGTCTACTTATCTCTCATCTCTACTATCTTTGAGATGAGAGACAATCTTTAGTTCTTAAATGAAGTTTGTTTGAAGGACTTGAATAGTCAGTCTTGAAGCACTGAAAAGACCGAGGAAAACCTGAATTTATTTTGAGGAAAGGCTGTCTGATAAGCAATTTAACTTGTTTAATTGAACCAAAATGAAAAACTCTCCTTGTCAGGTTTCATACATCATGGCTACTCGACAGTGCACCATAGAGTTTGAGAATCCCTCCAAGTATACACTGTTAAACCCACGGTGAGTTTGGACTTTACATCCACTTGATTTAGGAGGTACCAACAGGCTTTAATTTCACCCCTCTTGCCAGTTTTAATGCTGAGCTAGTCTCGGCAGAAGTCTTGAATGTCTATATGACCTGTCCACTCTGATTATTCTTTGTGTCTCCAGTTACTACATGTACAGTGGATTCTGCCAGAATCCTCTGCCACCAGAACTGGACCCATCTGAGAATGGCCGCAGTCTGTTCCAAAAGACTCCAAACACAATGTGGGGATGTGTTGGAGTCCTGACCTACGATCTGAGGAACAACTCCACCAGTGAATGTGATGGACGGATGGCTGTCATGTTCTCAAATCCGTACGATTTCATTTCTTTCTCAAACTGGTTTGCAGTGGGAGTGTTTGGCATGAACACACACTGTGATTACAGCCTTTATAAGAAGATGTATTATGGACAACAGGAAGGGTTTGTACGAGGGAAAGCAAAAGATTACAATCTTACTTACAAAAGTGAGGCGGTGACTATCAGAGCCACCATGTCAGACAGCTACAAACCTGTCATCAAGGTGAAGGTGAGCGATGACTAAGATTTGAAGCAGGCTTGAACCTTTAAGATCAGGTTACTTTCTGGAAAAAAAAAGATTACTTCAACTAAATTCAGTATCAGACAAAAAGCATCTGAAAAAAAATGTATTTGGCATTTGTATAAATTTTACAGTTTGACTCGTGTCCTATCTGTTAACATGATGAATGCAGGGCTTACCACATATATTTCAGCCAGCCAGTAGGGGAAGCTCTAAATGTTTTGACTATATTTTGGGGGCTCAATCCTGTCATCCATCCTTTCACAAGGCATGTTGATTTTCTGTTCACGAAGTGTTTTTTGTTTGTTTGTTTGTTTGTTTCTTTATTTGATCTACTTTTTCTCTCACATGCCATTTACCCCAGATGGCCAGGGAGGTTTGGTGGCCCTCAGAGCCAAACACACTTCTGTAATTTTTTTTTTTTTATAAATAATGCAAACTAATATACTGACAGCAGCACACACAGCAGCAAGGACCGTCTTTACGAAATCTGGCCAAGGATGACTGGAAAAGTGGCAAAGATGTGATGCACTTGGTTTAGGAGTCATGAAGTTCAGAGGTCAACTAATAACAGCCGAATTATTAAATGACTAATATCAAGCAGATTCATCAATTTTATCTTTTCCTGTTGGTTGCATTTCTCAAAACCTGAGTGTTGGTAAAATGTATCTCTGAGTCATTCTGTAATAAAATCTGAACTGAAACAAAAGTTTGAGGTGTGTTTTTGTTGAAGTGTTTAAAATGTTTGGATCAGTCAGTTTTTGCTTTCAAGCTCATCTCTGATATCCTACCAGCCTACAGGTATTGTTAACTGCTTCATTTCCTACTTTAATTAGTAAATAAACAGATGTTCTCTAAAGTGTCCACGGGAAAGGATTAAAGCCAAAAAAACTATTAAGGATCTTGCCTTTTTTTGAAATTGACTTTGTTTCTCAGGATAAAGTCAGAACTCTGACCTGAAATTTAACATTCTGGGGTTAAGGCAGGATTCTGAGTTTAGAGTCAGAATAAAGACTTTTGTGTCAGAAGTCAGATAGAGGTTAAAAAAAAGGACTTTTCCTAGAACTCTAAATTTTTCCTATTTTTTTTCAGAATTTAAAGAAAAGGTCTGAAAAGATTTTCTCAGTATCCTGACTTTGATCTCAGTTTAAGTTTAAAGTCAGAAGTCAGAACTCTGTATGTTAAAAACCTTCATCATATTGTTTCACTGGAGCTTTTTCTCCCCAACAGGGGGGATAAAGAAGGGAATGTTTCAGGCTTCCACTTTATGATACTAAATATTCCAATTTCTATACACCACATTTTCGATAAACACTATAATGCATGTTTTAGAGAAGTAACACATGGAGCTTTGTCAGGTCAGACCCTAACCCCAAGAGGAGAAGAAAACAACTCTGAATCTGTTAATAGAGATTATCTTCATGATCACTAGACCTGCTTATCAAGTTTGTAAGGCATCTTTATTTAAGCTTGTACCATATATACAACAATACTTTGCTGAAGGGGCTGGACAACATTGTTAATGGATTACATTCAAAAGGCCATTCACTCAGCATACTTGGTTCAAATAGAATCATGACCACAAAGGGACTCCTAATGTCTGAAAATGGTGGACTAACTCCTGTATTAAAAATTCAAAGATTTTAAATTTAATCAAGATATCTTATGAAAACATTTTATACATTGATATGAATGACTTTACATTTGAAGAGAAAAGGTCTGACAGCGCCCTCTGCTGTCCAGTGTTGTGTTTCATTCAGGTACAGAGTTATCAAACCAGCATGAGGACCCTCAGGGAGCCAGTCTAGCCACAGCACTCAGTCTGATCCATCCATTCAGCATGTGCATTAAATGCCAGGTTAGTTCCATGGTACAGAAAACAGCTTGGTCTCCAATGCTATCAGAAGGTGGTGTTAATGAACAGCTGTATCTTCATGGTGAAAACTGGAGTGCTGTTTCAGGTCCATCTGCGGCTCCGGGTTCATTCAGCCTCAGCAGGCAGAGCAGGGAAAACCACAGCTTCCTTCAGCCCTCTCTGACTTTGGCAGCGAGCGCAGAGTTTTCCTGGCGTATCGCCTTGTAATCATCCAGAATCCTCTCCAGGTTGGCCACTGTCTTGTTGTTGTTTTCTGTCTCGATCTGGTGAAAAAATTCAGGGTGAAAAAATGTTAAAAACTACCCAAAATCCTTGACTGTGCTGCTACGTTGCAAAATACATAGGATCTGTTGTTTTATTTTTACACTGAAGTGCATCCACAGGGCACTTTTGTGCATTTCTGTACTCCAAAAGTAATCCAAGGAAACTTTATTCACATTATGTCCACTGGAAGTGCATAGAGAGGGCATTTTAATACTAAACCATACAAAATACAGGGAGAGAATCCAATATGCATAATTTTTGTATTTGTATCCTTGAAGAACATCAAGGGGGCACTATCGGACATTATATCCACTGGAACTGGCACTTTCTTATATATTATATACTGGACAAGCATTCAGAGGACGCTGGTTTCACATGCTGGAAGGACATCCAGAGGGCACTTCTCAGCATTTTATACACTAAGAAGGCATCAAGGAGACACACCTATGAAATTTTTCATGCATATTCTATTAAAAGGCCCCCTGAGAGGACGTTTTTTGGTGCCTCATTTACATCATGAGCACCCAAGGAGGCCTGGTGATTCTTCAGACATGTGGGCACCTCCTTTGAGTACACCACCAATTGCAATCACCCCCCCCCCAAAAAAAAAACAAAAAAACCACAAATTCTGATTTCAGTTAGATCACAATCAGATTTTAATGCAGCACCCTAAAAATACAGACATTTACTCTGCTGAATCTCTGGAAAATATCAGGCTCTGAGTGTCCTGAAATTATCTAGATAACATCATGTGTTAAAAGAAGTCCTACCTGCTCCTCTAGATCTCTGATCTCCCTCAGAATTGTACCGGTGTCCTCTATGGTTTGGATCAGCTGATTACAGTTCTGCACAAGAACACGAGATATTTTAATGGCGTATAAAAAATTATCTCTTGAGATCAATGAATGATAGGAAATACACTTGAGGACTTACTTCATGCAGAGCAGCCAGGTACTTGTAAGATTTACGAACAGATTCATCCTTTTTGGCGTCCTGCAATAAATAAATTAATATTGTTATACATAACGTATTTATTTATTTATTATAAACAAACACTTATCAATGCAGACCAACACAACAGGTGCTGGCAAAAGCTAAAAACTTCCAAATTACCTTGAAGACGAGCTCATCGGTCACAGCGAAGGTCCGGTCCAGTTTCCCTGTCAGATTGTTGATTTCCTTCTGGAGTTCTTTAGTGTCTGATAAAATCTGAAATGAAAAGAAATGAACAAAGCTTTATTGGGGGAAAAGCATCTGATGGGGAAGAAACAATTTAAAAGTTAAATCCACTAAATGCCTTTAGGTGTGGACAAAAAAATGACAAACTGAATCTTTTATTTTGAAAGAAGCTGATTTCTCTTCAAAATATTTAAAATTCTTTATCAATTCAATGAGGTGTGCCAACAGTGTCGACACACAGACTGATCCTCCTGTGTGAAAACTTAACCCAAGATAATCTCTGCTTTACATTTGTCTGACTTTTTAAAAATGAACCAAGTTTTGCCATCATTTTTGTGCTTTCACTTATGTTCAATCGCTGCAAAGCACTGTGATTGGCATTGATTTGAATGAAAAGAGCTGAAGGCATAAAGAGCGATAAATAAAACAACTATTTTATAGTGATGGGCACGGCAGTTCCTTTAGATCAGTGGTTCTCAAGTCCAGTCCTCGAGGCCCACTGTCCTGAATGTTTTGGATGTGTCCCTGCTCCAACACACCTGATTCAAATGATCAGCTCGTTATCAAGCCATTACTGAGCTTGATAACGAGCTGATCATTTGAATCAGGTGTGTTGGAGCAGGGAAACATCCAAAACATGCAGGACAGTGGGCCTCGAGGACTGGACTTGAGAACCACTGCTTTAGATGTACTGAATCACTAGAATCAGTTCACTAAAAAGATTTGTTCAAAAGATTCATTCCACGAATCACCGAATCATTCAGCGCTTGGCGAGAGGAGCCTGTGACTCCGACCTTCTGAACTGATACACAGCTGAACGGTTCAGGATTCAGTTCAGATCATAGCTTCTGGGACTGGGAGACGAGAGTGTTTGGCTGTGTTCCTTTGGCAAACAAGTTTAATAAAAACGAACTTGTTTATAAGTCATGATGTTTTAAGTGTACTGTCCAATTGTATGCTATTAATCAGGTCTGCTCGGTAAATTGGGCTCAGTGAGTGATTCGTTCACTAAACATTTAGAAGAATTCACACTGAACATGCACCGTTCCCTCGCAAACCCCTGCAATGATAGGATGCTGCGGGTTTTATGCACTACTTGTTACATGCTGTGTCCTACTGTATGCAAGTTGTTGTGGTGGAAATTTAGCACAGAAAAAAAAAGTCAGTTTTGTCCGACAAAAATGATTCCAGAGAGTGTAGTTCAATGTGTGATTCATTTTCAAAGTGATTCAGGCGCCGGTGCATGTGGTCCCTTGTTCGCTGGCTGCTCGCCTGGCAATGCTGTGTGCTATAGTAGCTGCGCTGTTGACAGCTCAACTGAAGTGAGAAACGGACAAATCACTCGAGGAAGTGATTCAGTTTAGTACGTTCACTTAAAAGATTTGGTTCTTTTGAAGGAATCGTTCACGAACGACACAACACTACAATTTTAGAGTGCATGTTACCTCTGAATCCTTTTTTTACATTCATCTGCTGATCTCCATGTTTTACTCAGTGCTTGTGTTTGCAACATGTCTGTTCTGAATCCAAAAGCATTTTTTCAACTCATAACTTTGGAGCAAGTTAACTTCAGTCTGACTTCTGGCTGAGTGGTGTCACATCATGCCCATTATATCCAGGTCTCTATCCAACATATAAAATGCAAAACTCCTTTGTGAAAGGGTGTAGCTTCTTTCTGCGAAATATTCTCTTTAATAGTTGTTGCATTAAATTCAGACATTTCTTTTGAGTTTGGTCTATGTGCTTATATTACAGTAACGGCATGAATTCTGAATTTGTTTTTGTTTTAATGTACCTTAGTTATTTCCTCTTTCTGTTTCTTGATGTTGCCGACGATCTCAAGAATCCTTTGAGTGTACGCAGATCGAGAGGCATCCTGAGGGAGATTTTCTAACTCTGTTACCTGTGAAATAGAACAGAAAAAAAATACAATCAAACACACATTGAGGAGAGAATTCATCAGAATGGGCCATTGCCACATTACGAATTACACATTAACTGACACAATGCAGTTTTATCTTGACAAAGCATACTGTTGCCATGCATGATTATGATCATTCATATGAAGTTTCACCCTTACTGCATGAAAACGAGTTTTGAATTTACACTACTTTTATGCAAAAGAAGGTTTTAAAATGATGGTAAAGCAGTATCTACCAATTTTTCATGAACTGTAATGTGTTTAATAAGGTATTATTGTGGAAAGTATAATTTAAACCCTTTTTTAACCTATGAACATGGATTGTATGAGTATTTAATTGTAATTTAATTTTGTTGAATTTTCTAACTTCTGTAAGTGAACCTTTGTTTATGTATGCTGTATGATTGTTGTATATGTTTGTGTTATGTTTTGTGTATGGACCCCAGGAAGAATAGCCTGCCCTTGGCAAGTGCTAATGGGGATCCTTAAATAAAGTAAAGTATGCCAAGTTTCATTTGCACAGAAAGAGGCCAACTTTACCCCCAAAACATGCAAAATATCGTATTTGAGTAAGAGCAAAACAAAAAAGCACAGAGATGCTGTTTGCTCTGCAGCACAGTTTCGAAATAATAGAATTTTAGCTTGAAGCTAAAGTTAGACTGTCTTCCTGTCCTGTTAGCGGGGTGCAAAAGCTGCACAGTCAGGCCCTAAGTGTTTCAAGTAAAATCCAAGAGGAAGCAATTTTGTGCAACTTAGTAGTGACTCATTGGGAGCTGCATCAACGTGACTTTTGCAAAAGTAGCTCATGATCATCCCTGTTTTGGTACAAATCATGATCTGAAATTTCAGTTACCAGCTGTTTGTATATTTCTTCTTTCTTCTTCGCCTCCTCTGTGGACACTCGGATTTTGTCATGCAGAGACTTGATTTCTGTCAGCTTTCTGGATGATTCCATCTGAAAAAAAGAGAGACAAAAGCTCACTCTTAATTTTGATCTTGGGAGTAACAAAGTGGGGTGACACATCTGTTGAGAAGCAGCACATACATCCTGGTTGCTGCAGATTTCCTTGAGTCTGCGGTGCTCATCGATGAGTGGAGCTCGATGTTTCTCCCACTGAGCTGCCAGGTTCACCACCCGCTTGGCACTGGCCTCCACCAGAGCCTGAAGGAGAAGAGCAGAAAGGTTTGAATCTTCCTGCTGGCTTTAACGACTCTGATAATCGATCCACGGGTCTCAGTTCAGCCCTCCTACCTGGAGCTTCAACAGGTTCTCGTCAGCGTCTGGCAGAAGATCAACTGTTTTCTTCTTCACCTGCATCTTTTCCTCTTTTTCAGAGTTTCCCAGCTCCCTCTGTTTCAACTCATCCAACACCTACGGCAAGAAATAAAAACACATAAGAAAAAACAAGCAGAGCGAACATTAAGTCTGTTACTGCAGAGGAACACATCTTCTCACATATTACTTCAAAGCATACAATAACCTTTTGTTAAAGACCTCCTGTGTGTGTGTGTGGTTGTGTGTGTGTGTGTGTGTTACCTGTGTATTAGTGACACTCATGTGCTTCAGGTCTGCCGCTAGCTGGTCAACGTCACTGCAGAGCTGCTGGAACTGCTGCTGAAGAGAAGTCAGCTCCTCCTGCTGCCGGAGCTGGATCTCACTCTCTGACTGTGGCCCTGTGGGGAGGGGGCTGGTTACAGGTGCCACTTCCTGGAGGACACACACACACAAATAACACACAAGTTGTTAGAGAATGCTGCATAAAACTCTGACCCCATAGATGTTTTTATTACATGTTCGTGTTCTGCTCCTCACCTGTGTAAAGGTGAACTTCTGTGTGTGGGTAAAGTGTGTGCCCTTGGTCAGGATGTGGTCAGAGGGGGTGGAGCCTCTGAAGGCCTGCAGCAGCTCAGACAGGTCGGACGTGGAGCAGGGACCACCAAAGGCACTTTCGGGAGAGGGCAGTGCAGCAGAGCGCAGCTGCTCTTCGATACGTTTACGCAGCCGGGCGAGTTTCCTGGAGCGATACTCCTGTTCAGCCACAGACACAAACACAGAGATGCGCAAATCAAACACAGAGACATTTAGAAAAACCAAGTCCCAGCCAGTCTCCTCTGGTCCAAATGACACATCTGCTCCATGTTCTGGTCAAAATATAATGAGGATCAAGCGCCAGAGCAGGTTTTGGACTGAATCAGAAGGCGTTTACATGCTGCCATCTGAAGTTGGGATCTTTGCTAAGCATGTGCAGCTCACAGTTGTAATTATCAAAGACCTGATGTGTAAAATCAAAGCCACATGAACACAGCGAGCTTAAAGCCTGACCTGTGGTGTGAGGCGGGACAAGAGCCCCTGACTGTTCCACTCGTTGTCCCACTCCTGAGCAGCACTCAGCTCGGCTGTGTGCTGCTCCAGTATGGACGCCACCACAGAGGCATGATGGGAAGGCTGGGCGGTTACAGGAGGAAGAATGTCCCGCTGGTAGTCTTTCAGCTCTGAAATCACAGCAGAAACAAATACACGGTTGTGTCCTCGCTGTATCATTTCAAGGTCATCTTTATGCAAACCAATAAAAAGATGACCTTCTTATAAAACCAGTCACCCTCAATGATTAAAAATGTTTAAACACTGACTCAAGTGTTTATGAAGAAAGGTTTAATGCATCAAGATTTTATCAAGTGGCTGCAAATTTTGAAATTAAGAACAAATTACTTAAAAAGACCATGATGAAACTTTACTTCAGATTTTCAAACATTACTTATTTTCTTTCAAGTTGATGCATATACCAACATTAAGTCCTGCATTCAAGGGCAACAATAAATGAATATCTGACTGCATCTCAAGCTTTTGTATTTACAGAATATTTCAGAAAATGACCCCAAAAAAGGGTTCTGATGGACCATTATGAAACTTTCCGGATCACCTAAAATTACTGAGATATTTCAGTCAAACAGAAACTCATACAGCAGGTATAATGCATGTTGTTTTCCACGTGAAATGGGTGACTTACCTTTGAGCTGCTTCTTTCCTGGACCTTTAGTGCATTGTGCTAAACTGAGCGGCTGGACGTGGAAGCGGTGCAATTCTCCTGGACTCTGAAACAGGAACAAAATAAACAACTTGTCAGGATTAAATTGTCCCTAGACATGTGACACGCCATAATAAACAAGTTTATTTAACGGATCCTGGCTGTGAGATGAAAGTCACACTGATTTAATCATAAGTGAAAATGTCTCAGTCATTTCTTTCTAATTATATCCAGATTGAGTTGGATCTTATTTTTATGTCATCTTGTTTTTGTGAATCATCCTGCTGCATATTTTCCTGCATTAAAAATGATTTAAGACAGAGACAGAAGGGTAAGTATGTTTGCAGCAGTATATTTCTATTCAGGAGTCCTCCTCTAATAATACGGATGATCCTGTGACTGAATAATTGAGATTTGTTCAGATTCTTTTCATTTTTTCCTCTTCTGTTCTGATCAGGAGATGACTGATAAAATGATTCCCATGAGGCTCAGCTGCTTACAATGTTAACTTTGTTAGGCATTTAGGTTTTTTTCTAACAGACTGTCAGGCTTTCTTCTTTTGATTCGGTTGAAAAGTTGAAGAACTCTTTACAGAAATAACAATTAACCTTTTTTAAATAGCAGAAATATAAAGAAAAGGAGTTTACTTGTGTATCACAGTTCAGAGGCAGTCTGCAGTTTGGGGGCAGCCAGGGCACGGACAGCTGGGCTTTGATTGCAGCGGCGATGGATCTCTGGAGGACCACAGATTTACCTTTAAGAAAAGAAACATAGTTTAAAGTGACTCAGTGGACACACAAGAGAAAAAAATGCCTCACTGTGACAACATTACCTTAAACAACCTCAGAGCAGAAGCCTGAACTCAGAACAGCACTTCCTCATTTCTACAAAACTGTCTCACCGTTTAGCAATCGGTTCCTGTCACGAGCACTCTTTCCTGATTGCAATTTCTTTTAATAAGTGGCCGGCTGATCACTTTCCAAACTAAATAACTGACTCTTAGCTCACACCTATGCATTATGATAAAAAAACACAACAAGGGCTTCAACGTAATAATGACTAGCTGACACATTTTATACATAAACTGTTTCTTTTGGTTAATCAGATCAGTAAATTCTGCTTGCTTTGTTACAACTATTTAGGTCCTTCAGTCAAACCTCAGTAGAAGCGTCATGTTTGCTATGGTCTCTGAAAGCACCTCTCTTTTCTAATCACTGTTTTTTACGATTTGAATGCATTCTTCGAGCACAAACCTCAAATTTAAAACTGATAGCAACAATCCAGCATAACACCATCTTGAACTTTGCAGCACAAAAATGAATTGTGTTAGAGTACATGCATCATATGTCTTTTTCACAAAAGAGATTTACATACACACACACACACACGTTCATATAAACACACTCAGAGGTGCTCCCTGTACCTGTGGGCTGATCTGAGGTCTCTGCACTTTCTCTGGGCAGCTTCTCCACCAAGAACATGAGCAGGGAGCGGATCTCAGGCTCGTTGCTGTACAGAAACGTCTGGTAGCCAATCTCTCCTTTGTAACCAATGTCCTGAAAAACAACATTTTGTGATGTTAGAGACAGTTCAACAGAAACTGCAAGTATAGTCAGCCCTTCATAAGTTGAGCCTCGATTAGCTTTTCCATCTTCTCATGTTTGTCCATGTTATACAATACCAATCTCTACAGACGCTTCGAGCAGTTTCTGGATGACCAGTAAAGCTTGTACCTACTAGCAAGAGTAGCCATTCAAGCTCCACAATTATTACCCATTTGTACTTCAAAATTGATGTGCAACAGCATAACATAGGAGGCCCACATTGTGTGATTACATGCAGAAGCCCAACAACTCAACACACATGGAAGGAGCTTCACATCAACAAACTCAGACACACACACACACAGCACTGTTCGGTCCTGTCAACTCACTCATCCTGTAATACCTCTAACACGGTGTCAGCATTCTTAAGTGTCTTAAAAATGACTAAATTTACCAAAAGTTGGTTTCAAAGGTAAACACTGCTTTACTGTTATGATGTCATTATTTCACTTCAGTTTTCTACAGCATTCACCCACATTATGGTTTTCTCTCTGTATGAAGTTTGAATACATTTTAACTAAACCAAGACACTTTGATCAATGAATCACTTAATGAATACATTTCTATCAGTATAGACAAAACTTACCTCATAGCTCATTAAAAACAAAGTTCTTTGTTACATGTTTTATTGCTGGAGCCCAGCCTGAGCAAACACTTGGCAGATGTGGCCGAAAGCAACTAATTAACTGAGTAAGTGGACTTTGATTTATCCATCAGCTTTTAATGACAGTGTTTCCCACCACAGACTGTGGTCCTCAAAGCCCAGTTTATGGATGCCAGAGGAGCAGATACACAATATTGGTTGGATAAAATATGTGTATATGTTACATTATTCTTCATTTCAGCCACATTGGTCCATGTTACCATACAGTTTCACATTATAGTTGTCATCTTCTCTTAGGCTATTCCCTATGAGACCAAATATTCTAATGTTACAAACACAAAGTGCCTCCAGCAATATAATATATATAACTCTCAGTGTTGTTGTAAATTTCATCAGTGTAATGGCACCTTCATTTTTTCAACTCAAAGCAGCAATAATTAATATCTAATTACTGGTTAATTAGATACTGGGGTCTTACCTGGCAGGCCTGTGCAAGGCTCATACCCACCCTGAAGCGGGCAGACATGCCTGGAGGGAGGGAGGTGGGCAGCCCGCCGCCCAGGCCGGGGTTTATGACACGGATACATCTGACCACTGCCTCCACTATCAGCTCACTGGTGAACTGTTTGACACTGTCCACCTCCTCGCTCACCTCTCTGTGGGTCACACAAAGCATCTGGGTTGGTGTTTGGAATTTAATTCAAACTTATCAAAAAAGAGAAATATTTGCAGAAAAAAGTAGACAAACAGGTTAAAAGTAATATTCCAAAACAATGAAAAACAATGCTGTACAGACTCCACAGATCGCAGCCCTCTCTACTGGTCACTGATTATTATCTAGAAAGCTGCTTCATACAAGTAAAGAAAAAGTTTACATTTGTTACCAGTCACTTTATCATACAAATTATGAAACTGATTAAATGTATTTCACCAATCGATCAAAAATCTTGATTCTGCAAGATGTAAACCTATGTAGACATATCATATTTATTGTCATTGTCATGCAAAATACTGAGCAGCAGCCTTTGATGATGCATTTGAAAAGAAATCCATGAAAAAGTTTTGATTGAACTGAACTGAAAAGTAACTTGAAATGATATATTTTACAAACTGTTTGCTGCTGTAGGGTATTGTATCACAATTACAGTACATTAAAGCTTGATACAATTCAGTTTAAATGTATTAAGTCTAGAAAAAGGACTCTCAACCTTGAAGTCCTGACCCTGATGAGGGTCACAGGAATATTTCTGAGGTCACCAGATGGTTGTGGTCATACACTAACATACAGCACATAAAATAAAAGATTTTCAGAGTGGACGGTGGCTGTTATATCATTTCACCAGTGAAATATCAAGTTTGAGGATTGTCCTGAACAGGCAGCATGTTTTCTGCGAATCTGCTGCTGCGAGTGATAGCTCAGGCTGTCGTAACACAAAGGCTGTGTAGACTTTTCAAGGCGCTGCACACCTACCATATTACTGTTTGGGGTCATGAATTGAAAAGGTTAAGAGCAAGTCTTGAATATATGAAATTCTACTAACTTGAACTACTTAAGTGAAAATATTTAACTATTTTGGAATACTAAAAATTTTAGAGATGCACTTGTACATTTTCTATCAATTACTTTTGTCTTACAGTATGTAGATTGGGATTATTGGCTCATAGATTGGGTAGCATATCATAAAGTATCATATTTATTCATATTATCATCTGATATTAGACACCAAAGACCCCTGATCACTTAGGTAAGATCATGCTTTATCCTAAATATTCAGGTGGTGCGAGTTGCAGGTTTTAGATGATGCAAAAAAGAGACCCATGGTACAGTCTATAATGATGTGAGGCAGTTACTGCTGGATATTTCTCCTCAAAACCCTGAAACATTATTCATATTGGTAAGGGTTTGAAGTGGCTGTTTAAGTTTGTTGTCTCAAAATCTTGAATAAGAAAGCAACAATCTTTTTAATGAGTGTTATTATTATCTTGTTCTGTTTTATGACTCTACGATGCTATTGTTCACAAAATAATTAGAGAAAATGTTAATAAAAACAGAGTAATTACTAAATGGCATCATAACTAAACAGGGCACCTGCAAATACACCAAGAGTCACAGTTGTTTTCCTTTTTTTTTTCTCAAACTCGGGGTCGAAGGCACAAAGTTGGCCTGAAATAACCTGCTCAGCATACTGACTCTGATCATATGACAGACAGTTTGAAGCTCATCCAGGACTGATACAGAGGTTAAAAGCTAGTAAACCCATATTAGTCCACGGGCCAGCCGTTTCCACAGCAGGGTTACCACTAACACACACAGCTGGGCAGAAACAGATCAAATAGTACTTACGTGCCGACTTGTTTGAGGGCGTGAATCAAAATCTTGTCCACTTCTTCCATCTTTTTCTGAAGATATGCTTGCTAGCTAACAGGCAGGTTTATAGCGGAGCATCTGATGCTGGCTGGGTCACTTATTAACATAAAGTTAGCTGATGTTAGTGTGGGTTATCCATGGCTGAAAGCAGGCTACAGAACTAGCTTCCATCTTCTGAGAGCTCACTCAGGAACTAGCCGTTAACAGCTAGGTAGACCTCCCTGACAGAAACCATCGTAAATATCCGCTGCACCGACACTAAAACGCGTTTTTAAAAAGAAACGATTCCGCTACATTCCGCTCAAACTGAAGCTCAGCCGGGCTAACTCACAGAAACGTAACAAATCTGACATTTCTGCCTTGTCCAGTGTGGAAACGAAGTAATGGGGGAATGCAGTGGCGGTGTTGGTGGGAGGTGAAGTTTCATCCTCATCTGCTACAAAGACGAACAAATGGGAAGTGAGCGAGCTACGAATACATTTCCCAGCATGCATCATATGGGACTGTCTCATGACCGGAAAACTGCTGGATCGCTAGCTAGATGTGTGGTCGGGATTGGATATGAACTGTGACAGTAAATTAGAACCGCAAAAATAGTGAATTATATTTCCTCCTGCGATTGTTTTTCTTTTTATAATTCAGTTGTGGAACTAATGAATATAAATTATAAAAATCATTAACTGGAAAAAACACAAACAACTTTTCTTTTGTTGTATTTTAGTTCATTTTGGGAGGATGACTAGATTTTAAATTACTGCAGAGCATGCCAATTCCAGTTTAGAATGATTTAAGACTTATTATAAAGAACAGAAAGAAGTTACTTTATACAACAGGTAAAAAAAAATGTACAGAAATCTAGATTTTATTAGAACTTTCTGTATCTTTCACATTCAATAATTTGACCTAAAACTACAAATTACTTTTTTATTTTTATTTTTTTTGCTCTTCATTTGAGCTGGATGCAATGCAATAACGATCTGAAATAAAGGCAAACACATTTGGAAATAATTAAGCATTTATTTGTGTTTTCAAAAATATTTTGTTCACAAATTGTTTTGGTGTCATAATTTATTTGCAATTCTGAGATATATTTTATACTTGTCTAATTATTTTTGTGTTCTCTAAAGAAGATTTTGAGTTCATATGCAACGTGAACACAAAAATGTGTCATGTAAATAATTTCAGGGGTTTGTGACATTTTTATTCGATAAAAAGTTATTGTATATTACTGTTTTTGTTCTTTTATCTTCTTTAAATGTTTTTGCCAACGATATTCAGGGTTACCGTACAGGCCTGTTTTTTTGTTTGTTTGTTTGTTTGTTTTTTCTTTTTATGAATTATGAACAAACAAACAAGGCACTTATTTATCATAAAAGGAAATTACGGAATATTTCCCTTAGATTGAGCATGAATGACATCAAAAAAGAAAAAAAAACACAATTTCAATGTTAGAGGCCATTCTAGATCAATTCGAACATTTCTAGTAAAGAAAATAGGCATAGGGCTTTCTTGTCTGTAACAAGTTTTAAGGATTTACAAAAAAAAAAGGTAGAAGCGCATTCTTCCAGTGAGGTAGGCATGGTCTTGTTTTAAAATATCGACACCTGTGAATGAAGAACTTCCCCAAAAGCAACAAAGCATTTAGAACAAAATCCACCTGTTGGCTATGGTGCTTATGCTGTGGCCATTGAGGGAAACGAATGCACAAACAGCTTTGTCCAGCAGGTGGCGGTAAGTCGCTGTAAATCCTCTGTGAAATCAGAGCAGAAGAAGATCACGAACCAGAGGAACTCGGCTGGTGCCGCTGCCCCCCATCATGTTATTGATCACCATGTCGGTGTGAAGGAAAATAAAACTAAGAACCACCATCCGGATCCGAGACGGAGTCTTTAAGATGGCCGGAGAGGAGGAGAGGGGGGTGGTTCGAGTGAAAGTGAAGGTAGGACGTTTACGGTGTTATTAGCAGTTAGACTGCCAGAGGCTGCTAGTTAGCGAGCTAACCCCGTTATCCTGGTTATTAAACTGTTAATATTTGCTGGCTGTAAACGCAAACACACCGACAGGTGGACACACCTTTGGGACAGTTTGTACAGTGGTGTTTATACAGAGCGAGTCTCCACCTTTACCCGTGTTTTTAACCATTCTGTCTTGTTGTTGTTGTTGTTTTTAACTGCGGTCTTTGACAACCGGAAGAGACACCTGAGAATCACACCTGTCACATTATTATGAGCGCCTGTAACAGCAGCTTTAAACAGACACTTAGAGAATCCCATTTTATTCCCTGTTATCGGGATGAAAGCTGACAGCAATGAGACCCCAGACCGGGCTGACGTCACCTGCCTGCTCAGCATTTACGTGCGTGGATGTGGATGCGTGTGGCAGGGCTCCATGACGTCATGTTTTACCTGAGGAAGAGGTTTTTCGTGGCCTCTGCTCTCGCGCTCCTCTTATAAAGAGCATTATATATGTGTGTGTATTCTTGATCTGAAACTTCTCCTGGACTCAGTGTATTCAGACACAGTTTCATTTCTGAGAGACATCTTTTCTGTTTGAGAAAATACAGAAAAAGGAGACTTCACTGCTTTTTTTTTTGTTTTAACTTAGACCACGTCCTGAGACTTTCAATTTAGACTAGGTAATCCTAAAACGTCTGCATCCTTTTTTTGAACACAAAGAGATCTATGACACTAAGATTTCAATTTGTGAAATGCTTTAAGGAAGATTTCACTATTTGTTTTAAACTCCACAGGTGCTTTTCAGCCAAAAGCACCCTGAACTTTTAGTGTCAGGGACTTCTCTCTCAGAGGACATAATGCAAACCAGGCCAGTGACATTCAGGGATGGTATTTGGAAATGAAGTAACTTGCACAGCTCTGTTTTTAAGTCTGCTAATCCAGTGGTTCTCAAGGCCAGTCCAGCTCTAACACACTTGATTCAAATGATCAGCTCGTTATCAAGCTCTGTAATGGCTTAATAACGAGCTGATCATTTGAATCAGGTGTGTTGGAGCAGAGAAACATCCAAAACATGCAGGACAGTGGGCCTCGAGGACTGGACTTGAAAACCACTGTGCTAATCTACTGTATCATTTTTTAACAGCCAATGCCAAGACTGATAGTGTGGCAACAGGCGGGCCATAACAGCTGAAATCATAGTATTGATTTGAGGAAACTAACAACTGAGATAAGAAATGTCTGAGCTTGAGTAAATATTTCACCTAATAATGTTTGGCTTAGTAAAACAGCTTCCTCAAGAGACTTTAATTTCTGTCAAGCTATGCAGAATTACAGAGAGAAAAAGGTCAAGTTTGGGTTGAAATCAAAACCAAAAAAAAGATAGGTTTACATCTATTTATTCCCATAAGGATTTTGATGAAAAGACAGATACACTGAGCAAAGTTTACTGATCACTGTTGATGGTGTGCTGCCGCTATCTATATCTATTCCAAATATTGGTTATTGTTCTCATTATGCCTTAAAAAAAACCAAATATCTTTTTGCCCCTAAATGAAAGACATCTGAGAAATAAAATAATGTTTTTGACCGGTTCGTGTTTTTGTTATTTTTATTACATTGCCTGTTCCACTGACATAATTAGTTGTAGTGCTGTTCCAGATTGGCTGCGTGTTAGCTGTGTGACAGCTGCAGGTGGTGGCTCTGACTAACAGCCTGGTCGTGATATTCACACATTGTTATGCAGCTACATGGAGGTGGGGATGCAAATAACAACGGTATTAAAGGGGTGAGTTGAGAAACGGATGTGAACTACAGCTTTAGGGGTTAAAACAAGTAGTGAAATCTCCCTTTTTAGGAATGTTTACCAGTTGTATAATGGTGCAAGTCTGATATCCTGCTTCAAAAAGCCTCTTGACTCGCTGGGATAATCTAGTGTAAATCTGGCAAGTCTAGATCTAGCGATTCTAAAGCTATTTTCTTCACAGTTGAATAGGCAATCTGCAAATCAGGTGGTAACTCTACCATCATTCAGAAGTGTTCTGTCTTCAGTGAGCCTGTGTGGTCGAAAATGTGGCTGTGATAAGATGAGGATAGTGCATGTGATGCATGTATCCATTTCTCTTTTGAAACTCAAGAATTAAATCTCAAGATTAATGGGCAAAATATTACACCAGTTCAAGTAGGACAATTACTCTGTCTCTTATTTTTACATTGTGAGAAAGACCAGTTTATTAGCAGGACTCTTATTATCCCTTTTATCTTCTAGATTTGTAGCCAGACTCAAGCATACATTGTGAGTTGTTGCAGGATAGTATAAAACTAAAAGATGTCATTTTAGTGTCTCATGATTATATTAAATTCAGTCCCTCCTGTTAAAAAATTGTGTATTATTCAGTTGTGTCATAATGTTTTTGTAATCGTGATGTGATGTTTTTCAGAAATGTGACGGTGCCCTGCCTGTGGAGTTTCGCTCCTTTGCTGTCGATCCTCAGATAACATCACTGGAGGTCCTGCAGCACATCCTCATCAGAGCTTTTGATCTGAACGGGTGAGGACAAACTCACTAGCTTTTACTGTGTCCCAGCAGCCCCTCCAGTGTTTGTGTGTGTGTGTGTGTGTGTCAGCATTTTCTTTTCCTTTTTTCAAACTAGGAAGCGGAATTTCGGGATCAGTTACCTTTCTCGGGACCGGAGTGGAGCTGAAATGTATCTGTCTCTGCTGTCCGACTGGGATTTGGATGTTGCCTTTCTCTCTGCAGCAAAACCTCATCTGCAGCTCAAGATGGACATCAAACCTTCAGAGGACAGTAAGGGCACTGGTTCATCACTAGTTTTTTCTCATCACTTACATTAGATGTGTCAATCAAAGGTGTCTATGATGATCAGTCATCTTTTAATCTGCTGTTTTTCCTCACCTGCAGGTCCTGTGATGGAGGACTGGGACATCATCAGCCCCAAAGATGTGATCGGCTCTGAGCAGCTTGCAGAGAGGACCAGGTCCTTGGCGTCTGCAGCTCTTCCATTCACTCAGTCTCTGCTGTCTCAGGTTCACTCCGCTTCTCCAGTCATCATCCTCTCTTCAACCCTGTGTCAGTCTGGGTTTTTTTCTGATGTGCTTTGTTTGCCTTGTGTTCAGGTTGGTCGGACCCTTACCAAAGTCCAGCAGGCCTTCAGCTGGACTTATGGGGAGGAGATCAAACCTTTTAAGCCCCCTTTGAGCGACGCTGAGTTCCACAGTTATCTGAACGGACAGGGTCAGCTGACACGACCCGAGGAACTCAGACTGAGGATCTACCATGGCGGTGTAGAGCCCTCATTGCGCAAGGTGCATCACCTGTGATCTGTCTCCATAAAATATCAACCTAGTGCTCTGCAGACCCCCACATGAAGGCTGATGCTTCAAATAATATGATTCGTTTATAAAAGTGGAATTAACCTCTGCACTGTTCCTGCACCCAGGTTGTATGGCGATACCTCCTGAACGTCTACCCTGACGGACTGAGTGGACAGGAGAGGATGGACTACATGAAGAGGAAGACAAGAGAGTACGACCAGCTGAAGAGGGAGTGGACGGCCCGGGTCAGCCTAGAGGACCTGGAGTTTATCCGTGGAAATGTCCTGAAAGACGTCTTGAGGACAGACCGGGCACATCCTTACTATGCCGGCTCAGAGGACAGTCCACATTTGACGTCTCTCACAGACCTGCTCACCACGTTTGCAATTACTCATCCACAGGTGTGTAGATTTCACACCCGTAGAATCAAAAAGTCTTATTTCTGGAACTTTTTGCATCTTTTTAGTCCTTTTAGATCACACCCTCTCATACTGTGCACCCATTTCACACTGGATTTGGGAATGTGAAAATATCTCATAAGACAAAATCAGTAAAAGAAAAAAAAGAATCGAAATTTTAAACAGCAGAGGGCACTCTCTGCCTTTGACTTTATTGACATTGTTTCTCAGGTCTGTAGATGAAAAGAGGTGGAGATTTTGAAGTTCAGGATGCACTGTCAGTGTTTCCCACACATAGACACACAATACCTGTGCAGACACCTAAGTTTGTGAACATAATGTTGGTTTAAATTTTTATTGCAAACCCAGCAGGGTAAATTTGATTGTATTTAGTGTTCATTGTACTGTTACACCTATTATACATCTGAATGTGTCAGAAATGTTTTCAAGATAATCTTTTTCTTCCCATTTATCAACCACAAAACCTTTGCAAGAACTTACTTGAGCTTATTTAAGACCAGTTTCAACCAAAATTATCATGCCATTTTACAACAGAGGATTAGGACTAGATTAAGGAGGAAAACAATTCTGAATACGCCAATCATTGAGAGATGAGGTAAATCAACCTTTGATACAGTAGTACAAAAACTGAAAGTAATAGTGCCGCTTTTGTTGAAAGATGAGAACACAGAGTATCTGTGTACTGAGAGTATTATGCTCCACACTCACCACTGTGAGCTACAGCCTGCCTTTCTGATCTTTCTCTTCAAAGTAGAAGATGGACGACAGACTGAAATTACATCTTGTACAACAAATTTACCACTGGATTTTCAAGGTCAGGAGTATGATTTGTTCCAAATACTCTGTCTCCCCATGGTGCTGATACTGAGTCGTGCATCATCAGGAACTTAGTACTTTAGTGTGATTAGTTGGTCGGCCGTTAATACGGTTCAGGTTAATGTGCAGTAATTTTCCTGTAGGACTTAATTCAAATGTCAGAAAGACCTGCTTTTATAAATGTGATGTGTTTTAACCTTTGAAAAACAAAGAGGAAATTTGTGCTTAAAGATGATTTAAAGGTGCTTCACAAGCCTTCAACTGAATATTTAGTTTTCTTCATATCTGTATTTCATACTTAGTGTGTTGTCTCTAAAAAATGTGCCTTTTTTTGTCGTTTTAAAACTTAAACCTCTGTGACTTTGTTTTTTTTCAGATCTCATACTGTCAAGGCATGAGTGATATTGCCTCCCCTATTCTTGCTGTTATGGACAATGAGGCTCATGCCTTCATCTGCTTTTGTGGCATCATGAAACGCCTGGAGGGGAACTTCAGGCCTGACGGACAGCTCATGTCTGTGAAGTTCCAGCATCTAAAGCTGCTTCTGCAGTACTCGGACCCTGAGTTTTACTCTTACCTGGTGTCCAAAGGAGCGGATGACCTCTTCTTCTGTTACCGCTGGCTACTTCTGGAGCTGAAAAGAGAGTTTGCATTCGACGATGCTTTGAGGATGCTGGAGGTCACATGGAGCTCCCTGCCTCCAGATCCTCCTGAAACTGAAGTGGAGCTTCTGGGACCGCCGCTGGAGGCTGAGGAAACAGTATCCTGTAGAGATAAGGACAAAATGGTAGAGAATTGCCTTGGGGATGATAAGGAGCTGAAGGAGAAGCAGCGCAGACGGCACATGCTGAGGCCTTCCAGAGAAGAGCCAGATATGAACCGGAATAATATTGTCGAAGAGAAAGAAAATGAAAAAGGAAACGAGGACAGTGACAGTCACAGTCCTCAAGCATCCATGGAAAAATCAGACATGCAAGCCACTCCGTTTGAGAGGCAGACTAGTTTTGGAGAGTTTAAATACTACACAGCTCGAAATGAGGACAGCTTTGATATGGAGGATTCTGAGCCACAGCAGGACATGGTGGTCTCAAAGTCCTCAACAAGTATCCAAAGCCGCCAGTCAACAGTAGACAGTGAGGAGGACCCCGGAGAGAGAACCCCTCTCATGAAAAACTGTGAAAACGGCCTCTCTCCAATGTCCTCCCCTCCTCTTTTCCCAAGTGGCCTCCCAATCTGGAAACCTGGCTCTTCTGTGTCACCTACATCTTCAGCCTCACCCTCCAGCTGGCCGGGTGCTTCTCCAGACTCTCCTCCGAAGTTAACATCCCCATCGGCATCAAACGGAAGAGACACCTTTACAAGAACTGTCCAGAAAGTCTTGACCACTTCTGCTCAAGTCCTCGGCAGCACGGGGATTAACTCGCCCACAACACCCACTCTGAAAACATCTGTTGCATCTCCCTCCCACACTCAGAGCCGCTCCCTTCTCTCCTCTCCCATCCTGTCGTTTGGAAGCAGGTCTGGAAGCAGGTTGTCTTCCAGCAATCTCCCTTCGCCTGGGAACAAGACCCCCAGCACTGCAGCAAACACGCCCGGCTCTTTGAAAGGGGAGACCACCAGCATCAAACCGTGTTCCCTGCCTCCTCCTCAAGAGTTTGGGAAAGGGAATCCCTTCATGCTGTTCCTGTGCCTGTCCATCCTGCTGGAGCACAGAGACCACATCATTAAGAACAGCTTGGATTACAATGAGCTGGCCATGCACTTTGATCGGCTTGTGCGGCGCCACAATCTGAGCAGGGTGCTGCAGCGAGCCAAGGCCTTATTTGCGGACTACTTGCAGAGTGAAGTGTGGGACTCTGAAGAAGGGGACGAGGTCAGCTCGGACTCGCCAACGACGGCCACTGCTGCCCCGCAGTCCCCTTCTTCCACCGTCTCCGCCAGACCTATCTACAGCCCTTTAGCATCGCCACAGGCATCATCTCCGAACTCAACCTACAACCTCGCCACCACCATCCCCTCCCCAGCCTCTCCAGTTGCAGTTTCTCCCACTTCCTGATTCCTTCACGCCTCCTCTCCTCAGTGGACTCCTCAGTAGACTGTTTGTGGAGCTGCAGACTCCTCCCTGGAGTCTGGACTGAGCTGTTTATAATCCCATTCTGTGTATGCTTGAAAACAAATATCCCTTATGTCTATAGTCATCCCAATATTTGATTATTCATCAGCCTTTAAACTTTTGTTGTCTGTCAGAGGGACTAAAGAGCTAACCTCCTTATCTTTCGCTCTGAAGTTGCAGATGCATGAAATGTTAAACCTGTGAATCAGGTGTTTAGAGGTTAGACAGTCTGGCTGTTTGAGTTTACCCAAACCAACAAAAGCCACTTAGTGCATTTAGCCTTTGTTGCCCTCCTTATACTCTTTGTTTACAGGCTCCTGTTTTTGTCCAATAAGCCACAAAAGTGTCTTAACAAAAGCTAAAAACTAGTAAAACCCAGATTGGATTGCTGAAAGTCATGCTTTAAGTTGTGTTTGACGACTTTTACAGAAACTAGATAAAGCCAGCGCACATACTGTACTCTCCCATCTTCTCAACTCTTCTTACCATCAGCCTTAAAGGACATTCCAGTTGAAAGTTAAACCTCTACTGAGCTGTTTCCCCGAAGTGTTTTCAGACAGAACATAGAGGTAATGTCAAATTTATTATGATTGATTATGAATTCAAAAGAAACCGGCTGCAGGGCTCGAATAGGAAGAGTCCGTCTAATCCATACAGAGAGGATAACTGCCAGTGAATTAGGATATTCTGACTTCAGTCCTATAACACAAGGATTAAAATCAGAAATTTGATATTTAAATCTGAATTCTGGGATTAAAACAAGAATATTAGAATTAGAATTCAATCTGGAATTAAAAATAAAGTTTTCAAGTTTTCATGGATTAAAAACTATAATCCAGGGATCACAGTTAGTATTCTTAGGTCAGAATACTGAGATTTAAATTTAAATTAAAATTCTGAGATTTGAACAAGAATTCTGAAATACGAGCCAGAATAATTAGAATAAAGTAATAACTAAGAGATTTACACAATAACTCTGCGCCTAATTCAGACTTTCTGTGATTAAATTCAGAACTCTAAGATAAATTAAAAAAAAATTAAGATGAAAGTCAAACCTCTGAGATTAAAGTGGTAATTCTAAAACTTGAAAGAAAAAAGTTGGACTTCCAAAATTAGGGTCAAATTTCTTTGGTCAAGTCAGAATTCTTGGATTAAGACCGGAGATTCATTTTGGGATTATTGCAGATTTTAAATATATGGTTATCTAGAAAAGCTTCTGGTCAGACTTTTTGGGATAAGGTCAGGATGTTCGGTTTTGACGAGAATTTATTTTTTGTCAGAATTTTGAGATTAATGTCAGAATTCTGAATGTATTCCAGTTAAAATCTAATATGACCAGGTACTCTGAGGAAAAGGGGACGTTTTCTAGGCTTGAATCAAAATTCTGAGAATTTATTCAGATTTCTGACCTTTATTTTTTGCAATCACGTGAGGTGAACATTTGCTTTATGTTCTGTCTGAACTCACTTATGTTCTGTCTGAGAGGGTAATCCTGAAGCTGTAACAGAATTTCATCGAGCTTGGGCATTAAAATTACAGATTTATAGCAGAAAATCTCTATTTCTAAGGGATGCAGCAGTTCACATACAACACATTACTATCATTATTCTTATTATTATTAGGCACACTGATTTTAAATAAAAGAAATCTAATCTACTTGCATTTGTGGAAAAAAATGGTTTCCACTTGGAATTGGGTCTATTTGGTGACTCCAACCTTGTATACCTGTATTTTTGAAAGGCTTTACAATCATTCAGCCACATCAGTGAAACAGCACCTTCTGGAGCTTTAATGTCGCTTAAAAGGTTTACTGCTACGTAAAGCTGGTCTTCTGTTATTTTCTTTCCTAAGTGCAGCAGAAGTTTAGTTCATGGGGCGTGTGACAGAGGATTTAAACTTAGACTTGCACCATCAGAGATTCTTGGGTTAGTGCAATGATTCATGATAAGCTTGACAGGTGAAATCATTTCAAATACTTTTAGGGTGTGCTTTTCAACGTTGGTAGATAAGAAAAGGTCCTTTTTAAAACAAGACAAGGTAGCTGATCATTTTGTGACTAACCATGCCAAGAAGTACTGTAGACATCAGGTTTTTGTTGATTCTGTTGATTTATTGTGTTTGCAGGACTCATGAACTCAAATGCAACAGTACTTTATAATTTATTCAATACTCTGGTGGATTGTTTTCAAAGATGTATTATTTTAGCACTTTTTTCATTACTTAAGAGAGGTAGGGTCATGAAAGATGGATATGAGTGGGAATTCTGAGATGAAAGTCCAAATACTGACATTAAAAATAGAAATCTTAGGTATTTTTCAGCTATGAGAAAATCAGAGCGATAGAGACCTGAGATCATGGTTGAAATTCAGAGAGAAAATTAATAATTCAGATTAAAACCGAGTTCTGAGATGATCTGATAATCTGAGATTTAGTCCAGAAAAAGAGAAGAAAGACAGAATTTCAATAAGAAAGTCAGGATTCCGAGATAAAAGTCAGAATTTTGACTTCTCACAATTTGAAGATTGAAGTCTGAATTCCAAGATTAAAGACAGAATTCCAAGATGATATTCATATTTCCGAAGAAAAGGTTGGATTGCTGGAAAACAGAATGTCACTAAAATTAAGGTTTAACCCTAAAAGGAAAAAAGTGGCCCCGGGCCTCTCTGTAGGTAACTGAGGGTTCCCAAAGACATTTTTTCTTGTTGTTTTGTTTTTGTTTTGTTTTGCACAGTTTCAGGCATTGGTGTTTTTTGTACTTCTGTTGTTGCTGTTAAAACAGGGGCGGTCCGTGCTGCGTATATTTTTAATCATTCCTCTGTTCCTCTGTATAACAGTAAGATTATAAAGTGTAACACTATAACACTTGAAGTGGCCGAAGACAAAACTATAAGCTCCTGTACAACCTTTTGGCAGTGAAGTGCCTCACTTGTTTCAATCTGAAGCCTTGTTTCATGTTTTGTTTTGTGCTCTTTGTTTGTGTCTTTTCTGTGCCATCATGGGCAGATTTAATTTGCCTGTTACAGGGTTCAGTAATACTAGAATCAAATAAGTATCTTTTCATGAGAAAGTGTTGCTCTCTTGGACTTACTCCTGATCCTGTTTTCACATGCTTCATAATTAATAAATTGCAGCTTGAAGAGTTAGTTTTATGGTCAAAATTTAAGGGCTTCATGCTCAAATATTAAGAGCTCAAAATTTGGATTCAGTTGTAAGAAAAAGCAACCACTAAGCAGGAGTATGTCCATGTGGAAACAGGATATTTTTCTGTTGTCTCTGTGTTTTCATGTAAAAAATGACATTGATATGGCTCAGCCTTATTTAATGTGCACTATCTGCTTAAATAATGTCGATGAATGCTGTGCATGGCTGCAGATTGAAAGGGAAATAATTTGAGCATAATGTTTGTGTAATGTGTGTTTAAAGCCTGATTTATGTACATCATGGTTTTGTTACAGTGAGCCAATCTGTCTCAGTTCATTGTTGGTGTATTGGACCTTTACAGAGATCAGAACTGTGGGATATTTGGGATCAGGTGCCACCAGAACAATGACAAGGAGGTCGTGTTATCTCTGCATTTCATAGCTTTATTCTTTGTTTTCAGTGGCCTATATTATATTTTTTCAGTGGTCTGTGATGACTCCACCTCCAGCAGGGACAGGTTCAAGCAGAAACTGAAGTAATTCTGAAATCTCCGGAAAAATCCTCGATGTGATTATTGTGGTAATTATATTCCAACATTTGATTTTACTTCTCTTTGTATATCAGTATTGAAAAGCATATTTAAAAAGAGCTGAAGTAACTGGACTAGCTGGACTCTGAGCTAGCAATATGTGCATTTGTAAACAAAAAAAAGGATTTGTTTATCTCGTTAAATTATATATGTGCACAAAAGTAAAGATTTTTAATCATACAACACAACAATGTCATTGTATATTGGACACAAATAAATAATCAATGCAATTAAATGATTGAAGGATGGGTGTTTATTCTTTTAAGGAGATGTTACAGAAGTAGGGAAACGTCAAAAACCAACATGAACCATCTGTACCTCACATAATGGTTATAATTTATCAAGATACACTATATTTTCTTATACATGTTATTTTTTCCGTCAGTGTCATTTATGTGAATATGACAAACTGAGTATTTCTGTTCTAGAGATTGTAACACAAAATAGTAAGAGTAATACTGAACTCAACACTCTGCATTAGAACTGCACTGGTATAGCTTACTCTTATTCAGTACAAGCACTTATATTATTCTATATAAGACCATTTCAGAGTATGATAAATAATAAAAAAAAAAAAACTGTAAAAGTGAGAATTGTAATAACAGACTTTTTAAAATCCAAACTTCCCAAAATATAAACAAATTAATTTGAAAAACACATGTAACATTTAGCCTCCATATTAATTTCTTACAGACAGATTTAACAATGGTAACATTCAGTGTTACCATTGTTCTACAAACATAGAAACAGCCGAATACCTGTTTTTTTACTTTGTAATTATTATTAATAATCAATAGAAATCAAGCCATATTTGGTTTAGATCCATATTTAAATGCTTTAAATGCATTTACATCAATAAAGAAATGTAAAGAAATGTTAAAACTGTCAAAGCCAGAGAAATGGTTAGACCCATGATGCAGTATTATAATCCAGTCTAGACCCCCTGGAGGATTTCTAATTCTTTCTATCCTTTTCTTCTTGAAAGAAAGAAAGAAAGAAAGAAAGAAAGAAAGAAAGAAAGAAAGAAAGAAAGAGAAATGAATTTCTGGTTCTGACCCCAGTATTTGTAAACAGTCTTGATGGTGCACTACCACTCATCTCCTCTTGGTGTCACTAACTGGCTCTGTGACTCTCGGAAACGAAGAAGAAGAAGAGAGGTTAAGTCTGTTTTCTGGTTCCGGAGTTAGCATTACCCTTCGCTAACAGGCAGGATGTTGACCCGACTATTGCGGTTCGGGCCCGCTTTGCCCCGGTTAATCTCACGTCAGCCGGCCCGGTTCGTCTCTCAGACGAAGTCGAGTAGTGCTGCCGGTACGGCCTCAGTGACGGAACTGCACGGGCCGGTGGACCAGGGTGGACACGGAGAGGTCGACCCTTACGTCAAGGTGAGCTTCTGTCCGTGGGTCCAGCAGTTTCAGAATCAGCTTCCTGAGTGCAAAATATTAGGGAATGAGTGGATTTAATGATCTACAGAACCTAATATCATTAAAAGATTCAGATAATCTTGAGAGATCTCTGTACTAAAGGGACAAGGACCGATACCGAGATTGGATGGTCCTGATCTCCTGGCCCTCAGCCAGCACTGCATTGAAAACAGACAGGAGTCTGGAGTGGAAATCCAAATCCACGCGCTCCAAATCACTTCCAAAAACCATTGTCTGTGAAGACAGTTCATCACTGCATCCACACATAAGAATAAGACTGAACTCTGCCGAGGGGAAACCAGGTAGAAACATGATCTAGAAATGCCGGTGACTTCTCTTGGCCCTTTTCAGGTGGAATGAGGTGAAATAACAAATGGTCCTGCGGTGTGAGGATTTTAAATCTGACATTTTTATTTGGAATCAGGCTCTGCATCCTCAGCACTGACGATATGGGGATCACCAGAGTCCGTGTCATGGGTAGCTTCTACATTTGTGAAGACTCCACCAATGCAGATCAATATCTACAGGTTTAGGAGCAACATCTGCTGACATCCAGACAATGACTTTATCAGAGAAGACCTTCATATTTTTGCAGGACAATGACAAACCACATTCTGCAGGGATTACAACAGCATGGCTCTGTGTTGGTTGCATCAAATCTAGTTTTAAGTTAGTATTTTACACAGACGCTGTTCTGTTTTGGAATTCGAGTTGTTGTTACGCTTGAACAAAATTTATACATAAGAATTTATGAATACTGGACCCATGTAATAAGTGTTTTCCAGAAGGTACTCAGTAATCTTTCTGTCTAATAGTTTTTTTTAAACAATAATCCTTCATCTATGCCATAAATAATTAAATCTTAATTAAACTAAATGTCTTTTTCTAAAACATTTTTCCTAAAGTTTGGTGGATTTCAAGCAGATAGAGTAGCCTTAACATACTGTAGCTTAAGTTTTCTCAAATGTGGTCTTTCTAGTCCTTTTTTAAATTAGTATTGTTTTATAGGCTGATGGGTTGCTCCATGCACAACTAAGCAGCAAATGTTCTGATATAAAATCCAAAATTGTCGTATTTCTTTTGAAAAATCATCAAAGATAATTCAGTTTTAAGAAAATCTGTGTTTTTAATTAGTGACAGAGTAATCAATAATGAAAACAAATGTTTATTTCAGACTTCCCAGTGACATAGACTCTACTGGATCAGATGCAGCTCTGACCCTGACTGACCCCTCTGATCCCCTCCTCTGTGTTTGTTCAGAATCCAGACTACCATGGCTTCTCCAGTGACCCTGAGGTTGATCTGTGGAACATGAGGATGGTATTCTTCTGTGGGATCTCGGTGGCATTTGTTCTTGGAGGAACATTTCTCGCCTATTTACCAGACGAGACGTTAGTAATTTTCATTTCGTGTCAAATGTAAATTGATGTTTTCAGGAGTGTCAAAGTGAAGTCTGTGCTGGGAAATTATTTTTGGTGAAAGGGATACATACTTACAGTATCTCACAAAAGTGAGTACACCCCTCACATTTCTGCAAATATTTGATTATATCTTTTCATGGGAAAATACTGAAGAAGTGACACTTTGATACAATGTAATGTAGTCAGTGTTCAGCTTGTGTAACAGTGTAAAGTTATCGTCCCCTCAAAACAATTCAACACACAGCCATTAATGTATACACCCCTGGCAACGAAAGTGAGTACACCACCAAGTGAAAATGTCCAAACTGGGCCCAATTAGCCATTTTCTCTTCCTGCTGTCATGTCCCTTATTAGTGCTACAAGGTCCCAGATGTGAATGGGAGGCAGTTGTGTTAAATTTGATGTTATTGCTCTCACACTCTCTCATACTTATCACTAGAAGGTTAACATGGCATCTAATGGCAAAGAACTCTGGGAGGATCTGAAAAAAAGAATTGTGGCTCTACATAAAGATGGCCTAGGCTATAAGAAGATCGCCAACACCCTGAAACTGAGCTGCAGCACAGTGGCCAAGACCATTGAGCTGTTAAACAGGACATGTTCCACTCAAAACAGGCCTTGCCATGGTTGACCGAAGAAGTTGAGTGTACATGTCCTCCCAGGAGGGAGCCTCTTATAAAGATGATGCACAAGAAAGCCTGCAAAGTTTGCTAAAGACAAGCAGAGTAAGGTAATGGATTACTGGAACCATGTCCTATAGTCTGATGAGACCAAGATAAACCTATTTGGTTCAGAGAGTATCCAGCGTGTGTGGCGGCAACCAGGTAAGGAGTACAAATACAAGTGTGTCCTGCCTGCAGTCAAGCATGGTGGTGGGAGTGTCATAGTCTGGGGCTGCATGAGTGCTGCTGGCACTGGGGAGCTGCAGTTTATTGAGGGAACCATGAATGCCAACATGTACTGTGACATATTGAAGCAGAGCATGATCCCCTCCCTTTAGATACTGGGCTGCAGGGCAGTATTCCAACATGATAATGACACCAAAAACACCCTCAAGACGACAGCTGCCTTGCTGAAGAAGCTGAGGGTAAAGGTGATGGACTGGCCAAGCATGTCCCCAGACCTAAACCCGACTTGGCATCTGTGGAGCATCCTAAGATGGGAGGGGAAGAAGCTCAAGGTCTCTAACATCCACCAGCTCTGTGATGTCATTTTGGAGGAGTGAAAGAGGATTCAAGGAGCAACCTGTGAGGCTCTGGTGAACTCCACGCCCAAGAGGGTTAAGGCAGTGCTGGAAAACGATGGTGGCCACACAAAATATTGACACTTTGGGCCCAATTTGGACATTTTCTCTTAGTGGTGTACTCACTTGTGTTGCTAGGGGTGTACACATTAAGTGCTGCGTGTTGAGTTATTTTGAGGGGACAATAAATTTACACTGCTACACAAGCTGTACACAAGCTGTACACTGACTACTATCAAAGTGTCATTTCTTAAGTGGTGTCTTATGAAAAGATATAATTAAATGTTTGCAGAAATGTGAGGGGTGTACTCACTTTTCTTAGAAACTGTAAGACTCACAGGTTTTCATGATCAAAGCTGAATAAGAGAAACAAATCATTCTTTGTTGTTTCTCATGTCTGTCTGCCTGGTTTGTGTCCCTCTGCAGTTCATGGGCCAGGAGGGAAGCAGAGAATCTCATCGTAGAGAGGGAGGCGGCCGGTCTTCCTCTTATAGATGAGAACTACTATGACCCAAGCAAGATCATCCTGCCCACAGCTGGAGAGAAGTAGAGCATTCAGCCTGCATTCAACGTGTTCATGATTATTGTATTTCACTATGAGAGAATAAATTATGTTGTTTAATTGTGTAGTTATCATGTGTGCTCAATGATTTCTTCAAGTTGCTTTTTAAGAAGTTCTGAGTCATGTGTGAAAGGAGAATCTACAGGGATACATTCAACACCAGTTCTGCAGCTTCTTGAGTTTTGAGCTCAGCCTCAAGTAATTATTTTCAAGCAGTAATTAAGATTCAATCCCCCACCGTGCACATTACTGTAATCTGACAATAACATGCAAGAGTAGAGCGACTATGTTTAATTCCTGCCACTTCAAAAAAGGGCACATTTTGAGGAAAGCATTTTTGCTTAACTTGAGCAGATCTATTTAATTATGCATCCTGTAACTTTGCAATTTTTAATGTCAAATTCAGAAGAAAAAAGTGGTATAATAAATGCTGTAATAAATTAAACAGTTTTTGCCAAATATGAAGCCTAATTAAATTAAACAAAAACACTAACAGGTCTAAATTAACTACTATTGAGTCACAATCTATGGTCATACGCAATTGCATCTCTGGCTCTGTAGATCAAACTGGGAAAAAAATGTTTTTGTTGTTTAGTGTAGTCAAGACTTTTGTTGATAAATCTGTACATAGGTTTATGTTGAATTAAGGTTAGAGAGTGACATGGTCATTAGGAGTGGTTTAATTTGTGGGTGAATTGTCATAATAAAATATATTTGGGTTAAATTTTCCCTTTAAAAAAATAAATGCTAGGACATGTTTATCGATACTTCAAAATATTTTCTTGTTTAAATTTTACTCTACATTTTTAATGTTGAATGTTGGACAAAGGAAGTTATCTCACAAAAAGCGATCTCCAAGATATATATATTTATGTATATAATAATAATTATTTTATTTATATAGCACTTTTAAAAACAAAAGTTTACAAAGTTCTCTGACAAACAATTGCAAAGCACAGAACATCAGCACATCAAAATAAAAACAAAAGCTCAGTTAAAAACAAGACCTCCGCATTGAGGGCCAATTTAATTTTTCATAAGGAACCCAGGCAATACAAGAACCCTACAATTCTCAACTCAACTTTATTTGTAAAGCACTTTAAAACAACCACAGCTGAACAAAGTGCTATACATAAATAGACAAAACAACTAGACATAAAAAACAATTAAAAAAAACAATGGATAAAATAAAAGCAGAATTAAAATGTAAATTATAGTTTCAATGTTTTTAAAAACTAATTTAAAAACATAGAAACAAATAACTAAAAACAAACCATAAAACACTAAAACAGGAGCCGAGTCTCATGCAGGGTTAAAAGCATAGACAGTCTATGGTTAAAAGCCAATGAATAAAAATGGGTTCTAAGACGAGTTACAGTATAAAAAGGGACCATGAGGACCAAAATAAAAACATTAAATAGGTAAGAAGAAGAAATAAAATAGAAAAGGGAGGCAGAAAGCAGGAAACAGAATAGTAAGTATAAAAGAGGATATAAATAATGATAATGTTTTAGTGTCAACACTAAAACAGGAGCCGAGTCTCATGCAGGGTTAAAAGCCAATGAATAAAAATGGGTTCTAAGACGAGTTACAGTATAAAAAGGGACCATGAGGACCAAAATAAAAACATAAAATAGGTAAGAAGAAGATATGAAATAGAAAAGGGAGGCAGAAAGCAGGAAACAGAATAGTAAGTATAAAAGAGGATATAAATAATGATAATATAATCATAATAAAATAGTAATGATGGTAATATTAATGATGTACATATATGTAAATATAAAATCAGTCACTAACAGTTGATCGCATGTTAACGTCATGTACACCGGAAATCTTCCCCCCTGGACCTGTTCGGACCTGTCCTGCCTTTATCCACAACTCTGTGGGGACTTGAATGCAGCAGGCGTGCGTGCTGCGTAGGTGCGCATGCGCTGTAGTCGTTTCAGAGGCGCCAATTTCAGGCATGTACACACAGTTGAGTAACGATACTTTATTTTATACTGTGCTGAAACTGTGCTGTCACTAATGTACATTAACGTGACGACACTTGTAGTAATTCAAGCGTAGGTTAAAGCGAACCCGCAGCGTAAAGGAGGATTATCATGGTGTGTCATCTTTAAAACTTATTAAATACTGCTGCGACAAAGCAAAGCTCATGATGAGTTCACTGACTCTGAATGGAGTGACAGTGAGTTTTCCTTTTTCTCCATATGACTGTCAGAAAGACTACATGAGCAAAGTGATTGAATGTCTTCAAAAGGTGAGTATTTTTTTGGTTTAGCAGTCAAGTTAAGCGTTGCTGAGGAAACAAGCTAGAATACCGCTTAGCATGGAGCAGTTTGTTAGCTGTACAAAAGATATCTTTATCTCTAAATCATGTGTCTGTGTCTACCTGTATGCGTTTCAGAAGGTAAATGGGGTCCTTGAGAGCCCCACAGGTACAGGTAAAACCCTGTGTCTGCTCTGTGCCACCCTGGCCTGGAGAGAGAACTTTAAGGACACCATCTCTGCCCGTAAGATAGCTGAGAGGCTGAAGGGGGAGCAGATGTTCCCAGACATATCCCTGGCATCCTGGTCGACAGCTGCTACAGATGGAGACACTCCAAGTATGCCTAATGTCCACAGTCCTCTCACTGGGAAAGCTTTTTGTGCTTAGAAATCACCCGAAAACCTCACCATAGTAAAATGTTTTTTTGATTACACATGCTACAAACAGGGCCACAGAATGCTTGTTGTAAAGTTATTTTGTTCTTATTTTTCCCTCCTGTTGTTTTCCAGTGTACTACACAGATGTTCCAAAGATTATTTATGCATCCAGGACTCACTCTCAGCTGGCTCAGGTGATCAGTGAGTTAAAGAACACCTCATACAGGTAAAAACTGTCATTTCTAAGCAGTAAAAGAGAAATTTTCAGTCTAGGGTGGAGATTGAATATGTGTCAGGCTATTTATGAGGTGCTGGTAAAACTGTAAAAGTAACTGATGTTTCTCCCCTTACCGGTTTAGGCCAAAGGTGTGTGTACTGGGATCCAGAGAGCAGCTGTGTATCAACCCAGAAGTGATGAAACAGGAGAGCAACCATGTCAAGGTGATATGCAAAGCTGATTTATTTTGTATGTTTGAGATTTGAGGTTTTGCATTTGTGTGTGTGCCTGTGTTTCTATGACTGCATGTTCATAAAAAAAACAAAAGTGTGTGAATTTATTTGTTTTATTGATTTTGAACTTAAAACTTTATGAGTTTTTCTTCATATCCTGCCCTCATATGGGTCTTCATTCATAAATTCATATAAGGTTGCCCTCTGTGACTTTGCTCTGATTTCTGTCACTGTCATGCTCCATATTTCTGCTGTTCTCCACAGTGGAGTCAAAACTGGAACTGTCCTTACAAATTAAAAAAGCAGCATTCATCTGAAGTTTAGTGTGAATTTTCACAGATCTGATGAACAGTATGAATCTTTTTTTGTTCTCGTGTTTACAGGTCCATATGTGCAGAGCAAAGGTTTCCACTCGGTCTTGTCATTTCTATAATAATGTTGAAGGTAAGAGATGGATATTAGTAAGATATAAAAAACACAATATTCGTATAGTTAGTAATTATGATGAGCTATCTATTGGCTAATTTCCGATCCACTTTATTTAACGGAGAAAATCATGCCACCTAACTTTGGTAATCTTGGTGAAGCAGCAAAACATGGACTTAGTCACCAACTTGGACATTCAGTTATTTAATGGAGGACAGACTGCATACAGAGCTGTCCTGAGCTGACGGAAAAGAGGACTTGTGGAAGTATTTTGGGTTCTGTAAAAAAAAGATAGGATCTTATGTTAGAGCTGTCTTACTCTTCAACATCAACGAATCTGCGGGTTCATCTGTGAGGCAGGAAAGGAGGCGTGGGGCTGCTAAGCATGCGCTGTCAGCTGGTTTTACTGTGTCATTTGACATTTTCTTTACAACAGGGCATTTTTGTTTCAGATGTTATCAGGGCGGCATTTTTTCAAACAAATGTCATGCTATTTAACTGTTTATAAAACAGTTAGCTAGAGTGAAATAGATATTTAGTGTCAGTGTGGTGGGGACAGAGGTCGAGTATATTTGAACATCAGTCTGCCATGTTGGAACTTTTTGATTTTTTGGAAAAGTGACAGCTTTTATACCAACATAATTTTACTGGAGCAATGACAAAACCAGAGGATCTGTTTGTCCTGCAGTAAATAGTTTAGAGCATTAATAAATCTAAAAGTGCCCTAACAACTTTTTAAAATTTGAATTTCTTTCAGAGAAATGCACTGACAAAGAAGTGACCCAGTCAATCCTCGATGTGGAAGATTTGGTTAAATATGGAAACAAACAGAGGTGAGATCTCTGTTTTCATTTTGTAATTTCTCTCTTTTTAACTAACTCAATGTCAAGCTGCAAATCTCCACATTTTGAAAGCAGAAACTGGAGAATATTTGCCTTTTTTCCATAAAATTTTGGTTGATATTTTCATGTTCATCATGGATTTAGCTGTAGTTGTCTGTGAAAGTAACTTTGTTCTTAAACAGAAGATACCTCTCAGGTACAGGATGGTGTTACATGTCCGTATATTTTAAATTTCAACACTTTCCTGCAGGGTTTGTCCTTACTACCTCTCCCGCTCTTTGAAACAGCAAGCAGATTTGATTTTCATGCCGTACAACTACCTGCTGGATCCAAAGGTGAGCTGACACACAGATGTTAGACTGAAGTGGATGAGGAGGCGGATCTCATGTTTTAGTTTACAGAGTACAACTTCTGTGCAAAGTTAGAAACTGAAATACGCTCATTTTATCAGATTTTTAAAGTGGTTTTTCTGGAATAATGACTCATTTGTGGGGGATTAATTCCAGGACAGATGTCTTGAATATATCATAACACTGGACTAGCTTCACAAAAAAGATGTCTGATCAAACTTGACTTTGTCAACAACTATTAAAGGACACTCAAAAGGGTGATTTACATATCTGGATACATGATGGTATCCTTTGCTCCACAGAGTCGCAGGGCGCACAACATTGAGCTTAAAGGAGCAGTGGTCATCTTTGATGAAGCTCACAACGTGGTAAGAATCGGTCCTGTATATGTTTTATCTCTGTTAATGTCATTATTATTCATGTATTATTTATCATTGTATAAGAATGTTAGAAACTGTAGTTTTGAGTTGATGTGTGACAGTGTGGTACATTGAATCTCTTGGCTGATCTTTTCTTTTAGGTAACAAAATTATTTTCTGTAACAATGCAGCAAAAAAAGAACCATAAACTATCTTTCAGCAGTTAGAAATATCACACTGTGAATGTTTGCAGTGGAAAATGTAAAACAAATCTGATTCTGCGGTGTGAGAATGTTAAATCTGACATTTTTATCGGAAATAGTCTTTGCAAACTCAGCAGTGATGGTATGGGGATCATCAGAGTCCATGTCATTAGTAGCTTCCACATCTGTGAAGGCTCCATTAATGCTGTATCTACAAATTTAAGAGCAACATCTGCTTCCATCCAGACAATGACGTTTTTAGGGAAGACCTTCATATTTTAGCAAGACAATGACAAACCACATTCTGCAAGACTACAAAGATTCCACGAAGGGGAGTTAATGTTTCTGTTTACTGCAGGAGAGGACGTGTGAGGAATCTACTTCCTTTGACTTAACTCCCCATGATGTGGCTTCAGCCATCGCTGCAGTGGACCGGCTGCTGTCTGAGCAGGCTAAATTAGTCTGCAATGGAGATTCAGTCACTGAAGACTTCAACGTAGACTCACTCAGCTCTGGTCTGAACAATCTGTGTCATTTTTTTTTTACAAGAATGGAACAAAGTGAATGTCCTGAAGTGTGTGCATGTGTTTAACCAGCTGTTTTCTCATCAATTTTCAGGGTTGAAATTAGATATAACAAATGTTGCTAAAATCAAGCGTAAGTATTGATGTGTAAAGATGATTATTTCTCTGATTGAAGTGCTGAGCATGAGGTAAAATTAGATTGTTTCTTTGTGCTTTGACAGAAATTCTCCTTGATCTGGAAGCTGTTATTGATTCCTATGAAGTTCCCGGTGACAGAGGCATCACAAAACCAGGGATGTATGTAATAGTTTTTACTGTATTTATATCAATATTGCAACATAACTGATTCAAGCACAGAGGTTTTGGTGAGCTGTACTTGCGTAGTTGAGGAAAATAGTTGACTTAGAGAAAGATGTAGAAGACTCAATTAACAAAGACTTAAAATGACTGCTTAGATGGCAGACAACACTTTTGACTAATTACCAGATTTAACTCAGTGATGGCTGATAAAAGAGATAATTAATGCACCAAGACTCTCTCTCTGTTCAATCGTATGGTCCTGTTGAGTCTTGGCTTCATGGTTAAAGGGAGGGTATCATGCTTGTCCACATTTACAACAAAAAATTCTGACGTAAGAATTATAGACTCTCCTCACTGGTTCAGTTGTGCTTCCGGCAAAGCTGAACAGCCTGCCTCCAACAGCATGTGAGGTGAGCGGGATCACCGTAGACCAGGGGTTTTCAAAGTCTGAAACTGTGGGCCTTCCCTCTACAGAGCATATAAGCCATATAAACCAAGCTATTATACAGTACAGCATGATAAGCCTGGAGAGTCTCACTTCCACTATTAATATAGAATAACAGAGACTTTGCTGTCTTTGGTGGTATAAACTTGGCAAGTCTCAGTTTCACTGTAAATAGTTACTTGAGGCTGCAGCAGTATAAATCCAGTGAGTCTCATTTTTATTGTAAAGAGCAGATACAGAGGTGTTTCTCTGGTTTTCTCAGTTTCAGTGTTTGTCTGCAGGTTACAGGCTTCGGTGGCTCTTAGTACAACAGTTTAAATCTGAAAAGGAAACAGATTTTATTGGGATTTACCTTTCATTATAGCTTAATTTTGCTGAAAAACTACAAAGATGCAGATCAGTTAAAGCCGAGCTTTGTTTGGTCTGTCCTCCAGAGAAATGTTTGTTGGTTGAGTAAAAATGAGGTCCATAATTTTTGATGCATTCAAGAGCGTCAGGAAGTCTGGATGCTTATTGTCTTTTTGCAAAAATAGACATTGTTGAGCAGATTTGTTGCTGGCATGGACATGTTTGATCTTGAGCAGTGCTTGAATGCAGAAATCTGTTTAGAGAGATGAATAAATGCGCTCAAATTGTTCTTGAAATAATGTGCAAATAATCTTCAACAAGAATCACTGCATTAAAGGCCAAATTGTAGCAAACATGTAGCCTTCTTTGTCCCTGGAGTAGCTGGAGATGGGGAAAAAAGGATTTTGTTTGTCTATTTGACTAAAGTCTTTGTTTTCCACGCTCTCTCTCTTTCTCTCTGTGTCTGATCAGATTCATCTACGAGCTGTTCGAAAAAGCCAAACTGACCTACGACACAAAGACGCCTGTCTATGAAGCTTTGGAGCAGATCTCTGGATATTTAGCTGGACGTCAGTATAGTTTAATTAGATTTTCGTTGAGTTGATTCAATATTTGACTCGATTTATGATCAACTGTCACATCAGTGTGTCTGCAGAGTTGACTGTTTTATTATTATTGACTTTTTTACTTTTACATCTTTGTGTTACTCAGATATATTGCTCACATGTTTGTCCTTTTTTTGTCCCTGTGTACATTTCTACTTGATGGATGATGATCTATGTAGTTAGCTGTGCTTACACTCTTCTGCTTCTTCTTGTGACAAAAAATTTAATCTTGAATTTTACTTGAACACTCTTTTGAGTGTGATCATTTTAATCTTAATCTAATAAAATGTGTGATTTGTTTCTCATCAGAACCAGGAATATTCCTGAACACAAGTGGACTGCAGAAGCTCTCAGACTTCATACAGGTACGCCACATGCTGTATTTTTAGAAAAAAGTTTGACATTTTCCAGTAGAGTGTTTGAAGGTTGTTAGCTTAGCATAAAGGTCCTTACACACCGAGACAGACACAAATATACGACGCGAAATTATGAAATATTCTTAGGCATATTTTGACACGCCTGAATATACACACCAAGCCTGATGCGATTTTGCGACTTTCCGGGGGGAAAAAAACGCGTCCCGGGTGGAAGCAAGAAGACTGACACAACACCAGACTGACTGTTTTCAGTTCTGATTAGCCACTGGTATTGAGATGTCTGTCTGTCATGATAGCATGTACTGAGTCGGGGCCAGTACCAGATAACCACATTAAACTATAATCCATAAACGTAAGGTAACAACCAAGACCTAATGGTGCTGTGACAGCAACGCGATTGAGTTTGAGACAGTGAAAATACATATGGTATGTTGTATCTGAACAGGTTAGCTTACGAGCTAAAGTTACTTAGCACAGATGAAAGTTAAAACAAAGAAGTTTAGCAAACTGTTAAAGCACACAAACTATCCTTCAGGTCGTTATCTTTGTCATGTTTGTGTCTTTTATCAAAAAGCACTCTGTTGTTCAGCCAGTCGGCCATGTTGGATATACCGGTGAATCAGACGTCACAACAACACGCAATCTGATTGGTCAGAAGTGGACACACAGTATATGAAACTTTAGAAAAACCGACCATGATCCTTGTATTGACAGGATACGGATTCGAAAAAAATATTGACCTCCGAAATAATCGCACGATAAAAACGGTTCTGGTGTGAAAGGACCTTAAATCAGGGTTAAGCCATGAAATAAGCTGAAATTCTTTTTGTTTATAGTATTTTTAAAATGTTTCTTTCTTACTTTCTCCCTGTTGTAGCTGGTGTTTTGTGGTGAACCGTCAGATCAGGACAGACATAAGAAAATGCAGTCCAACACGTCTCATTTCAAGGTGGGTGTTCCCTCAGAAGCTGTACGAAATCAAGTTTGTATTTAATGAAATAAATGGTAAAGTAAACCTTTCATTTGTGCCTTTTCTTAGGTTCATATCCATCGAGACAACAGCAACTCAAAGAAGAAGCAGAACACTGATGTTTGGGCATCTTCTTCTTCTTCAGCAAAAAAGCAAGGTGGCAGCAACTCTCACACGAACCTGAGGATTGTGATTTTTTTTTTCCCCCTCAGATTTTGGTTCTAATGGGCTCAATATGGTTCCCTCCTCTTTGTAGGAAATATTTTGAGCTACTGGTGCTTCTCTCCGGGCTTTAGCATGCAGGAGCTCAAGGATCAGGGAGTTCGCTGCATCATTCTTACCAGTGGGACCCTCTCTCCCCTGACCTCATTCACCTCTGAGATGAGGATGTAAGTAATCGGTCGCTCCTTTAAGCCAAATTTTACCGCAGAGGTTCATAGTTAAGTGTTCAGACTGGAGCCTCTGAGATCGACACATAGACTGTATATAGAATGGACACTGTCTGCCTCTTTGTTGGGTGAATCCACTCTGAGAACAGCACCCTCTGGTGATGGGCTGCAGTATAGGTCATAAATACCGCCTCCTCCAGCAATCCCTATGGAGCTGTGGACAAACTTTAAAAATTAATTACACAGAATATAAATATTTCTCCCCCCCTGCTTGTGGTGTTGACATTTAGTTACTGTTAAACTGGCTTGTGCTCAAGTCCTCTTTTTATCTGTTCAGCTCCATTTTTAAAAGTTATTATGGGGTTCATGTTTTCTATGATTGACACTTTTATACAGCCTATGGGTGTATGAAGACTGCATAGCTCACCCGGGGGATACGCTGTTTCAGCCGAGCGTCATCACAGCGACTCTCAGCGACTCTCCGGCCAAATGCGTACAACACTACTGCACAATGTCAGTTTCAGGAAATGGAGAAAAATCGCTGAAATACAGAGAGCTTTTTAGCTTCAAATCTGTATACCAGCAGAAGGCCGAATTAAGTTGTCCATGGTATATACAGTCTATGGATACAAGCTTAACTGCAACAGCTAAGAGGGAGGAGAGAAAGGAGAGATTGTACTGAATTTAATCTCTAACTTGATTTTATGCGATCTGTAAACTTGTGTTCCAAATGACTTGATGATGCAGTTTTGTGTATTAGGAATGTCAAAGGTTTATAAACAGGTGGATAGTTAACACATAGACACCAGCTGAGCAATGAGAGGGGCACAGAAGGAGGAAGGGAGAGAAAGATCACAAAACAAGTAATAATTCCTAAAAGTACTAAAAGTACTCCAAGTTACCAAGTTACTTAGCTACTCCTTTGATCAAACAACTAAGGCCACAACCCCCAGGATAAAGCATGTAGAGAACAAGATTAGCAACAAGGTGGCCCATCCACTTTGTCCACAGGGGGGCGCCAAAGTCGACACAGCCTGGAAGTTCCTTTGAATTGAGCACTTTTGAGCAGCAGCGGTGTTGTTGAAGTCAATCTAATTTGTGTTTGTTTTTGCTGCAGAGAGTTCCCGGTGACTCTGGAGAACAGCCACGTGATTGAACGCGATCAGATCTTTGTGAGCGTCGTTGATCAAGGTCCAGACAAGACAGAGTTGAGTTCGGCGTTTGACAGGAGGTCAGTGTGTCCTTTTTACTGTTGAGGTTTAGCAGTTTTTAAAGGGGGGGTACCATGTTTTTCTGCATTTACAACAAAACTGCAAAATTACAAAGTTTGATGTCCATACTACAAGTTTGCTATGTTTCAAATCACAAGGTAAACATATTTTGTAATAATCTTAGAAAGTAGATGAAACCTGCTCAATTCTTGGACAAATGCAATATTGTAGTTTATGTGGGAGATTTACTCAAATTCAGATGTAAGAATTACAGACTCTTCTTACTGGTGATGAGCCTCCAGCAAAGTGTTACAGGATGACTCCCAACAGCGTGTCCACCCACAGCAGAGCAGGGTAACCATAGACATAATATACTCACATATATGATGTCTATTGGGGTAATGCTGCTCCACTGCTTTACTGATCTACCACAATAGAGGTGGCAGGGTCAAAACATGGAGCTCTACCCTTAGCCGGCTTCCAGAAAGCCGCCAGAGAGGTGACCAATCAGAAGGGAATGGGCATGTGAAGGGGGGACCTTAAAGAGACAGCAGCTGAAACAAAGGGTCTCGGACAGAGACTGAAATAATGATATTTTGATACACCACTGTGAGAAATTTGAGGCTTTTTATGATCTTAAAATCACGTAAAGCTATTGAAGAGGTGTCAGAAAGAAAATATAGTTAACTTATGAGACTTTGTATTCTAAATCTGCCCTCTTATGGTGTTTGATATGATTTATGCTAGGGCTGGGCAATATGGGAAAAAAGTTTTTCACAATAAAATTTTTTCATATCAGTTGATATCGAGATATATCGCAATATAAAAAATAAAATTTAACAGTGCTTATTGATAGCATATCTTATGCAATACAATAAGCTACTGCATCGGAGAGGTCTTACGTTTTGTCGTAATGTGTTGCGCTAGAGAAAGCGGACTGAATGGTTGGCTGTTTCGGCTGCACAGGCGCCATGGGCTCCTTGCTCCGCTCAGGGTTTGTAACCTTTTGCATTGCGCATGCTCTGCCATGTGGCACTGCTTCAGGTGGTGAAAAAGATTTGAGGTATTCCCTGACTTTGCTAGAACATGTACTCGACATAATTCGCCATGCACATTACTCTGCTTCATGTCCGACCACAAAAAAACAAAATACCTCCACACCAGCGACATTTTCGTGTCAGTGTTGTCGACAATGTCGTCATCTGTTTAGTCTTCATCTGCATTTCTGCCGGGGGTAGCACTCATTTTCTATTTTTTCTCACCGACAGTGCTGTCAGCTTCACGTTTTAAAGTGCTATTATTACTCAGTTGTTTGCTACTTGGTTCTAATTCAGCACATGATTGGGTTAACACGAAGCGGACCGGGAGCAACTCCTCTTTTCATTTGCTATTCATGTAGTCTACCAAAACATGGCAGAATGCCGACTATTGAAAAGCATATTGACCATGTTTCATATCAATATCAAGGGAAATCAATTTTCGATATGTATCATTATTGTTTTATTGCCCAGCCCTAATTTATGCTATTTGATTTTCAAAGCTGGAAAACTTTTCTTGGCTTATTCCCTTAAATATTCTCTTCATAATTTAGAGGTGTTTTACCCTGTTTTTTGTAAACCGATTCAAATGATTGTCACTACTTCTCTGACAGGTTTAATCCTGAAAACATGTCATCACTGGGAAACACTGTTGGTAAGATCAAACTGTATAAAAAAAATATATATATTCTTCCATTTATTTCTTTATTTATTTTTCATTTATTTTTCATATTAATCTTTGTCCTGATAATCCCATGAATGTGTTTCTTGTCTCACTCTCTCCTCAGTTAACCTGAGCCGTGTGGTTCCTCACGGTCTCTTGGTGTTTTTTCCCTCCTTCCCTTTGATGGAAAAGACTCTGGACTTCTGGAGGGTGAGTGTTGATTTAGCAGAAAAACGTTTGAATTTCTTCTGATGGCATCATGATGGTCAATGCAGATGATGTCAAAACACCATATATCTGGGATTGAGTCCTCTATCTCGCCTCATTTTAGCCAATACTGGTACTGATATAAACACTTTTTTTTATCAGTGTGAAGAACACAAAGGCTCTCTTGTACTTGAATTCTGAAAGTCTGATTTGTTCTTGAATGCATCATGAATCAAAAATACATATTTTTCAAACACTGAACATTCAGAAATATAGTCGCTGCTGTATTTCTAAGCTCTGGAAGGAAAGCATGCTGGCAGGTCTTGCTGTTGCTAATGCTTTATTTCAGTCTCGCTTTACCAAAACTTAAAGTGCTGTTCAGGATGTTCTTCTTGAACTCTAGCGTTTTTCCCTGTCTGTTTGTGACACTTCAAAATACTTGCATGTTGAATCTGGTGCATATCAGCTGTCATCACATGCCCATAATTAAGGCATCATATTATCAGCTGTATATCAGCAGAAATTTGCAAAGCCTCAGATACTAAAAATTCACTTATTCACTAAGCTTCACTTATTTTATGCCAATAGCACACATGTCTGCTTTTAGTGCTTTTTCCTGTGGTTTCTACTCAGCAGAAACTGTTCAAACTAATGGCAGAGTGTGTTGGTTTCTTTACAAGGACTTCTTCATTAAAAAGAAGGCATGTAAGATGGTAACATTGTGTCTCTGCAGGCTCACGGACATGCAAACCGCATAGAGAGTTTGAAGCCCATGTTTGTTGAACCGAAAGGAAAGGGCACCTTTAATGAGGTGGGTGTTTTACAAATCTTTGAATTTATGGCTGTAAAATCTTCACAAAGACATCCCCTTGTACTTTTTCAAGGTCTCATTAGAGTTTCAGCTCAGTGTAATGATCTCTCCTTTATTTCTATGCTTAGGTTATTGACGGATATTACAACCAGGTCAACCATCCAGTGACCAAAGGAGGATCTTTCTTTGCTGTGTGTCGAGGAAAGGTGAGTTATTTGGCTTCACCTGAGTCTGGAAAGTCTTAAAAGGTGAATTATTTACAGGCAACAACTCAGCCTGCTGAACGATAAACCTTCAGAGATGACTGTATTTTCTGGACAATAAGTCGCACTTTTATCATAGTTTGGTTGGGTTTGCGACTTATGCTGAGGTGCGACTTATGTAGGGATTCTTCTTCTTCTACATTATCCATTTTTTGGCTGGTATGACTTATACTCTGGAGCGACTTATAGTCTAGAAAATACAGTAAATATCACAAAGAAAGACAAGAAAGCATCACTCATGAGAAGAGGTCATACGGGACTAAACTGTATTCAATGCAAAAAGCAGGCACCAAATAGGAAAATGCACACATCTATCTAACTGTCTCCTCTTTTTTCAGGCAAGTGAGGGTCTGGATTTTGCTAACACCTATGGTCGGGGCGTCATCATCACAGGCCTCCCTTTCCCCCCTAAGATGGACCCTCGGGTCATCCTGAAGATGCAGTTTCTGGATGAGATGTGCCGGCAGAAAGTCCAGGGGATGAAGGTGAGGAGAGGCTGCTCCCACAGAGTGTCTGAAAATGCTGGATCGGTGAAACGGCTGAAACGGTTATATTTTGTGTGTGTTTGTTTAGTACCTCTCTGGGCAGGAGTGGTATAGGCAGCAGGCTTTCAGAGCCGTGAATCAGGCCATCGGTCGAGTCATTCGCCACAAAGAGGACTACGGAGCCATCTTCCTGTGTGATGTGAGGTCAGAATAGATCCATCGTTCATTTCCTGCAGCGTTTGTTGAGCAAATTTTGTGTGTCCACATCTGATTGTTATTTTCCTTTTTTTTGTCATGTTAGATCCAGGTTATCCCAAAAGTCACTCTGCATGTACTTCCAAATCATGGCACAAGAATAATCATCCTTTTCTCACAGGTTTAAAGCCTCCTCTGCCCGGGAGCAGCTCCCATCATGGGTCAGGCCTTATGTTCGTCGTAACGACAACTTTGGGAACATGGTCCGTGACGTTTCTCAGTTTTTCAGGGTCGCACAGAAACTGGTAGGTTTGAAGTTTTAACGGGTTTGTCAAAATGCTGCGATTTACTGTATGCACTTATTTTGTGGATGGACACTTGGCCTGAAATCTGTAACAATGACAGGGATTTTGCACGTTCTTTAAAGTGTTATCTCTGCACCATAAAAGTCTAAATTCAGCCCAGAGTCTGGACATTTTGTTTGTTAGCACTGCATTTTGTCGAAACTGTCAGCTTGCACTAAAAGTTTGTGTTTGTAACGTTTCAGAGGCCCTTTGTGGAGAAGAAGGCTCCAGAAGAGAGCTGTGGGACCTCGTCAAAGGCTGACTCTCAGTCCTCTAGTTTCTCATCCTTCTCAGCCCCTCAGAGCTCTAACGCACAGAGAGCCAATGTGCTGGACACCCACCTGCCCAGCCTGAAGAGGAGGAGACTCAGTAAGTGGAAAACATAGAAAGTTCATTTAAAAAAACGGTAATTTTCTGTAGATACCACAGGGGAAAGTGCCTCATTATTTGTTTTTGTGATCAGATGAACAGGCTGGAGGGTCAGGAATGGCGAGGATCTGTATTGAATACGAGAACGAGGTGCAGGAGAGTCACAGGAGGCCGGTGAACCTACTTGATGCTTTAGAGCAAGGAGACCATCACAACAGCGATCATGCTGCAGAAGGAAAGGTAGCTTGTTCTTTGAAAAGCACTTCTCCTCAAAGCTCAAACTAGCTCCTTTGTTGACATGTCCTGGTTTGTCAAAATAGGCTTCTTGAAAAAGCACGTCTAGAGTACACAGTAGCCCTCTTTACTGCTATGAATGTCTGTTTTTGATGTGTGTTCACAAAGGTTCACGCTGTAAAGTGGGTCAGAAAAACTATCACCTATTTGACAACAATGGAAAAGTGATTTTCTTGATGGTGGGACTTGAATATTTGTCCAATCATGCTTTTCCTTTTGAAGGGGAGCTGTTTGTCCTCGCTGTCTCTACATCACAACAAAAGGATGGAGGACGAACTGCGCGGAGGCAAACGGAAAATCAAATTGGTCCAGAAGCCGGTACGTGTATTTCTGTGTTTCAGGTTTTCACAGCCTTCACCTTTCCACCAAAAGACTCATCCCAACTTCTCATCACATGCTGCAGTCTGTGTTTCAGTCTATTTATGCCCCATATCTAAAAAAAATTGTGTCGTTTTAGCTCAAATTAGTGCAAATGATGGAGTTAACTCAGCACCTCTCCTCTGTCTCATTGTTACAGGAATGTGTTGCTTGTATTTGAAGTAACAAATTAGATGAGCAGCGAGGAAAAAATCGTGGATTTTGAATTAGCAGCGGTCCTTATAAAACATTTGGTCTTGTTGTCTTATTAACAAAAACTAAACACATAATTATCAAAGTTATTAGGATGTTTCGAGGGAAAAAAAAGATTTCACATCTGTGTTGTTTGTGATGAATATTAGTTTAAAGTTTTGGCTGGTCAAACAAGTTTTCAAGTTTCCATCACATGCAGTAAAAAGTAAGATAGTCAAGTTCAGTTGGTTTTAGATATAATAATCGACAGGAGAAGATTTAACTTTGGTTTCTATTTTAATGAAGTTTTTGGTAATAAAGGGACTACAGTGTCCAGATTTAAGGTGGCTGCTTAAATCATTCATGAAACAGCGAGATAATTTGTAGAGCCACATGTACCTTTGGGTTGATTTTAATCTCTAAACGTGACTTTTTTTCCCTTCATCCTTGTAGAGTCATCCCAGCAAATTAGTGGATGTACCTGAGGAGAGTAAAGCCACCAGGGCAAAGACCTTCGTAGAAGAGATGAGGAAGTGTCTGAGCCAAAAGTCCTACAGCCACATTGTCAAGGCTCTGCAGATGTACAAAAAGACAGACGACGTGGACATCCTGCTGGCCGGGACCACCGTTTTAATCGAGGACCCCAACACTCATTGTCTGGTCCAAGGTGAGTTTGCTGATGCATATTTCTGTACACAGTAACACTGAAGAAAAAAATTAGGCAAACACACAGGGTCAAACGTGGCAAAAGTCGTACAAATTTTCAACTAAGTGGGACTCAGAAATGTTGAGATGAAGACTTGAACCAAAGAGAATGCTGAGGTTTTAGATGGCCAGGAGTTAAAAATTTGTTGCTGTCGTGTCAAAATGAATGTCAGTGAAGTTTCATATTCGTGTGACATGACAACTCTATCATGAAGACGGCGACTCTCTGGATGGGCAGATATTGAAGGATCAATCAAAGCAAATGAGCACAAATCACAGCACTCCAGTAATCAGAAATATAGAAATATCATCTTCACCTCTGTATAAACACACGCTGAAGTTGCACAAATCAACATCAGTATTAGTTTGAGTATTGTTCTAGTTTTTACTTAAGCATCCAGAAAGTGTGTGTGTTTGTCTTTCCATGGTGTCACTTTTTGACATGTATGTGCTGCCTCCTTGTCACAGGTCTCTACCAGTTTGTCCGTCCGCACCATAAGAAGAAGTTCGATGAGAAATGCGTGGAGCTGACGGGACAGGGGTGCAAATACAAACCTGAACACTCACTGACAAAGGAAGAGAAGAATGCGCTGCTGCAGAGCGGTACAAGGAAACACTCATCATAACTCAACACGGAGAAACAGAAACGCCTGTGATTATCTGTAGGTTTTAAAACACAGCAGGGAAAAAGACAACTTCTCAAACTGGCATGTTATTTTTTTTTTTTTTAAGCTGTAGACAAAGAGCCGACTGGGGCTCTGCCATCCTGTACTGGGACGTCTACCTCCACTCAGCTGAACACAGAACAGCTCAACCAAGGACGACAGCACCTGAGCCAGGAGGGATTAAAAAAGACCCAGAAAGGTTTGACAAACCAATATCTAACTTTCAAGTCACTCTAAAGTATTTCATTGTTTGACTAAAGTTTAAAGAAAGTCTTCAGGTGAAGATCAACTCTTGCGTTGTAGTTCTCATTTGGTCTTTAGGATCAAAAAGTAGCAGTTATCTTTGGTATATCCCGAACCCAAGATATACTCAATTGAAATTTTACTGCATCTGTCACTCTGCTGAGTCATTTAGCATGACATAAACTTCCTTTGTGTTCTGCAGCTTCAGCGACAGAGACTGAATTAAACTCCAGGTTTCTGGACAATTTGAAAGACACTCTTGGAACAGAAAAGTGGTCTCAGCTCTTTCTGGCGCTCCAAGACTACCGGGAAACCGACAGATATGAAAACCTGGTGGGCACAGTAGTCAGCTTACTCACAGAGAGAGACCAGGACTTCAACAAGCTGACCAGTGAGTTCAAAACTCTGGATGTTGAATGTTTTTAAACTTGAATATGTGGCCAATGTCTTGACTGACTAGTACATTTTCCTTTTTTTTAGAATTTAGTAAGTTTATCCACCCACAACATAAAAAGCAGTACAAGAAGATGTTGGAAGATCTGACTGGTCGGTCTTTTTCGGCTGATGAAGTTCCTGCTGCTGCAAGGGAAGAACTGCAAGAAACGGGTAAACGTAACCTCAATATTACATTAGTTATTTGTTTGTATTTTTATATTTTTCTTCACTGTCTTGTATCATGTTTCCAAGAAGATATCAGTGGTTAAAGAAGTAGGTTACCAAAAGATAGACAAGGACATGTGTCAGCTAATTTTTTCATGCATGTACATAGATACATAAATCACTGAGATGTTGCAGGATCAGTATGAAAGAATAACGGTATGATAAAGGCGGAGCTTCGTTAAGGCACTGTTTGGGACTCGCAGTATGAAAGGTGCTGTTGTGTTTTAGTGCTCTTAATTTACACATTCATGGGAATTGTGAGAAAAACAATTTTACAACCTCTATGCACATCTTGGCTAGAATTTTTTTCATCATGAACAGACTTAGTTTTTGGTGCATGTAAAAAAAGTGCAGTTCAGCAAACAGAATTTTTATTATCAAATGACATTGAGGGGAGATAATGGATTCACTTTAGACTTGATTTGAGGACAGGCTTATCTACATCTGATGTTCCTGTTTGTGTTTGGGTTGTCATGATGATAAAAAAGACATTTAATGTTAATTTATATAAGTATTTAATTTCACAAGATTTGTGACACCCTCCAACTCCTTTTTTGTTTTTGCAGCTGTGTTGTCATCTCCTTTGAGGACACAGAGCACGATTACCAGCTTCTTTTCCGGAGGCCAAAGAAAGTTTTAAAATCAAGTATTTATTCCAGACTCTGTTTGGGGCTGAAACCTTGCTCGGTCAGGATCTGCTGTAGACTGGAGATAAGCTTTTATGATTGAACGAAACGATGAAATAAAAATAAACCTATATTTTTCTTAAGTTTACATCTGCCTTGTGTTTGGTCTCTATCAGCTGACATGTAGAAGCTTCTTTTAAGGACATACTGTGTTCCTACATGTTACATTTAAAGAAATTTTGTTCTTCTCAATGTCACAACTCTGGCTTGGTTTAAGAAAGACAATGACATATTAGTATGTTAAAAAATATATATATAGTCAAGAATGATAAACATATCATGGCATACTACGATAAAATTTCATTGTATAGTATGATGCAGATACCAGAGAATAGTACAATAAAAATCTCATAGTATATATGATAAAAATATCATTGTATAGTTTGTTAGCTGTTGCAGCCCCCAGCTCTTTCCACACACACGTACACATTCAGGTGCATTAGAGCATGAGCAGCATGACAACCTCTCACTGATTAGATAAACACATACACCTCATGTCGACTCAATGACCACTCTGTATGAGCCCTGTTGGGATAAAACGAGGGTTCAAAGGTCATCTCTGCAGCAACCACTGACTCAGCTCAAAATAAATCAGATCACTCAGAGTCTGAGTTATGTTTAGTGTGTCTCAGATAAAGACTCAGAGATGAACTCCGATTCCTGCATTTGAACTGGTTCAGTTTTATGGGCTGTCCTTACGATGAGTTACTGATCTGCAGAATCACACGCTCTGACAGGACAGTGAGACGAACTGTAGCCAGAGAAGGTATGGGGTCAGAGATCAGACACCTGCAGACCGTGGGCGGAGCAGAGCGACACAAACTGATGTCAGCAGACCTTCATTTCGTTGATTTCATCTCCATCTCTGTCCATTTATGAGCTGCTGTCTCTTATTTCTGTTCAGAGTTCAAGGGTGGAAAATATACAAAAAATAGGTTTGAAAGGACAAAAAAAAGGAAAGTGCAACTGTTTATCCAAAGAGTTTACACTTACAATCATTTTTAATATGCAACAAATAAAGTGGTACATTTATCCATGGAGAGAAACAAAATCAGACAAGTTTGACGTCCATATCTTGTTTTCTTTCTGATATTAAGTCTGAAATAAAAGACTGTCCAGGACTAAAGAAGAAAATCCTTCCGTCCTGTAATACCACAACTCACCACACGACGGCAGCATTGCCGCTGATATAATAAAAATGTGCTACTGCAAACTTCTGAAGGTGATCCGTTTTCTAATCACAGGGTGGAAAAAGTAGTTGAATTAGTATTTCTCTTCTAGGTACTTCTTATTCATTCTGATGCTTGTATTTTTGCAGGACTTTTAATTGTCTAATCATTAAACAGAGTAAGTTATGTGTAATGTTCACTCAAATGTTACTGCTTCTAGTTTGAGCTGAATCGGGTTTCAAAAGCACCACCTCTGCCCCCTCTCTGGACACACCCCTGCATCCGAAACTTAAACCCAGTAAAATACCAGAGACGAGCTGTTTAGGGAAAAATCTGTTTTTATTAAAAGTCGTATACAAACGGAGTATTCGTGTTCAACCGCTATAAAACGTCCATATTTACATGTTATCATACAGATCCACACTTATTACATACCTTATTAACGTGGCTATGAGTCAGGGTGCTTGGACGTATTGAAATGGTAGCTTTCCCTCGAGAAAATAAGACAATTGTGCAGCACAGTTGTTTCTTTGAGTCGCTTTGCGCGACTTATCAAAGCTGAGACCACAATCGGAATTTTAATTTTTTTGTATGAAAGAATCTTTTTTTTTTTTTTTTTTTGTCTAAGTGACGGTCTTTGTGAATGTGCTTGTGTTTATCAGCTGTCTAACTTGGCTAACAGACTGGCTGTGAGAGAGACCACCTATTATAAAGTTTACCCAGCAATTTTACATTAGTTAAAGAGGCAGAAACATAACTGAAGTTGCACATGATTTCCAAGATGTTTGGTTTGTTAAAAACATTCAAAGTGGCAACATGAGGCTGAAATTTGTACTGAAAATGAATATTTATATATGTAATTGTTATATGTTATTATAGTTATTCCTATAATAGAAATATTACTGATATAACATGATTAAAGATTTTATACATAAATGATTTAATATATCTTCCTTGTGCGTGTTGGCATGTAGCTATTGCTTTACCTATCTGCTTAATGTTTATTTATGAAAACCCATGGTTAAAATTGTTCTTGAGTATCCATGAACGTTACGAAAACTCAGGTTTGCTACAAAACAAACCGTTTGAACATCGGTTCAAAATTAAGCAATCTATGTTATGAGTGGGCGAGCTGCCTGTAGCAAGATGGCCGCCATGCGCGGACGTCGGTCTCCATTGGCTAACAGCGTGCGTAGTCCATCTAGCGTTTATGTATGTATATATCTATGCACACTGCGGACCCCTGTCTCTCTCTCACACACCCTTCAACATTCACTTCAACATTTCAACTGGAACATTGGTCTACAGCAGGGTCGCTACAACACTAATATTATTACCATTCTCATTTTTTAAGAAACTTAGGAGCAGATTTACTGGGAGAGAGAGCTACTATTGCCACTGAGAGAGAGAGATAGGATTTATAAACATACAGAAATTTCCCTTTAATTTGTCATATCTCGGAATTACGAGATGTTTTCGAGATATTAATACAATGCGCTTCAGCAAGAAACTGATAATAAAATGTAAGGTGCCATCTCTGCATGTTAGACGTCACGTGTTTGCCACTGAAGTATCGCGAGAGTTCTTGTGGCAGAGTACTTCCATCATGGCAGGCTGTAAGTTGGTATTAGAAGGTAGAGTTAGTATAAATGCATTTATTTTGGGACTCAGCGTGCTTATAATCCCTCTTATCAGAACATTTTTTGGACAACTTGACTGGGTCTTTGATTATCTGACGGAAACTCCCGGGAAAGTCGCGATTTGTATCCATATTGCAGTTATCAACGGCTTCTTGCTAATCATTTACAGAGGACCTCTTTATAAGGTAAAGACTTCCTGGTTTCTGTCTCATCTTCTCTTATTTTCGCTAAAGCGCCTATGTTAAGTTTTAAAACACTCTAGCTGAAAAGTAATGTTACTACTATGGGCATATAGTAGTGCAGTCTGGTTTATTGATGATGTTGGTGAACAGAATCTCCCTGCTAGCTAATCCTAGCCCCCCCTGACAGGTCTTGTGTTAGCTGATCAGATTAGCTAAAGAGGACTGGGACAGGTGGTGTTGATGTGCCAAGATAGAAACCTAATCCAGGTAAAGCTGCTCTGTCTCGGAGGCTGCCTCTCTCTCTTATTTTCTTAAATATCTTCATAAGAAGCCCTGGCAGCTTCTTCATGTGAAGTGGAGTTGATGTAGTCCAGGACCTAGACAAGAAATCTGAATATCTGGAGTTTTTTCGGTTTTTGTCTCATAAATTATGTCTCAACAGCAGGAAATAAGGCGTTTTATAAACATACAGACTCCTACTACAAATTAACTCATTAAAAAAGTTATGTGTATTTGTTTTCAACGGTTAGAAGTTACATCTAAAGTACCTTTCCCTAATCTTTTGTAATGTTTTGCTGAGTTAGTTGTCAGTGCCCCTACTAACTGGGTTTTGCTACAGATAAGCAGTTTAATCTAAAGACTCTCTATCTTGGCTCTTCTTTCTATATTTGATGTAATTTACAGGCAGCCCTGACAGCTTTTCTATTAAACTCCATTCGTAAATCTGCAGGATTCAGTTTTTTACTTGAGGGTTCATATTTTGGTTATGTGTTGAGTTTGGCCTGGATAATTGGCAGAGGCGATAAGTCCACCCCTACTTCACGGTAGCACCTGCTACTGATATATGACCAACTGAGACCAACCCTCCTGCTAGATAGACAGTACAGGCCAAAAGTTTGGACACACCTTCTCACTCAATGTCTTTTCTTTATTTTTTTATATGACTATTTACATTGTAGATTATCACTGAAGGCATCAAAACTATCAATGAACACATGTAGAATTTTGTACTTATAAAAAAAGTGTGAAATAACTGAAAACGTGTTTTATATTCTAGTTACTTTAAAATAGCCAGCCTTTGCTCTTGATGACAGAAGTACTGTCAGTCGCAAAGTAACCCTGACAAGGCACACCTGTGAAGTACAAACCATTTCAGGTGACTACCTCATGAAGCTCATTGAGAGAACAGCAAAAGTTTGCAGCGCTATCAAAAAAGCAAAGGGTGGCTACTTTGAGGAATCTAAAATTTAATACATGTATTCAGTTTTTTTAATCTTTTTTCTTAAGCACATGATTCCACATGTGTTCATTCATAGTTTAGATGCCCTCAATGAGAATCAACAAATTTAATAGTAATGAGAATAAAGAAAATGCATTGAATGAGAAGGTGTGTCCAAACTTTTGGCCTGTACTGTACATCTTCCTTAACTCCAGCTTTGTGGAAAGCTTCTCTGGTAACTGTGGTGTCATACTGAAGACTTGGCTAACCTGTAAAGTCCCAAATCTGTGCCTCATCTCATGTTAAACGAGAGTTTAGTAAGCAGCTTTGTCAGGTGCTTTTATTTTGGTGAAAGAATGTTGAACAGAATCCCATTCAGAAACTTTAGATTCTGTTACAATAACATAGACTGAAATGTAGCATTTGAGCTCACTTTCGAGGGTTAGCTCTGAAGAAACTGTTTCTCTGTAAGTTGGATTAATCTGAGTGTCCTACCTTTTTCCAGGTTGCAGTGAGAGCCTGTTTTCTTGGAGTAACTTTTGGCCTTGGCTTGGTTATAAGCTTCTCTGACACCACATGGACACACTTTGGCTGGTATGTAGGTTTGTTGCTCCATGTTTTTAACAGTTCAGAGTGTATTTGCAGCTGAACAAGTTGAAGTGAAGGTGTCTATCCTGCAGGTACATGTGCTCCCTGTCGTTCTTCCATTACTCTGAGTACCTGGTGACGGCCATCATCAACCCTCGCAGCCTGTCCCTGGACTCGTTCCTGCTCAACCACAGTGTGGAGTACACGCTTGCCGCTATTTCGTCATGGTTGGAGTTCACTGTGGAGAAGCTCACAGTTCCAGGTCAGTCACACCATCACTGTCCTTAATCTTCTTTTAAGTCATGTGAAGGTTTTCCAGAATCTTTTTTTTTTTTTTTTCGGCACGGCTGAACTTAGTTTGGTGAAAGTCGAGCTGAATTTAAAACTCAGCTCTTCAGAATGACTTTTGGGGGCTTTAAAGATGTTGAGGAGCTCTCAGACAGAAGCACAGGTCCATCACAGCTCCTATGAGACCTCTTCTCTTTATATCGCATGATGAGATGTGAGGAATATCTGTGTCCACCAGCCTTGATCACCCCGTCCGCTCTCTCTCTCTCAGAGCTGAAGCAGCTGAGCTGGCTGAGCGTCGTAGGTCTGCTGATGGTGTTGTGCGGTGAAGGTCTGAGAAAGGCAGCCATGCTGACAGCGGGCTCCAACTTCAACCACATTGTCCAGAACGAGAAGGCCCAGAGCCATGTGCTGGTCACCAGCGGGGTCTACTCCTACTTCCGACATCCGTCCTATGTGGGCTGGTTTTACTGGAGCACAGGGACACAGGTAAGACACGGGAGCCTGCACTTTTAAATCTGTGTTTATTTTAAAGCACCAGAGTTTCTCTGTGCTCGGAAACAAATGCTGTTCTTGTATCCCAGACTGAGCAGTCAAAATAAAAACCCATCTGAGCAGGTATTACACAGCACCGATAAGAAAACACAGGGTCACCACAAGTCCTTCAAAGGGATTTAGCATTGTAGCAACTGTTGAAGAGTTTAGGTTAAAAAATATCTTGTTAATAAAGTCCAAAGTTTCTGTTTCTGTTACCTCAGTGATTTGTTTTTAGGTGCAGGTTTTGGTTTGCTTGAGCAGCTTGAAGGGTCCAAAGAGCCTCTTTGAGTGTCTTTATGGGAGTAGATAAACAAAAAGTGATCACATCAGCATCAAGAACTTTGTCGTGTTAACTATCTTTACATTTTTGTCAAATCTAGAAATAATATAACTGAACGTTTGCTCCGTGTTTTTGTTCTGTTTACTGATGGACCCACTGGCTGTTGCAGGTCATGCTGTGTAACCCGGTGTGTATAGTCGGCTACACGATAGCCAGCTGGAGGTTCTTCCGGGAGCGGATCGAAGAGGAGGAGCTCTCCCTCATCCACTTCTTTGCTGAGGACTATGTGGAGTACAAGAAGAAGGTTCCCACCGGCCTGCCCTTCATCTCAGGCATCCGTGTCAACTAGTCCTGAGCCGGATTCTGGACAGAACAGACTTAAAACACTGAAGCAGGTCAGACCTGATTGGTGTGTGTAGCGTCTGTCGTGATGGCCGGCTGCCCTCAGGAAGAGAACCAAGCAGCCGACTGAGAGCCTGCAGCTCACAGACAGAGACAGTGACGGCTGGTATGGCGGCACGCAGCTGGGCTGCTGTTTTTCTACCAACTTCCAAAACACACTTAAAGACCAGAAAACCTCCACTGTACTCCACTTATCCAATAATCTCACTTCATGTGTTTCTGTTGTTTCTGTTTGCATGCTGTGACCATGCTGAGTGTTTCCACTGATCACCTGTCACCAGAACTGATGCTGCACACGACCCACGAGCATCAGTTTAAAGTTTGAAAATAACCTTTTTTAGATTTTGGTTTCAAAGGAAATCCAAAGTTGCCACAGAGTTTCACCTTTTTCACTAAATTTAAAACCTACCAAATGTTTAAAAGAGCATTTCACTGCAAACAAAAATGTCCTTTTGAATATTAGAAAGTCATCTCCTGTAGTTAAGATCTACATCTCACAAGAACCACTTAGACTCAGGCAGACTGAGTCCAGACAAAACTGTACTGACTGAAAAACAAACAGAACAAGAGGATGGCGTCATTCTCAGCTTCTCACCCATGTTACTCCTTGTTTTTGGCAGCTTTGTAACACAGGACTCTGAATTCAAATGCAGCAAAAAGGGCAAATATTTCCAAAGCTAAAGACAGCAGTGACATCTACCAGTGTTACTTATGTGACAAAATAATCCAGTTAAGATATCAAGATGTTTACTGACTTAATGACTATTATAGTTAAGAACTTTTTCACACAGAAACAGCTCCCCTGAAATAATAATCCACTAAAACCACATTTAATTGATTTGAAGTCATGTGCTTCTCAGATGGTCCGAGGGTCCATGTTGGAAGATGTTCTCCAAATTCAGCCTGTCCATGTGTTTTCAATTTGGAAAAGGTTTAACATTAACCAGAGTTTTTAGTCAAAGCTGAATGGTAATAAATTCTAAAATAGAGCCTAAACTAACATACCTGATCTGTTAATGAGGTTTAAATACCGTACTGATGTTTATCAATAATGAGTTAAGGTCACTCTGTGGAAAGAAACTAATGTTCATACATTTTTACAGATTTTATGTGCAGTCCATGAATTAGTAAGTAAATCATCTCCTTCTACCTTGTTAGGGTAGGGTTAGGACGTGAAGTCACAAAGTTGGACGGCCATTTTTTACCGAGTTTCTAATGTGTTATTTTGACTTGAGCAGACGTTCATGACATTTTCCAGCTCAGAAACATGTGCAGTCTGTTTGATTCCACATTAAGACAAGTTTTGACTGAAATGGGGACAAGAGGAGACACTTTTTAGATTTGATCGATGGAACTTTAATTTGAAGCAGAAATTCATCTGACATCGTGGCAACTCCATTTGCTTCAAAATAATTAGTGACGCACGCACTGTACGTATAATTTGAACACCAAATTCAGGACTGAAGACCTGTCAGCGCATATTTGATCTGAATTAGAGCTCTGGGTTTCAGTATTTAAATCTGATTGTACACATACAGTGTCTGTCAGGTTTCATCAGACAGAAGTGAAGCTGTATCTTTTCAGGTGACTGAATGTGTTTGGACTCTAGAAACTCGCAGCACTGACTAAGAGTCTTAATCACAGCATCGTTCTTTCGAGTTGATTTTCTAGAGTTTTGTTCATAGATTATATTTGAGGAGGCTTTACCGTCTGAGCAGTATCCAAGGGTATCAAAGGGAGGACCCCCTGTGTTGTAGCCTCTTTCTGTGTTTTTGTTGCTGTTTTATTTGTAAACCATCAGCTGTTTTTGTTGTTTTGTGAACAGGCCCATCATTTCTCTCAGCATCTTTTTATCTTTGTGTGTTTTCTGTCGATCTGTCCGGCCCACTTTGTGTCAGATACCAGCCTAATGACAGAGCTGTGTACTGATGAAGTGGTCGAGTGAGGCTGACTCTGCCTCTCTCTCTCTTTCTCTCAGATATCTGAGTGGCTTACAGTGCTGCTATTCAGCTTCCAAACACAGATTGTATTGTGGTCAAGTGAGACGGCCTGTAAAGAGTTCAGAAATAATAAAGTACTCTTAAGAGTGAATGGTCTGGTGGTGCTGTAGAGCCATGCTTGGATCACTTTGTGGGTTTTAGCCACAGACTGTGTGGAAGTCAGGACGCAGCCACCATGACACCAACCTCTGGTTAGAGAGCAGTGATTTTAAAGCCCTCTCTTTAGCAGCTTAGCCTCTGCCTTGTTGGTTTTTGGAGCCAGAGTCAAAAATAATTTGGATGTGAGGTTGAAGCTAAGGAAAGTGTATCTATAACCCCCTATTAATGATCAATGTGAAGAGTGAATTTAACTACCTAAAACACATTTTAACAAAAGGTACTTATTTTACAAAGTCAGAGCTGATTTCCAAGAGTGTCTTTTTGGAGAACCCCTGAGCAGACATGTATGTATACATTTTCTTTAGGCTATTTCCCATTAAAACAAGTGATTTCAGGTTGTTCTCCTATGATAGTGATCTGTTTTCTTTCCTTTTTCTGATTGTTTTTTTGAGTATCCTTGGAAATCAGGAGACTGGGGCATATATAAACCTTTTCCTGGTTTCTGATGGCTGCTTGCTACCTGCACAGCTTCTGCCAAGTTACTCATCAGGAAGCAATTAATACAGCAACTGTAGCATTACACAGTCAGTTAAAGGGTTAAGGATGCCCTATTTACCGGAGAATTTTCTCAACCCGGTCTAGCCCTATCCCACCAATCACATCCGTGTATCTTCACCAGGGGTAATGATCACCTTACATCATGTTGAGATCTCATAAAAACAAGCTAAATCAACCATTTATTACAGGAAAACATAGAAAATAAAAGGAACTTATTTATGTCTGCTTAGGGCTTTCTCTGCTTTGAGTTCATCATTTTAAACATAAAACATGTTTTTAGGCAATTCTCTAAAATAAAACCTGCTTCATCCTCAAATTTACTCTGATTGGATCTGAAACTTACTAAAAGAACATCAGGCTCTTTTGAAAAATACTGCAGATATGTACTTAAACAAACTTCAGGGAAAATGTTTGGGAAATATCAGGTGAGAAACTGGCTCCTTTTCTCATGGTTCTATTTTCAGCATGTGGTGTCGCCCTCTGCTGGCCAGTAGACAGATCAGGTTTAAGGCACTCCTGCACTTTCAGGAGGTTATGGCTACCACCATTCATTCACACAGTTTGTGATTGAAACAGTTTAAACTTTATGTGGTAACAAATTCTCTGAATTCAGCACGTTTGGGGGAAAAAAGTGGTCACGTTAGATTGTCCCATTGGCTAAAAAAAAAAAAACATGAAATGAAACTTTTATTTTCCATCTGTAATGTCTCATATTTGAGGAAAATTGGAGCTCCGTTTGGTACCGTGAAAAAGGGAAATTTATAAGTTGTGCAGAGTTTACATTTTTTTGTTCCATGAAATGATTCAAACTTTCATACTGATTTATTTGTGTATAAATTGACACTTTTCAGATACAATATCCAACCAGTTTAATTTTGAATGGAACCAATGGCACAGTCTACCAGACCCTGTGTTTCTGAGATGAGTTACAGACTGAATGTGTGTTTCAAGTTGCAGAGTTAGTGCTGTGTAAAGTGACACTCATGTAGCATATCTGTGAAGTGCACTGTTAAAGGTTAAAGGTTAGATGATGAAAACACTGTCTGTTTGCAGGGTTTCACAGGAGCGATCTGCAGCATGGTACACCTGAGTTGTGTTTTGGATTTGTTGCACTTTTACTGTATAGAAAACATTTATCATAGGTGTGTATTACACAGTCGGAAGGTGAGAACTGTCAGCTGCATTTATTCACAAGGACACAGTATCTCAACACCACTTGTATGAAATAAAATCAAAGCAGTTATTACAGATGGTCTGTCTTTATTTTTTCATGGTTATCTGATATCTACAGTACAAGGAAATTATCTACTGCTATGTCACTCATCAGCACATTTATCCGGATAAGTCGACTATATTTCTGCAGCTGTTTTCAGAAAACATGACAGGACCAGAGGATATCTGGTAAACAAGTTAATTTATTCAGTAAGGCATGAAAAGTGGTGAAAACCTAAACTACTGTTATCTGCAGTTTGGAGTCAGTTGCGGCCATAAAACATATTTTGGTATTAAAAAAAAAAAAAAAAAACATTTACACTGAAAGTCCAGTACATAGGGGGACATGTAAGGAGGCCATTGTATCCAATGTTAAAAGTTTAAAAACTTGTCATAAAAATGATAGTAATTTAGTATAGTAATTTTTACTACAGTAATATTGTTTCAGTGTCAACATTTGATATTCTGTCATATGTATTTTCAGTGAAATATTTTCCCCTCATGGTTTAAATCATCAAAATCTGTTTTATGAACATTTTACACAGTGTCCCTTGTTGGAATTCAGGTTGTTTTAAAATAAATTTAAAAGGTCATTTAACCCCCTCCTCTGATTCAAATAGCCATAATCCTTGTTTTTTTTATCTGACAAAAAAGTCCCAAAACAAGTATGACATTATGAAAAAATCTACACATAGAAATAAAATTTGTCTTTGGTGTATTTTTTTAAACTCTTATTTCTCCTAAAGCTTGTGAACATTTTATCCAGGTTCAGAATCTTTATTGGCCAAGTACATTACACTTCCAAGGAAACTGACACCAGTAGACTTTGCTCTCCATGTACAAACATTTAACATGAAAGATTACACAACTATGTACAGCTTACATTAGGCATTTAAATAAAATATATAAAACTGTTTCAGGCAGTAGAGCAAAAATACACACACACACAGTAGCAGTACAGGGGTTCCACAAGGGACAGTGCTGGTGCCATTCCTGTTCACACTGTATACATCAGACTTCAAATACAGCACTGAGTCCTGCCATATCCAGAAATACTCTTGTGACACCGCTATTGTGGCATGTATCAGAAATGGACAAGAAGCTGAATACAGAGATCTGATAAGAGCCTTCAGTGACTGGAGTCACAAAAACTGCCTCCTCCTCAACACCTCAAAGACAAAGGAGATGGTCATAGACTTCAGCCAGTGAACACCAGTGGAGTGGACATCGAAGTGGTGACATCATATAAATACCTGGGTGTACATCTGGATAATAAGTTGGACTGGCCTAAGAATATGGACTTCATCTACAGAAAGGGGCAGAGCCGCCTCTTTTGCCTGAGAAGACTCCGATCAATAGACATCTGTAGTAAGATGCTGCAGATGTTTTATCAGTCTGTGATGTCTGCAGTGTTCTGTTCTACGCTGCAGTCTGCTGGGGAGGAAGCATCAAACACAAAGATGCAAGACGTCTGAACAAACTGGTGAAAAAGGCTGGCTCAGTGGTTGGACTCAAGCTGGACTCAGTGGAGGAGGTGGTGGAGAGATTTACACTGAGGAAGGTGGAGTCTATTCTAAAGAACATGGATCACCCACTTCACAAAACCTTGACGGACCAAAGGGCAAATGGTGGTGGACAGCTCCTCTCTCTCCACTGCAGGACAGAAAGATTCAGAAGATCTTTTGTACTCACAGCAATTAGACTTTATAACTTTTCTGTAAATAGAGGATAACTTTTAGAGATACATTTTGTGAGACAACAGACAATTGAATTTCACTTCGGGGATTAATAAAGTTATTCTTATTCTTATTATGTCATTTTAAAACAGGTGGTTAATATAGATATACATTTGTTTTAAATACAGTATTTACAGAATATTTTATTATTTCAATTTATTTCCTACGTTTTTTATCATCATTGTCATTGGACACTTATTACTGGGTTTCTTTTTGACATTTGTTTACATATCTTCCACCTACTTTTGTCTTACTTACAACTGTCGTTGATAAAGTCTGTCAATCAATCCCAGATGCAATGATTCCATCCACAAATCTGCGCTCGATTTTTATATGTGACGCATGCGCACGGGTCGATCTTCCTTTCTGCTAGCTTCTCCGCCATGGCGCCCATTGTAAGTGGAATCGCGTGTTGATAAATCCTCCGAAACGGGTGGTAATTCCGTGTAAAAGCAGGAGAAATCGAGCGATATGAAATGAAAATGTTTCTATGACAATTTTAAGTCAATTTTGAGCCGCTTGGTTATGTTTTCTCAGTGTTTATAGCCGCTGTTTTCTCCGTGGCCTGGTAGCTAACGTTAGCCTGTAAGAGACTCACCACGTTGTGAACTCTGCGTGTCCGGATGGATCCATGACAGCAGCTTGTTTTACTGGTTTCTCACAGTTTATGGTTATACATTTAATTTTAGTTGTGTGATTTGCAGCTCGGGTACATGAACGTTAGATGGCGTGAAAGACGTAGTGTTGTAACTAAGGATTGGATCGGAACCGGGTTCGCTTCCTGGAGCCTGTTTGGCTGTTTATCAAGTTTTTCTAAACTGAAGCCTGTTCAATACTGATAAAAAGTCCTCGATTTAAACAGAAAAACAGGAAAAAAAATGGACATGTGGCTGTCAGACAGTCTTCTTAGTCCTGGTTAGAGCAACATTGAGGATTGATGGTTTTCCCTCATGTCTTCACAGCAGAAGAAGCAGAACACCGGCAAAGGTGGTAAGAAGAAGAAGCAGATCCTGAAGTTCACTTTGGACTGCACCCACCCTGTTGAAGATGGCATCATGGACGCTGCCAACTTTGTAAGTCCACCTCTGATCTGAAGTTGCATGAGAACAGGAATCTGCAAAAAGTTTTCCATCAGATTGATTTTTATGTGTCAGATCTCAGGTTTTCAACAATCCAGAACACTATCTGCTCAGAAGGGTTTGGTGCCATTTCACTTTTCTGTCCCGTTCTTATGATTCTGATTCCGGCAAATTTGGACAGTAAAATAATAACAAAAGTGACTTTGTCGTTAAGACAGGTTCTTACAAGTGTGAGATGGATTCAGGGTGTTTTTAAACCTTCAGAGTAGATACAGACAGATAAATGTTATTTTGATGTAATTGGCATCACCCCTCATGAGGCTGAAATCACCTTTTATCATTCGAAAGATTTACAAAAACATTTTCTAAAGTTCACTGATTTTGTTTCCCATTTGTATGTATTATCTTAAAACAATGTGATGTGGACTTGATAAATGCGACGGCTGATATCAATCGTCATTAACACGTTTACGCCCTTAAATATTCATGGTTCAGAAGCCTCACCCACTGCGGTCAAACATGTAATAGGAGAAATATTAGAAAGATTTGAAACTTTTCCGAGCTGAAAGTAGATATCCTCACATCTGTGGTGGACACTAACAAGGATTTGCTCTTTGGAAGCATCAAAACTGGTATAAAAGCAGTCCAGAAAACTCCTGTCTGAAGCAGGATTATGGTGGCGGTGAACAGCGCTGCCACGGAATAGTGGACAGTGGCTGAAGTTTGAATAAATCATCAGTCAGTAAGTTGCTCATGATGATAAATTAATATCTCAAACATACCTCATATTTTTTATTGCCATGACATAGGGTACGTTGCTCCTATTATTGAAAGTATTGAGTTTTAATTTGTTGTCTTTGTAATGTAGAGCAGACTGGAGAGTCTGACAGAGGCTAAACAAAAATAATTATTAACCTCACCAAGCGGTGTGTTGCTGCCCCTGAGGCACATTTTTTATGGATTTCTATTAGACTTTTATCACTTTTTAAATAGCAAGAGCACTTTCTAAACTCAAACTTGACATCAGAATCCATCAATAAGGTCCTGTCTCCTCTGTACAGCACCTTTGTGGAGTCTCTCCTCGTTATTGTTCTCCGGGCATCGGGTCCTTACGTTGCACCGGCACAGCCAACGGCACTCCATTTGCCAGTGCAACATTGTGCAAAACTGTACTGGCCAAAATGATGTCCCACACCCTTTTAGGAGTGTACAACAACGTCCCTGCTGCTGGGCCAAGACAGAGACACCTGCCTTTTAGGAGTCAAACGCAGCGCTCCACAGTGCCGCGTGTGCATGTGTGTGCAATGTTGAAACGGCGCTTCTGCTCTGTGGCAGTGTTTCTGGGCAGAGTTATCAAATAGGCCTATTCACTAAGGACAGAACAAATTTATTTTATTTTATTTTATTTACATCTTAATCTTCAATGAAATCTGGCTGATTGTGATTAATGACAGGTTTGAGGTTTGTTTATCAATTATTTTGAGACAGACATTTGCTGCACCACAGATCCACACTGACTCAAACTTGCGCACACGATGTCACATGCTCACATGCAGATTGATAAATGCCGATCCTCATGTCGCAACTTACATACGCAAGGTGTACACAAGTTTTCTGCCGTACGCAAGCTTGATAAATGAGGGCCAATGTGTCTGCTATCAGCCTGATCGCTCAAAAGTAGTGTGTTTACATCAGGCGACCACGTTTCAGAATGAAACAAATAACGTTTCCTTTGTTTCATCTCTTTCTTTTTAACAGCGGCGTTCTCTCTCTCTCTCTCTCTCTCTCTCTCACTCTCTTCACTTCCTCTCTAAGTCCCTTTGCCGCCTCTGCTCTTTCATTTCTCACATCCGCTGTGATAAAAACAGGAATGTTCAATAAACCATTTGGGCTGATATCATTTTTATTTTATTGTGGTAGTTTTTTTATGTCTGTGTCAAATGAGCTTAGATTTTTTTTATATATTAAAGTCGTTGTTAGTTGTCCCTTTACTCCAAGTGTCACTGCTGGGTGTCACTAGGCCTGTCACGATAACAAATTTTGCTGGACGATAATTGTGCTACAAATTAGCACGTTACAATATCCCACCGCGCACATACTTCATTTTTGGTTCATTGTTACATTTTAAAGGAAGGAGATATGCCTATATATTGCACTTTAAGTTGTTTTTCATTAATAATTATGTTGAAAAGAAGATATTATGCCGTATGCACTACTTTTATATATTTTAATTCAACCATTTAAGTGTTTAATATACAGACAAAACTGCTTTTTGCTGATCCGAAAAATGATCCGATCCGTGACTCTTGATCCGAGGAACGATCCGATCCGTGAGTGTTGTGATCCGTTGCACCACTACTCATAACTGATGTTTTCTTTCACTTTAACCATGAAAGCAAGTTAGTGTTTGTCTAACAGGCGATTCTTTCCCTCCTCTTTGAGTCTGCTGTTCCCTGCCAGTGTTTAATTAATATTGAGGTATATAGGTACAAAAGATACTGACACCTCTGCATGGCACATATTTGGTTGATGTCTGTCTTAGAGTGAAATATCAGCTGATACAGGTATTTGGCAGATCAATTAGTGCCATTTCCTAGATAAACAAACATGATTGTAGATTTGTTTTATTATAAAGTGGTGTTTATGATAGGTACTTCAGCATAGAATGAAAATACACTGAGGCACGGTACACAGCCTGAACTCTCACTATTCTTCTTAGATCCTGAATGTTTGCTCATATAAGGGTTATTTTTCTGCTGGAATTATCACACATGTTCTGTGTTTGTGACATTTCCATAAACTTTTTGACCTCTAGGAGCAGTTTCTTCAGGAGCGCATCAAGGTCAACGGGAAAGCTGGCTCCCTAGGAGGTGGTGTGGTCTCCATTGAGAGGAGCAAGAGCAAGATCACAGTGTCCTCTGAGGTCCCCTTCTCTAAAAGGTGAGGGACACTTTGCTCTTTTTGTGGTGGGTTGAAGTACAGACTGCAGCATCTGCACACATCCTCTCTGGGATAGAAGATATCCAGTTCAGCATAGCTGGTGAAAAAATGTCTTTGCTATTGTACAGAAACTCAAACCAGTCAGGAGTGTAGATGCAGGGCTGTGTCTCTGTGCTCAGCTGTGTATCAAGTGGAAGTTCAACTGATACAAGCTGGATTTTTCTCTGCTCTCTAGGAACTGAGTTGGTGAGCACAAGATTGGAAAAAAATGAGGATTGAGACACTATTAAGACATGATTGAATACTTAAAGAGAAGTGAAGTCTTCAAATAATTCAGAAAACAAAAGGGACTTAAAAAGATTATATAAAATTGTAAAACAGTTTAATTCCAAAATGTAATTTTGTATTTTTCCCAACATGATTCTTTTTTCAAACTGGCTGTCATGTTCTCATCAATAACAAAGTCTTAAAGGATGTTTGACTGAGAAAAGTCAGAAACTACTCATCACGTGGAACCTTGTTTTCTGTTTTTCTGACCACAGATCGATACTTTGAATTTTTGTCCTTTAATTTTAAATCAAATTAAAGACGAAACTAATATGAATCAGTCACAAACAACGCTCCTGTAGATATTTGTTTTTATTTTCTGTACACATATTAATCTGGGTTAATGTTTTTTTGTCACTGCTATGTGCACTGAGTCCTCATGCACGGGATGATTTGACAAAGAGAAAGCACAAACACTCACACTCAGCGGAAAGGGGTTAATGAGCTCCTGAGCTGTGATTGGTCAGATTTGTTGGAGGGGGCTGATCCATCACAGAAATCAGTCTGTGGGGTGTTTTTACTGCTTGTTGGAGGTGTGTCTTCATAGGAGTCTTCTCAGGTTTCTCCAAAATAAGAGGCCTCAGTCCCCAACATCTCAGTCTCGTCTTTATCCCCTTGCTGCTTATGCAGGGTTGGTTTGTGTCAGTGTGCGTTCAGCGTTCTAGGATATTTTATGACGTATTCACACCTGTTGTTTGTTTGCTTTGGTCTGAATAAGGGTGTAATGATGGCAGGCCTACATTTCAGCAGTTGCAGAACCGCAGTGTGTAGAAAGTGGCGAGCTGATGATCATCTGTTTACACCTGCACTTCCTTCATGACTTCTTTAAGAACAGATCTTCATACCTGAGTTTAGTGTTTGTAGATCATGACGTCGACATCTCCCTCCCCTGACTCGGCTGAGGTCATTGTCTCAGTTTCTGTTTGTGAATGTGGACTCCCTCTGGAACAATAGCCCAGTCTGTACTGAAGGGGTTAATCTTTTTTTTTTTTTTCCACACGGATCTTGAAGTTCCATTGAATCAAATCCAACTCATGAGTTAGTCCAGACTTAATCCAGTGACTGAACATTCGTTTGAAGAGTTGTTGCTGGTGGAGGTTGGTGAGCACAATTCATCAGGCTGAAGGGGCCCAAGGCATGCGACCATGGTTTTTTTCATCACTGCTGTTCCACAGGAGGAGAAACAGGTAATCAAAGCTGGATATTAGGGCTTCTGATTGAGAAGGGGGTTTGATCAATCATGAGCTAAAATGCAGAAGTTTTGCCCTTCTGTGTTGGTTTTTTTGTGTGTTAAGAGTTAGCATTTTGTGAGGAGTAGTTGAGGAGTTAGAGACGCTGTAGTCATTCGCCCCTCTGTTAACGCCACATGGAAACTGGTGGGTGATGAGGGCACAGTAGGCTGATGTTCTGTGAGTTGTAAAAAGTGTTCATCTTCCTAACCCAGTTTTAAAAAAAAAGAAACTCAGTTGTTTTTAGTGGAGACATATGAGCTGTGTTTTTACCTTCATGATAAGAGCTCAGTCATGTCACTGTCTGAGAAGAGCTAACAGTTCTAGCTGTAACTCAAGCTTGGTTGTGTTCCTCTGTTTCAGTCTTTGGGCAAAGCTAATTGGCTGTTGGTGTACAAACAGGAGCGATACAAAATAAATCCTCTTACTCAGCCAAAATGAGAGTAAATGTACACTCACCGGCCACTTTATTAGGTACACCTGTCCAACTGCTCGTTAACACTTAATTTCTAATCAGCCAATCACATGGCGGCAACTTAGTGCATGTAGGCATGTAGACATGGTCAAGACAATCTCCTGCAGTTCAAACCGAGCATCAGTATGGGGAAGAAAGGTGATTTGAGTGACTTTGAACGTGGCATGGTTGTTGGTGCCGGAAGGGCTGGTCTGAGTATTTCAGAAACTGCTGATCTACTGGGATTTTCACGCACAACCATCTCTAGGGTTTACAGAGAATGGTCCGAAAAAGAAAAAATATCCAGTGAGCGGCAGTTCTGTGGGCGGAAATGCCTTGTTGATGCCAGAGGTCAGAGGAGAATGGCCAGACTGGTTCGAGCTGATAAAGGCAACAGTGACTCAAATAACCACCCGTTACAACCAAGGTAGGCAGAAGAGCATCTCTGAACGCACAGTACGTCGAACTTTGAGGCAGATGGGCTACAGCAGCAGAAGACCACACCGGGTGCCACTCCTTTCAGCTAAGAACAGGAAACTGAGGCTACAATTTGCACAAGCTCATCGAAATTGGACAATAGAAGATTGGAAAAACGTTGCCTGGTCTGATGAGTCTCGATTTTTGCTGCGACATTCGGATGGTAGGGTCAGAATTTAGCGTCAACAACATGAAAGCATGGATCCATCCTGCCTTGTATCAACGGTTCAGGCTGGTGGTGGTGGTGTCATGGTGTGGGGAATATTTTCTTGGCATTCTTTGGGCCCCTTGGTACCAATTGAGCATCGTTGCAACGCCACAGCCTACCTGAGTATTGTTGCTGACCATGTCCATCCCTTTATGACCACAATGTACCCAACTTCTGATGGCTACTTTCAGCAGGATAATGCGCCATGTCATAAAGCTGGAATCATCTCAGACTGGTTTCTTGAACATGACAATGAGTTCACTGTACTCAAATGGCCTCCACAGTCACCAGATCTCAATCCAATAGAGCATCTTTGGGATGTGGTGGAACGGGAGATTCGCATCATGGATGTGCAGCCGACAAATCTGCGGCAACTGTGTGATGCCATTATGTCAATATGGACCAAGCTCTCTGAGGAATGCTTCCAGCACCTTGTTGAATCTATGCCACGAAGAATTGAGGCAGTTCTGAAGGCAAAAGGGGGTCCAACCCGTTACTAGCATGGTGTACCTAATAAAGTGGCCGGTGAGTGTATATTCTAGACCAGTGGTTCTCAAGTCCAGTCCTCGAGGCCCACTGTCCTGCATGTTTTGGATGTTTTCCTGCTCCAACACACCTGATTCAAATGATCAGCTCGTTATGAAGCCATTACAGAGCTTGATAACGAGCTGATCATTTGAATCAGGTGTGTTGGAGCAGCATTTGTCATTCTTCTAGGGTGAGCTGCACTGGTTATACTCAGCACGGTTTGGATTAAAGTCCTCTTTGGGGAGGGGTCACTGCAAACCATTAAAAAGTTGTTTAAGTGTGTTATCTTTCCTGTTAAAGACTCACTCTGGGGATTTTTGCCGTTATTTGGTCAAACAGCTGGAGACCGACAGAAGTGTTTGAGTGGAAGGGTTAGGGACATTGTGCACCACATGGCTACAGGCCGAGAGTTAAACCTGTGACCAGTGGAACAAAGACTGAGGCGTCTGCTCTGCGGATTGTGCTCCCTTCAGTGCCATTCCCCTGTGATCAAAAGGAGATGAAGGAACAACAAAGAGAAACAGGAATGGGGCAGAAAATGAACAAAAACTCCACTGATTGAGGACAAATTAGAAACCTCGTTATTTCTGTCCCAGTTCACATGATAAATACTCGTAGCCTGGTTTCTGATTGCTGCAGCATATTGTGATGTTTTTTTACAACACAAAACTGCAGCAGTTTAAACCATTGTACCTTATTGTGGGAGCTTAGCACTGCTTAACACTTACATTACATAATAGAAACCATTTCTTCATCTCGTTCCTATCAACCAAACAAGATTCAAAGACCAAAACTTTTGACACACCTGAGCAGGTACATAGCAGGAAAGTCGACAGTGAAAGCACCAAGACTGGGTAGAGTCCAACACTGGACACCTACACACTGTCATTGTAAAGCAGGCTGTTAAGGCTGTCTGCAGCTCTACAACAGCTGGATCGAAGTTCTGCCATCACTCTGCTTTTTTACTCTGAAGTGGTGTCATATCGGTGCCCCAGTGTGTCATTGCACATCACAACACGTGGTTGCATACTCACCCACTCAGACATGCATGTGCACACAGTGCTGCCCACACTGCCAGCCCTCATAGGTGATAACAGAGGTGGCAGTGTGTGGCGTTGGAATAGTAATGCATGTATGAGGAGCTCCTATTTTGTGTTTACAAGCTGTACCCTGCTAATATAGTGGGATGTGTAATGACGCTCTAGGACCCCCAGCATGACATGTTTTCAGGGTACAGAGTGGAAGTAGAAAGGCGTAATCGAAGTTGAGCTCTGTTCTGGTGCAGAGGTACAAAGCAGAGCACCAGGAGAGACAAGAAATCTGACTGACACTCCCTCCTTCTCTGTTGCCCGCTGATCCTGTTTCACAGGTACCTGAAGTATCTGACCAAGAAGTACCTGAAGAAGAACAACCTCCGTGACTGGCTGCGCGTCGTGGCGAACACCAAGGAAAGCTACGAGCTCCGTTACTTCCAGATCAACCAGGATGAAGAGGAGGAAGAAGATGAGGATTAAAACAACAATCCATCTGATTTTGTACATTTAAATAAATGTTGTTTACACACAGGAGCTGTTTACCCGTGTTTTCTTTGAAGGTAGAGAACTAAACCCAAACGGTGTATTTTTTTTGTTGTTTTTGGAAGTATCAGTCCTTAAAAGTAACGGTGTCAGAGGCCTCAGAGACCCAGTCCTGGGTCCAGCAGATTTGCTCTGTTGGAGGAGCAGACATCTTCACAGGGCTGTTAAATCTGTGTACTGTTTAACTTTGACCTTTATTTTGTAACTTTAAAATGAAAAGTTCCCCTTAAGTAGAGTTTATTGAAAGGAATTTATTGCTAATGCTGCATGAGAGCATTTACATGATTTTCTTGTTGAATTTTTTGATTCAGTTCAGCAAACATTTGATCAAAGAGGAATACCGATCCTCAAAGACATTTCCAGGTACAGTACTTCAGTAATTTGTCATAATCCACCAGTAAGATATAAAAGTAATCCTGCAACTTCAATCCCTCACTTAAAAGGACTCGTATCCACATATGAGTGTAGTGGTTTGAATTTATAGTAAGTGTTTTAAGGTTAATATTTTAAAATCTTACGATACGACATGCACTTGTTGATAGGGGCACTGTTGATAGGAGTCAGATCCTACACAGATTACGATTGTTATTGAATTCTTGGTTCATAATAATTGATTTGATACTGAACAGCTATAAAGAAATGTTGAATCACATTAACAAACATTCTCATTATACTTCATCACTTCTCAAAAGAGTACTGAACATGCTCAGTAAATCTGAACTTAAACAGTAACTTGGAAACCGTGAACCACATGTAAATAAACTCTATTATGATAAATAATGGATTCTATAAACTTGTATTCAGATTATTGAATGACTTTATAACCACCTAATGGTTAAAAATTTTAACAAATGATTAAAATATAAACTAACATTCCTGACCTATTCCTGTTACTTAGAGTTAGATTATGACTCATATTCAATCATTTTAACTCTTAAAAGTTTATGCTGTATTTCCAGGGATTTCATGTGTCACTCCTTAAGACAGTAAATCTCAAATAGGAGACCTGGGTTGATAATGCAATTCTTTCGCACAGCAGATATAGTAGCTAAAATTAATCGAGCACGACGGGACACATGCTTGAGGAAGCGTGGGACACAAGTTGGTATCCATACACATATATTTTGGTCATGCACAATATTAAAATCATTTTTGAAAGAGGTCTTTGAAACTCTTGATACAATATTTCATCAGAGGCTTGCCAAAGATCCAACTAGAAAAGCACTCGGAGAGCGCAGACCTCCGCCAAGCAGCTCATGTCCCCTCTTATATTGTGATTCATACCAAAACTTTTACTATTACGTGTCTTTTATTAACTTTTATTTGTGTTTAAACTGGTATGTTCACTGTTCATAATGTTCCTAAAACAACAAAGCTCATATTAGATACATAAATGCATGATTTATTATGCAATATTTGTAAGCGTACACTGCAAGCGCACTGTTACTTGAAGCTGCTCATCACACTAACAGAGCTGATATCTTTGATTAGGAATAACCTGTTAACCCTATAGACTCCTCCCTCTCAGTAAACAGTTACCACTGTTTTTATACCAATCCTCCTTATCTTTCACCTCTCTGACATAGTGAGATGACCAGTCTCAGCCATTAGGGGTTCCAAAAAGCAATGCTATCCACTTTTGTAATGAATGTTGGTGTTTAATTGCTAAACCCCCCAAAAGTCCTGCTTTTTTTAAGAATACATAATTTGTTAAAAAAAAACATCCTGTCTTACATTCAGGTTGCTGAGGGAATGAGGATTTTGGGATTGCAAATACAGTGCTAGGAGGCTCATGCAGGCTACCCTTCAGGTCACACCTCTTCCACTTAGTAAAACACACATTTGACTCGGTGTCACTCTCTAGGGTGGGTCTAGTCCACAGCAGAACTGGTTCTTGTGTGGGTTTGAAGTTGATGCTTGCAGTTATTGAACATTCAGCGACTGTTCCTGTTACACTCTAAAAACCCCTGGGTTGACTCAATAATTCTTTTTGAAGGTCAAGTTAACCCAATCTTCGAGTGAATTTGACTCATGATCTTGGGTTAAATTGAAATATGCATTTGGGGAGCTTTGCTTTTACAACCTGTACCCTATTTTCCCATGTACTTTTATACCAATTCTTAAAACGTAAAACTGTATTAAACCAACCCCACCCCTTCATTAATTATTTTTTTCTCTTCTTTTTTACAATTTAGAGTTCCTCATTGCAGTCTTTAAGAACCTTATCTGGTTGCTCTCTGTATTTGTAACCCCACTGGTTTGGGTTACTTGAGTAGTAGCATGCCAACAGACTCTTGTTCTCACCTCATGTCCATTGCCTTCTCTTTGTTGTTCCAGTAGCCCATTTCTCTTCACAATGCCCTGGTTCCTCAGCATGTGACGTAGACCTTGTTAACCCAGGCGAGGTCTGAGCCGGTTTGGCTTTCAATGGTAACGCACTCATGAGGTAGGCAATAGCGCTAAGGGTCTTGACCCACACTGGTAGATGTAGATCGCTGCTTACAGATGTGTCTCATGCAGGAACTGGTATATATATGTGTATATACATGTATAATATATATGTATATATCATATTGTATATAAAATCAAGGTCAAGGTTCATAAGGTCAACAGGTCACTTTAATTGCCTTTAGGCCTAGAAACCATGTAGAGTCAATTGAACCCTACGTTCTGACCAAATTATTGGGTTACTCTCAGAAAAATAACCCATAATTATTAACCCATTCAAAAAAAAAAAAACTCAAATTGGGTTACAATAGAATCCATATGACCCAATAAATCAATCAATTAATCAATCAACTTTATTTCTATAGCACATTAAAAATAACCTCAAGGGTAGCCAAAGTGCTGTACAATGACACATAAAAACAAATAACACAATCAAAGAACAAGATAAAGTGAGCAGAAATACATTAATGCAAGGGAATAAATAAGTAAATAAATAAGCAGGCTCACGGCAAGTGCTAAAATGATAAAAAAAATAAATAAATAACACTAAAAAGTATCAAAAGCCAAGGAGTGAAAGTGTGTTTTTAGAAGGGATTTAAAAACAGGAAATGAGGAGGTCTGTCTGATTTTCAAGGGCAACTCATTCCAGAGCTTCGGGGCAGCAGCAGCAAACGCTCTGTCCCCTCTGAGCTTCAGCCTTGTATTTGGGACCGTCAATAGCAGCTGATCGGCTGATCTTAGGGGTCGGGGTGGGCAATAAGGCTGGAGCATCTCAGAAATGTAAGGTGGAGCAAGATTGTTCAGGCTTTTAAAAACAAATATTAAAAGCTTAAAATTAATTCTGTGCTGTACAGGGAGCCAGTGTAAGGATGCCAGGATGGGGGTGATGTGCTCACGCCTGCGGGTCTGGGTCAGGAGACGTGCAGCAGAGTTCTGCACAAGCTGCAGGCGGGCAATGGGTAAATGGGTATGGATCTGAAAAATAACCAAGAAATTTAACTCAACATGTATAACCCTGGAATTGGGTTCAAGAAATAACCCAAGAGTTTTTTGTGTACAGTTACCCTCACTTTTCCTGTGTTTAACTAATTAGTTGATGAATACAGTGATGGAGGAGTCTTATTGGCCAAAACAGCTGTCAATCAATCAATAAATCAATCAATAAATCAATCAATATTTTGAAATCAAATAACAACTTCAAACCAACCTTCTCAGAAAAGTAAGCACTTGGACATAAATCTGCATAGCTATAATGACAACAAACATCTCTGGTAACATTAAGGAGGGGGGGCCTTGTGACCTTTTTTTGCAGACAGCCAGTAGGGGGAGCTCTGAATATTCAGACTTTACAGTCTGTAAACACTTATAGCGTCCATTTTAGTAAATAGTCTCTGGGCTTAACATGTAACTGTGACTGGTGGCAGCAGGTCATGCTGTGGTTTGTTGTTTTGATCTCAAGATCCCCTGAAAATCGTTCCCACAAGAAAATAAACTTGTGGGAACAAGAAAACACAGAATAATTTATTGCAGGATTATTCAGGAGGTGCATGTCTGCATAAGGCTTCTATATATTGGACAATCAGTGCAATCTCACTTTATAACATGACTCTTTAATCTGGAACAGACCAGGAGATCAGATTTAATCTCACTTTATAACATTTATTATGTTTTTAGTCCTTATTTCCCAGAAGATCATCCAGCAGACGCTCACACATGTAGAGGCAGCGAGGGACGTGAAAGAAACCTGAAGACAAGAAGATGATCGCAACTCTTAACCAACAGGGCAGAATGTAAATTAAACAGGACTGCAAGGACAGACAAAAAACTACATCAAGATAATCTTTGTTTTTCTACTCGTGAGGCTGAGAGAAATGTAGCTATAGTTTATTTTCAGTAGACAGTAAAAAATACAAGTCATATTCAACAGAACAGAAAATAATAATACTAGGACAGTTTTATAATAAATTTTAAAAGAAAATGTTGTGTCTGGTCATCCCATCGAACTTCCAGTGGACCTATCCCTGCCTAACATCACTGATCCTACAACGAGAAAACAAAGAAACCACCTGAGATCCCAATACATTCACTTTACAACTCATGCTGTGAATAACTAACCCCCCTTTCATACTTTCCATTCTTCGTATGCTGTTTGGTATTTGCATGAACATTAAAATACAACACAGAAAGATAAATTGACATTCATAGCATAGATTATACATTAACAAACTCTATGATTAAAATGAATAATAATTTTTGCTCCTTAACATCTTTGGCTGCTTGTGTAGTGTTCTTGTCCATGGGTGTTCTCCGTTTGTGTATCCAATGCAATGTTCTTGTTCACATCCTCTGTCAGGTTTCAGTTTCTGTTTATATTGTCCATGCTTGATTGTCCTTGTTGGGAGGTGTGGGTCCATTAAGGCTGTTTAGATCTCTGGAGAACCACCTTTCTTTAGCTGGTCTCCCCAACTGCTGTCCTGAGAATGAAAAAATTAAGCAGTATCTTGCCAAAAACATACATTTTTGACATGTTTATCATATTTCCCCCTAAGTAATACCTCCCCTTTACTTCATCAAAATGTAAACCTGTGTGCCGGCCAATCTTACCCAGAGGGTTTTTTCATCACCCCATTCATTTTTTTTCACAGATACCTTGGCTTTGCGGATGGTACACAGCTCCCAAACATTGTTCAATTGTTAGTTTTTTCAAATCAATTTCACTGTTTTATCCACAAACTCTTCTCCGTTATCTTTGAATATTTAATCTTAAAGTCCCCATCTCTTATGACTTCTCTACACAAGAACTTGGCAACATACTGAGCATCTTTTCGCTTGGTTAGACAAGCTTCAACTGTTACACTTTCAAGAATTGTTTTTTAGACAAATTGTACATCTACTTATGATAAATCAATTTGCTCACGCAAATGTGGTGTCCAGAAACCTACTCCTTTATGATGTTTCTTTTAACTTCCCCCCTTGCAACATGTGCTAACCCATGTGCCTCCTGAATCATTAATCTAAGAAGGTTTGGAGGTGCCACCATCAGCCCTTCATGATTCCTCCACAAACCTGTGGCATCCTGTGTTGCACCTCGGTCACGCCATAACTGTTTGTCTATTTCAGAGGCTGCTTTTTGCATTGAGACTATGTCTTCGAGGGTGATTTTATCTTCCAAGTCTAATTCATGAGTGACCAGAAGAACTTTGCCTTCTTTATCTGCCCCTGGAACAGCTTTTGCAACCTCATCAGCTGCTCTGTTGCCCTGAGTCACTCTTGACATGTCCCCTTTATGTGCTGCACACTTAGCTATTGCTATTTCGTTCGGCTTCATCATTTCATGCAGCAATTTGGTTATCTGGGCATGATGCTGTATAGGAGACCCATGTGTTTTCTTAAATCCTCGATTTTTCCACAGTGCTCCGAACAAGTGACAAACATTATGTGCATATGCAGAGTCTGTGTAAATTGTCACTCGTTTCCCCTCTGCCAAAAGACATGCCTCAGTTAGTCCTACAAGTTCAACCAGCTGTGCAGATGCTGGTTGTTGCACTGTTTTTGCCTTTTCAACAACAAATCCATCCCCTTCAGCTTTTACAACTGCATAGCCAGCGCTCAATTTGTGTCCATTCTGATAACACGACCCATCAGTCCAATACTCTACATCTGCTTTCTGAAGTGGAAGGGCTTGCAAGTCTGACCGTAGTTTTGAATATCTCTCTGATTCCTTCAGTCACGTGAGGAATGCTTTCCTCGATGTCATGTTCTTTTTCAAGATATTCATTACTCTCTATCTTCATAGTTGCTCCTTGTGGCCCCAAATTATTGAACTGGAGCTAAGCTGGACTTGTTTTGGTTGTTGCTTCAACCAGTCTGCTGAGTTGGTCTGTGTAGCATCTTTAAAATACTTCAGTGTACAGTGGTATGGATACTCAGGTAACTTCACCTCAGTCATATTGGCCACAACAAATTTCTCCCACAGCTTTGCTGCCTCTAGATACTCCTGGCTAAGGTTCCCAATCCAAAACACTGCAGACGCTTCAGTCTCTGTTTTCATAAATAGTTGTTGCCAACTATCACTTGGTACATCCACCAGACAGCCGTCTGGTGTGCATCGTATTGTGCACTTCAACCTACACAAAGCATCTCTGCCCAAAAGTGCAATAGGTGTTTGTTCTGACACTAGTATCGGTATTGTGGTCTTTTGATTTTTATAGCAGAGCTCAACGGGTTCTGTAAGAGGTATCAGCTGTTTCACACCCTCAAAACCTATTGTCCGTATCAATTGGCCAGACATGGGGAGATGTATAGCATCTTTGGGCCTAACACAGGTGAAAGCAGCTCCGCAATCTGCCATAACTGTCAATGGTTTATCATTCACTTTCACCTCAATGGTTGGCTCTTGTTCTGGCCCTGACACTACCAGCTGACACCCCCTTTTAGGTCTTCTGGGCACCCCTAAAATCCAGGTTCTGGCCCCCTATCAGGGTTTACAGGTCCTCTGGGTGGGCGCGATTGTCCCCTAGTGAAGCCTCCCCTGAGACCTAAAACTTATCAACACCCAAAAAAGATCAATCTGTGTGATTTTACCAAGCAGCAATGACAAACCACATTCACACGTTTCAGCAAAATTTTTGGAAATGCTCTTTTAATTCAACAATACTACGGTACTTAATCAGCCCTTTCAACTGGTCAGTCTATTGCCAAGCCTTTCTTTTTACCAACAAAACTACTGCTCTTATTGTCTAGCACTAACAAATATAAACACCCAACTAAATGTGTTCCCACTATAAATGTGTGTATGTACAACTAAGTAGCAGCAGACACATAGGAGAAGAGTTTGTAGACAAAACTGTACTGGCCTGTCAAATGGGAGCAGGACCTGGTGAGCCTCTCATCCGCAAGCCCTCTCTTGTTTGCAGCACAGCCATTTATCTTCTTATCTGTCTCATGGGCGCTCCAACGTCAGACTCCTTTCATTCTCCTCTCCCCTCTCATGCATCAGAGTTAGGGACAAAGAACAAATCAAATGTTTAGTACATTACAATCACTTCATTCAATACAATTTAAAACGTTTACTACCACTATTTAAAGATTTCTTCTACCATAAGACTACCTAAATTTATTATACCCCAATCCCCTGATCATGGTATATCATTTAAAATTTTCACGCAACTAGGATAGTTAAACTAGATTTTTTAGCTTTCTTTCTGTTCTCAGGCCTGTAAGAAGAGAAAGAAAGAGGGAGAGAAAGCTCCCTGGAGTTTTCCAATTTTTAACTAGGACTTCCCTCTAAACATGAGCATCAGCAAGTGACCATTCACTTTAAACATTCACACACACACACACAGAGGAAAACCACACCCATCAGTCAGCAATCATTCCAATCTTTTACTCTGTTTTTTTCCTGTATCTGTATGAACACAAATGTGCTTGTGTACACTTCTTTAATTGCAATATGAGTCAAGGATGTTATCACCATCCAAAGTCCTCCTCATCTAATAAGGGGCTAATTTCTTACTATTAGCTGTACAAACGTCCTCTTTATCCTGAGAGGCTCATAGCAGTTACTTATTCTATTAACGTCCCTGTACAAAGAAACCAGGGCTCATATGTTTTTTTTAGCACTACAAAGGCAACAGTATCTCTTCCCTTATATGTTAATTTCTTATATCATATCATTATATATTTAATAAGACATCATTTATCACTTTATCATAAGTTAATCACTTAAACCTATGCTAGATCATTCCCCAACTTTGTGTACACACCACTCACTGCACACAGACTCTTTTGCACTCACACTCACAGCTCAGCACCCACACACACACACACACACACACACACACACACACACACACACACACACACACACACACACACACACACACACACACACACACACACACACACACACACACACACCAGAAGCTTCTCTCACACACTCAAATTTCAGCACACCTCTTCTCACTGAGCTCAATGTTTCCTTACTATAGTATATAGGCCTTTTTTTCTTCTTTAAACTGTCCTTATCGGTTTGTATGCCCAATCGCGTCGTCCCTAACATTAAGTTAACTTTTTCTCTTTTTTGGCCATCTCAGCCTTTTTCTCTTTTTCACTTTGTCTCTTTTACTCTTTATCTCTTTTCATCATTTATTTGCCAATTATCTTGGGCTCCGGGTTTTACTCCTCACTTTTTCTTTCCACGCCCCGAATTCGACTATCCTTTTTGAGCTAGACGTTCACAGTAGTCACTAATTTACACATTGTCTTACCGTTAAGAAGATATGGGCCCTGTCTTCGTTAATCTTGCACGGTTATTTAGCACACTCCCATTACTAGTCTCTGCTATTCTATTTTTGGCATCTCTTTTTCGTCTATTTTAACATCTTTTTTCTTCTCTACAACTTCTTTTCTTTTCTATTCTACCCAATGTTTCTACAATATGAACATTAAAGGAATATTTCAGTGCTTCTTAAGTGAGGCTTCATAAGTTACAAGTCATCGTGACGGTCATTTGTTGACATTTAACACTTCAGAGGTGTAGCATGAGATTTTTCCTCGGGTACGTTTCCCTCAGTAATAACTCACGTGACTGAAGGTGTACTCATACACCTGAGAGAATCTCTCCAGCAGCTCTGGTCTCTTAGTGTGACTGTAGGTCATCAGGTAGGTGATGAGAGCTTCACAGTGAGGCCACCACAGCTTCATGTTCCACTCCAACTGACCACAAAAACGAACACGCTGGTTTCAGACATTATCTATACACCTCCAGTCTGGTCTAGACTTGTTTCCTTTCTGTAAAGGACAAATAATGTGGGAGACAAAAGAAGTTAACAAGTGAAGACAATTTTGAAATAATAATATTTACAGTGAAGTAATTTTGATCAAAACAAAAAAAAAATATGGCATGGGAAAAACTTACGTTATTTTTTAAAGATGGCTTGTAAGGTATGCTGCCCCCTCAGCTGGTATCTGGTCTGGACTGGTTTTCTGTCTTCTCTGTACAAGACAAATCACATAAGAGGAAAAAGAAAAGTTATAACACCACTGAAGACTCCAACTGAAACAATTGTACAGTAAAACAATTGTGATTGAAATTAAGGATAAAATATATTTATCTTTTTTTTTTTTTGTCAGTTCGCGATGTCGGCTGCCCCCTCAGCTCTTCTCTGGTCTGGACTCATCTGGTCTCCACTCTGTTCTCCAGTCTTGGTCTCTGGTCTAGTCTGGTTTCTGTCTTCTCCACTATATGACACACAAATAAATTCCAGAGTAAAAGTATAAGTAATTGTAATAGTAGAAGCATTACTTAACCTTAAATACTAACATTTGAATCCTAAATTTAAAAATACATCCGGAAATGAATTAGAATAATATATTAGAATAAAGTTAATGTATCTTTTTTTTAAAGATGGTTTGCGATGCAGGCTGTCCCCTCAGCTCCTCTCTGGTCTGGTCTGCTATCATCTGGTCCACTCTGGTCTTCTCCAGTTTGGTCTAGGCTTGTTTCATTTCTATAACAGACAAATAACTTGGAGAGAAAAAAAGGGAAGGTTAATTAAAATTTTCAGATACTTGTAAAATAATGTAACAGTTACCAGTAAATAAGGAGGAATTTAAAAAAAAAAAATTTACCTTTCTTTTGAAGATAGTTTGTGATGCAGGCTGCCCCCTCAGCTCCTCTCTGGTCTGGTCTGCTATCATCTGGTCTGGTTTCATCTCCTCTCTAAAATGAAATGACAAATAAAATACAACATGAGTAAATTGACCACAGCTGTGAGCAGAACAGTTTTCTCAGTAAATCCAAAGATAAAAAAGTAAATTACTATTTTTTTGGTTCAATCATCTATGAATTAAAAGTGAACATTAACAGACTGGGTTAATAAATCTGGTTATGCAATATTTCTATTGCCAAGCCTTTCTTTTTACCAACAAAACTACTGCTCTTATTGTCTAGCACTAACAAATATAAACACCCAACTAAATGTGTTCCCACTATTAATGTGTGTATGTACAACTAAGTAGCAGCAGACACATCGGAGAAGAGTTTGTAGACAAAACTGTACTGGCCTGTCAAATGGGAGCAGGACCTGGTGAGCCTCTCATCCGCAAGCCCTCTCTTGTTTGCAGCACAGCCATTTATCTTCTTATCTGTCTCATGGGAGCTCCAACGTCAGACTCCTTTCATTCTCCTCTCCCCGCTCATGCATCAGAGTTAGGGACAAAAGACAAATCAAATGTTTAGTACATTACAATCACTTCATTCAATACAATTTAAAACGTTTACTACCACTATTTAAAGATTTCTTCTACCATAAGACTACCTAAATTTATTATACCCCAATCCCCTTATCATGGTATATCATTTAAAATTTTCACGCAACTAGGATAGTTAAACTAGATTTTTTAGCTTTCTTTCTGTTCTCAGGCCTGTAAGAAGAGAAAGAAAGAGGGAGGAAAAGCTTCCTGGATTTTTCCAATTTTTAACTAGGACTTCCCTCTAAACATGATCATCAGCAAGTGACCATTCACTTTAAATATTCACACACACACAGAGGGAAACCACACCCATCAGTCAGCAAATCATTCCAATCTTTCACTCTGTTTTTTCCTGTATCTGTATGAACAAAAATGTGCTTGTGTACACTTCTTTAATTGTCATTTTAATCGAGCATGTTATCACCATCCAAAGTCCTCCTCATCTAATAAGGGGCTCATTTCTTACTATTAGGTGTACAAACGTCCTCTTTATCCTGAGAGGCTCATAGCAGTTACCTATTCTATTAACGTCCCTGTACAAAGAAACCAGGGCTCATATGTTTTTTTTAGCACTACAAAGGCAACAGTATCTCTTCCCTTATACGGTAATTTCTTATATCATATCATTATATATTTAATAAGACATCATTTATCACTTTATCATAAGTTAATCACTTAAACCTATGCTAGATCATTCCCCAACTTTGTGTACACACACACACACACACACGCGCGCGCACGCACGCACGCACGCACGCACGCACGCACGCACGCACGCACGCACGCACGCACGCACGCACGCACGCACACACACACACCAGAAGCTTCTCTCACGCACTCAAATTTCAGCACACCTCTTCTCACTGAGCTCAGTGTTTCCTTACTATAGTATATAGGCCTTTTTTCCTTCTTTAAACTGTCCTCACCGGTTTGTATGCCCAATCGCGTCGTCCCTAACATTAAGTTAACTTTTTCTCTTTTTCGGCCATCTCAGCCTTTTTCTTCTCTATTCCTGGGCCATCTCAGCCTTTTTCTCTTTTTCACTTTGTCTCTTTTACTCTTTATCTCTTTTCATCATTTATTTGCCAATTACCCTGGGCTCCGGGTTTTACTCCTCACTTTTTCTTTCCACGCCCCGAATTCGACTATCCTTTTTGAGCTAGACGTTCACATTAGTCACTAATTTACACATTGTCTTACCGTTAAGAAGATATGGGCCCTGTCTTCGTTAATCTTGCACGGTTATGTAGCACACTCCCATTACTAGTCTCTGCTATTCTATTTTTGGCATCTCTTTTTCGTCTATTTTAACATCTTTTTTCTTCTCTACAACTTCTTTTCTTTTCTATTCTACCCAATGTTTCTACAATATGAACATTAAAGGAATATTTCAGTGCTTCTTAAGTGAGGCTTCATAAGTTACAAGTCATCATGACGGTCGTTTGTTGACATTTAACACTTCAGAGGTGTAGCATGAGATTTTTCCTCGGGTACGTTTCCCTCAGTAATAACTCACGTGACTGAAGGTGTACTCATACACCTGAGAGAATCTCTCCAGCAGCTCTGGTCTCTTAGTGTGACTGTAGGTCATCAGGTAGGCGATGAGAGCTTCACAGTGAGGCCACCACAGCTTCATGTTCCAGTCCAACTGACCACAAAAACGAACACGCTGATTTCAGACATCATCTATACACCTCCAGTCTGGTCTAGACTTGTTTCCTTTCTGTAAAGGACAAATAATGTGGGCGACAAAAGAAGTTAACAAGTGAAGACAATTTTAAAATAATATTTACAGTGAAGTAATTTTGATCAAAACAACAAAAAAAATATGGCATGGGAAAAACTTACGTTATTTTTTAAAGATGGCTTGTAAGGTATGCTGCCCCCTCAGCTGGTATCTGGTCTGGACTGGTTTTCTGTCTTCTCTGTACAAGACAAATCACATAAGAGGAAAAAGAAAAGTTATAACACCACTGAAGACTCCGACTGAAACAATTTTACAGTGAAACAATTGGGGATGAAATTAAGGATAAAATATATTTATCTTTTTTTTTTTTGTCAGTTTGCGATGTCGGCTGCCCCCTCAGCTCTTCTCTGGTCTGGACTCATCTGGTCTCCACTCTGTTCTCCAGTCTTGGTCTCTGGTCTAGTCTGGCTTCTGTCTTCTCCACTATATGACACACAAATAAATTCCAGAGTAAAAGTATAAGTAATTGTAATAGTAGAAGCATTACTTAACCTTAAATACTAACATTTGAATCCTAAATTTAAATATAAATCCGGAAATGAATTAGAATAATATATTAGAATAAAGTTAATGTATCTTTTTTTTAAAGATGGTTTGCGATGCAGGCTGTCCCCTCAGCTCCTCTCTGGTCTGGTCTGCTATCATCTGGTCTGGTCTGGTCTCCTCCAGTCTGGTCTGGGCTTGTTTCCTTTCCATAAAAGACAAATAAATTTGGAGACAAAAAAATTAATAAAGAACTTCAGACACTTGTAGAATAATGAAACAGTTACCAATAAGAGCAGTTAGAATAAAATATATGTACCTTTTTTTTAAGATAGTTTGCGATGCAGGCTGTCCCCTCAGCTCCTCTCTGGTCTGGTCTGCTATCATCTGGTCCACTCTGGTCTTCTCCAGTTTGGTCTAGGCTTGTTTCATTTCTATAACAGACAAATAACTTGGAGAGAAAAAAAGGGAAGGTTAATTAAAATTTTCAGATACTTGTAAAATAATGTAACAGTTACCAGTAAATAAGGTGGAATTTAAAAAAAAAACGTACCTTTCTTTTGAAGATAGTTTGTGATGCAGGCTGCCCCCTCAGCTCCTCTCTGGTCTGGTCTGCTATCATCTGGTCTGGTTTCATCTCCTCTCTAAAATGAAATGACAAATAAAATACAACATGAGTAAATTGACCACAGCTGTGAGCAGAACAGTTTTCTCAGTAAATCCAAAGATAAAAAAGTAAATTACTATTTTTTTGGTTCAATCATCTATGAATTAAAAGTGAACATTAACAGACTGGGTTAATAAATCTGGTTATGCAATATTTCTATTGCCAAGCCTTTCTTTTTACCAACAAAACTACTGCTCTCATTGTCTAGCACTAACAAATATATACACCCAACTAAATGTGTTCCCACTATTAATGTGTGTATGTACAACTAAGTAGCAGCAGACACATCGGAGAAGAGTTTGTAGACAAAACTGTACTGGCCTGTCAAATGGGAGCAGGACCTGGTGAGCCTCTCATCCGCAAGCCCCCTCTTGTTTGCAGCACAGCCAATTATCTTCTTATCTGTCTCATGGGAGCTCCAACGTCAGACTCCTTTCATTCTCCTCTCCCCTCTCATGCATCAGAGTTAGGGACGAAAGACAAATCAAATGTTTAGTACATTACAATCACTTCATTCAATACAATTTAAAACGTTTACTACCACTATTTAAAGATTTCTTCTACCATAAGACTACCTAAATTTATTATACCCCAATCCCCTTATCATGGTATATCATTTAAAATTTTCACGCAACTAGGATAGTTAAACTAGATTTTTTAGCTTTCTTTCTGTTCTCAGGCCTGTAAGAAGAGAAAGAAAGAGGGAGGAAAAGCTTCCTGGATTTTTCCAATTTTTAACTAGGACTTCCCTCTAAACATGATCATCAGCAAGTGACCATTCACTTTAAATATTCACACACACACAGAGGGAAACCACACCCATCAGTCAGCAAATCATTCCAATCTTTTACTCTGTTTTTTCCTGTATCTGTATGAACAAAAATGTGCTTGTGTACACTTCTTTAATTGTCATTTTAATCGAGCATGTTATCACCATCCAAAGTCCTCCTCATCTAATAAGGGGCTCATTTCTTACTATTAGGTGTACAAACGTCCTCTTTATCCTGAGAGGCTCATAGCAGTTACCTATTCTATTAACGTCCCTGTACAAAGAAACCAGGGCTCATATGTTTTTTTTAGCACTACAAAGGCATCAGTATCTCTTCCCTTATATGGTAATTTCTTATATCATATCATTATATATTTAATAAGACATCATTTATCACTTTATCATAAGTTAATCACTTAAACCTATGCTAGATCATTCCCCAACTTTGTGTACACACACACGCGCGCGCGCACGCACGCACGCACACACACACACACACACACACCAGAAGCTTCTCTCACACACTCAAATTTCAGCACACCTCTTCTCACTGAGCTCAGTGTTTCCTTACTATAGTATATAGGCCTTTTTTCTTCTTTAAACTGTCCTCACCGGTTTGTATGCCCAATCGCGTCGTCCCTAACATTAAGTTAACTTTTTCTCTTTTTCGGCCATCTCAGCCTTTTTCTTCTCTATTCCTGGGCCATCTCAGCCTTTTTCTCTTTTTCACTTTGTCTCTTTTACTCTTTATCTCTTTTCATCATTTATTTGCCAATTACCCTGGGCTCCGGGTTTTACTCCTCACTTTTTCTTTCCACGCCCCGAATTCGACTATCCTTTTTGAGCTAGACGTTCACATTAGTCACTAATTTACACATTGTCTTACCGTTAAGAAGATATGGGCCCTGTCTTCGTTAATCTTGCACGGTTATGTAGCACACTCCTATTACTAGTCTCTGCTATTCTATTTTTGGCATCTCTTTTTCGTCTATTTTAACATCTTTTTTCTTCTCTACAACTTCTTTTCTTTTCTATTCTACCCAATGTTTCTACAATATGAACATTAAAGGAATATTTCAGTGCTTCTTAAGTGAGGCTTCAAAAGTTACAAGTCATCGTGACGGTCATTTGTTGACAAACACTTCAGAGGTGTAGCATGAGATTTTTCCTTGGGTACGTTTCCCTCAGTAATAACTCACGTGACTGAAGGTGTACTCATACACCTGAGAGAATCTCTCCAGCAGCTCTGGTCTCTTAGTGTGACTGTAGGTCATCAGGTAGGCGATGAGAGCTTCACAGTGAGGCCACCACAGCTTCATGTTCCACTCCAACTGACCACAAAAACGAACACGCTGATTTCAGACATTATCTATACACCTCCAGTCTGGTCTCGACTTGTTTCCTTTCTGTAAAGGACAAATAATGTGGGTGACAAAAAAGTTAACAAGTGAAGACAATCTTAAAATAATAATATTTACAGTGAAGTAATTTTGATCAAAACAAAAAAAAAATATGGCATGGGATAAACTTACGTTATTTTTTAAAGATGGCTTGTAAGGTATGCTGCCCCCTCAGCTGGTATGTGGTCTGGACTGGTTTTCTGTCTTCTCTGTACAAGACAAATCACATAAGAGGAAAAAGAAAAGTTATAACACCAATGAAGACTCCGACTGAAACAATTTTACAGTGAAACAATTGGGATTGAAATTAAGGATAAAATATATTTATCTTTTTTTTTTAGTTAGTTTGCGATGTCGGCTGCCCCCTCAGCTCTTCTCTGGTCTGGACTCATCTGGTCTCCACTCTGTTCTCCAGTCTTGGTCTCTGGTCTAGTCTGGCTTCTGTCTTCTCCACTATATGACACACAAATAAATTCCAGAGTAAAAGTATAAGTAATTGTAATAGTAGAAGCATTACTTAACCTTAAATACTAACATTTGAATCCTAAATTTAAAAATACATCCGGAAATGAATTAGAATAATATATTAGAATAAAGTTAATGTATCTTTTTTGTAAAGATGGTTTGCGATGCAGGCTGTCCCCTCAGCTCCTCTCTGGTCTGGTCTGCTATCATCTGGTCCACTCTGGTCTTCTCCAGTTTGGTCTAGGCTTGTTTCATTTCTATAACAGACAAATAACTTGGAGAGAAAAAAAGGGAAGGTTAATTAAAATTTTCAGATACTTGTAAAATAATGTAACAGTTACCAGTAAATAAGGTGGAATTTAAAAAAAAAAATTTACCTTTCTTTTGAAGATAGTTTGTGATGCAGGCTGCCCCCTCAGCTCCTCTCTGGTCTGGTCTGCTATCATCTGGTCTGGTTTCATCTCCTCTCTAAAATCAAATGACAAATAAAATACAACATGAGTAAACTGACCACAGCGGTGAGCAGAACAGTTTTCTCAGTAAATCCAAAGATAAAAAAGTAAATTACTATTTTTTTGGTTCAAAGTTCTCGCTGTCTCCTCTGGCCATCTCTGATTTGGACTCATTTTCTCTTCCCTGATGAAAACAAATTAAAGATAAATTAAGACAACAGTAAAGACCTTCAACAACCAGGGGAATCATTTGAACATTTCAGACTTTTGATGATAAGAATAATAAAAGTTGTATGTTTTACCTTGGTGTCATGATGGTGCAGAAGTTAGCACTGGTGCCTCACAGCATGAAGGTTCTTGGTCTGAATCCTGGGCTGGACAGGGACTTTTCTGTGCCTTGTCTGTATGTTCTCCCTGTACGTGCATGGGTTTGCTGTGGGTGGTCTGGTTCCTCCTAAGACATGACATAGTTGGCTCTGGGTCCTTTGCTGCTCACAGGACTGTTTTCTGTTTTACTCTGTGACTGGCTGTCCCTCCTTCTTCACCCCCTGACTTCAGTCCTCATCTGGACATTTCTGCCAGGACTCCTCTTCTTTAGATGTTCTTAGTTCAGCCTCTTTTGAACTAGGCTTGCTGCTTGTTTTCTGAAATCAAATTTAGGACATATAAGTTTAAAAATTAGAGAATTTAATTCTTCTCATGCACAACAGAGCAAACTGCACAAGTGTGGCATATTTCACTACATATCCTGTATCTAAAGGCTTTATGTCATACCTGCCAAGTCACCTCTTTGTCTTCTGCCAACCACTCATTCCTCATATTTTTTAGAAAGACTTTTCAAGGACCCGTGGAAACTCTGTGAGTGGTGTTGTGATCTTCTGGAGCTCGTTGTTCAGCCTCTGTCCCTGCCACAGTGTCCACAATACTGCCCAAGTATGTGGACTTTTACACCTGCTCGGGGGACTTGTCCTTTATGGGTTGCTGGATTTGGAGATTATCTTCATGACCTGCGTCTTTGCTGTACAGGGAGCCAGACCAAGTTTTGATGCAGCCTGACACATAAAGAACAAAGAAGAGAATCAATATATGGGTAATAGTTTTATCTGTGTTTTGATATGAGAGTGAAGGTGTCCTCTTGTCCATTCTTCTCTTGCTGATGAGGGACAATAACAGCTTATATGTTGACTTTTCTCACACTCAAAATGAACTTTACAAGTTTCCCTCCACATTTAACACAATTTACTAACATATAAATGTAAGAAAATGAGATACACTATAATATGATATCACTGTAAGATTTTCTACTCACCAGATTTTTCTTTGTAGTCGTGGTTTCCTGCAAAGTTGATGGTAAGAATGACTCCACTCTGAAGAAAACTGTCCCGTCTTTTAGTCCATCCACAGCTGAGTTTGTTTCTTTCTTCATTGCTGCCATTTTCCTCTTATTGTCAGTTTTTTTTCTGCTTGTTTGGCCTCTTGTCAGCTGTTTCTCCAGTGGTTTTCTTGGGTTCTTTGTTGGTTGGGTAACAGTTTCTATTTTCTGTCTCTTCAGCCAGCATGATGTCTTCAAATTTGCTCCATCCCTCCTTTCAGGTTCTGCCATCAGGTAGACTGTACAAAGTGCCACTGGCTCAGAAAAACCATCATCATGAAATCCTTCCTTGTTTCTGTGGGAATGGCCCTCAATAATTTGGCGTAGATGCTGCTGGTTTTTATCCATTGCTGTTTTTGACAGTCCTTGTTGTGGGTTTTTCTGTATCCTGTGCTTTTCAATGTGAGAGTGCCCTGGTCTGGTTTCATCTCCTCTCTAAAATGAAATGACAAATAAAATACAACGTGAGTAAACTGACCACAGCGATGAGCAGAACAGTTTTCTCTGTAAATCCAAAGATAAAAAAGTAAATTACTATTATTTTGGTTCAAAGTTCTCGCTGTCTCCTCTGGCCATCTCTGATCTGGACTCATTTTCTCTTCCCTGATGAAAACAAATTAAAGATAAATTAAGACAACAGTAAAGACCTTCAACAACCAGGGGAATCATTTGAACATTTCAGACTTTTGATGATAAGAATAATAAAAGTTGTATGTTTTACCTTGGTGTCATGATGGTGCAGAAGTTAGCACTGGTGCCTCACAGCATGAAGGTTCCTGGTCTGAATCCTGGGCTGGACAGGGACTTTTCTGTGCCCTGTCTGTATGTTCTCCCTGTACGTGCATGGGTTTGCTGTGGGTGGTCTGGTTCCTCCTAAGACTTGACATAGTTGGCTCTGGGTCCTTTGCTGCTCACAGGACTGTTTTCTGTTTTCCTCTGTGACTGGCTGTCCCTCCTTCTTCACCCCCTGACTTCAGTCCTCATCTGGACATTTCTGCCAGGTCTCCTCTTAGTTCAGCCTCTTTTGAACTAGACTTGCTGCGTGTTTTCTGAAATCAAATTTAGGACATATAAGTTTAAAAATTGCAGAATTTAATTCTTCTCATGCACAACAGAGCAAACTGCACAAGTGTGGCATATTTCACTACATATCCTGTATCTAAAAGCTTTATGTCATACCTGCCAAGTCACCTCTTTGTCCTCTGCCAACCACTCATTCCTCATATTTTTCAGAAAGACTTTTCAAGGACCCGTAGAAACTCTGTGAGTGGTGTTGTGATCTTCTGGAGCTCGTTGTTCAGCCTCTGTCCCTGCCACAGTGTCCACAATGCTGCCCAAGTATGTGGACTTTTACACCTGCTCGGGGGACTTGTCCTTTATGGGTTGCTGGATTTGGAGATTATCTTCATGACCTGCGTCTTTGCTGTACAGGGAGCCAGACCAAGTTTTGATGCAGCCTGTCTCTATAAAGAACAAAGAAGAGAATCAATATATGGGTAATAATTTTATCTGTGTTTTGATATGAGAGTGAAGGTGTCCTCTTGTCCATTCTTCTCTTGCTGATGAGGGACAATAACAGCTTATGTGTTGACTTTTCTCACACTCAAAATGAACTTTACAAGTTTCTCTCCACATCCAACAGAATTTACTAACATATAAATGTAAGAAAATGAGATACACTATAATATGATATCACTGTAAGATTTTCTACTCACCATATTTTTCTTTGTAGTCGTGGTTTCCCACAAAGTTGATGGTAAGAATGACTCCACTCTGAAGAAAACTGTCCCGTCTTTTAGTCCATCCACAGCTGAGTTTGTTTCTTTCTTCACTGCTGCCATTTTCCTCTTATTGTCTGTTTTTTTCTGCTCATTTGGCCTCTTGTCAGCTGTTGCTCCAGTGTTTTTTTTGGGTTCCTTGTTGGTTGGGTAACAGTTTCTATTTTCTGTCTCTTCAGCCAGCATGTTGTCTTCAAATTTGCTCCATCCCTCCTTTCAGGTACTTGTGGGTTGTCTGCATCCGTTGCTTGTCAATGCGAGAGTCTGTCTTTTTTAGAGTGTGCCTTGTCAGAGGAGATTCCCTGCCACTTTGGGGTCAGCCATTAGAGTGTTTTTGTCTCTGTGTTGTTGCAGAGAGCTCGTCTCTGAGAAGTGAGTCCAAGAGCTTCTGCAGGTTCACCGTGTCCCACACACAGGCGGCTCCAAGAAAGAAAGAAAAGTGCAAGACGCACAAAAAAACACACCGACCTGTGGGCTTCATCCACGGTGACTTAACAATCTATCTTCAATATTTACAAGTCCACAGGGAGCCCAGGTGCAAGACGCTACCAGGGGCTCCAGAGGCCCCGCCAGACGCAAGGGCCGACTGTGACACAGACACAGTCACACTCTGATTGGTCTTCTCTTTGGCTGAGGCTGGCTGCTGCCCTCCCCGTCCTGGTCCTCCTCTTCATGGCCCCTCTTCCTCTTCTTTGGTCTCTCAACACAGCGGGTGGACGCGGCTGTGAAGCGACAGAGGACGGACATCAGGCACTGTCCGTTTTCTGAATAGTCAGTGATCCTCCAGCGGTTGGTGACGACAGACTGATGAGAATCAAAGACGGTGGAGATCACTCTTTTTGTCTTCCTCCCGTCTACCATCAGGGAATGAACTCGGGTCCAGGGGTCACCCAGAGTCCTCAGCTCCACCCTCTCAGGAAGGGGTTGGTTCATCAGGGTGGTGCGGGAAGTATAACCTGCCAGTGGCACCATCATTCCTGGTGGAGCTGCCTGTGAGGGGTGTGTGGAGTTCTCCTTGTCCTCCTCCCTCCTAAACGGTGCAGATTCCTGCCTGAAGAAAGTGGGTCCTCTGAAGTGGATCACAGGGAAGTCCCCAGAGCCTGTGATGAGGTTGTGATACAGGCTCATCACGGTTTCTTTCAAGGACACCACTCTAACTCTCTCCACGGGACGATTCCTCAGGTTGGTGACATACATCTGAAGGGTTCCTCGTGGCACAGGCAGAAACTCTGGACAGAAAGAGGAGAAGAGAAAAACATGAAACAAACGCTCAGGATGACAATGACAGGACTTCTTAAAGACCAGAAAAATAAGCCAGAGTAGCTGCTGGACTCTGATCTCAAAATTCAAATGATTGAAGACAGAAGAACACAAAGACTCTGATACTGAAAGATGATTCAAGTTCATCAAGTTCAAGTGTCAGTAATACATGAAACACTTATTCACCAAACACTGAAACCACATTCAAAGATGTCAATGCTACTTTCACAGTGACAATAAAGTTTGACTGGATTTTTGTTTTAACTGTCATTTAATATGATGAAAGTTGCTCAAACCTTTTGAACTGATTTTACTGACGAGTGCAAGTCACATTTTAAAATCTAAATGTACCAAAGACTGTGGAGATGATGGTCCAGTTTAAGACTGTGTAGTTTCATGACACTCAATTCAACAAGCTCATCTATTTCATGCCAACTCTGTCATCCTTTTTTATCATACAATAAACATGTTATATACAACCATTACAGAGTGACCATAATAACATTTTAACAGCTTGTAACAATATTATGTTTAGTTTTACTAAACAAATATGCCAACATTTGAGTCTGAAAATCCTTCAATTGTGTTCAATGAAATAAATATTGTGATGAGGATTCTTCATTATTGGAAAAGTGCATTTCTTTGTAATTAATTTCTTACATTTTGGAGATTTATAAATCTATTGGATAAGTGTTGTGTGACTGAAACATAACGCTATTTCCTTGATGTTATTTGTGATACAACATTTCTATGGTAAAAGGCGTGCTTGATCCCAGTTAACATGAATGAAAACGCTATTTCATAAAGATTTCCTCTCAGGTTTAATTCTCTTTCGTTCACACAAGATACTACCAATGAGTCTGTTGTGGCATTTATTGTTCATTAGCGCAGTTAAATGTTCATTAGGTGAGTTAAAGCCTCGGGAACTGCCCTCATTACAGAGTTGAATTATTTGCTGGTTAATGATTTGTAATGAAGGAATCGTTCATATGTAGATGACCAGCCATGATAACTCTGTCATTCACACTCACAGCAGGCCCGAGCTCTGACGTCAGACGTATGTCTCCCATAGGTGTAATATTTGACGTCGTCTCCATGGCGCGGGAGAAATATACAACTTTTAGCATCTTTTTAAACGATGGAATGATAATGGAACCGGCGCCATCTTTGCCCATTACTTTCAATGTTAAAACATTTCAACGAAGTAAAAAACAATTTTTGCTCAAACACTAATATTCATATTTTTACTCATGTTACTCCTATTACCGTCGGTGCACATTACATTTATCAATATTTAAAGACCGTATAAGTCGAAACATGAATCTATTTCTGTCAAAAAATAGGCCTATTACATTAAACATTTGATCAAAGTTGGTCTTTTTTCTGCAAAAATTATGAGATAATTCGATGTTTTAAACGGATAAATATCCAAATCAATATTATTCAAGTCTTTCCCCAGAGTTTAATGTCATAAAAGACAGAGAAAAAAAAGTTTTGTCAAGTTTTACCATAGTCAGCAGGCAGTCGGATGATGCAGATGGAGAGAAGGAACTTCTCTCTGCCAGATGCGAGTAAAGCCATAACTTGTCGTTTGATACTGCAGTCCGAAAGTAACTTCTAGGTGTTAGTTGAAGCTCTTTTCGTCGTTCGAAGTTGATAGTTGCCAATAAATCGATCTCGTCCAACAGATGAAAGTTTTCACGTGCGGATTTGAGCGCTCTGGTTTGGAACTGAATTGGAATTTTAGGAACATCTGCTTAAAACAACAGACGTCATCATCATCTTCATCTTCATCACCATGGTGAAGACCAGCGTGTGAACAATAATAGATTTAAAATAACACCATTTTACCGCAATACAAAAAATATACTGCAGTTAAACTAATGTGAAGTAATTCCAGGCTATATAAATTACATCAAATAAAAAAGGTATACAGGCCACCACACAAAAGTAGTTTATGAGAAGTCTCAGAGATGTCTTCAAAATGTTTTTCTCCACAAGGAGACCTTCTCAAAAGGATCAATAAAGTTCAATCTAATCTAATCTAATCTAATTTCACCTAAAAACTGGACTAAATGAAAACCATATAAACTGTGATTATCTAGCATGGCTCATCTTTGACTATTTTTGGCTTCCAAACTGTTTTCCCTCTTTTATTGTGTTTTTGCTGCCTATACAATAAATAGTAGCCTTACAAAAAGGCTCATTACCTTTGTAAAAATATGTGGCCTAAAAACTGTGAACTACAAATACTGAAGCTTTTTATGATTTTATTGTTTCTTTTATTATTCTGTTGTTGTATTGAGTGGGGGTACATTTCTAGATACACATGTGGTGGACCAAATGCCCGTATTGATTTTGTGTAGGCTATCCTGCATGTACAGCCAGGCGAAAAAAAATATTCGTTTGTGCGTCTATATTTATTAAATAAATGATATTCCGTATCTAAAATTTATTTTAAGATGAGGATCACTTTTCGCCGCTTCCCCTGATTTTCTTTTTCTTCAGGTCATCACTCCTTTGTCGGTTTTGTGTCTTGGGTAAAGCGCAGTGCATGAAACTTAGTGCGTCCGCCTCGGCCCGCAGACAGCCAGCTCCGCATAGTTTAACATTTGTACATTACACAAACATAAAGGCTGATAACTCAGAGGTCTTTGTGATCCTTGGAATTAATAAACTGGAGATCATTTCTTTAGTGTGGATTTTTACTGAAATGACGCCTCAGTATCTGTTTTACTTTGACGCACAGCATATGTGAGGGTTTGACTGTGAAACAAGAATGAGACACTTTTTCTGTGTGTAGAAACAGAGAATTTCTTGAATAAATATACTTCTCAGCTAACTTAGACAAATAATATCTATACACAATGAAACCTTAGATACAAGTCAATTGATAAAGAGAGAGAGAGAGGCAGCAACTCATGATGAATAGAGAAGAGCCTGAGAAACAAAACAATAAAAATCTGTGTGAAAAAAGTATTTAGAGAATGAAGAAATGTAGTAAAATAATGGTCACATAAGCACTTAATCATCTATGAATTAAAATTGAACATTCACAGACTGAGTTAATAAATCTGGTTATGCAATATTTCTAAAAAAAACTTCATAAATGCAATAAATTTAAAATCTCATCAAAAAGCATGTATTTTATTGGATTAATTCTTATTGGCTGACTGATCTAAACATCAGATTAATGATGGTTGTTTTCATGGTTGTTTCTGTTACAGGTTTCACAGCTAAGTTTTACAGTAACAAATGATTTTCGGCTCAGTGCCTCTAAATCTGAAAAACACAGTCGAAAAGTTCAGAAGATGGAAACCAGATCCACTCATTTTCCTTCCCAAATTTGCTCTTTATTACTGAACCAAAAACACACATAAAACCATATCAAACTTTCCTCTATGCAAGAATATCTTTGTTAGAATGTCCACAGTGAGAGTGTCCATATGTTTCTTTATTAAAGTCTACTTCATATGGTTTCTCCCCTTTTTAACATTCATTAAATACTCCTATTAAAGGCAGAATGAAACTTTTCAAAAGTTAATACTGAGTTGTAGACAATTTAGTCCAGGTCTAATTCAATCAGATAAGGCACATGAATTAATAGAAATTAACAGGATGCTCGAAAACAGTGAACCTGCCCTTCAAAACTTGTAAGGGACATACAAAACAAATATTCCTTAATCTAAGCAACAGTCGCGTTTTAATCCACAAGATTTAGGAACAATAGTTTTCACTTCAACAAAATACCTCAATCACCTTACTCCTGTATAAACATATTTTTGTCACATTAAAACAGGCAAAACTAAATTTATATGTCAAGTGTTCAGGATTCTCGCTTTAAATAAAGTGCTTGGAGATGCACACCTTCATGCTAACACTGAACTCAACTTTCGGAGGATGTTCGTGTTTTAAGCTGCACAGGTTGTAGGATGATCGCTTCCCGCACCGAGAGGCGGCGCTATTTCGAGCTCTTTCTAAGTCCATATAACTCGCTCAAGTCACTTCAAACTCGCGCTATGTTTAGTTTGACATTGTTCAGATGTAGGGTATAACTTTGTGGATTTCGCAGTGTACAAACCTGAAAAACACAGTAGAAAAGTTCAGAAGATGGAGACCCGAGTCATTCATTTTCCCTCCCGAGTTTGCTCTGAGGAGGGGGCGGTCCCTCCAGAAAGTCATCCGGGCACAACGCACCCTGGCTCATTAATTCCCCTCTCCTTTCTCCTCATGAACTAAAGTTCCTTCACACCTCAAGTGTGCGTAAAATAAACACTTTATAGGGTTGATGCGCTGGTGTAGGAATCGTATAAATCCTCGTTAGTATAGTGGACAGTATCTCCGCCTGTCACGCGGAAGACCGGGGTTCGATTCCCCGACGGGGAGAAATATATCTTTGCTCCAGCAGCCGATTTGTAGCCCACAAAGGGGTAACACCATAGATTGTATATATCTTATATACAGTCTATGGGTAACACACACAAGAACTAGAGAAGCACTCGGAGGGCAGCTTATGTCTCCCCTTTTATTGTGATTCACACCAAAACTTTTACTGTTACGTGTCTTTTATTAACTTTTATTTGTGGACTGGTATGTTCACTGTTTATAATGTTCCTAAAACAATTGTGTGTTCTGGATCACAGTATCCGGAATTTTGTCTGGATCAGGATCAACCTTTGACACCTCATAAAACTCATTGATATCCTTTTGTGTAATTTTTTACTAAAGACTCTGGCCATTTTTATAGAGTTAAATGCAAAAATTCCAAACTTTGCCCTATCTCACAATGATGAAAAATCCTTAAAAAAATTCCTTGATCCAGAAGGCGATCCAGATCAGCACCAAAATGTAATGGGATCCTCCTGGGGCTGAGACGCACCTCTGGTGAAAATTTCAGGTCAATCTGTCTGTAACTTTCTCTGTAAAGTTGCTAACAAACAAACAAACGCTACCAAAAACATAACATCCTTGGCAGAGGTAAAAATGGCCGTTTTAGGTGTTACACCTGCAAATATAGTTGGAAGATGTAAAAAACTACCTTTTCCAAATCATAACAGCCGCTGTTAAATGCATCGCAATGAAACAGTTAAAACCTGATCATCCTAAATACATTATGTGGATAGAGAGGGTACAACTGTATATTCACACTGTATACGCCAGACTTCAAATACAGCACTGAGTCCTGCCACATCTAGAAATACTCAGGTGACACCGCTATTGTGGCATGCATCAGAAACGGACAAGAAGCTGAATACAGAGATCTTATAAGAGCCTTCAGTGACTGGAGTCACAAAAACTGCCTCCTCCTCAACACCTCAAAGACAAAGGAGATGGTCATAGACTTCTGCTGCAGATCCAAACCCCCTCTTCAGCCAGTGAACACCTGTGGAGTGGACATCGAAGTGGTGAAATCATATAAATACCTAGGTGTACATCTGGATAGTAAGTTGGACTGGTCTAAGAATATAGACTTCATCTACAGAAAGGGGCAGAGCTGCCTTTTTTGCCTGAGAAGACTCCGATCAATACACATCTGTAGTAAGACGCTGCAGATGTTTTATCAGTCTATGGTGTCTACAGTGTTCTATTCTACGCTGCAGTCTGCTGGGGAGGAAGCATCAAACACAAAGATGCAAGTTGTCTGAAAAAACTGGTGAAAAAGGCTGGCTCTGTGGTTGGACTCAAGCTGGACTCAGTGGAGGATGTGGTGGAGAGATCTACACTGAGGAAGGTGGAGACTATTCTAAAGAACATGGATCACCCACTTCACAACACCTTGATGGACCAAAGGGCCAATGGTGGTGGATAGATCCTCTCTCTTCACTGCAGGACAGAAAGATTCAGAAGATCTTTTTGTACCAACAGCCATCAGACTGTACAACTCTTTGATAAATTGTTGATGACTTTTTGAGACATGACAATTGAGACTACAGATAATTGAATTTGCCTTCGGAGATAAAAAGTTATTCTTATTCTTATCTTGTGAAATTTATTAACTTACACTCTGAGACTCCAAAAAGAAATATTCCCCCCTAGATGGAAACCTGCTTGTATTAATGTAATGAAATGATCTGAGTCCAGCTCACCTACACAATCTAAACTATATCTGCACCTCTCCCCCTTATTCCTGAACACCTGTTGACACAGATATGCTTATTAATGCTAATTACATACACTTACAGTCATGCACACGACCCTTTGTCCCCTTTTAATACATTATTTTCTAATTTTCTATTTATTACCATTGAAGTCATTCAATGTTAGTCATTGAAGTCACTCATTTAACATTTTTTAGCTTTCATTATTTCTTCTAATTACATACTGCATTTGTTATATTTGACCTCTTGAAGTGCTATATTTTATAAATTTATATTTTAAGTCGCAGCTGTCCTTCAGAATGTTGGACATTAAACAGGACGAGACAAATTAGTTCATGTGAATCTTTATTTTACCATTTCAATGAAAAAAAAAAAAAAACAATAACCCAGAGAATTTCACCATAAAAAAGAACAATTAAGAAGGAAACACATCTGCTGTTAGTTATTATCTTATATAAAAAGGACATGCCTTCATTTCCAGCACAATGTGACTGACTGAACCATCGGCAGACATTTCAGCACTCCGGTTCTGCCTCTAAAAACTCTGCTTGTGAAATCGCTTTGAGCGTTGGAATCATAACTTTTACTCAAAAAAGAAAGAAAAAAAAAAAAGAAGACAAAGAGCTTGCAGACGTGGCGTTCTCGGAAGGACTGAGGTGAGCATCCTAGATGCAAACACAGAAGAAGAACAAAAGGAATGTAACATTGGGTGGAGTGCACAAACTCAGAACATCACGCTCCAAATCCTGATTGTAAATCTGTGGCAGCTGCACGCACACACACCTGCTCACACCGACGTATATACACTAACAGAGATCAGCTGATCCTCCCAACAACACAAACGAGACTTCCATATCCTGAACGAACACGTAGAAAAAGGCACAGGTATGGAGTATTGGTCTTTGAAAAGCCCTCAGTGGGAAAACACAGAGGGTCCTGATGTAGCACCCGTAAATGTGACAAACATTTTATCATTTCCAAATACTGAAACACTGACAACAGAACGAGAGACATAAACACATGAATGTTTGGCTGTATCACAAAATAGAAAAAGGGTTTTTGGGAAGCACAACTCTGGCTGGGTGTGAAGTGCTTTGGAGCAAACTGTTGCAGGTTCACTCGAGGTTAGATGTGAAGGTGAGTTGATCGATCATGGAGCCGGATCATCCGTCTCCAGTCCTGTTCATCTGATTTCAGGGTCCAAATTCATGTAGAGCCAGTTTGCTGGTAGTTGAGATGTGTAGAAATCCTGCCGCCCCTCCCCTCTTCCTGAACTCAGCCATCCCTGTGGTCCGCCAAACGAATCTGGCAGAGACTGAACACACCTGAAGTTCCTGCTGAGCAGTGCTGGTCTCTGCTCCAGAGGAAGGGGGTTCAGGTGTCGAGCAGGAGGACTGATCAGATTGTTCGCGGGATGTACTCAGGCAGCTTTTTCAGTTTCTCTATTTCCTGCTCAGTTTCCTGTCGGGCTATGACCAGAGAGTGAGAGTATCCCATCACCACCTGGAGGAACAGAAACACCACGGTTAGACTCTAGCTGGAGTGGATCTATGAGCTGATGATGAAAACTGGATTTTCACTCATGGTGCAGAAAAAGTAGAAACACAACAAAAACAAACGTTCTTCTTCTTAAATATCAGATGTCTCCGTTACCTGCTCCACATAGATGCCATCCAAGGTCTTGACCTCCTGGGCGGTGGTGGAGGATTTGGGTTTGTTGTCTCCGTATCCCTAAAAGACAAATGAGGAGATAGATCCAATCGGGGGCGTCAATTACATCGCTGACAAAAATCTTTAACAAAACAAGCAGCTGTCAAATTTAATAGTCAATGGGTCTTTAGTGAGGTAACTGCGCAAGTTTTCATGCTGTGTGCGCAACAATTTCAAAAGTTCAGCTGCTGAGGAGTGAGACATCTTACATCTTTATGTCTCTGCTGAGTGCTGCAAATGCAATCTTAAATCTATAACAATTTCATCTTTTTCTCTACCCTTTTTTTCTTTTCTCCCACCCCCTACCACAAAACAGTGAATTAAACGTTTACCATGTTACTTTAGTTACCACACAACAAATTTTAAATCGTTCGTCTTTTATGTCTAGACTTTACAGAGTTATGCTGAATTAAAAAGCTGATCATCAAATTAGGATCTATGGACTTCAGGGGAATTATGATTTGACATTCAACCCTGATTGATTAACTCGATTATAACAGCTTCTTTTGCTGTCAGAGGATCTTACCAGCTCTCCAAATGTGGGTGAGGGTCCCCAGCTGATCGTACTCTCATCTGCAGCGATAATGATGCTGCTCTTCCTGTTAGATAGAAGAAAAAAAACTGTCAAACTCCAGATCAAGTAAACCCAGACTCGCAGATCTACAGATGGGAATTTAAAAAGAAAAAAAAAACAAAAACATAAACCACTCACCACTTACAAAGAGAGGTACAAAAACTAACATGAACACTCACCCACAGGACAGACTGCGGATCTTCCAGCCACACAGATCCTGAACCACTTTGGGGTACATGGTGGACTCCCTGGAAGGGTTTGTCACCCCCCAGAAGAACAGCCCTCCTGCAAAGACAACACTGATCAGACAGCTGCAGCTAAAAAATGACAGAGCAGCCCCTCCAGGATTCTTTTCTTCAACATTTTGAGGTTTCTTTATTACATCACACATGAAGGATTGACTCTGAAAGACTGGGGCTAATGTGTTGACATCACTTCCACTAAATTTCTGCGTGTGAAGACTTCTAAAATGTGTAAAAACTGGATGACACTTCAGTGAACTTTGTAAAAAATAATAATAATAATTTCCCTGCTGCGTGTTATTGATATGGCTGCTGTGTTAGTACATTTGGGTGCCTAATCGTCAGAAAACCACCGGAAACAGACATCAGGATAATTATTTCTCTTTGTAAACATTTTCAGACCAAAGCCCAAATGCACATTGGCTGTCACAGAGCCTCTGGTCCTTAGAGTCAGGAGCACAGTCTCTGATTGGGCATCAGTCCTGCTTTCTTTAGACTCTTTTGGCCAGGTAGGACTTTTTCCTTTACAACTCCTCCAGTCTTTTCGGGGGTTATTACTTATTAGTAATAATAGGAATACCACTTGTATTTATGGGGGGAATGAAATGCTTCCTTAGATTTGAAAGTCACTGGAGCATCCATAGTTTCAAAGTTGTCTTTTTCACGACAGTATGGAGACACTTCAGTTCTTCAGATTCTGTCAAACTGATTAAACAATGACCTTTATATACTTAGACTTGGGGTGACCTGATACAACTTTTTGACTTAGATACGATACCAATATTGTAGCCTTCAATATTGGCTGATACCAATATTGATCTTCGGCACAAAATTTGTCTTTTTTGGAATTAAGACAAAAAATACTGCCTCAAGGCCAACATCACTCCTACTCCTTGCTACTTTGTTAGTACCTTAGTACACACTATTGTGATTTTGTGGGCTCAGCTTGCTGGATCAGGGCGCTGCTAGATAAATGAGCTGGAGCGGAGTCTGAAATGGATTGCTTGTATCGGAATGTTGATATCGGAGATTTTAGATGGAGGCCGATATAATCAGATATTTGTTTTTTTGCTGATATCGGATCGATATCTGATATCAAAATCATATCGGGACAGCCCTAACTCAGACAAAGACTGCTCATCAAGACTGGTTTGGAGCCAGATTAGAAAATCACACAAGGACATCTTTGTATGGAGCAAATCAAAGACATACATTTAGTTAAATCTGCAAAATAGCTGCATGGATTGGTTGACTTGAAAGGTAGTAAAAACAGTTCATCGATCAGCTGAATTTGCATCAGTAAGCTAAACTGCAAAAACACAACATCTCTGTGGGATTCACAAAGGAACACAGACCCTCAGAGTTTACTTTCTAAGTTACTTTGACTTCATTTCTCGTTCCTACTCATTGTCTCCAGAAGTCTTACCCATCTCACTGACAGCGAACGAACACTGGTAGCCGGCGCAGATCTGGCTGGCTCCACGTCCGGCAAAGTCAAACAGCTTGACGAGTCGAGGAACCATCTCGTCTTTCGGCTCCGTGTGGCCCAGACGCCCATAACCTCCAAAACCCCAACTGAACACTCGCTTCTGAGAGTCCAGAACCAGCTGCGAACACACATGAACACTTATTAGGCTCAAGAGTAACGGATAAACAGACGGCTGGATAATCTGATCCAGGAGTAACTCTCACAGTGTGGTTGGCTCCGCAGGACACGTCTCGGACCACCACATTGGGGACGGGTGTGATCTGGCCATCCTTGGACTTCTCGATAAAGATGGCAACACGGCGAGGGATGAGCTCACAGTCAAACTCGATGCGGTGAGCACGAGCAATGAACTTCCCATCGCTGTTATGACCTGTGGTGACAAAGACAGAGTTACTACATTTATTTGTACAAGGCTGGAACCAGAGTGACCCCACCTATAATGTACTTAATAATGTAATCCAGTCTGAGGAAGTGTTAAATGCAGGCTGGGAAGCTTTTAATGGAGTGCAGAACTACTAAACTTTGAGTCCTGAGTAGGGGGATTTTTTAAAATGTTTTCACAAGATAGTTAGGGGACCTCAGGGGCAGCATTGCTACATTTTTAATGCATTCTGGTTTGCTTTCACAATGCACTTTGTTAAAACGAGCGAAACAACCCGGACAACAGTTATTGCCAGGATTGTTTGCAGTCTTGGGGTTTCTGCTTTTGCTTCGGTGTTTATAAAATCATTGCGTTTGACAAAAAGGTGCTCAGTATGAGGAGCGAGGAAAATTTGTGAGCTGTCCAACCTGTTCTTTACTTGAGATGAATAAATCCCCCAAGTATACTAGCCCTGAAAAGAGCACTTTATCAAACCAAGACCCCCATTTTCAAGCGGACCAAAGTTCACTGGTTTGACCACAGTATGTTCAAAGTGGACCAAACAACTCTGGTGTGACCCGAGTTCCTTAAACACCCTTCAGATAAAGCTGAAACGTTAAAGCTAGAGAGCGTACCCAGCTGTCCGTACTCTGGGCAGCCAAAGGAGTACAGGTTTCCTTTACAGTCCACCACCATGCTGAACTCAGCACCACAGGCCACCTTCACCAGAGGCTGACCGTTGTAAGAGATCTGAAAGGAAGAGAAACAAGCGAAATGATGAAAGTTAGTGTTACTGTGTGTATTCCTACAAGCCTTCTGTGCTCTGTAGAGTGTCTCTCTAGAGGCTCACCGGTGCTGGACTGAGGACGGCATCAGTCTGGTTCCCTTGTCCGAGCTGACCCAGCTTGTTCTCACCAAAGGAGTAAACAGTGCCGTCCTCTGAGGGGGAGGATGAAGAGAGATGTCAGCTGACAATGATAAATAGCAATGATGAGGATGATGACGACATTTATCAGAGACCCGCCTACCTGTGAGTGCCAGGGTGTGGTTGCGTCCACAGGCTGCAGCGACAATCACATTATCTGCTAATGCTTCAATCAGCTTTGGAGCCTCCAGACGTTTGGTGTCCCCGTGACCCAGCTGCCCTTTGTCATTACGACCTGAGGGAGCAGGAAACAGGAGCTCAGAGATGGAAAACTATTGGACCCGACCGTCACACAAAAAACAAAAACTCACCCCAGCTCCACAGCTTGCCCTCGGTGGTCATGAGCAGACTGTGAGCAGCACAGGAACCGGACACCACACAGCTCACCTGGACATCATTCAGACAGCCGTAGCGGTGAGGACCCCACAGATTCTGACCCAAGTTGCGGAAAGCAGCTGGAAACACACAAAGCGACTCCACATCAAAACCTGACCACTCATACAAAAACATCCCATAAAAAAACAACCAAGTATTTCAGAACCGTGAATACCAGTATGATAACATGATACATTCAGCTCTTTTTTTGCAGCTGAATTTGAGCTTTTTAAGACAGGACAATGTGGCCTTAAATTAATGATGACTCAGTTTTGTATGATGACTCAGTCCCATAAAATTCATGCCTGCCCCAAATACTCAGCAGAGCACAAAATGTTGCTACAGAGCCGAAAATAGTCCAAATGCACCTCCTCCTCCTCATGTTCGAGTTACCTCCAACAAAAACTACTATAAGCCTCCACTTCAAGGGACAAGTAATGGCTTTTTCTAAAAGGTGCTGTTTATAGTATAAAGCAGCATTATGCAGAGCAGACTCTATAGAGATGGAATAGAAGTATGATTTGAATAAGTGTGTCATCACCTGAATGTAAAAATGGGTTGGTTTTTGTTCACTTAGAATGAGCCTTTTGTATGTGGATAAAAGCAGGTCACCTTTCAAGAAGGCTGCCATCTTGTACCGACATGTTTCTACAAAAGCATAGAACATTTATTTATGAAAAACTGAAAGCTTTAATTATTCCAACTTTCCCTTAAAATCTCTGTTTTTTTCCAATATGACACTTTAACTTTGTTGTATGCAAGACCTTTAAAAGTGTCAAAAATTGTGTAATGAGTGCGTGAGTTTGTTTCTGTTGTGTCTCTTTAGCTCACTGGTCTAGGTTCCACACATAAAGCCCCTTTGATTCTCGTGGGGTCTTTGTATGCTGATGCACGTCACTGATTAGAGCTGGAAATGACCTTTTTCATATACTTGATAAGAAATATTTGAATGCACTTTTGATGCTGTGGTCGACGCAGCATCTCGCTCAACTAAGGATGCTCTTTGTCTATGCAGCTGCTCCTGCTGACACCCCCAACCTCCCCCTTCAATCCCAACAAAGCAGAGTTATCAGCGAGTACCAGAGGAGTGAGGCAGGGATTGAACGCAGCACAGACCGCCTCAGGCAGCGGGCTGCTGCAGGGGGGGCTGCTCAGAACATGCATACATATGAATAGAAATTACTGTCAGTATAAATTAATGGAAGCTCGCTGGTTTTAACACATATGTGGTCTTTATATCTCAAACAAAGAGACACCGTACATATGGTCTGCTTTCATTTTCTGCTGCAGACGTTTTCAAACTTGATCAATCTTTTATTGATCCTGTCTGGATCTGGAACCTTCTCATTACCATGAGCAAAGCTGAATCTATACAGGATGAAAAGTTTTAAAAAAAGAAAGGTATATTGAAATTTTATTTTGTGAATTAAGACAGTGTAGGTTATCTAAGTGTAAATGCTAGATGCAAATGTTGGCCAACAGTGGACTTTCAACACAATTTCTGTGGATAAGCTCATGTTAAGCCCCCATGAGATGTTTCTTTGTTATTGCTTTTGTTAATTTCAGCCTCTTGTGTGTGTTCATTATGTGACATTTGACTGAATTTGAGTTATTTAGGAACAAAAACCAGAAGTAAAGGATAAGAATAAGCTCAGCCTTGTTCAAAGTTCGTCATTAATAGTACCTACAGATCTAAAGCTCTCTAATAAGCTCTTTGTGTTTTGGCTCTGTAATTTATATAATGATGGAAATGTAGAAATACTTTTTTTTGTTTGACTTTCAGTCCCTTTTTCAACAACGGTTCTTTCTTTTGCTTTGTAATTCTGCAGCTGCAGAATATTATGATAAATAGTTAGTTTTGTAAAAGCGACAAACTCACATTGATGATGACTGACAGTGACGACAACACTCAGCATTTACCAACAATTAACTCCAATGCATACGGATGTCCTGATTATTTTTTAAGGCTCTAAACCCTGATTTGATTTTCTAATATTGACAATCTGCCTATACCAAGTCTCAGTCCTATACTTGTATTTGCCTGAATAATAGAGCTTGTTTTGTTTGTTTACAACAATAACTAGAGTAAACAGATTAATCAGAAGATGTTTCCAGCTTATTCCATTTAGGGTTTCCCCTACATGCAAATTGATCGTGTCGCACCGCCATGTCTAAATAAAAGCCATCCCACCTAAAAGAAATTCATTTTTTTCTCACTTGGGTCTACCTCAGACTCATATGTATCAGTATATGCGGCATCGGGTATTAGCATCATTAGTGAGCTATCGTAGGCGATCACACAACTGATTAATCACTCACAAACACCCCCCAACTCCCAAATCACACGCCACCGTGGATAGATTTCCATCCTGGGGGAGGGGGAAACACTGAGTATGGTTGTAAAACTAACAGCAGTCACTTTGTTTCAAATCCCCGTGTATGTTATCATGATCTTAAATGTGCAGCTACAGTAAGGTTTATAAATCTTTATTGAAATAGCGCAGTCCGGACAACTCTTTGCTACCTACAAAGCACCTTGAGTACCATCTAGTACAAATCCCACTCTCATCCTATCTCAACCAATGAAACACTGCAGCCATCAGCAAGTTACAACGGCAAGGATGGAGGTGTAGTAATGAGTCATTATCATGGATCCAAACACTCAAAAAGACAGCCAACATTTATCTTTTCTGCCCCAGAGATGGGCTGGTGGTCCAAAGCAATGATTTCCACCACCATTTCTGAAATGTAAATAAAAGTTTACACAACGATAAACCTGACCCAGCGCATAAGAAACAGAAATATTGTACCTTGTTGTTTTGGCACCTCTTTTCTTCCAATCAAATCCCAGTTGGTTGCTCCAAAAATGAGCATCTGTCCTTTAGCCTTTGGACAATCAAGTTTCTGTAGAAAAGAAAATATGATTTACATGACATAAAAAGCTCCTATTCAAAAAAAAACTAATAATCTGGAATACAGACTTTTGTTATCTTGACTATCAGGATTGTGGACATGTATTTTTCTCCTTTTTAACTTGGCGTACTTTACGTAACAATCTTTTTTTAAAACCCATCTGTTAGGATAGAAATATGCATCTAGAATAAGGGGGAGAACTATTGAAAGTACTTCCTTTTATCAGAAATCAGATACTAATATGCTGAGAAATTCCATGTTAAAGGTCAGACTGTCCTTCATGAGGAGAAAACAAAACTAAACCAACTATCTAAGATACACAAAAGTGCGCACAGCTGATTTGCCGGCTGGAAGTCTTTGGTTTGAGGTTTTAGCTCAGTTTTGTGACTTTGTATTAATCTCAATCATGAGATTCTTGTAAGGACCGAGTGTTTGTCTCTTGTTTTCCTCCATCATTTATAGGCTCAGAAAGCCATATCATATACATAATTATGGCAAAAGATCATAGTATAACACCAAACCTACTATTTTCTCCTTGATGTCGTCTGCCACAGTAACCGGCTGGAGTCCAGACTTGGTGGAGGGTTTTCCTGGTTTCTTGTTATTCTCCTGCTCAAAGTCAAACTCATCGTCGCTGCTGAAGTCTCTTTCTTTCCTTTTATTGCTAGGCCTCTTCTTCTTCACCCCACCATTCCCTGAGATGTCGGTCACCTTCTTACGTGGCATTTTACAAACAGAAGCTGTTTTTGAGGGAAAGAGGGAGTAATCAGTCTGAGCAACAAGAGTGTTTGAGGGGAATTTACACAGGCTTTAGATCAAGGTTGGGCAGACATGCAGAAACTGGTATTTTTACTCTCTTGCGATGACTCAAAAGGGTTTCAACAAAATAAAAGGAGGCTAATAGACGTGGTCATGAGCTTGAGTCATAAAAATGAAATTAATAAAGCCACACTGGGAGAAACATCACCGATAACTATAAACAAGGAGATAAGAAAAGCAAGATTGGACTTACTGTTACAGGGTTACATATCTATTATAAAGTAAGATGACTGACAAAAGAATTCAAAAACATGATCAGTGTGAAATATTAGGGGGGAAATCATGTTTCAAAAAAGTGCTCCATGTAACTTAAGTATGGAAAAATAAACAATTTATAGTATATATTTCAACGTAACTCGAATTTTACTATATTATTTTGTTAACGTCACACTAAAAGTAAATAAACAGTTAAAAACAACATTAAAAGACCGTTTTTCCTGCTTGTAAAAACACAACTACTACTACTACAGAGCTGAATGTGGCTTTAGATCAGCTAACATTGTGATAAGTTTACTTTACATCGTCAAGTAGCCATTTATACATTTACCGTCGAGCTATAAGCGTTAGAATTACACATTTCGCCCTCGTTTTCTCAAGTAATCTTCTGACATAGCTGTCTCATTAAAATGAAGCGGAATAACACGTAAGGAACCAAAAAAAGAAATGAAACTAACGCATGAAGAGGTGTTTTGTCAAATTATGTTTCTTTGCAATATGTGCTCCTCACGGCTCTACGCATGCCCAGAACCACAAACCTACCACTTGTCTGAGAGATTTGTTGGAAAATCCAAGCCTTTTGAAATACTTTTCTACCAAAGTCTTGAGCAATGACTTTGAGATAGAGCATGAAACATAGTCCCCATAAAAATATAGTGTCAATGGATGAAGCAGCGGTGTGGTATAAATCGATTCGGCACGAAATGCATTAATAGACACAGGATATTAGCCTATTAGAATATGATTCTCCACAAACCTGAAACGTTTTGAATAAGAATAAAGAAACAATGTCGTCTTATCCCAACAGTAAACAGAGGTTAAATTAAAATTAGAGGTTAAATATGCGAGTTAATTGCTACTGTTGTCGATTCGCGCAGCTGTGCCGTTTTCGATAAAGCAACACAATTCGACAGAACACCAGCGTCCGTGTAGCAGCAGCTAGAGGCTAGCTTCATTAGGCTAAGCAGCTCACCACTGTCGCTCTTTGTTCACATAATGGCTAGCTGGCATGCTAACGCTTCGTATGGGAAGTCACACAGTTAGCTGCAACACAAGACCGACGCAAAGTTTGCTTTATCCTCACATAAGGTGAAGTATTTTCAACCCAGTCTGAAACTAGACAGTTAAATAAAGCGGACTGAAAGGATTCATTTAGCTAACGTAACCTCGCTACTGTAAGCTAACAAGCACTCTAAATAAAGACACACTGACGTTACCCGAAAAGATGCTACAACTAAAACTTTTTCAAAATCATCTTTATTTGACACCCGAAGCGTACCTATGCGACTCGTACCTTCTTTAAAAAGTCGTCGGTAATTAGCGCAAAGAGAGGATAAAGAGATATACCGGTGATTTCCTGATTCAGCAGCAGCTCTGGTCCCGGTGTCTCCGGTTTGATTGATTTGAACAAAAGAAGCTGCAGTCTGCTTTCACACCACGTGGTTCACATTAACTATTCATACAGGAAACAGAACACTCTCTCACACACATACACACTCAGATGGACGCAGACATGGCGCAAAAACACACCGACTTTTAACATTTTGTCCCTAAAAACACAGCGCAGGTAGAGAAGAGAAAAGTGGCAAAAAAGTTCGAAGAAACTGAAGAAAAGTTCTGCAGAGGTATAAAACATTGACATGAGGAAAAGTTATAACTAAGAATTAAGAATAAATGTGTTACAAACACTCATGCATACTGTTTGACCCCTGAGTATATCTAAAACTCGAATGGAAAGTGCTGTATGAATAAAGTTTGTTTGGTTTGGTAAATGTATGAATGCAACAGTTATTGGTCGTAGGCTTACTCCATTTTTATTCTGGAGGTGCAGTTCAATGGTTCTGCATTTTTGCACAATAATGTAAGAGCTGGGACAAATGTTAACACAATCATTTTTATCATTTAAGCACTGAATTTATCAATGAGTAACACAAAGTCTACATATCATACATTGAAACAGGAAAAAAATGTGTTGTTTTGTGAAAATAGTCCATCAGCACCACGTTTCAAAAGAGCTAGGACAGGGACAACAAAACACTGCAAAGTAGTTTCATGCACTTAAAAACACCTAGAAAACTCCCAATGATTTGATTTGCAGCATGTAACTAACAGGATTGTACATACAAAGGGAATTCATACTGGCTAACTTTCAAAGAAATAAAGATAGGAAAAGGTTAATCAATTTGTAATGAACGTGAGCCCAAAGTGCAGCAACTAGAGAATATGTTACACCGCATAAAGTTCAGATTTTGGAGTTTTCATCACCTACATCATTTAAAGGTTCTGGAAATCTGGAGAAATCTGTATACAAAACAGAAAACACCCAAAACCAGTATTAGATGGCCCTGATCTTTAGGCCCTCTGACAGCACTGCAGTAAAACCCAACATGACTCTGTAGAGGAAATCACCACATGGACTCCAATCACTAGTAAAAGCCATTATCTTTGTAAAATACTCTGCACCAAATATACAGACAACAGCACAGAAACAAATGCTGTGTGCAAGAAAGACACTCAGTTTATTTCAGACATTGTTCAACTCTCATTCTCCTTTGAGCACATGATACATTTTCAGCATTTTATCAATTAAGATGTAAGCTGAGAGGAAACTGATGATATGGAACAAGGTTCAACAGAGGTCGTCTTCCTCATTCACATCAGGGATGCGGCAGTTTACTAAGCAGCCACTAGAGGGCACCCCCTCTCTTCTTTTACTGCAGACAGTACTTACAGTCAAGCCCAAAAATATTTATACTCCTGGCAAATTTTGACTTAAAGTTACTTTTATTCAACCAGCAAGTTTTTTATTCACTGGAAATGTTACAGGCATCTCCCAGAAGATAATAAGATGATGTACAAGAGGCATCATTGTGGAAATAAATGTTTCAAAGCTTTTATTTACATTCGAACAAAAAGTGGCATGTCCAATATTAATTATACCCTTCTCAATAATCAATAGAAAAGCCTTTATTGGCTATTACAGCAATAAAACACTTCCTATAATTGCTGACCAGCTTTTTGCATGTCTCCACTGGTATTTTTGCCCATTCGTCTTTAGCGGTGAGCTACAACTCTTTCAGGTTGGAGGGCCTCCTTGCCATTACCCTGATCTTAAGCTCCCTCCACAGATTCTCTGTTGGATTCATGTCAGGACTCTGGCTGGGCTACTGCAAAACGTTAATGTTTTTGTCTGCTAACCATTTCTTTACTACTTTTGCTGTCTGTTTTCGGTCGTTGTCGTGCTGAAATGTCCACTGGTGCCGAAGGCCATGTTTCTCTGCAGATTGCTCGATGTTGTTGTTGAGAGAATCTTGATGTATTGTTGTTTTTTCATGGTGCCATTTACTGTGATTAGGTTCCCTGGTCCATTGGCTGAAAAACACCCCCAAAGCATTAGGTTCCCACCACCATGTTTGACAGTGTGGATTGTGTTCTTAGGGTTGACGGCTTCTCCTTTTTTGCACCAAATTTGGCTACATCATTGTAGCGAAACAAGTAGACTTTGGTTTAATCCGACCACAAAACAGAAGACCAGAAGTCTTCCTCTTTGTCCAGATGAGCTTTTGCAAAGGCCAAGCAGGCTTTTGTGTGCCTTATCTGGAGAAGTGGTGTCCCCCTTGGTCTGCATCTGTGGAACCCAGCAGTGTGCAGTGTCCGTTGGACTGTCTGCCTTGAGATGTTGCCACCAGCAGAGCCCAGATTCACCAGGATGGCCTTGGCGGTGATCCTTGGATTCTTTTTCACCTCTCTCACTATCCTCCTGGCCAGCACAGGTGTCACTTTAGGCTTCTGACCACGTCCTCTGAGATTTTCCACAGTGCAGAATGTCTTGTATTTTTTAATAACACTTTGCACTGTAGCCACTGGAACTTGAAAACATTAAGATACGGCCTTATAGCCCTTTCCTGACTTGTGAGCAGCCACAATGCGTAGCCGTAGGTCCACAGTGAGCTCCTTTGTCTTAGTCATGACTGTCCAAAACCTAACTGCAGAGAGCTGTTTTTCAACTGTTGAGTTGATTAAAACAGCTGTTCCCAATCAATCAGGGTAATTAGGATGCTTTAGAACAGCTTGGACTATTTGGAATGGTATTGAACTTTGGATTCTCCCATAGACCAGTGGTTCTCAAGTCCAGTCCTTTAGCCCCCCCTGTCCTGCATGTTTTGGATGTTTCCCTGCTCCAACACACCTGATTCAAATGATCAGCTCGTTATCAAGCTCTGTAATGGCTTAATAACGAGCTGATCATTTGAATCACGTGTGTTGGAGCAGGGAAACATCCAAAACATGCAGGACAGTGGGCCTCGAGGATTGGACTTGAGAACCACTGCCATAGACTTTGACATTTTGCAAAGGGTATGAAAAATTTTGGACACGCCACCTTTCGTTCAAATGTAAATAAAAGCTTTGAAATATTTCTTTCCACAATGATGCCTCTTGTACATCATCTTATTATCTTCTGGGAGATGCCTGTGTCATTTCTGATCAACAAAAACTTGCTGGTTTAATAAAAGTAACTTTAAGTCAAAATTTGCCAGGAGTATGAATAATTTTGGGCTTGACTGTATCTATCAACAGGCCATTATTTTGAGTTTTTTTTTTTTAAAGTTTATTTCTCATCACAATTCTTATAACCCTCCTCTTACAGACCTCATAGACCTGCTATAATTAAAAAAAGATGTTCGAAAAGTCATAATTTTATGTTACTGTCCTATATAATGTTCTATTACAGACACAGTCAAACCCTTTCTGTGAAATCCTAAAAAAGTCACTGTTTTGTGAAATAACGGTAAAACATTTAAATAAAGTTTATTTCACATTTAGGAACATTGTTTTTACATTCACCAAGGGAAACACAAAAATTTGTACATTACATGAAAATATAAACATAAAAAGCATACAAGAAAGACAATCATGTCACACGACTCAGTTCCAAAAAGGCTGGGGAGCACAATTTGGTGTTAAAAAAATACTGAGGGTTTGCAAATAATTTCAGGCCTGATTTTGACTGAAAGGGTGCAAAACACCACATTTCAAACCAGAAAAAATATTTTCATTTGAAGCCAGTTATAAGAAATCTTTGGGCCCCATTTTGCACTGCATTAGAAACAAACATGACTCTGTAGTGGAAATCACTGAATGAGTTCAAAATCTCCTCCCGTATTGACTGCCTTGAACACAGTTTCTAGCTGCATCCACAAATGAAGCTTAAAACTGCAACCAGATTTGCCAATTTTGCAAAGTGTAAGACTGCCCTGTGGTCTGACAAATCAAAATTTGACATTGTTTTTAGGGGTCATCCTCTGCTCTTAGAATGGAAAAAAACCTCCCTGGTTTGTTATCAGCTCTCAGCTCAAATCCAGCATCCCTGATAGTATGGGGATCATCAGAGTCCATGTAATGGGTATCTTCCACATCTGTGAAGGCTCCATTAATGCTGAACAATATCTACAGGTTTAGGAGCAACATCTGCTGCCATCCAGACAAAGAGTTTTTCAGGGAAGACCTTCATATTTCAGCAAGATAATGACAAACCACATTCTGACAACATGAATCACAACAGCATGGCTCTGTAGTAGAAGAGTCCTGCTGATAATCTGGTCTGCCTGCAGTCCTAACTTGTCCCCCATTTGGAGAATCACGAACTGACAAAAATATGATAAAAAATGACCCTGAACTATTAAACAGCTAAAATCCCCAATCGGACAAAAATGGGACAACATTTCACTTTCAAACTCCAGAAACTGGTCAGCTGGGTTCACTAAGGTTTGCACAGAGTTGGGAAAAAAGAGCTGCTGACACACAATGAGAAACATAAACCTGAAATAACCTTTTTAAAGTATGTTGCTGGGATCAAATCTGACATGTGCATATATATTTCATAAAAAGGTAAAACATTTGAGTTTCATGTTCTTTACTGAAATATGGACTATGTTATTTGCAAAACATCGAATTCTGTTTGTATTAACATTTCACCCATTATCCCAACTCTCTTGGAATTTGGGTTGTAAAATAAACAAGTAAAGATATAATGACATGACTGTGGTTTTGAAAATAAACTTGTAATAGTTTTTCTTTTCCAAACATCTCACCACCAGAAAGAATACAAATGTATGTACCTTCTATTTTTGAAGGTGACGAGATATCACAAGAATTATTCACCATTTATTAGACCCACAATTCATAAAACACAAACATCCTCCGCTGATGGACTTTCTCCTGTCTGCTCATCCTACAGTCTGACGACCTGGTTGTATGTGGACATTTCAGCCAGGCTCCAGGTCAATTAGTGCACATTGCTGCTGTTACTCTGGCTGGGTCCAGTAGAGGGCGTTTATCTACCCCCTTGAAGCTCTCCTCATGTTCACTGGCTGGTTCCATCTGGGCTGACACGCTCAGTTCAGGCTTGTCTGTCCTGGGCTGTGGAGGGGTTTGGTTTGACACTGAGGAGGGGATGGAGACTGGTGTGGTGGCGTTCTCACCGAGGCTCTGGACTGTCACTGATGACTGGAACAAAGGTTCATGCACGTCATAAAAGGCACAACAAAACATGAAGTCCTCCAAAGAGTGAGGAAAAGTGACACGATAGACTTCTTTGGCTGAATGACCTGTGGGGGACTTTTGAGTATAGTTTGGTGACCTTTGTGTTTAAAAATCCCACTTCCCCTGTCTCATATTTCAGGCAAGGCATTCCTCATGGGTCAGTTTTGGGTCCACTTTTGTCCAATGTATATATGTTTTCTGTACAATACCAGTGTAACACTGATGACATCCAGATTCAGAAACACCAGCGACTTATCGGTGCCTGAGCACATTTAAGATGGGCTGAAGTGAAGTGGAAAATGATGCTGTGCTCTGACTAATGAACATTTTAATTACATGAAGGAAATCATGTACACAGCACCTCCTGCTTTAAAGAAGTGAAGGACCACCCAGCATGGACATGTTTTAGTTTCCATTTTCAGTCTGAAAAGTAGTGCCAAATTATGTTTGGGTAAGCTTTGGTCTTGTGCATGAGCTCTTGTGTCTTTTGCACTTATCCAAATGACAGCATGTAAAATGTACCCTGTTCTGGCATCAACCCCCAAGGTGGCATCAGAATCCATGTGAATTTGTCCTGCTGTGGATTATTTCAAGTAAAGAAAGTTAACAAAAGCCAAAACTGTGAGAAACATTGTCCCCCAGCATACAGGCAGGAGTGAAGCTTCACAAAGCGTCTCAATTAGCAAACTATTAGAAAACTGAACGTGTTAAACTCACATTTCCCACAGAGACATCACTGCTGGCCACTGTCTTCTTCTTTCTGGCCATGTTTGGATTCCAGTGACAGACCAGACTGTCGTTCTGCACACTGTAGTTCTTATGACCAACCAGCCAGTATGTGTTCATTTTGCCTTTACCCTAACAGAGAAATAAAGACATGAGAGGGACTGAGACACTCTGGTGGTTTATCATCTGTAAGGGACTGTGCGCAGATTTTAAAATATACAAATGTCTTATCATGGAATTTTGTTTTTGAGGGAAAACCACCAATAAACCTGGCTCAAATATAAAAAGTGTATAGAAGTCCAAATGTAGAAGGGAGAGTATCCTGTCACTCATGAGCTGATGAAGCCAAGCACTTCAGTGATAACTGCACTGGCTGAGATGTTAGCTCTACTTTAAATGTACCCTGGTCCAGTTCCTGAGATAGTCTGGTACATTTGGAGAGGTGGGAAAGTTCAGTTTAAGTCTGATGTGGACCAAACAAGTAAAGTCTGGTGGTTTGTTCACAGTGTGAAAGCAAAGAGGAAAAACTTAAAAATCAAAGGGGAGAAGTGGTATTAAGTGCAGTGCATCATGGGTGAATATCTCGCTTGGTGTCTGTATAACAAGGGTGTTATATCCTTCATCAAGACTCTCCTTTTTTTGTGACACTGATTTATTTCTGCATCATGGCTGTTATTTCGCCCACAAATCAAATCGAGTTTTTGACTATCATTTGTGAAAAACGACTTCAGTGTGCGAAGATCCTCCTTTTTTTTCTTCTTAAATCAGTGTAACCTAACACAAAGACTTGGTAAATTTGGTATGAACATTTAAGAAAAAAATATTGGGCTTTTGTTCTCTATTAACAAAATGACATACTGCAAAATAGGAAATAAAAACAACCTGAAGACTAAATCATTTACCTTCACTTCGATCTCTCCACGAAGCTGCAACTCATAAGCATTGTCTTTAATCAGAGCCAAGTACGTCTCTGAACTGGCGTGGATTTTCTGAGCTGAAACGCACAAGTTTAAAAAAACAACTTCGTTCATAGATCCCCGCAGTTTCAACATAAAAAAATCAGTCTTAATTTAACAAAATTAAAAACAAATCTGTGATCTGTAACAAAAAAATAAAATACGAGGAAAACGATAAAACCGTGAGACCAGAACAAGATACATTTAAAATATAAATACCTACATACACACTACTTATCATAATATTTATTTATGCACACACGCCTACATATCTATTAGGTAATGTGCTGTTGCATTTAATTTACACAATAAATAGAGGTTAAAGTACAAACATTGTAATGATAATAAAAGTCAGAACACAGATGTGTGTCAGTGTGTTGCATGTCTTATTGCACGTACGCAGGCTGGTGGACTCCATTCTGGAGGCCGTGTTGACTGTATCTCCAAACAGACAGTATCTTGGCATCTTGTAGCCCACTATTCCTGCCACACATGGACCTGTAAGGCAAAAAACAAGACCTGAAGATGGTGATGGATGAAAGTTAAACATAAATTATATTCTCCTTTTTTCAAACAGTCACAAATCAAGAGGCTCAAACATTTGGAATTACAAACACAGCAACTTTCGTAGCAATGCAAAGACCCCACTGTAAGACAGCTCAGATCTTCAGCACTCTGCTGACACGTTGGTTTTGTTAGAAAAGCTTCCCCTCAAGTGCAGCATCTGAGCTCATCTCACCTGTGTGAATGCCAGCTCGGAGCTGCAGCCTCTGATTGGGCATGTGAGGGATTGACACCTGCCTGACGGCCGCAACCAGATCCAGAGCCATCTTGGCGATCTCGTCAGCGTGTCTGTCCCCGTTCCTCTCAGGTAGACCACTCACCACCATGTAGGCATCTCCAATCGTCTCCACCTGGTTTCAGTGGGTTTATAGGACAAAATTAATCAGCGGATGACTTGAGAGATGACATGAAATGTAAATATTTGAAATCTTAACGTGAAAGATATTTATAGTCCAAAAAGAAAATATCAGCCAATCAAAAGACATGACTGTGAATGGAATCTGTCGTTTTTGCAGAGAGGTTTGGTGTTTGTGCAGCTGGAAAGCACGAAGGCTCAGCTGCTATGATCAGTCTAATCAGTCTAATTATCAGTCTGAGTAATAAGAGTAGACTCAATAACTGTTTTAAGCTGAACAGGGAACAAAGGCACAATACTTCTTAAAGAATAACAGCCCACAGCTCTCTGAAGTCGGACTGTGACAGTGATGTTTGGAGATGTGATTTTAAAGGCAACACTAGGATCTGAATTTCTTTCTGTGTGTTGACATTTGATTGTCACCTTGTAGACGTCGTAGGAGTCGATGCGTGTGTCAAAGCACATGTAGAGGTTGTTGAGCATCTCCACAACTTGCAGAGGAGTGCAGGAGGCAGAGATTGACGTGAAGCCGACAATGTCTGAAAAGAAAATGGTCACCTGCAGCCAAACAGGCGAAGGAGAAAAACATTATATCCACAGGACATAACCAGGTAAAAATACATTCACAGTTTATGTAGCTACTGTAATGGAAACTAATCCCATGCAACAATAGTTTTTATGAATCCTGTTGTCACAAACAGCAAAGTCGTTATTTGTTATACTCTCACATCCATACAGACCACAGCTCTCTGTAACTAACAACATCTTTGATACCAGAAAAGTGGTGTGCACAGGATATTAAAGGGGCAGCGGGAAAAGTAAAAACAAAAAGGACACCTCCTGTATATCCTGGGGCACCCACACAGAATGTTATCATCAATTTAAATGATGTCTCTCACTTTTTGGCCCAGCAGTTGTTAGCTTATTAGCGCTTATAGTAGGTACAGCCTATCTCACGTCATGCTCACTCTGTCCCTTGGCTTTTCAGACACACACTGATACAAACACCTGCCTCCTCTTGCTCCTCTCCCTGCTCTTCTCTCTCTTCCTCCTGCTCCTCTCCCCTCTCCACCTGTGGCTGCTTGATAGTTTAGGGGCAGCACCCATGCTCTGCTGTTAAGGGATTCATTCAGCAAGTAGGATGTAACAGGGGAAACACAGCAGGCAGCACAATACTGTTCAGTCTCGGTTTTTATATTTTATGATCATGGGGGGACAGAATCATAATCAAAATCTGAATCATCACCCAGCTCTACTGGAAGGCTCTCCAAAGGGCATTATTTTCACATTTTATGTACCAGAAAAGTACAAAGAAGCAACTTTTTCCAAATTCTAATACTGGAGGAGTATATAGAGAGAACTTTTTCCACATTTCTACACATACTGGAGTAGCCTGTAGTTCTCTGTGCCTCTGGCTATTTAAAACCAAAGTCCTGATCTACCTCTGATTCCACCTTAAAAGGGGTAAGAAATGTCTTCTTCTTCAAAAAAAAAAGCACCAGAGAGCCTTGGAGATCTGCTAATTCTGTAAAACATACCCAGATCTTGGTGTCTTATATCTTCTTTCAAGAACACTCTCAAGCTTAGTATTGATCTAGAAATTAGCACAGGGTCCTTTTCAGTGACACCCCCAACCCATCCCATCACTGAGAGCTTTCGGTCCAGCTGCTTCAAACCTCTTCAATAAGCCAGACGCAATTTTCACCCAAATAACTTGTTTTATCTCCTGATGAATATGGAGCAGGGCAATTATAGGTAATTAGGACAACAATGGCAACAAAGGCAGCAAACACACACATCGATTCATCGTGTTTGCAGATCTTGCGGAGGCAAAGCTGTCTCACAGCACACCCCATAAACCCTCTGAGCAGCGTGAGCTCTGGATCTGCATTAGAAGTGAACAGAGAGGAGGAAATGTTTCTGTCTTATCCGTCTTTGACATCTTCATTTTTCTGTTTGCCTTTGAGGTTCATAGTTTTAACAGTCAGAGTCTGAATACTGTATCCAACTTGCATTTGTAGACACTATTTCAAATATATCTCTTGCTTTTCTTTATTGTTATTCACCTTTAAACCCTTTTTGCAAATTTCAATCTCTTTGTGGTGCAGTTATTTTGAACCTCATGGACATTAAGAATAAAATTATGGCATATTACAGGCACTCAGAGTCTTTCTAAATAATGGCTTTAACACAAAACAGTTCCAGCAATACCAAAACATCTTTCAGTTTCAACTCCTTTTTTCATCCTGAGGGAAGAACCAGATATGCGTCTCAGTGAAAATATCTGATCTGTAGCAGATTGTTAGCTGACCATCGTTCAGATAGTGAAATAAATCAGATCACTGCGATCAGAGCCATACAGACTGTTAATACTAAGTCAATAAAAGTCAGACAACAAATGCAAACCAGAACACTTCTCATACCAAAGTCCAGTCCTGAGATGTACAGATTCTACATTTTTTATGTAGAATCAGCAAACAAGGGTAAGCAGTCTGGAGAAATGTGATGTTTTTAATCAGTGTTTTTGTTTGCTGGAACAGAGTCCAGAGTCTCACTTGGGAGGCTCAGTCAGCTGTTTGATAAACTGATCATAGTGTTAGGTCAGGCAGGCTACAATTTTAAGCAATTCTTCCAAAGGATCAGCTGATCTTGACGAAAGCCCATGACAGCTGACAGCTCAGCCCATTACCTTCTACACATCCACTTGGCATATGTCAAACTGCTTCGGCCTGCCTACTCTTTCTGATTCCTCTGCAAACTACTGTGCAACCCGCCTTCACCCAGCTCCTCCTTTTAAAGCAGTGTTTGATTCAAACAGTTTCATACTTATTGTCACTGACTCCTGCACTGTTGTGTACCCCTAGGGTCTTTGCTGCTGCTCTCTCTGCCCCCATTCCAGCTCCTCCTGGTAACACTGAGAGTGATATTATCAGTGTCATTTAGATTGTCAGTGATTCCTGCTCTGTTTTTTACCCTGACAGTCTTTGCTGATGGTCTTCCCTGCCTCAACCCCAGCTTCTCCTTTTTTGCTGTGTTTGATTTCACCAGTGTTATATGTATTGTTTCTAATTCCTGATCTGTTTATTACCTGGAAAGTCTTTGCTGATGTCCTCCCTACCTCTAATTTTGTTTTTTTGCTGTGTCTAATTTTACCAGTGTTACATGTTTCATTGCGGATTCCTGATCTGTTCATTACCTGGAAAGTCTTTGCTGATGCTCTCCCTGCCGACACCCCAGCTTCTCCTTTTAATAATGTGTTTGATTTTACCAGTGTCAAATGTATTGTCAATGATTCCTGTTTTATTTTGTAGCCAGGATCTTTGCTGATGCTCTCCCTACCTCTACATCAGCCCCTTTGTTTTGCTGTATTTGATTTTACCAGTGTTATATGTATTGTCACTCAGTCCTGTTCAGTCCTGTAACCTGGAGGCCTTTGCTGATGCTATGTCAGCCTTGGTAGTTTTTTTTAATGCATGCATGTGAAATAGAGAAGAGGTTTGATCTCCCTGCCTTGGGCTTTGGCGTTCCAATTTAACATCTTTAAGGGCAGGGAGCACTTTATAAAAGAGCCATAATGCCAAATATAACTCATTGCTAGGGATTCATGTCATCATATTAACAAATTAGTCCACTGACCTTGTCATAGCTCTCAGCCTCCACATGTTTCTGCTGACGAAGCTGCTTGGCGACTGACTTCGGTAGCATTTGGTGCAGCAAATCCTCGGCCAGCTGTCTCTGATGCTTCAGGTCCTCAGTCTTCTCCTTCAGAGTCTGGGCATAGTTCTGAATCCACTCTGTCATCTGCTTAAAGGAGAACATCACCACCGGGTAGATGAGGCAGGCCAAGGCCAGAAGGCAGACCCTCATACTCAGCCCTGAAGATACAGAGCGAGACGCCAACCTGAGGGCCTGCGCTGCACGATCGAACAAGCAGCGCTGAGTGTTTTTAAGAGCTTCAACTCCAGTTTGAGAACCAGAAAGAAGCTCAGTGTCAGTACCAGAGATCTGCCACTGAGAATTGTCAAAAATATTAGATTTTCCACATTTGCTCAAATTTGACTTGAGCTCCATGTTTTCCAACCAGCAGTCGTTCAGTTGCTCTGTCATGACTCTGGCAAAGCTAAGGTAGCTGAGCACATAACTCCACTTTTCCTTAAAGTCAGTTTGAGTCCCCACACTGGGAAAGTCCAGTAAATGTTGGTTTAATTCTTTAAATCTGACCAGAAGTTTTGCAGAAAGCACATCTCTCCAGGTGGGATTGTATTTGACTTTTTCAACTGTTTCTTCCACTGAACCCCAGATATCCAGTAGGCTTTCAATGGTCAGAGAGTAAACGGAAGTTGCATTTTCCCAAGTGTTGTTTGTTTGTAAAGAAGAATTCAAGATTCGTTCAACATCCCTCCAAATGTCCTGACAAAATCCTGCCAATTCAACGCCACAAGGGATCCCAAGTCTGTTACTGTGACCTGCTGTATCTGCACAGATGTGACCAAATGCAGGAAACTCAACCTCTGACAAACCCCCCTCCAAAGTCTCATTGTTCATGTCTTTGGCTAATAATCGCCTCATCTCTTGAAGCTTGTTGATGAGTTGCAGGATGGCGATCGTCCTGCAGGAGGTCATTTCATCATAAGCGGCCTCTGTGGAGTGCAGAAGGTCAAAGTTGGAGCTGAGGTCAATGGATACGGAGCCAAGCAGAGCCAGGAAAGAAAGGATGCAGGCTGTCAGAATCCGACGGACGGTGCGACTGCTGCCAGCCACAGAAAATAAAGGGCATCTGGAAAAAACAAGAGCAGTTCAAAGTTTTCAAAAGGCAGATTACAAATATCATAAAAACACCTGAAATATGGAGCAGGATAAAAAAGGAGGATTTACTTTGGCTGTTTCTTTCTGTTTTGTTATTGATATAATCTGCTTTAAACCAACTGTGCAAAAGGCTTTCATATCACAGAACTGTAATTTTTTTGTTGCTTCATGTCAGAGATTTTTTCCCTTTACGTTTTTTCTTTACCTTTTCAATATTAGTTTAACTTTCTGTATTTTAATTTACTTTTCATGCCTTCACTTTTTGGGAACTCTTTTTTTTTTACTGTATTAATCACATATTTCCTTTTTGCTATTAGTGTGCTTTATTCTCGGACCTTTTTTTGAGTCTCACCTGCAGAGCTGACAGTCCCCCTCCGCATCCTGAAGCCCCCTGGGAGCGACCCTGCTTTTCTTGATGAACCTCCTCTGAAAAGAAGCGGAGGACAGCGTCCCTGAAGCCAAACACTCTTTTTTCATCAAGTCCACAGATGACATGAGCCTCGCGCTGCAGCTCGAGCACCAACTCGGTCTGTGACCCGACGGCATCACAGAGGGGGACTCCAGGGAGAGGAGTCCCGTCAGAGGCAGGAATAAGCGAGCAGCAACGTTGAACTACATCCGGTTAATACTTCAAAATAAAACGTATACAGACGCGCTGTCTTCTTCTTCTTCTTCTAATAATAATAATAATTATTATTATTATTATTATTATCATTATTATTATTACTATAATGACTTTATTTGTATAGCACTTTTAAAAACAGATGTTTACAAAGTGCTTTGACATGTAGTCGTATAGCACATGGAAAAAGACAAATACAAACAAAAAGCTCCGTAAAAGCGGAATAAAGGCCATTTTCATGTCATTATTGTTAATAATAATAATAATAATAATAATAATGAAATGTATTTATTTTTATTGCACTGATTTAACAGTTAAACAGCCACATGAAGCTATGGTACCTTCCACCCTCTTTTTTGGAGGGAATCTGCTCAGAAACATAAATCTTTGTTTTTACATTACTCTTAATTCATCATAAAAACACAGTCAAATATGTCCTGTTTTAGCCTCTTCACTCTGCATGAGTTGCACAATTCTATTTTTACTTTGAAATCACAACGGAAGTACTTTAACTGCCTAACTGATGCTGTCTTTTTTCTGTTCAACACTTCCACATTCTTGTAAAGACTCGAACTTAATTCTGATGTATTATCTGACTCTCTCCTTTAGGTAGTGACATTTAATTTGCAAAATTGAATTTCTTTTTTTCCCCTCTTTTTGCCTTGTGGTCCTTTTTTTTTCTTTTGTTCCTTTTTTTTAATTTCATTTATTAATTTTGTGTTATTTCATGCAGAAAAATGAATATATTAACTTAAACAATTTATCCAAATAAATAAATAATTGAATAAGGTCATATTTTAATCAAAGATAAAATACACTGATGGATTAAATTGATTCAAAAAGGAAAGGCCAAAATTTAAAGCACCTGTAACCTGAAACTTTCAACCACCTTGATTTTGATGCCTCCTGTGGACAGAGTGGTACCTCTTTTTTTCCCTGTTCATTTTGTTTTTCTTTTTGGACCAAAGTTTTTTCTCCTGCTTGTTTTACATTTAAACATATCACTCATCTTCAGAAACACGCAAACAGCCAGTCCAAGCAACTGCAGTCAATTAATCTGGCTGACATCTACCTCTATCACTGATTTCAGACATAAAAAATGACTTTATGAAAATACTTTATCTTTACATGATACACAATACACATCATACTTCATCTTTATCACCTTATTTTAACCTTTTTGCAGATGGATTAAGTGAACCACAGGTTTTTATTTCTTTCCACACTGTTGATCCTCTTGTTTCCCTCTCTGACAGATACACAGCGTCTGGTTTGATCATTTAATTTTGCAGGTAGACCGTGTCCTCAGCGTGGACCTCTTTGTTTAGTTCCCACACAGCGGGACAGCTCCTCTCATTGGACGCTCAGAGTCAGCTTATCAGACATGTGTTCAATGCCCTGCTGTGACTGTCATCTCCCATTCACCATTTCTGACCATACTACCACCAGAGTGAAGTCAGGCACCATAAAACCAGAAATGATGTGACTTTCCTTCAGAATAAACGACAGAGGACGAGTCAGGCTGAGGACTCCTCAAATCAAATAGGCTGAATAAACTCACTGGCTTATTTACACCTTTTCCCAGAGCTGTCATCTATTTCTTATACAAAAATTTCTGCAAAAAAATAAAGAGCTATCCAAATACATTTTACCTGTCAAACACATCTGTTTAAGTATGAATACCTAAAACGATACAGCTCTTTAATTCTGGGGATGTACTTGATGTTATGTTTACGGTAAATCTTTGTTTTTTTTCCCCATTTACACTTTTTACTTGTTCTTAAATGTTATACTTTTTTAAACATTTTTATAAATACTTAAATGTTCTTGTTATTCTGGGCTCTTTGATCTTTGTTATGCACCATTCACAAAGACAAACTGTGTGAGAAAATATGTTTTTTTTTTTTTTTTTTTTGCACATTTAGGGCCAAACTAAACTTTCAGTTCAAGAGTGAAATAAGATAAAAACCTCAAACTGGAACCTCTAAGAATAAGAGTAACTTTTTATCCCCGAAGGCAAATTCAATTATCTGTAGTCTCAATTGTCATGTCTCAAAAAGTCATCAACTATTTATCAAAGAGTTGTAAAAAGATCTTCTGAATCTTTCTGTCCTGCAGCAAAGAGAGAAGAGCCGTCCACCACCATTTGCCCTTTGGTCCATCAAGGTGTTGTGAAGTGGGTGATCCATGTTCTTTAGAATAGTCTCCACCTTCCTCAGTGTAGCTCTCTCCACCACATCCTCCACTGAGTCCAGCTTGAGTCCAACCACAGAGCCAGCCTTTTTCACCAGTTTGTTGAGATGTCTTGCATCTTTGCGTTTAATACTTCCTCCCCAGCAGACTGCAGCGTAGAACAGAACACTTGCCACCACAGACTGATAAAACATCTGCAGCATCTTACTACAGATGTCTATTGATTGTAGTCTTCTCAGCCAAAAGAGGCGGCTCTGCCCCTTTCTGTAGATGAAGTCTACGTTCTCAGACCAGTCGAACTTATCATCCATGTGTACACCTTCATATAGCTCTTGACATGTCTCTCATTTAACCAGTATCCTTTTACCTAAATGAAAAAGACGAAGAAAAGAATTCACCCCTTGTACTGGTTGCACAGATGTTTAGTTTTGCTGTATGGGTGTTAAGAAGGCTTCTTTTAGAGGTCGCCTCAAGTGGACACTTTGGGAACTGCAGTTTTTGCATGTCCACATCAGTTTCATACTATGACATCTGAGGGTGCTGTTGCAGGGTCTTTGCGCTGGACTGGTTAAGAAATCTTAACTTTGTCAACTGAACTTAATTTTGTTTGTAAACCACTCTGTGGTGGTCTAAATCAGATCAAAGTGCTGTTGGTGCACCAAGAAGAAAAAAAATCCTTGGTCCATAAATGTCATATAACTTATTTTCTTAAAGTGAATCATAAGAGTAAAGAAAATTCCGGCTCCTGCTACCCTGTAAATAAAAATAGAAACCTCTCTCCTGCGCATGCTGGTTCTCTCAGGTACCAACACTGACAGTAGTGACCGAACAATTACCAAGTATGAGCTACACAATGCAAAAAAGAAAAGTAATGAGAAAAACGACCAAAAGAAGAAGACAAAAAAAAGTTAAATTTACAAAATATCAGCAGAAAAATATGATAAACAATGGATCTAAGAAAAGCAAAAATCAAACAAATAAATATAGGGGGAAAAAAGGTGGTAAACTAAATACAACGCATGAATATACCCTATGTTCTCAGTTTTTTTTTAATAGCTTTCGGAGCATTGCTCAACTATTTTAGCTAAATACCCAAATTAAGTTTTTTTCTTTTTGTACATATATTTTTACGTAGGGTCCAATTAATTTCAAACTTCCACAAGCTTCTTCTGTTGACACCCTTTTATTCAAATTTACTACTTCAAATGTTGGCTGACTTTAAAGGGAAAACCATGTTACTATGACATATTGAAGGAAATATAATTGGTGGAACAAAATTGTGCTTTATTGTGAAAGTTGTTGCCGGAAGTCAGTTACATTCATTTCTACGGTTGGTCGTTACGCACACAAGCGCGCACAGCAGCAGCAGCCGCAGCAGTAGCACTGTTGTGTCTGCTGCTTGTTGAAGCTCAAAAGTGAAACATAGCAAAGATATGAGTCAGTTTCTAACTTTGCGTGTTCTCCTCGTGTAACCGGGTGAGTTTGCCGGTGGTTCGGCCTTCTTGTGGACATTTGTCGGTGTTAAAGAGGCGGGCTGGCTCCGGTTCCTCGCGGAGGGAGTAAATGAAAGCGTTGTTTGGGGCCGTTGAACAAAGAGCTTTTCTTCCCTCTACCATTGTTGCCGAACGGAGCGCCTGTTTCCTAACTCTCTCTGAGGGGGTTTCGGACGGTTAAAGTAAGCGAACTACTCTGAAGTTTGGTGGTTTTTTGACAAAGTTGGCTTACGTGCTCTCTAGGCCTATTGTGTGATCAACTAATTTACCTAATATTCAACTAGCAAATCCCTCTGATCAGTGGGCTGCATTGATTGGACTCTGTTATAAGTTTACGCAACATTGATATTGGCACATAACCGAGATAGTGAAAGTAGCTTACAACACCAGCTTTCACTTATATTTATTTTGTATACAAATATAAACTAGAAACGACTTACTTTTTAGAGTTGATATGCCTCTAGTTAGTTTAGTTTGTTATGAAACAGAATAATTTGAAACGCCAGGTCTCTTTATTAGCCCAGCACAAATCGAAAATTCGCGATATTATTAGCGATAACGATACGAAGCTCGATACATTATCGGATATCGAAGATTACGTGTTTGCTTCAATTTGCCTGTCTACTGTTGCACATGGTTCTCACAACACCTTGCAGCATGCAGAAAGCCCTCCCTGATTCACAATAAGTCTAACAGCATTTCTATTTGCCACTTGATGTGTAGAATAACGTGAGAGAAGTTTGCAGTTTATGTAGCGTAATCTTTCTGCATCACATTGTTTTGACTGCACTGCCATTGTATCCAGGCCTCTCTCCAGCAAGTTACACATAAACATGCTGCATGATAAAAACATGGCTAGTTTATGTCAAACCTAGATCAAGGCTTTTGCGATATTTTTATCCAGAATATTCTTATCATGATTAGTTGAGATTGGCTTGTTATTAATTTGCTGCATCAATCTGCTCCTTAGATGGAAATCAGTCTGTCATCTTTGGTGCGTTCATGTTTTCAGTTTGCCTAACACCACATGAATGCAGTACATGTGCAGCCAAAGTCTGTATGAGTAAAAAATCAAAACTACCACCATTGATAAGAGTTATCTTTCCTATACATTTACTGACAATATCTGAAAGACCTGCTGCTCTGGGAAGGTGTGAGAGTAATGAAGAGCGTTTGCTTTAAATATTTTCCGCGGTGAAATATTACAACAGTAATATTATAGTAATAATATCAACATTTTACCCTGTCAACAGTTGATTCATTAAAGACACTGATTTGATAACAGCCAATATGTTAATTCTGTTTAAATTAATAGAAAGTAACAATATTTACGTTAAAACCTGTTGGCAGTCTAACAGTCTGCCCCACCCTCCTGCTGCAAAAGGATGTGTCTCCACGACCCAAGTCCAGCAAATTTAATCCAGATATCTTCATCGTAAACATCAATAGTTTCCTTCTACTTAAATCTATAGGCTGTATGCTCTAACTTAAGTTTTCTGCAATCCATCTTGTGTAAAAGCAGGTTGAGGATGTTTATTTCTCCTCAGACTAAGTTTGCTAATTGTTGCACTAGCTGCAACAAGTGTTTTGCAAGTCGGTCAGTGACATTCTGGTGCCACTTGGTGGTGAGAAGTTTGAACACCTTTCACAAATTCTGTCCTGTCGTAGACGGAAATTAAGTTAGGAAATGCAAAAACGACTTGATAGAAAACCAAATGTAATGAAGGTTCGGGTTTGATAATTGTTTTCCTTGTAAACATTGGAACTGAAAGTTTGAAAAGGAACTCAGTATGGTTTATGGTTAGATAGATGTGCCCAGCTGTTGTGCAGATGTGCTGCATCAGACATCTTTGTTGATTGAGTATGAGGTTGGGGGGCAGGAGGGGGTCCTTAGCTGAAGTAGCATCCATGTTAACAGTGTTAAACTGGTGGACTTAATCAATGTTCTTCAACACTCGAAACTAGTCATAAACATGCACAAATATCAAGTTTTACAAACAGAATAAATGTACAGCAACTATAATGTTGTTCAACCCATTCACATACTGAATTTCCCCTCAGGGAGACATTAAGTTCTTCTCATCTAATTATTTAATGTCATCATTTACAGTCCCTTGAGCCTTTGTTTGGTGTGCTCGTCCATTGTCCCAAAGTACAAGTGATTGCCACTTCCGGGTCACTTCATTATCATCATCCTGTGCTGGTTCATACAGTTGAATTATAGTATCTGTTTTTGACCTGAAAATAACAGTTTGTGGTCTGCCTTTACACATTTATTGTGTGATTTATCAGATTGCACAGAATTTTAACATTAATGTTACTGTAGAAGGATATTGTATTGAATGGTTTCTTATGTTGTATTGATCTTTATCTATTGAATCATATCACTTTATGAATAACCTTTGCAGTTCCCATCCCTCCTTACTCATGTCAGTAGATATTACAGGTACTGGTTTGTCCACAGGGGGGTGCCTGAATGGAGCCTTATGGACACTTCATTGTATTAAAAGCTCTGCCAATTAGGAACTTAATGCTCATGGAAATGAAACATAACCTATGATACGACTTTGATGCAGATTTGGACACATTCACAGCCACTCCTACCATCAGCATCATTTCAAACCTTCAGCAGAGCTAAAATCTCAGGTTAACAGCAGGGAAATACATAAAGATTGATGATGAAATTCTGAAAAGAAATGGCAAAAGTAGAAGTTAAAATTGAGGGGGAAAGTGCTGTAGTGGATTATATCTGTAGTAAACAAAAAAGCTCTCAGGTGTGAAAGGAGCATCTGTAACAAGTCAAGCTAAATAAAACTAACACTACGTTTGCAAAAGTATCAAAAGTAATTTGAAGTGCTTTGTTTGGAGCGTTGGTTACTTTGTATATTTGAACAGGAGGTCTCAGGGTACAGGTCCCAGGTCCAAGCACTCTGTTGAATTAGTCGTGTTGTTTGTGTTTACAGGTGAGGGGCGGCCTGTGCTCCAGTCATGACCTCTGGGAATGGGAACACTAACAGCAGCCAACACAATGGAGAGAGCAAACCAGCCCAGGCTTTAGTCAAGTCCCACATCCTCACCCATCTGATCGAAGGCTTCGTCATCCAGGAGGGAGCTGAGCCTTTTCCTGTGAGTACCACAGCTCTGCATGTATCTGCCAAATAAGACATGATCCATCTGCAGAGCTTCACAAACTTGAACACAAACCAAAGTTCTTGTTTTCTCTTCCTGTGTGTGTTTCCACTGCATTTGGCATTCTGTATCTAGGAAAATTAACCTGAATAATGCAAAAAATTTAAAGGCAACTTTTTACAATCAAACAGAACAAAGAAAAAATGTACTGATCAACATCTGTGAATTTAAGTTAAATATGTCTAGAATAAGATACAGCTCAAAACAAAACAAAAGATTGAAGGCTGAAGATCTCACCCAAGAATTCTTGGACCTTTTAGAGGCTAAAATGATTTTCCCACAGGTTGATTCAGACCCTGTTCCCTCTGCTTTCCCCAAAGAGTTCCTAGATCAGAGAGAGAGACTCAAAGATAAAGCTTATTAGGTGGAAATGAGCAGTTGCACAAACAAAATTAATTGAAACCACACCACAGAGTTGATTTAATCCAACACAGCAGAAGTTAAAGTATTTGCATCCCCTCTTTCCTCTTCTTCAATATATTGTGATTATTATGCTCTCTTATTTATCAAATATTGAAAATGACTACTGTGTCTTTCCATTTGCTTACCCTAAAGATTGCACAAGAGCAAAAAGGTGTGTGATAATGTGTTCTGTAATTTATGACAGTCTTATTCAGTGCTCTCAGCTGTTGCAATAAAGTCATTTCTCTGTCTTCAGGTGGAACGTCCGTCTTTCTCGATTGAGTGCCTAAGGAGACACACAGACTCAAAGATGGATGGCATCTCACCAAAGGGTAAACCTCTTTTCATTTAAAGCTCTCGGCCTGGCAGCTCGGCTCTATTTTGATCTGTAAAATTATGGTGCACTATGTGAAGTTGACTTGTCTGTCTGTTCATGCATGAATGTGATACTAGGGTTTTTCCTGAGAGTAATTTTGCCTTGTACATCTAACTGACTGATGATGCACTTTCGCTCTTTTGTTTACTTGTTGCAATTAATGAATCTCTAGAAAAATGTTAAAAAAACAAGGTCAAGGTATTTTTTTCTGCATTTTCACATGAAAACCTTGGTGATAAATGCGCAAAAACACAAAAGGAAAAGAGCATTGGCTTTACCTTCTGCTCTTGTTTAATCCCTGAGTTTCCTGGCCTGTATAGAGAACAGTAAAGTAGGGAAATCAGAGCATGTCTTAAGACTTAAACTCTGTCCGAAAGCTCGTTCGTACATGCAAGAGGTTGCAAATGTACTCAATGAGCAATAATCAAAGGTGATTTGAAATCTGGAGTGTTGTCACACCTTTCTCACCTGTCCAAGTTCTGCATGAAGGAATCTTGAGTGACAGGAAACAAAATTGGCTCTTGATGATTCAATGAACACTTTGTTTGCAGCAAATAGATGCCTGAGGGCGATCTCAAACACCATGCTGTGTGAGCTTGTTTTGCCAAGTGTTTGTGCATTGTCATGTTTGAGCTCATGACTGAACTGTCGATGCTGGCAAGTTAACCGAGAGCCACTGGAGGCAGAGTAGACTCTATGGATCATGACCTTGTCCTGATACAGGGTTTTTCTGAGCATGCTGTCAGCAGTAGTACCTCAGCTGTTTATCTGACTGTATTGACCGTGTGTGCCCCCCTCCCAACTCTACCCCCTCTAGAGTTAAAGGCCCAGCAGGAGCCCATGCTGACCTGTGAGCTGTGCGGCAGAGTTGATTTCGCCTACGTCTTCAAAAGATCCAAGAGGTTCTGTTCAACGGTCTGTGCCAAACGGTAAGAAGAGGACAGTATGTCGGCTCAGTGCAGGAGATTAGAAAATAGAGAAGCATCATATTGCTATTAGCAGATAAGAACATTTCTGCTGGAAAAAAAGGTGATGCGTTAATTTTGCGCATGCAGTGACAGATTTTAGATGTTGGTTATATTTAGGTGTTTTGAAGTGTTGGAAACAGACAGCAGACACATTACTTAATGTCTACATTTAAAAAGAATGAATTTATCATCTAAGGTAGAATCAGATATTTGTCATGTTTTATGTCTGGTTCTACAACAAAAAGACTGGAAAGCAGAAAAGTTTTTAGAGTGGGTAACACAGCTGCCCTTTTAATATTGGGAGTCTGTAACAGTGTCACAGAAAAACTCTGCTGACATCAATTTTTTTAATTGATCTACAGCAGTGTAATATTGGTTTTCCACCATCTGATGTCACATTACATTTTGGCATTGCAGAAGCATGAGAGAGAACAAAACAAAGTGGGAGTTTTACATGAATTCACACACAGCCCTGCATGTCCTGTCAGCTCTAAGTGACCCTGTCTGCTCTCTGTAACACCTCAGAGTCAGACACTAACTGATGCCGGCACAACAGTGTGACTACTGGGGCCTTGTTAGAGCCCAAAATGTAACTATGGCCTAAAATGTTACAAAAATAGATGTAATATAACCCTAAATGTAATAGTTAGTCAGTTATGTTATTTAGTGTTTAACCCAAAATGTAATTTAAAAAAATGTAGTAAAACCTTAAATGTAATAACTAACTCAAAATCTATGATGTACCTACATTTGGGCAAAAAGTTATTATGTTTTGGGCTCAGCATCTTGTTAGATTATGGAGCAGTTATTACATTTTTGGTTTTATTGCATTTTTTTAATCACATTTTGGGTCATTATAAATATTGGGCTCTAACAGGCCTATCATCATCAGACCTCTGAGACAGTCACACTGAAGGCAATGACATTACAGAGGACTGAATATCATACCTGACAATACAAAAAGGGTCCAGAGGTTTTAGTCTGCTTTACTTCAGCAGTATTAAGCCTCAGAAGAAACTGACGAACATAAACAGCTGTGTTTTAGACCAGATGTAGATCCTACCCTTACAAAGAAAAACAGAATATGACCATAATGACATTTCCAATCAAGGTGTGCTCTTTATGCCTAATGTTTAGTTCACAGTGCCTCCTTTTCTTTACAGTTACAATGTGGGATGCACAAAGAGGATGGGTCTCTTTCCAAACAGAAAAACTACGCTGGAAAACATGAAGAAACAGAGAGCGCTGAACGGAAACCTCAAAAACTGCAGCTTAGATTCAAAGAAGAAGGTGAAGCACTGTTTGACTCCAAAGTTATAATATTTGTATAAAGTATAACTGCATTTTCCTTCATAAATATCAATGAGGTCTCATCCCATCTTCTGTCTGAATTAAATGGAGTCGTCGATAGTTTGACTAAAGCGTGTTTTTTCCCTCTCAGACTGCTCCCTCTGTGCAGAAGCCTCCTCCTCCTGCTGCTGCTCTGTCTCCAGGTCACTCGGTCCATCCCGCACAGGGAGAGTCCAGCCAGTGTTCAGACCTGTCTGGTTACAAAAGACCCCTGTCCCCCCTGTCGCCCACCCAGCGGGTTCCTGCTGTTCGAGGCTCTGATCTTCCTTTGCTGCCCCACAGTTTCCTGCCCAGTGACCCGGGCCAGTGGAACATCGAGGACGTCTACGAGTTCATCTCCTCTCTGCCAGGTGGGCGTTTATCAGATCTGAAGTTTTAGAGATTATTCCCTTCATTTGTTTTGATGCATAGTACAAAATGTGCAGTTGTAGCATTTCCCTCTTGGTGTCTAGTAAGCTTTAATTTTGATATCAAGCATTAGTGTTGTCTTCTCTCATAACACCATGGTTTTAAAAAAGCAAGTATAGTTTTTTGATAAAGTGCTTTTAAAAAAACAAAAGCCACAAAGTGATTTAGAGAGATGAAATAAAACATATAGACAGCATGAAAAAAGACATGGCCCCATGAGCCACAGCTGAAGGTGTTTGAGAATTTGAAAAAAAAAAAAAACATACCTCAGGCACTGGAAACAATCACTCATGGTGCATCGAAGCAAGAGTGATAATTAACCTCATTCAAGTCTGAACAGGCGTGTAGACGACTTTTTTTATTCCTGCTAAAAGTTAGTGCGGGGTAATAATAGTTTGAAATGTGTTTGACCTGAGTCAGGTTTAATAACCTGCAGCCAGAGCACGTACTCTTCATGACTGAGAAGCACATGTTGACACAGCAGGGTCAGCTGAGTTTGTCTTTATGTTGATCACTTTAACAAAACTTCATCTCATTGGTAAATATGTTACTTTTGACCCCACTGAGTTTATAGGAGAGCTTTAGTTTTATCTGCTATTATCTGCTTTTCAGGTTGAGATCACTAATGCAGTATATGATGACTTATGATATTGTGTATTTACTGTATCCTGCAGGAATTCACATTGCTACCCAGCTACGTAAACAAATCAATTAAAGTGAGTTGCTTGAAAAAATTAAAGTCAATCAATCTTTATTTAAAATGGCAACAATTTGCAACAATTTTTCTCTCAAGACACCGTTACAAAAAGAGCTGGTCTAGACTATAGATTGTATATACTGTGGACAACTTGGTTCCGCCTCCCGCCTGTTTACGGATTTGAAGCCAAATAGCTTCAATAGACCTATACTGCAGCCCATCAACAGAGAGTGCTGTTCTCGGAGTACTTTCACCCAGCAAGGACGCAGATGCTGTCCATTCTATATACAGTCTATGGTCTAGACTATACTTACTTTATTATCTTCAAAGAGCGAACACCGAGCTGAGATAAGGCCGAGTCTTATCTAGTCAGAAAAGACCTATTCTTGTCTTAATCTAACAGAGGTGACACACTTTGCAGCATTTAGCAAGTTGCATGGGTGGAGAGGAGAAACTCCCTTTAACAGGCAGAAACCAGGAGCAGAACCAGACTCATGTTAGACAGTCATCTGCTGCTAATGCATTGGGATTGGAAGGGGGAAGTCAACAGGTTAATAGTAGTCGCACAAACAGTAGTGTTTGTGTTAACAATGCTGATAATGGGAACGATAAAATCAATCATAAGAGTTGGAACCAAAAGTATTTGATATAAATATTAGCATTGTAATAGTGAAAATAACAGTGAGACTAATAGAAATATGTGAATGAACTTTTGCTTTATTAGCTGCAACAGTATTCAAAGAGCTTTGAGACTTACCATATTATAGTTTAATATTAATAATATTTGAAATAGTTTCACTATGACACACCTGTAAACGTACTGTTATTCTGCTGCATACACTCTTCATTGTCTGCTCTTTGATATGAAAGTTGTACTGTATGTTAAGACTGTTTGCCGATCACACAGTGCAGTCATGGTGATAGCGGTGAAATGATCAGACCTGTGCTGACTGCAGATGTTTCTGTGTGTCTCCGGCCGCAGGTTGTCTGGAGATTGCAGAGGAGTTTCGCTCTCAGGAGATCGACGGTCAGGCTCTGCTGCTGCTGAAGGAGGATCATCTGATGGGAACCATGAACATCAAACTGGGACCTGCGCTCAAGATCTTCGCCCAGATCAGCATGCTCAAAGACTCGTAGCCCCCTCCTCTCCCCGCACACAAACACAAACACACACACACACAAACACACACTTTCTGGACAAACACGACGTGCTCAGGATCCCAAACTACCTTTAAGTTGATTCCAGGTGTCGGGCCAGGATCATTGTGTGGATGTCGTCACGGCCTGCTGAATAAACACGAGGACTCAGCTGAGACTTTTTTACACTGATCACTTCACTGTGGAACCACTTCAGGAAAACTTCACCCCGTAGAGAAGAAAAACGTGTTAGGTAGGCTGTGATGAGGTTTATTCGAGAACCTGTTTGAAGTATGTCTTACTGTATCTTCAGTTTGCAGCTAGTGTCCTATCTGTGTGGTAATTCACTCAAACAAACACACCCTCTTTGTTTGATTTCTGTGCATCCTGAGCAGCATTTAGTCCTAACTCAGACTAGTACTACCTATCTGTCCTGACCTGCTTCTTCTGACATTGAGTGGCTCATGAAATTCATAACAAGGACAAAGTTAAAAAAAAGGAGAAAAACTTAAATACAGTGTGTATTTTTGTTTAATTTTATATCAAGACTCATGTGATACCAAGAATAGACTGTTTGAATGTTAAAAGCCAATAGTGCAGATATTTGATTGTTCGATTCAAACCAGTTTGTGTCTTTTTGACTGATTATAGCAGCTATTACCATTTACAGGGCAAACTACAGGTCATCAAAGCAACATACGGACACTGAATTCAGTCTTCAGGTTGGAAGTTGTTAAAAAAAAAAGAGCTAAATTATGTGGGAGAGTTTGAAGGTTTCTTAACAAGAAACCAAGCTGACCAACATCCCCAAAGGGGAAAACACTTACTATTGAGAAAAAGGTCATAATACGCCACCTCAAAATAACCAAACTGTCCCTTTTAGTCGAATTAAATGAGAGCACCAGATAAATGAATGTTTTAGCCTGTTACTTCTTTGTCTTACACCGCAGACTGTATTGGTCGTAGCTAATCACACACCACATGAGCTGTGGTGACAAAACCTTACTGTTACAGACTTTTTCTTGGTCTGGGTGTAAAGAGGATCAAATACAGATATTTTCTGATTAGATATGTTTGATTGATCTCAATTTATTTTGTACTAAAACCAAACCCTATTCCTCTAAGGTTGCCAATGTAACTACAAGTTTAACTCCTCATGTAGGGGAGAAACTCCAGGTCAAAGCTGATTTATACTTCTGTGTCTCACTGTCTCTATTATGGTGCTAGACATACAAACATGATCGCTTAATATTGTGTTAATGCTTGTTTTAATAGTTTGTGGGTTGCAGTGATTAACTTCTTCCAGTTTAAGGGACTTAATAGTCTTTCCTTCATGTGTCCAGGGCTTGCTGATGACAAACATTGGAGCTTTTATTTAAAGTTTTATTAATGCACTCTCTGCTCATCCCTACTGCTAAAGTTCTGAAACAAAAGGGATCAAATGTGGCTTTAATGATCAGTCAGGTTTAGCAGAGGCTTTGTCTCACCTTGTAAGAGTATTATTGGGCGTCATTTTCCTGCTTAGGACTTCTATCGTAACAAGTTGACAGCAAGTGTTAGTCTAAAGGTGATTTCACTGAATTTATGCAGCTTTAAAAAACGACAAAGTGGTCCCTCCACTTCTACGCTTGGTAGAGTTTCAAGCAGCCGTAATCTTATCAGTCAACGTCTAACTTTTCATTTACAGTAAAGTAAACTTTGGTGTTTTTCTGTTTACACTGTAAAGGTGCAGAAATAACAACAGCAGCTCTTACCTGTAATGGTTCAGCTTGCTCTTGTCTTCTTAGTCAACCTGCCCTGAAACTCTGCCAAAGCTCATCAAGTGTCAGGTCTTTTGCTTACTTTGCATCTGTTTTCTTCAATTTGGTAGATGTCTCTTTCACTCAGCCCTTTCTCTTATAGTGAGCTGTCAACCACCAATCGAAAGTTTTCTTCACTGCAATTGAATTGAGAGAAAATTTGAAAATATCCTGTTAAATTGACAGTTTTGTCACATTTTCAACAGGCAAAGGTAAAATCATAAACAGTTCTTTCATTTCATGGATTAATCAGATATGAATAAAGAATTAATAACCATTGCCTAAGGGGGGTTTGACCAATCAGAATTAAGTATCTGACACATTGTAACATTATTTAAAATTATTAAATAATTGATCAACATTTGTTCTCATTGTTGAGAATCAGACCCCCTTTTTAATGAGGTTTTGACCGATTAGAATCAGTGTGAAGCATGTCCAGGTAACAAACTGATCAGATTTACACTTAGAGCAGCTACATAATTAACGCTATGAACATCACAGTGTATTAAAAAGCCCCAAAACTAACATTTAACATTTTTCACACAGTGAAGTCTCCTGCTCGCCTTGCTCGTCAGACCTGGAGGATTATTTAGCCTCTTCTTTCTGTAGTCTCTGCTCATGAGAGGAGACAGCCATGAGTGCCTTCGTTGACACGCTGACACAGAAGTATAATTCAGGCCTAATGAACTCATAATCTTTGAGTCATTTCATCCATTCATCTACTTCTACCATATTGCTGAACTTCTGAAATTAACCCTGACCCTCCTTTTCACCTTGATGAAACATGTTTTTTTTTTTTTAAAGGTTTTATTTTTTTCTACATATGAAAAGAAACGGCTGCATGTAGTTCATTCTGATAAAAACTGAGCCATCGTTTTTTCCCTCAGACACCCTGTTGTATTCATTATTCTTCAGAATCACCAAAATCTGTTTGTGTCATTTCCTGGTTATGTTTGAAATGATGCTGTGAGAAAAGATGTCATTGTTTTTTTCCCTTTTTGATACAGAAAACCAAATTTTCACTCTGAAAATAAAACCTTTGGATAATTTCTTTGAGCGTTACGATCATTGTTAGACTCTAGGGTATCTGTATTGGAATTAATTGTCAAACAAGAATGCACTCGAAACCCTCTGTTTGTTTACATCCAGGTAGTAGAGAGTTAGAGTATTACAGTAGTAGCCATTAATTGTTGCTGCTGCTCCAGGTTAGTGAAGAGGTTCAGGTTATTCACCATTTCAGGTCTACAATAATGAAAATATTTTAGTGACTAGTATTTCTGGAGCCAATACGACAACCATATCTGCAGAAAGTTCACAGAAACTTTACTCACAAAGAAAAACAAGTTTCTCTTCTGAATTTTTACTTACTTTATTGACACATCTTCTTTTAATAACTCTGTAATTTGTTCCCCCGATCAAAGACTAAATCAAACCAGTCATGATCACAAACCATTCAAGAACAACCAGATCAGAGAGCAAAGCGAAATAAATTAACTCTTTTCTTCATTAAGGCACTCAGCAGTTCACAGAAAATAAAGAGATCAGAGAAAACCAACACAAAAGAGTCAACAGGTAAACATACACACATCTCCATTTTTAAAGAAACACAATTTTCAGATCCAGCCAAGTGTTTGTCTAAGAGCTGCTGCGAAATGAAGTCACTGATCCGTGAGAGGAGAGGTTTAGGAACTATGAAGCCAACAGAGAGAGATTAAAGATTATTGAGGCGGTTTTTACCAGTAATTTCTCTTTGATAAAGTCAGACTAATTCTCACTGAACGTTGAGATTTATTCAGAGAAATCACTCTGTCAGAGATAGAATGAATACCAATACTTAAGGACTGCTTTTAAGATGTTTTACTCCAGACTCCAACAGGCTGAAGAAACCTGTTATCGCTCGAAAAAGCAGTTCCTGGGCTAAAGGTACTTCCCGGTACTTTCAGCGGACCACACTGACCATTCACTGCTATCCTAGGCAATCTTGTTCTTTTGAAGTCTCTGGCTTTAGGTGCTTACTTCTCACATAAACAAGTCTGCAGCCTTGTGTGACTCAAAGCGAAGGAGACCACTTGAGAACACTTCTGCGTGTTCATCTGAGCACCCAGCATTAAAATCTTTTCTCTCATGTTACCACAGCATCTCTTCAGAGTAGGTGGTACCTTCTGCAGAGGTAAGAAAATGAAAGAGCCGCAGAAAAGATTTTAGAGGTGTTGGACTCATCAGAAAATTATCCCACCCTCTGTATGATTGCTAAGTTTCCCTGTTCTCTAGTGTAGTCCCCATTAAGAGTAAGATGATCTTATTTTCAGACACAAGGTGAATTTTCCATAAAAGTCTTCCTTCTACATTCAGCAAACAAAACCCTCATGACAACAAAGATAAACTGAAAACCTGATTCACCTTTTGCTTTTTCTTTTAAATCACAGATTTGTCAGTAGATTTGTGCTCTGATGCAGTAAATCTGAAATCAGTCATGTATGAATCTGAGTATGTGAAAACACCTTCACATTTGATAAATCAAAGAGATATCCTTGATTTTTCCACATCCTGTCCCTTTTTCTCTGAAATACTTTCTAAGGGTGCTAAATCAGTGGTGCACCCATAAAAATGGTGGTCAGTTCACTTTGATAAGTAGATAAATTCATCGAGCTGAGGCCAGTTTAGTTTTGCACATATGAGACTGTCAAACCTGCTGCAGGATCAGGGATTCAAAAGGTGCCTCCTTAAACTGAAGATCAAACATTAGACCAAAGAAAGAATCTGCAAATCTTAATCATGTAAAAACGCTCAAAGCATACTTGTTCTAACAGCTGAAAACGGGATTCCTTGAAGCACCTGTGAGGAACTTTCTGTTTGCATGGTCAGTGATCCCTCTTGCATCCTGTCTGATCTTGTTTATGAATAAATTGTGCTTTCAGACAAAGACAGCTTTCTTTAACAGTCAGATGTATCACTCATTCTGGATATGTTCTTGGGAAAAGAACATCATGTGGAAATCAACACATCTGACTCCTACTCCTACGTGCAGTGTTTTTAGGAATTAAAAAATTACATAAGAAAAGTTTACTCTTTGTTTTTGCAGGTCATATTAAGGTGTCACTTATAATATATACAGTCTGTTTTGTAACCTATTAATAACTCCTCACAGGAGCTTTAAGAGACAGGCACAAATATTATTAAAGAACTCTTTTTAAAGTCGCTGTGAGGAGTTTTGAACTTCTCCTACAACAGAACTAATAATACAAATACCTTTTTTATGAGCTACAAAAGCAAACTAGCCCATGAGTGATACGACTCAAACTTTTTTTGTGATTTTTTTTTAAATCTAAAAGCGCTGCTGTAGGGTAGGTGGCAAGTGGAAGCTCCGTTTATTTACATTTAACAGAAATTATATATGTACAAAACAAAATAACTAATCAGAGCTGGTCAGTTTTTTAAATGATCTATGAGGACTGATGTATTAAGGATGTAGCACACAGTTCACCTCTTCTTAAAATGTTGACAAAAATAGAAAATAGAAGAGATACTACTTTGTCCATTGGGGGGCGCCAATTTCAACACAAACCTAAAGTTTCTCACAGGAGCTTTAATGCAAAAGAAAAAAACAAATGAAAAAAATGTCATAAAGTTTACTTACTCTTGTTCTTGCAGGTGATTTGACTTCATGTTTGGGATTTTGACTTTAAGTCTTATTAACGTTTACTGATCATCATATTTATCAAACGGATCTATAATCATTACATGACAAAAATATTCACATCCAAGAAAATAAACACTAGTCAGAGCCCTCTTTGGTTTGAATGTGATGTGGACGCCCTGTTTTAACTTTGTCATCTGTTCACAGCTGGTTTGTGGGTGTTTTCTCTGCACAAGAACCTCATCAACCCCCCAAAAAGTCTCTCATGCTGCCAAAGCTCAAGCAGGACCACTACCACATGTTGAACGTGCGCACAGAGCTCAAGCAGCATTCTTGATGTCGCAGCAGCCGTCTTCACGTTTGCTGGCGACCTGGTGGAGTCAGAGCGGAGGGTTAGAACAGCTGGGAAATCCGACCCCCCCCACCCCGCCCCACAACCATACCACTGCTCCCGCCAATCCACTGCCCTTTTGGCCCCCCAGGAGAGACAGAAACACACACAGGCATGCTGAGAGTGAAGAGCCACAGCCAACCCAGAGATTTGTTAATTTAATCTTGTGATTTAATAAAAAACATCATCAAAACGCAGGAGAAAAGAGGAGGAGATAAAGAGTGAGCAGAGAGTCCATGCTGATCATCAGAGACGAACGCTGTACCTGCAGCACCTCCTTCAAAAACAGTCCAACATGTCAGTATCGCTGTGTCTTTCTTTGACATGACTGCAGATAAAACACTCTCCCAGCACCACCTCACACTTCAGTTAGTCTTTTAATAAGTTAATTTCTCTCAGTCGAAGGATGGTTTTACTTTAAGTTTATCCAGGATAATCTAATCCCCCTCTTTAGTAACTTTTTTTTTAACCTTTCATTTCATGAACAATCAGAAAAGATTGAAACAAAGCTCAATAAATAAAAATAAGGGGACAAACTCAGAGTGAGAACATCTTCAGTATCACTCAGGAGACGTTTGTGCTCAACTTTGACTCTTAGTGTTGGGCCTACGAGCTTTAAAAGTTTCTCAAACTCACATTTTTTATATTTTTTTAAACAGGCTGTCTGATTGTTGTGTTGGATCTGTTTACTGGGACACTGAGAAAATAACTAATCACACCTGCAAATATATAATATCTAATAAACCATGTTGTGATTAGAGATGCACCAATAATAAAAACCAGGAAGCCAATTTTGTTTTTGAATACTTCTTTGTAATTATTTGTCTGCTCAGCCTGTCGACTTAAAATGCCACTCACACCCCCACACTGCCCACATTTTCAGTCGTTTTGGACCTAAAAATCTATAAAACCCTCTTAATCAGCAGGCGAGTAAACCAGCTTCTCAGTGTAAAACTGATGCAAAACATGGAGATGGCTTTTTTTCTTATTTACTGGGATCATCTTAAAGGACCTCAATAATGATGTGCTTCAGATACAACAAATTACATTCATCTAACTTTAATGTGATGAGAGAACATGATGTGAGAGTCCTTTTATCCAGGCAGATTGAAGGTCTCTGACTTTCTTTCCTTGCTAAATGACAAACTAAGATTCAGAAACCTTGGAAAATAACACTTTAGAGCTGTTATAGCTTCGTGAGCAGTGACAGTTTGTCATTTTCTTGCCTGCTTTTGTTTGTTTTCTCTTCCTGAACAGTCTGACGTTGGAGCAGAAGAGGTGTTTAAGGATAAATCTCAGAATAAATGGAGGATGATCGCTCATGTGTGCTATGTCTTTGGGTGCTGAAGACGGTCTTTATGCCTGATGCGATTGATATTTAGAGACAGACCTGGCTGCAGACACAGCAGACCTCTGTAAGCACGTATGGAGCTGAAGCTGCACCTCGCTTTGAAGCAAACATGAACAAAGTTTTCATCTGTAAGGACACCTGACTTCCACACCATGAGGAGGTGGATGAAACTGATAACTCCTTGGCTAAAAAAGTGACTTGTTGTAAATGAAGAATCACTTTAAGGTCCTTTAAAAATGCAAATCAAGAACCATGTGCATGCAGAGAAATAACAGACGACAGTGTCTTAATTTCAGAGGAGACTCGAACACTTGTGCTTCTTTTTCTTCAATCCCAATCAACAGATTTATCACATTCAACAGCTGAGATGACGGGGGGTCTAACCCAGAGATCAGATGGTGAAAAGTTGAACTTTTTCTTGTTAAATTAAGGCTACGACTCGACTGGTGCTTGGAATCGTGATCGGATGTTTGGCTGCTCACAGTCTCTCCGAGGAAACAGCTGCAGTAAAAACTTATCAACTCCTTCAAACCTGCAGGACCACCTCTTTGTGCAAACCCACTCCAATCATGTACCAAGTGAGATGGGGAAATAAAGTTCGCTCACAGAGAAGGTGAAAGCTGAAAGTGAGAAACCGACCCACAGAGAGAGCGCCGATAGAGAGAAATCTTTGCCACCACACACACACACGCACACACACACAAGTAAAAAAAAACAACAAAAAAAAAAAAACAGTTTGCAGTTTTTCTGTCTCCAGTTTCATGACGCTGGTTTTATACCTTGCTCCTGAAGAGGGGCTTGGCTCCGGGGCCACAGTACTCGTTGTAAATGAGCTTGAAGAGGAAAAGGTGGAAGAGGGTGATGAGCGAGGCCACGCTGAACCAGAAGAGGAAGGGCAGACCCGGGTACCTGTTGGCCATGTGCTCCTCGTGCGCCAGGATGGCCTTGAGATGCAGGGTGTGGCGGAGGTCCTGCAAGTGGCGCAGGTCTGTGGAGATGTAGAGCAGTGGTGTGATTGGCTGTGTCACCATGACAGGGAAGGTGTGACCTTTGATCTCTGACGTCAGCTCCACGGGCTCGTTGAGGCAGCCGGCCTCGCAGGCGTACAGCTTCACCGGTGTCTCCTGAGGCTTCACCGACACGTGCAGAAACGGCTTCCCCTCCACGTCTAGCAGCACGGCCAGGTTGATCAGGTCCTGGTTGTAGTGGATCCCTCTCAGGGCGTAGCTGTTGTGCAGCACATCCGGGTCGGCCTGGAACTGGAGGTGGTTCTCTGTGAACTGGAGGCCTCCGAAGCTGAGCACCATGCCCTGCATGGCCCCATGAGCTCCTGCCGCCACCAGCACCTTGCAGCCTCTCTTCTGCAGGGTCAGAGTCCACAGCGTGACCAGCTGCAGGATCTGAGCTGCGTTGCTGACCCGCTCGGGCCACAGGTTCTCTGCGTGCATGGTGGCGTGGCCGCTGAAGCAGTGGTCGGCGTAGTTGAGGCTGGACTCCAGTCGAGCACGTTCATCGCTGCCTAGCCGTCGATCCAGCAGAGGAGCCGTGGTGGAGGACAGGATGTAGTAGAGGGTGGTGTTGACTGTGCGGCTCGATGGGGTGTGGGAGTCTGTGATTTTCCTCATTTCAACACCTAAAGGACCAACAAAGAAGAAATACAGCTACTACAAAACTTCAACATGTTGCGTTGTAAATAAAACTATAATGATTGCCCTTAGAAGAAGATAAAAACAATCTGAACTCTGGATCCTCACTTAAGTTTATTTTACAGCTTTTAACTCGATCATCTTTTCTCTTTTCAGGCATTTACAACTCCTCAGACTTTGTTCTTGCTATTTCAGCATTTCTATAACTGAGTAAACTCTAAAACCAAGCATCAAGTGAAGTGAAGAAGCTCAGCTTGAAGGAAGACTTCCAGTCTCGAGTTAACTCGTACAATAGGAGCATTGTGAGTCAAACATCCGGTGAGACTTGAGGAGCTGAGGAAACCACGGATTGGCAGACATGTTGAATCCACAGAGCAGTCAGATAAATCAAAGCAAGGATTCATCAGGAAATATACTGTGTCAAAAAAAGCAACCTGTCAAACCAATCACAGAGTAAATGAAGAGCCCTCTTTATCCAGCATATCACTGTTCTCTTTTGGCCTGGTAGTTCATGGACCAGAGCCCAAACATTCAGCTGATAAAACACAACACGTTAAGCGAAAAAAGAAAGAGACGGGAGAGCGCGAGAGCGAGAGAGAGAGAGAGAGAGTTCCTGTCTCTGTGAGTTATGGCTCTGAGCAGTTTTTATAGACACACTCTGTAGAGCTAAACACATTCAGGACACAGGACAAGGACCTGCTCTAAAGCACATATTTACACTCACAGCCTCTAATAACACAGTCTATTTTTACACCTTTCCTATTTTCTGGGGCTGTAGAGACAGAAAAAAAATCTAGTCATAATCTATAGAAGACATAAAATGTGGATCTTATTAGTTCTTTTCAAGTGAAAAGGTAAGCAGAGTTCAGATGTTGGTCCAAACTCATGATTAAATCTGATTAATCGCGCAGCTCTCCTTACAGGTAGGGCAAAATGTTGATAAAGAAATGTTTAGTTGTCCTGACCCTTTTGATACAAATATTGCATTATTAGTGCAAAATATCTTTATAAAACCATTCTCTTCTCAAATTTAGTGGTGTATGTTTGCAGAGCCAGAGGCTGCAGTTTAAGGACCGCAATTCTGGGATCTTTAGGACCGTTTTGTAGTTGTGGGGAAGGGCTGCTGGGTTAACTAAAACTGATTACATCACACTCTAAAAATACACGCCTCGGGGATCCAGTGCTCTAAATGCTGCTGTCTCAAACAACAAAAGGTCCAAAGATCCAAGAAATGCAGTCCTGAATATGCAGCCTCCAGGTCTGCAGACACATGCTGCTCCTCCAGGTTGACTCATTGCATCAAAGACACACTTTGTGACTCCTCATGGTGGAGGTATTTTGTCTTCATCAGTGTATCAGGTTTTGGGGTCTATTATCAAAGTCCTGCAGTTCATTGATTAGTGCATGGTGGTAATGATATCAGTGCTAAGGGTCACGTACTGTAAAACTGTTTGTGATCCCCACCCCTATCACATGCGTCCTATCAGATCCTGTATTTGCTGTGATAATTTCTGACACCATTGTTTCCTAGTTTGGGTCAATATATTAGATCTATGGCAGTGGTGCTCAACTGGTGGGTCCCGACCCAAAAGTGGGTCACGGCCACATTCGGGATGGGTTGCGAACAGCTGGTCAAAAAAGTAAATATTTAATGCGCATCTGATGTTTGACATGTTTTATTTTAGCTTATTTTGAAAGGCACATGTTGTGTTGTGGTCCTCCTTGGTTTATTATTAATTTGGCCTAAATGCAGCAAAATGACCTTGTTTTTTTTTTGGTCTCCATTTTGTGCAATTTGATATTTTCTGTACATGCAACTTAAGTAGTTGTCGTCGTCAGTTTGTGTGCTCTGAAATTCACTGTACTCAATAAAAACGGAGTATTAATGTTAAAGATTTGAGTCTTTAAGGTTTTTTTTTTTTTAAATAAAAAATAAATTTGCTTGGTTTGATTTTTATAAAAGTGGGTTGCAACTTAAGGACCATGGGAGAATGTGGGTCCCAGAGTGAGACCAGTTGAGAACCACTGATCTATGGTATATAGTCCTCTAGCTACCTGTTTGTCTATCTAAAGACCAGAACCAGCCACTGCTGCAGCCTCGGCTCACCTGAGATGAAGAGGTCTATCCAGGCCTGCTGGTGGTCCTGGACCAGCTCCTCCACATTGGCCCTCAGCAACTCCCCCAGCTCCTTCTTGGCCCCCTCTCTGAGCATGCTGAAGGTCTCCTCCAGCTTAGAGGGATCTATGGGGTCTGAGGTCCACACCACTGACATGATGTTGTCCGTGTACTCAGATTTAGCAGGGACCTGGATCCTGCTGTTCAGTTTCTTAGAGACCACCACCACCAGCACCATGCGGTTGTTCTCCACAGGAACTCTGCCGGAGGAGAGGATGATGTCTTTGTCGTCCAGTTTCTCCACGCTGGAGGAGAACTTGCTCCCATAAGAGGGACTCTCAGAGGAGATGTCCAGGGGGGCAGGCCTGTCAGAGGGGTTGTTTATGTGGATCCTCTGCAGGTACACATTAGGTCTGCTCCTGTGTGCGATGAACTCCTCTCTGATGGTCACACAATCCCTGGAGGACTGTAGGCCGACTGGGGAGGCACAGCGGACCGACAGCACAGCCCCCTTCCTGAACCACAGCATGGTGGCCTGAGCCTCCGCCCGCTTCCCCTCCAGGTGGACCCCCACTCTCGGGGAGAACTCTGTCTGATGCACCGGGGCAGAGCCGGGCTGTGAGGACGAAGACACCCACAGTCTGTTGGAGTCGATGTCTATCAGGATGTGGCCATTACCTGACACGAAAGGCGTGTCAAGCTGTTCCTGAGGTGTGCTGTAGACCCCTTCTCCACGCTCCACCAGAGAGCTCCACCTGTGAATCTCAGCCAGCAGGCACTGTCCGGCCGCCCCGCCGGGCATGGCCGTCCCGCTGAAGAACCTCCACCTGTGCTCGGCCCCCAAGTACCAGTAAAAGATGAGGAAGATGAGCAGCCCGATCAGGAGCCTCCGCGCCCAGCTGCTCGACAACAGCCCGGGGAGCCCCTTCAGCCTCTGCTGCAGCCACATCCTGACTTTACGAAGTGCGGCGGTGAGTCTGAACACGGCACCCAGCGTGCTGAGAGAGAGAGAAAGCTGGATCCGGATTCAGAACATGTTCCCCAGTGAGAGCTGAAGACTGGCTGCCTGCGCTAGCTCCGGGCTAACCTAGCTTAGCTTGGTGGAGGAAAACAGTCAAAATTAGTCGTTGTTTCTCGCATTGTGGTTATTTTCAGATCCTTTGGCGGGTGTTGAAGACAGGCGTTAAGTTGTCGGGTCTCGGTTAATTTTGTTCTTTTTCGGGTCTTCGGGGTTTGAACATCAGCTGTGGTTCAAAATTAACTCTGCAGCCAGCGGTTGACACTTCTGGTTTGTCACAACAGTCGTCACGTAAAATGGCCGGAAGTGTCGTAAAAAGCAAGTCGATATGCTGCTTTCAATTGCTCCTCAGTTACTCGCACTCTAACTAGCTATAAGTCTATCTTTCGATTTCATATTCGTAGTCCATGGACCCTACTTAGACCTAAGAAGAAAAAAAAAACAGAATAAACACCAACACCACGGAGGCCTTTGAAAAAAAGCTAAATGTTCATATCTTGGAGTAGTTATATCTTACTCTGCATGGACGGTAACTGACCACCAAGGTACAAATGACCTTAAAAAAGACGCGCAGTTATAAAGCAGTAATAAGTTTGTGACATCATCCAGGCCAACATTTCGACTTGTGTTTGACGTGTTTTTGCAAACTGGAATATTTCACCTTATACAGTCCCCTCACTAGCCCCAAACCCCCTTTTTGAAGTACATTTTCGGATTATTTTGACAACACCTAAATGCAGCGTTTGTGTGTATTTGAGTTAAAGAGGATCACAAACTTACAACAGGAAAAGGCGTTTGACAAAAAAAGCACTGAAAGTATATAAATATGGCTTAAAATGCACTAGATAAATTAATGTCGTCTTCAGAATTTACATTGACATAGTGGATTTCAAAAAAGATAGAATTTATATTTATGTTTTTGTAAACTGGAAAGTTTTTTTAATCAAATATTTCACTTTATACAGTCCCCACACTAAATTCCCCTTTTTTTGAAATACATTTTTGGATTATTTTGACAACACTTCAATGCAGCATTTGTGTGTATTTGAGTTAAAGGGGATCATAAACTTACAAATGTAGTCTTCACAAGTTACATTGACATATTGGATTCCAAAAAAGATGGAATTTATGTATAATATTGGAAAGATTTTGTTGATTTGCAAACAATGATTAGCTTGTTTTTAATTGACAACAGTGCAAGGACACCATATTAAAGGTTGAACTGTTTGAAAACATGAGCTCATTTATCATTCAGGCCCAAGTATATGTGCTCATTTAAAAAAAGTGGAACAGAGACACCAAAGTGATAATAAAGTATGTAATGATGAAAATGAGGTTAATGTCCCACAGGTTAGTAACATGACTGGGTATAAAAAGGACATTCAGAGAGGCTGAGTCTCTCAGAAGGAAAGATGGGAGGAGGTTCATCACTCTTTGAGAGGTTGTGTGAGCTGAATGTTCAGCATGTTCAAAATAATGTTCCTGAGTGTTACATGTGAATGAATAAGTGGATTTCATCATCTAAAATACACAGTATCATTAAAAGCTTGAGAGAATCTGGAGAAATCTCCGTAGAAAAGGGACAAGGACCAAAACCCGGACAGGATGATCCTGATTTTCAGGTCCCCAGGCAGCACAATTCACAGTGTAATTATGGACAAACTTGTAGTTAATGGTCATGTTTACCTTTATGCATTATAAAAGGCACCAATATGAATTTAAGCCTTTTTCATTAAGGTAAAAAGACTAAAACTGATTTTGAATTGTTTGCTAACCATTATAATCCTCCATTAACATTTTTATTGGTTGTATAACTCTGTAATAAAAGCCTAATTAAAAAAAATAATACTTTGATAGATGTTTAAACATGAAGTCATAATTTGACATTTGTTTATGCAACAATAGCAGAAAAAAAAACAGATTAAATATGAAACAGATAGGAGACAGCAGTGATTTATAAAAGTTAGTACAGTATACAAAACATGTTTCAGTGACTAATGCAGGATGCAACGAATTATTTGATTTTAAGACAAGTTTCTGTCCATGTTTCACATTAATGAACATATAAAAACGAGGATATGTGTGGTTTTGGGGCGTTAGGGCTACGTGCAAGTTTTCATGTCCACGGAACAGCTGGATCATCACTGCACCGCTTTTTTTCTCCTTAAGGGATGTGGGCGGTGCAAATGCGGATTTATCACGGGGATTTTCTGCATAACTGAGAAAAAGTTTATAAAATTACAAATATTTTAAGTAAAGATTGAGGCTTTGAAGGATCTTTCTCTAGCTTTATAAGTTTTACTTCTACTTTTACGTTATAATAAAGACGAGAGAGTGAAAGAAAGAAAGAGAGCGAGAGAGAGGGAGAGAGAGAGAGAGAGAGAGAGAGAGAGAAGGGGGTGCAGACAGAGCTCACATACTCCTGTTAAGTTTACTCCCCCCACTTTCTCGCCTTTAGTCTGCAGAAATCCACTTCACAGGGACTCTGGGGTACTTTAACTTTGCAAAAATGAGACTCTGGACCTTTCTTCTGTTTTGCGGATTTGTATTTTGTGAACTTTTCTTTCTGACAAACTGTGCAGAGCAGCGGATCCGAGAAGGTAAGCCTGCCCTGGACTGACACTCTGTCTGGAACCTGCTTTAGTCCACAGACACACAGACTCCGTGTTGTTTCCACATGCTGTAGAAAATAATAATGGCGTTAGAGCCAGTCTGGAGTATTTTGGGCTGGGGGAGACTCCCCGGCTGACTCAGACCCTCTCTCTCTCGGTGACATGGCCGAGCCTGTGGAACATTCCAGCAGAGTTTGCAGTGAATAAACCTACAGCCGCTCAGTTATGTGGTGACTACAATCACAGACTCAGAGAAAAACTGAGATTTGGGGACACACGCGTCCTCATGAAGCAGTGTGAGCATGGTTAAATCAGTTACACATTAAGCTCTCTGTTTGTATGTCTCTTTCTGGTTAAAAAATAAGTGTCAGGACGAAAACAAGCGGATTTTTACAGTAAATTCGCTCCACAGTATTGAGAGGAAGCTGCAGGCTGCTCGGTGTTGAGGAGGACCTCCATGCCGCTGACGTGGACGGCTGTCAGCTCAACAATATTTATTTATATATCAATATATTCACATATGTTATATAGATTAAAGTGACTCAGTCCTGGTTAAGGCTGCATTTACAATAGTGTTGTTGGGACAGTAAAGATAAGGTAATGGGAACAGTATTAGACGAAAAAATGTACTCTAGGTCTTATTGTCTTGGCAGAGGTTTATTGAATCACTTACATTTAACTTCAGTGTTTATTTTCAACATTTATGTAAGCCTCTTTATGTATAAGACAGCACTCTTAAGTGAATTTGCAGATTTACCATACAAATACAAGCATTGCAGTAAATATATAGATAAAAAATGTATATAATTCAATGAATAAAAATAACCAATTTCAACAAACTGCTTCCATTAACACATTTGACACACTTTTTATGTTGAGTCATGGAGAGGCTTTATCTTGTAGCAGAGCATGTCTGCACTGTGATATCCACACCTTCCACAGATGTGTAGCTCTATTTACACTGTTTAACCTCACTGTACAATCTTATAAATCGTACACAGCTTTTTTTGGTCTGTGGTGTTTTTGAATGGAAAAAAAAGAAAGATCGTTCAGGTTTTGTAAAAAATAGAAACTGTTTCCACTGCAGACTCCTCCAGGAATGTTCCAGAAGTAAATACAGGTAGCTTGAACTGGTACAGACTAAAGAAAAAAGACTACTATGAGGCAAAAATTATATTTATGGTGGAAATAAGATTTATTTTTAAGTCAACTTTAAATGTACTGCATTTAAAAACAAGCAGGGTTGAGATCTTATCCTCAAAAGTAAAGCTCTAGAGAAAGGATAGGTCTTTATGACAATTTCAAACATCCAGGAGTGGAGGCAGATCTTTGCTGAACCAGTCAGCTATCCCACAGATTAGGGTCTGGTGCTGCAGAGGCTTGTCCCCCCTTGTTTTCAGAGTTTGGGGCACATCCAGGAGCAGCTGAGTGACCTCAGAACTCTAGCTGGAGTGAAAACATGGAGAAGTTCATCCAGGAAAAAGGCGCCAGTCCACCAGCAAAACTTTTTATTTGATCCTGTAATGGATGGGAAGACGGTGGAGAGACCATCTTTATGTTGCAGTCAAGAGACAAATTGCTGCTTTTTGAATGAGCTGGAGGCACTGAATTTTGAATTTTGATTGAGTCAGGAACAACAGAAATCAAGACGAAATGTTTTATTCCTCTTCAAACTTTGGGTGAGAGATACCTTAGCAATAAGTTTAAGATTGAGAGAAGCTGGGCCTCAAAGAAAAAATCTTCCCATCAAATCTAGAAAAACATGGTCAAAATAAACACTGAGGCTTTTGGCAGAAGAGGGGATACTCGTGGTTAAAGGGTCAAAAGTGCTTACATCAAACCTTTCAGATTGTCCAAGCTTAGTGACCTTGGTCTTTTTCCCTTTGAGGCTGAAGAAATTCAGACTTATCTATGAGTAAGTGTCACTTTTTAATTTCAGAGCTCAGTTTATGTACTTGATTTTGGCAAAAATATGAAATAAGCTGCCATAATTTTGAAAAACAGATCCCAGGGGCTGCATAGAGAAAATAGGATCAGGCCCTAAACAGACCCTTGAGGTACACCAAGAGTGAAAGTGTCTGTTTGACAGAAATAATTTCCTGGGGGGACTGTCTGTCTGTCTGTCTGTCTGTCAAGTAGGATTGCAAACACCTGCAGCACCATTCAACAACTTACTTAAGGCGACAAGAGGATCATGTTTCATGAAAAGTTGCAATGAACAAACTACAGTCAGATCAGATCAATGAAATCATCTGAAACTTTCAGTGATAATTGGATCCAGAGCATGAAGGTGATTTTGTTATATCTGATCTAACGGTTTTATCAAAGTAAAGTAATATATGATATAATTATATTGCAATACATTTAAGAATATATTTAAAGTAATTCCAAAATCTGTGTTTTTCCCAAGATAGTAGATGGTAAGTCATTTTTCTGTTTAATATCCAGTAAAACCTGTGAACCAGACATCCATTTGATGGTAGTTTTAGGGTGAGGACATACTCCAAATGGCAACAACATTTAACAGGGAACATTTAACAAAAAAGGGAGGACTCACATGCAGAACTAAGAAATGATTTATTAAATAAAAGAGAAACAACAAAAATCTTACTTAAAAAGAAAATGTCCAAACATCCAAATCCAAATATCCAAAAACATAGAGCAAAATTCAAAGAAACAAAAAGGCACTGGGGAAAAAAAACACACAAGGAAAGGAGATCAACTGGGAAAAGACACATACATTGATACTGATACTGATATACACAAGACACAGGTGAAATTTATGGGTGATAAACAAAGGAAGGAAAACTTTGGCGGTAAAACCAGACTAGAAACACAAAGAATCAACTACAACAGAATAAAACAGGAACTAGACACTGGAAACTGATCTAACAAATAAAACACGGAGAACAGAAGGGAAACGGGGTCAAACACAAACTGAAAACTCACAAAACAGGATCACAGGGGAAAAGGAACAATAGGGAACAGAAACACAAAGGAAAATACACAGAAAAATAGATCTAAATAACAAAACTGAGAGAAACTAAAACAACAAGAATCAATCATGAATACGTCTAAATAATAAAACTGAGAAAAACTAACACAACAAGAACCAATCATGACAGTGTGCAACCCAATGCTTTAACTAATAGCACTTATGAAACTAATAAATGACCCAGGAACACCTCTGACACGTCCTACAGTGTGTATTCAGTTCAGTGACACTTGCTGTATTCCCACCTGTGAAACTCACCTTCAAATTTTAAACAATAAGACCTTCTTTTTTACTCAACCATGCAGCATTTTCATTTCTTTCATGCCTGTGTTCAGTCACATTTTATGATCCTGAAGCTCCCACTTTCTAGTTCATGTCTGCATGGTTACTGTATGGTGCACATTCAAACCATCCATCACAGATACTGTCAGTTTGAGGTTGTTTCAAGCCTGAGGCTGTAAGAAAAGAAAAAGTTTCCACATACAGTGTCATGTCTCCTGAATTCCTCTCTGATTTCTGTCCTCCAGACAAACTTCTCGTCCTGACTGTAGCAACCAAAGAGACGGATGGCTTCAGGCGATTCCTGAGGTCAGCCAAACATTTCAACTACACTCTGAAGGTAAGAGTCCGGAGGCTAGATCCTCCCCGCTGTCTAGCCATGAAAGTGTCTCATCTGCCATTACAAAGACAAAAATGAATCCTGTTTTTGGTCAAAGATCTGTGAAAGCCCAATTTCTGTATAAAAATAAGTAAGGAGTTGGGCTAGATGTAAAAAAAGAGGCCTAAAATGTTAGCAGGTAAAAATGATGAGATAAAAGTCAAAGCAATGAGGTAAAAGTCAAATAATGAGGGAGAGAGTCAGAGAAATTTGATTAAACAATGTCGACATTATGAGATTGAAACTGAAAATGATAAGATAATGGGGGGCGGAAGGAGTCAAAACTAAAAGTTACAGTCGAAATAATGAGATAAAAGAGTCAAAATTATGAAAAAGTTGGTTATTAATGTAAGCCAAAAACCATCGACAGAGAGCAGAAGTTATAAAAAACAATACTGGAACAATTTTGAGATTCAGTGACTGTGTAGAAGTCTTTTATATCTTGTAAGTATGACTTTTATCCCAAAAATGAAGACTTTAATGAAGACTTCCATTTTCAGCTGAGTCATAGTTGTTTTTTTTTTGTATGAGTGGAAATTACAGATTTGACCCTTAGCATGACAGTCGACGTTTAAAAATCCTTAACTTTCCCCACAGTGTTAATACTTTTAACCATTTTAACGTCTTGCATTGAAACTGGTATTTAAATGAGTTCACACACCTCTTTGGTTGACCCCCACTGTTTGTAGATGTGCTTTATTTTAGATTTCAGGAGGAATATCTATGAATGACTTGCTTTAAATAGATTTTATTGTGCTTTTAGGTCCTTGGTCGGGGTGAGAAATGGCAGGGAGGCGACTACATGTCGGCTCCAGGTGGAGGTCAGAAAGTTCGACTCCTGAAAGCAGCTCTGGAGGAGATGAAGACTGAGGACAAAATCATCCTTTTTATTGACAGGTAGAGTTTGCACCACACCTGTCAGGAGAGGAGGAGGGAATTACCACCATGGAATCTTTCCAAACACAGCAGATGTGTTTTTATCTTCCAGGCGGTTATTGTTTCCTTGTATACATTTTGCATGAACTTGTCTGCTGCTATTGTTGTTGTCAGTGATCCTGTGGTGTGGTCACGCTCATGTCTCTGCAGGTTGAGTCTGTACGTCTTTGCAGGATTAACTCTGCAATTTGTACTGCCTCCTCCTAACTAATTGCGATGAAACTCACAGAGCTTTGTTTTTCCCTCTGGTTTTTCTTGAGAAGGGGAAAAAAACGCTGTCAGAAATGAAATGATCTCTCGAATTATCTTTTATTTCTTCACTTGTGGTCCCCTCGTCTTTAAGTTGCTGGATGTTTGTCTGAGTGAGTTTTCGGTCACATACCTGAAAGAAAGTCTGAGCTTCAGACATTTTTCATGTTATGTTGTGGGACAAAAATTATGCTAGTGAGCGGTGAGTTTAGAAGTTTTTAAACTTGTTAAAAGGCAGATGCTGACGAGTGTCTGAAGCCGAACAAAGACAAGAATGAAGCTGAGAAGTAGAAGGTATGAAGTTAAGGAGTGTCTGCAGTGAAATGAGAAAGTCGTTTCCATGACACTTTTTTTACACTGCTTAAAGTAGTTCTGTTTTGGTCAACTTCATGTGAGCCCAGGAGATGGTCCTCTTTTATGGAGACCACCATATTTCTATAGCAGCACAAAAAGGACAATCTAGTAACCTTAAGGGTTTAGTAGTTTAAATTAGTAGTTGCACACATTGCAAGAAGAATAAGCAAAGAAGAGAGAGGCTGTTGTTATGTATGAAAAAAGTTTGCACTGATTGTCCTTTTTGATTGTAAAACTTGATAAATAGAGGATCCTTAACATCATGCATCATTAATAAGAGTTTTTATGTCCTTGAAAGCCACCATAACTTCACCAATGTGAGGGGTGAGCAAGGTAGCATTAATCTAGAACCTGATAGACAGTTATTTCTTTATATTTCTACACACCCTGCCTTTAAGTCATGATGGAAACTAGAGGTAATGTTGTGCAAAAGCTTTGCAAATTGATCAAAGGAGATATGCATATATTGTACATTTATAAAGTTTGTTTTTGGTCTGTGTGAGGATGTTTTCTAGTTTGGTAATTTCTGCACAGCCACTAAAACCAAGACTGTTGATCTGTCTGTGATAATATGATTGTTATCAACATCTGTGCAAAAAAAAAAAAAATCTTTTTAATTCCCAGAAATGAGACATGAGTTGCATCCATCCATCTACGTAGCAGCATAATCTCAAATTAAACCATAGAAAATAGAATATTTGTTATTTCTTTTTCTTATTCCATGGTTATATTTATTTTTCACTCTTTTCAAGTAGTTCAGATCCTTTTTTGGTGAATGCTGTTTTGAAAGGAAATATTTCTCTGGACTTGTCAGCTCCATTTAGGCCAAATCAAAACATAGAAGACATTCCTTTTTTTTATTTACAAGAAATAAGATAAAAACACTCAAAAGATTTGAATTTCTGTGTTTTTCTATGAGATTGAGCTGCTGCACAGCTGGGACACATTGCTGTACTATCTAACTGCACGCTTAAAGGTGATGGAAATATTAAAGATTGAAAGGTTTGCTGTAAACATTACAGATGCAAACACACTGAAATAAGAACAGAGTGTGAATTTCTTGTTGTACCAGTAAACAAAACCACCAGCAACTCCACTCTCCAAATGAAGAACCCAGCATCTTATAAATTCAACCCTTTAATTTGATATAACCATGTCACTGGCTTCACACACCACTGAGCCACACGGCACAATAAAGTTTTTCTATTTTCACTCTCTGGTTGACGCAGCTACGACGTGGTTTTTGCCTCGGGTCCCAAAGAGCTGCTAAAGAAGTTCCAGCAGGCCAAACACAGGGTGGTTTTCTCCTCCGAGACCCTGATCTGGCCCGACAGACACCTGGAAGACAAACACCCCCATGTCAGAGAGGGGAACAGGTTTCTTGGATCAGGAGGTACGTCCATCTGTAGTATACATCAGTGCTTCTCAAGGTCTCAAAGAGAGAGCAGTTTTAATCTCAGCAGTATCCTTTGAATCACACTTTGTAATCCCAGCATGCATTTATTTTCCCTCTAAACACTTTAATGTTGCTGATGTGGCTGCAGACTGCTGCTTTAATGATGTGCTACATGTTAGAGAAAAAGGAGCGTGTGTGTTCACTTTTACAGCAGAGGAACAGCAGGTCTGCGGTCTGTAGAGCTCATTAGTCATGGAGGAGGTTTTTTCTCTCTGTGTTCAGATAGATAGAAACAAAATGACAGAGCTTATCTGCACGAAGGAGGAAATAAATTAAGTTTGATAAACACAGACTGTTTCCTCTCGGGGGTTTTCTGTCCTCAGGTTTCATTGGCTTCCTCCCCAACATAAAAGAGATGGTTTCTGATTGGACGGGGAAAGACGACGAGAGCGACCAGCTGTTCTTCACCAAGGTTTTCATTGATCCTGCAAAAAGAGTACGATTTTTCAACTCTGTTTAAGTCTTCAAGTATTGGCTGGGATCAGAGCTGTTTGAATCCTCCAGAGATTAGGATGCACTGGACCATCTTTAAGGAAAGGAGAGAAGGAAAAATGACCCACATGTCTCTGCACCATCTATATTTACAGTTCTTTTTACTTACATGACAACAAACAATCTGCATGAGAGCAGCTGATTTAAAACTGTTTTCATTAAGTCAAGATTCTGATTCATGTGGATAAATATGAAGGAAGAGAAGGGTGAGCTGAGCGTCCTTGTCGATCCGACAAACGTTTAACTTCACCTTCGCCTCTCATAAAATTCTAACTTTTAATAGACCAGTTAAGTATTTGAGTCAGACTGATGTAATTTTGATTTTTCTGTTTTAGAATGAATATTTGATTATATCGTAATAATATATTGCTGCTTTTAGCAACTCAAAACTAAAAAAAAAAAAAAGGAAATTACAAATGTATTAAGCACCAACTCTAAATAAAACCTCAGCCAGCTTTTAATAAAACATTTTCTGACACTTCCATTTTGAAGATTTACAAACACTTTCAGGCTCCTGTAAAGTAAACTCAGCTCTTTCTGCACAGATGTTTTGCATTAAAAGTCTTCCAGTAGCACAGCAGGTATAAACCCTCCTGTTCCTGTCAGCCTTTTAATTTTCCACATGTGCTGCTAGTTTACTGTAAACAGAAGCAGCAGCAGCTTAAAATGACTGAGATTAACCCTAAAGGTAAAGAAACAGACCTTTATTTTGGTTCAAAATGCAGCAAAGCACAATTCTCACTGCTAGCTGTTAACAAACACAGTTTCTAATGCCAAGACTTCACTCACATTAAATCTGAGCTTCATCAATGAATAAATCTCCTTCAAAAGCATAATACACATAACAAAGAAAGTCTACTTTTATTTATGTTTTTGTGGATTTTTTTGTCCCTTTTTCAAACTTTTCAGATCAGATTTGGGGTCTAAAACATGTGGTTATATTTTAATTATGAAACACTGACAGTGTTGCAGTATGGCAACAGTGGAGGAGGCAACTAGAAAGCTGAAGTGAAATGTTTCAGACAGAGGCTAGAGTTAGGGGGTTCAAAAACTAAAAGGGTTTTTAAGCCACAAATTAAGAAAATATTTTACAAGCTCTTAGAAAGACAAAACAAAGCCTGAAAATTAGCAGGAGAACCCTTTTTTTAAATTTGATTTTTGACCTCATCTCCAGCTCTAAAAATCCACCACAGCTGCACCTTATTTTTGGAAGAAAGAAATTATGACACAGTTATTGGTTTGATTTATGATACACCTTTGACACACCCGTGACTGCAGGGCCTTTAACCTGCACTTGGGCTGTTAAAGCATCACTTAGGCATAAAAACACAGAGAGACGAGCTAATGAATAAAAAATAAAGGATTATTCTGCATTTCTTTGGTGCTTGAATTCTGTAAGGAGGTAAAGTGATTGAATAGGTTTAGCCTGAGTGACTTCTGTGGAGTCCAAACACTGTGCCTCTGAGAGTCATGTCTTCAAATTTTCAAACCCGACTCTCCTGCAGTTTTTAAAAATTGTTTCTTCTGTGTTTCAGAAATCCATAAACATCACACTGGACACTAAATGCAGGTTGTTTCAGAACCTTCATGGAGCCCTCGGTGAGTCGACTCTTTGCCTCAGTTTTTCACTTAAAGGAGGACGGAAATTCCTCCAACACACTCATTTTGTTTTACTCTGCTGCTATGTTAGAAATGTTAAGTGCACCCCTCTTATAAATAACACCTTCAGGAGATTGTATGTGTCCTTCCAGCATAAAATGTTGAGCAAACAGGAAAGGCAAGGAGCTCATAGTCACAGTATAACCTGATGAATGCTGCTGAAAACATCCTGTGCTGTAAATTTTCCCTCAACATTAAAATGTTCTGGAGGTTTTTTCAACTGTTTAAGGTACAGCATGTCCTCCTGTTGGGATGGAAAACCACACAAGCTACAAATGTGTCAGAAAACACAAACAGGAAAACCTCCTTTACCTCCTTAACATAAATAATGTCTGATGCATTAACACAGAAACGTACAGAGGAGTTAGACCTCACAGGCTGCACAGCTGACTGATTTAAAGTCTCTGTGATTCAGGCAGGGCGGCACGTTTAGACTTGAGCTGAACTGTCCTCGATGTCGGCAGCATTTTTTTTCCCTCTGAGGCCGAGGGAAGAATTTATGAGTTGTCTGTTAGGAGGAAGTGTCAGAGCTCATAGAGACGACAGTGAGAGTCCAGACGAGCTCTCTGAGACCCCTTACCTCCCTCTCTCTTTTGCAGCCTCCTCTCATTGTAGTGTTAAAGCAAAGTTGATTAGGGTCAGCCTCCTCACCTTAGTCTCCTGAGATTTTTCCTCCACACTGAAGCATGATGGGATTAACCTGTCACAACCCCTCAGGCTGAACATTTGACATGATTGTGTGTTTTCAGATGAGGTGGTGCTTAAGTTTGAGGATGGACGAGTTCGAGCCAGGAATGTGCTGTATGACACTCTGCCTGTCATCATTCACGGCAACGGACCAACAAAGGTAAAGACCTAAAAACCCACTGTAACCAATCAGTGCTGACCTTAGTGGACTGATGCACACTCATTGCATGATCCATCCTCTGACACCGGTGTTGTTTTAGTCCCCAATCCAGACTGAGACATGATCATTTTAAAGATACAACACTTCTGTGTGTTTCACTCGTATTATTGATGTTTGTTTTTGTTTTTATATGGGACTGGGGATGGAAATTAGCCGCTTGGCTATAATCCTATGCATGTACATGTAAATGTTCTTTAATGCATATTGTCACATTAAAAAAAAAAAACTAAATCCTTACAAATGTATTTCCAGCTCCAGATAAACTACCTGGGGAACTACATCCCAAACACTTGGACCTTTGAGACAGGTTGCGCGGTGTGTCAGGAGGAGCTCCGCCCACTTACAGCTCTGAAGGTTTGAGCATAAAAAGATCAGATTTTTAGTTTTTTGCAAGATTTTGATGTTTACAGGGTGTTTTTTTTAATATAATTACTATCTCCAATCTTAGATCAATCTTTCTGTTTCCCCTTTATTCAGGAGAGTGAATACCCAATGGTGGTGATTGGCATCTTCATTCATCAGCCGACTCCCTTCGTCACCGTGTTTTTTGAACGCCTCTTGAAGCTCCAGTATCCAAAAGACAGACTCAAACTCTTCATCCACAGCCAGGTATGATTTAGGACAAAAACTTAATCCAGCTAACCCTGAAGTGTTTATTCTGGACCTGTTAGAGCCAAAACATGACCAGACCCAAATATATTTAAGTACTTTGATCATGAATTAACATGATCTTTAGACGCTTTACTCTGGATGAGTCACAAAGAAAACTGTTTTTAGGCTACATTCATGAATCACAGAATTTTCCATTTATATTTTCATTTAAAGGCTGCTGTAGTGACATGAGTCATAATTGTAGAGCCAGAGTTTATGTTTGGATGATGTCTGCTGCTCTGTTTATTTAGTCTAATCCTCTCTTACCTGCAGGAACCTCATCACCAGCCTCAGGTCAGCTCCTTCCTGAAGGATCATGGGAGTCTTTATCAGGATGTTAAGGTCATTGAGCCTGAGGAGGCGGTAGACGGAGCCGAAGCACGAAACCTCGGCATGTGAGTCCCGAAGGACCCCACATGAGAGAAAACCTGAGAGCAGCTTATAGAGTTTCTTCTTTAAAGTGCTCCACAAGCAATTATTGTCTCTGTGATTATTATAAAAAAAGTCTCTTTTTCTTTTAGGGACATGTGCCGACAGGACAAAGAATGTGACTATTTCTTCAGCATGGACATTGAAGTGGTCCTAAAGAACGAGGACGCACTGAAAATACTCATCGAACAAAACCTGTGAGTAAATTCACCGACGCTAGATCATTGATGAAACACCTGTTTTTGCTTTTCTAATTAGTTAGTTCAGCGTGTTTGGCCATGAGCAGAAACATTAAAACTTCATTTTTGTCCTTCAGTCTTGTCATAGCTCCGATGATAACTCGGGTCGGTCGGTTGTGGAGTAACTTCTGGGGCGCTCTGAGTGCAGAGGGATACTACGCTCGCTCTGAGGATTACGTGGACATCGTCCAGGGACGCAGAGTGTGAGTTAACGTTATCCTTAAAGAGCCGTGAAGACTTTTTCTTTTCTTTCTGTTTTTCTTTTTGAAAAACTTCCTCTTTGTGTCTTAAAAATAACCCAACAATAAAAGGAAGGAATTCAGCTTTACATGTAGTGGAAGTTTGATCATGTGAACATCTGTGCAGCAAATATTTAACAACAGCAGCTAGAGAGAACAAGATTTGACAGTAAATGTCAATGAAAATGATTAGTGTGTCTGTATATCAGATCACAGGCTGAGCTGCTTCCTTTGCTCCTCACATTGTTTAGGTGTTATAGTGTTGATTGTAGACTATAATATTGAAGTTAACTGATGTTGTGTTTCAGGGGTGTGTGGAACGTCCCGTACGTGTCCAGTGTGTACCTGGTGAAAGCCAGCGTCCTGAGATCAGAGCTCTCAGAGTTTGAGCTCTTCACCTCACAGATCTTAGACCCTGACATGGCGTTCTGCCACAACATCCGCAGCAAGGTCAGGACCAGGAAATAGTCACACTACTAATTTATTATTCATCTCTTTTTCATAATCTATCAGATTATTGGTCCGCTTCTGTGTTACTATGAATTAAAATTTCCCGTTATGATATTTGACTGTTGTGTGTCTTTGTTTCAGGGAGTCTTTATGTTTGTGACCAACATGCACACGTTTGGTCGAATCCTGTCCACAGATAACTACAAGACCAACCATCTTCACAACGATCTGTGGCAAATCTTTAATAATCCTGTGGTGAGATTTACATTTACTGACAAGTGTTTATCTTTCCATCAAAAAATGGTCAGGGATTATTTTTTTGCTTTTTTTTCCCCCGCTGCTTCCTCTGCAGAATTTTAGCCTCTTAGCAGTTCAGGGTCTTCTTTTTGGTGTCATGATGCTCCAAATGTTTTCAATGGGGGACAAGTCAGGACTGCAGGCAGACCAGTTTATTAGCAGGACTCTTGAACTCTGATGATCCCCTAACCATCAGGGATGCTGGCTTTGAACTGAAAGCTGAGAACAAGATGGGTTGTCCCCCCTAAACTTCTGAGCCAAAGACCCTGCATCCATGATTTCCAAAAAGAATGTCAGATCTTAATTTTAGCAGCTTTACACTTCAACTTAGTCCTTCTTTTTATGAATACACTGATAAACTGTGTTCACAGACAATGGTTTTTGGAAGTGATTTTAGGCCATGCGGGGATTTCCACTACAGAGTCCTGTCTGTTTATAATGCAGTGCTACCTGACGGCCTGAAGATCAGGACCATCCAGTCTTGGTTTTTTGTCCTTGTCCCTTTTGTACAGAGATCTTTCTAGAGTATCTTTTAATGATATGATGTACTGCAGATGATGAACTCATTCTTTCACATTTCACACTCGGAGACATTATTCTGAAAATTAAAAACTTTTGTTAATCATGAGACTTGTGCTTTTCCAAAACTGAGAAGAGTGTGTGTTTGTTTCAGGACTGGCAGGAGCGATACATCCATGTAAACTACACAAACATGATGAAAGACAAACTCGTAGAAACTGTGAGTATAAACATGAGTCGACTCGCCACTCTCACATGTTGAAACTTCACAGTTTAAATCCTGGTGACTCTGGTTGTAATAGAGATGTCCTCTGTCCTCAGCCGTGTCCTGATGTTTACTGGTTCCCCATTTTCTCTGATATTGCCTGCAACCACCTGGTTGAAGAAATGGAGAATTTTGGGAAATGGTCAGGAGGAGGAAACACGGTACGTATTTAACATCTGCAAAAGAAGCTTAAATTTCAGCGTATATACGGTGAGGAAGACATTAGAATATTGTGTTATCCTCAGTTACATCTTAAAAAAGTGTTTTATTGCATATAGAGCGTTTAGTAGAAGCCAGTTCTCATATCCAGGGCTGCAGCAGATGATAGTTTTTATTTTTCATCTTGTGCTTAAGGACACCAGAATCCAGGGCGGCTATGAGAACGTCCCCACGATTGACATTCACATGAACCAAATCAACTTTGAGAAAGAGTGGCACAAGTTTCTACTGGAGTATATTGCACCTGTGACAGAGAAAATGTATCCTGGATATTACACAAAGGTAAGACTTCTGAGCAGCAACAGGGAGAGTTGAAAAAGCTGATTTGTTGTGTTAGAAATAAGACTTCTGAGCTACAATGAAATCTGAATAACCGTTCTTGCTAATCTGAGGTACAATATTAAACATTTCTGTTAGGGCTGTCACAATATTACAGTATTTACGGTAACAAGACTTTCAGAATAATGTGCAAAAAGAAACAGCTTTTATTAACTCTGTGTAAAGTAAGAAAGTGCTTCATAGTGGGGGGGCAGTTATGGTTTTTCATGCTGGTTACCATCTTCTATAAAAGAGGGAAATGAAGGAGCAGCCCTCTGAAAAAGGGTTAGACACTTTAAAAACTGATGTTCCAGATTTAGTGTGAATACAAAAACAACAGGAGAGCATATGCTTCTTTAAGAGCGTAAAGACAATCAACATTTATGCTTTCTAACCATCCTTCTAGCTGTTTTCATTTACTACAGTAACTTATGATTCACAGGGGTATTGCTTATTACATTTCAAAATAAAAGCATTTTTGCCTTTACTAGATAGGACAACTGAAGAGAATAAAAAAGGCTGAGAGGAGATAGTGGGAGAAGACATGCAGCAAAGCGTTGTAGCCATGAACTGAATCAGCAGCAACTGCGACAAGGACCATTAGGCTATCAGCACCCTGTATGAGATTCTTTTTACAGTGCCGTGAATAAAGCAAACTAAATGAAAGATAATCAGCATATCAGAGTAAAAGCATTCAGACAATCTTTTTATAGGATGGACGATTACTTACACATTTAAAAGTAAGATGAGATTTTGAGAGTTAAAGCTCCTGTGAGGAACTTTCTGTTTGTGGGTGTTTTGCTGCCCCCGGGTGTACGAAGCTGTTCTTGCTTATTTTGTCCTTCACATGCTTCAGAAGTGTCATCTGACCAAAAAACTCACCCCACTGACCTTTTGACAGTCAGATGCACCGTAAAAACAGACTGTTCCTTCAGCTGCTTGGCTAAAAAATGTTTGATTTTCTGAACTTCTGTTGTAGTTTTATGAGGAGATGTCTCTCTAAAGAAGTCTGTGTTATGGGTCGGGTGATTCGAACGAAACTTTGAACATCTTTAGAAACGGGCAATGAGGAGAAAGGACATCAGGCATGTTTATTAGGAAAGTTTATGAAAGGTTATTATGTATCACGTCACAGTTGTCTTATATTTCTATTTGACTGATTCTGTCATTTTCTAAGTTTTGCATATGTATTGTGATAATAGAGAACTTTCTGGCAAAGATAATCATGACATAAAAATGTAATATAGTGACAGCTCTATTTCCAATAATATTGATACTTGTTGTTATCTAAATCTCCTTGTTTCTCATGTTTGCAGCTCTTTCCTTTTTTCACAGATTGACTTTTCTTGAGTGCTTTTTCTACATTTACAGGGGTGCAGCAGCTTCTTACAAACCAGCACATCTGGAGTTATTTTAGATGCAGAAGTAAAAGATTTTATTCTTGAGATGGTGGTGCAAAAATGTCAAGTTTAACAGCTGATCAGAGACTGACTGTATGTAAGACTGATACTCTGAAAAGAAAACAGATTGAGTGTGTGATAGAAGCTTTTGATCTAGAGTATAATATAAAATATGAATCAAACAACATTAAAAGCCCAAAAACTGAATAAGGAAAGCTTAAAAGAAGCTGTTTCTTTTTAAACTAACAGTTAAGTCGCCCCCTGCTGGCTGTTCAAAAGAATACAGGCTTTATTCGGCTACTCTCACTTCTTATATACAGCCTGTTTTATGAAAAATTGCGCTGTTTTACTTTTAATTATTGTTAAATGAAGCAGAAACCTGCAGTTGGGATATGAGGTGTTATCTCAGACCACCTGGACATTGAAAGAATAAACAAATGGATGTAAAGATAAAGATAATCTCACAGTAGCAGCGGCGGCCCCCTCCCTGGTTTTCCTGCTGCTCCCTGTTTGCTCCTCTGACCATCATGTCTTCTCTCATCAGTGTTCGACTCCTCTGAATTTTGTGGTGAGGTACAAACCTGACGAGCAGCCGCTGCTCGAGCCTCACCACGACGCCTCCACATTCACTATTAACATTGCTCTCAACAGGAAAGGCGTTGACTACCAGGTAAATGTGGAGGTGATAGGCTGACGGAGATGATGGTATTAATGATGATGATGATGATGCAGGTGATCTTCACTCCTCTCTCTGCTTCTCTGCTCCGTCTCTGGATGAACTGAATGCTGGAGCGGGATCGAGCTTTTCTCTATGAGCAGGATCTGTGAGGGCGTTCGTGTGAACACACTCTCTGTGTCTCAGTGCAGTTTCTGTGCGAATGCTTGCATGACTCCTTTCTGTCTGTGTTTGCAGGCTCAGTTTGACTTGGCCTTTGTAGTTAGATATAAGCCAGATGAGCAGCCCTTTTTGAGACCGCACCATGACGCCTCCACATTCACTATAAACATTGCACTCAATCAAGTGGGACCTGATTACCAGGTGAGTGTTTGTAGACATTTCAAACAGGTAGACTTTGATTACCACATCCTACAGGAACACGAAGGCTTTGTTCAGACTGCAGGTCCCTTTATGGCAGACACACAGTTTCATTAGAGAGTGAACAGAGTAGATATAAGTGTCCAGACTTCACTGCCTGTCTGCAGGGGTTGTCATTGTACCTGCAAGTATTTGTTAAATGCAGATGCTTAAGGCTTGGTGTAACCCACAGACTATCTGACTGTTAAGCTGCTCGGCAAAACTCACTTCTCGGCTCTGTTATCAGTTGGTGAACAGCAGGAAAATGTTGAAAAGCTCCTGTTTGATGCACAACCAAGAGGGCGACGACCTGAGACCTGAAGACTAAGTCTGCATGGTGTCTGACTCAAACTATTGAGTCTTTTAAAAGACAATAAAACAAGGTTTTTGCAGGAAGATTGAGAAAACTGTACAATCCTGCTTATTATATTTCTCAACAATTTTCAGAGGTTGATGCTAAACTTAGGTCAGGCTTGGTTCTGATTTGTTTGTTTATCAAATATCTCCATCAAATGGATGTAAATGAGCCGATTCCTCTAAGAAAGACCAGGCTAAGAAAGAGAGAAACAGTGAAAAACTGACAGTAATGAGTTTATAACTGAACTCTTCCCAGACAGATTTGGATATGACTAAAACGAGATTTGAACTTGCAGTCTGAACAAAGCTGTTATCCCATTTCTCATGAAGCTGAAAATCTACTTTAAAATGTACATTTTGATGTTAAAACAGCTCTTAGCTTTGAGGAAGCATGATGCTGCCATGAGAGTCATATCATTGAAAATGGATGCCATCATATCTCTGGCATGTACAAACTCATCCGTGGTGTTTCAAACTTTCTATTTGTGTCATCTCTTTGTTTGTGAGTCTGTCATCTTTGCATGACACATGAATCTGAAGCTGAGGAATCCTTTTTTTTTAAATGTTGCGTCTATGTTTTTCCCTGCATCTGTAATGAAGTGGACTAATCAGAGGATAGACCAAAACTAGAACTGGTTTGAGTTATATTGTCCATTTAATGAAAAAAAAAAAGACTTCTTCAGTTACTTTTATTTAAAGCAGTGTTTGATTTTCAGGGTTTTGTCCTCAATAACTTAGTTTTATGAGCAGCTGAGTATTTTTACATACCACATGATATCCTTCTAGTTTTCCAGATAAGTCTCTAAAGCTACAAATCTTGGGGACTGGTTTACATTGGCAGCCTTTTTTCCACTGCAGGACCTTCACAGCCTTTGAGTCATGGTTTCTTTAGAAAGACTCTTTTAAAGCTTTGGCAGTCAGAATAGTAATAACACCTGTAAAAACAAAAAACTCACTGGACTTTATCATAGATGACTGTTGCAACAGATTTCAGGAGAGCTAGGACACAGTGCGAAGTGTTGATAAATACTTTGAAGGTTTTGAGTCAATCAAATAATCCAAAGCCTATATTTAATTGGAAATAGTGCAAAGGGAACATATCAAATGTTGAAACTGAAATGTTTGTATTGTTTTGTTAAAAATGTACAGATAGTAGAAAAGAGAATTAGGGTGACAAGAAGAGAAAAAATAATTACAGGAGGGAGATTTTTTTCAGTTTGAGATTAAAGTCGAAATTTCGAGGTTAAAGTTGAAATTTTAAAAAGTCGAAATTTTGACTTCACTCATTTCAACTTCAATCTCGAAATTTTTGACTTTAATCTCAAAATTTTAATTATTTTGAATCCCTTATTTCGACATTATTCACGACAATTTGACATTTTGTAATTTCAAAATTTTGACTTTAATCTTGAAATTACCATTTTTAATCTCAACATTTTTATTTTTTTAACTTCAAAATTTCAACATTATTTATGACATTTCAACATTTTGTAAACTTGAAATTTTGACTTTAATATTGACATTTCATTTTTTAATCTCGAAATTTTGACTTTATTGACGTAATTTCGATTTTTTTAATCTCTAAATTTCGATTTTAGTCTTGAGATCTCCTTCCTGTAATTATTTTTTTCTCTTTGTGTGGCCCTAATCCTCTTTTGTTGTATATTGATGTTGAATTAAACACAGCAACATTTTTCAAGAAGTATAGTACAGGGAGACAATGAAGCAGACAAAAAGTGTCATGTTAAAAAAGAAAGAAAGAAAGAAAGAAAGTTACAGCCGGAGGAACATCTGCTAATTACTGAAGTTATTGTCCAACAGGTTAGTAACATGACTTGGTATAAAAAGGACATTCAGAGAGCTGAAGAATATGCTGAACAATATCTACAGGTCATCTGCTGCCATCCAGATGAGGACTTTATCAGGAAAGACCTTCATATTTCAGCAAGACAATGACAAATCAGGCTTATCTTTTTGTCTGTAGGGTTTTCAAAATAGGGGATGAGATAAAGTTTCATTTGATGACTTCATAACCCCTGAAAGAGGACTCCAATTAAAGTTTGAGAAAAAAGTTTGCTCCTGCAGTGGAAAACAAAGTGATCCTAAATGAAGTTGTCAGTGAAACTCACCTGTGTGGTAGATCTTCAGTTAACCAATGATGTGTTATGGCTGCAGGGAGGAGGATGCAGGTTCCTCCGCTATGACTGCTCCATCTCTGCTCCTCGTAAAGGATGGGCCCTCATGCACCCGGGCCGCCTCACCCACTACCACGAAGGCCTGCCCACCACCGGCGGCGTCCGCTACATCGCAGTGTCCTTTGTGGACCCATGAGCTCACACAGACAGACCACATCACTGACAAGTCCAGACTGAACAGGACCTACACAGACCACACCAAGCAGCATAACCAACCCCTGAACTCAGATGTGGAGTGGTGACCCATTTCTCTGATAATTGGACTCTATTGATGCTCAGAATTAAGTTTCAGGCAAAAGTCTCTGAATGTTACAGCTATTTTAAACAAAGAAAACATTTATATTTGTTCACACATGGAATCTCTAAACAATTCAGCTTTTCACGGTTTCCTCAGCAATCAAGCGGTCTTTGGCCGCCCAGGTATCTGAGAAATAAAACCCCTTTAGTTCTAGCTGTTTTCACAGATACTCTTTGTTGCTGGTTTTGAATCCACCTGTTTGGTCTGGAGAGTGTGATGTGTGTTTGATCCTGTTGTGCCTTGAGCTGGACTTCTCTCAGGAAATCATCAGGAGTTCAGAGTAGACTTTTTAAAAGGACATATTTGTGAAAAGACTTTTTTACTCTTCAGTTACACGAACGTAACATTTTTATTTCTGTGCCCAAAGTGGTTTTTCTCTCATGCTTTTAGACTTCAACACTCCAAATACTCTGTTATTTATTTTTTGTGTTTTATGTGATAAAACCAAAACTTCTTGAGATAGTTTTTTAGATTGAGACATTTTTACTCTGAGATTTCATATTGGAATCAGAGCTAACCTTTTCTTCACTGCTCACTGATGTTTGTCATTTTCTATAAGAGCTTCATCCTTGCAGTTTTTATTTAGTTACAAGCCGTCACTGTGCTTTAAACACAACTCAAATAAAACAGTAAAACCAACTCAAGTGTATCTGAACTGTGATTTTTTGTCATTTCTTCACCTCAGTTAACAGAAACCTGTCTGTCCTTGCACTTGATCTTACAGCAGCTGAAATACCCTGTTGAAAAACACACACAAAAAAAACATCTCAGCTAATAATGACTATGTTAGAGTTTTAAGACAATTTAATTCAATTTAGTTTAAAAGCTTTTATTGGCGTTGGAAAAGTGTTTACATTGCCTGAGAAATTGCAAGATGAAAACAAAATAATCTCAGGAAATGAAGTGTTCTTGGTAACAGGTTTTTATGTCAAAACACTTTAAAAAGAGACAGATAGAAAAAGAAGAGGAGAGAGAATATACAGCAAGAGGTTAAATCTAAAGCTCCATTCAGAAGAGAGATAAAAGCAGAGCTTCAGTCAATTCAAACACATGTCTATTTACAAGATCACTGCCAGGTTTCTGACAAACAGTGAAAAAGAGAAAACAGTTCAAGGGCTTCTGCCTAAAAACATTAAATGAGAAAAAAAAAAATGTTTAAAATAGTAAATAAGCTGGTTTCTACAGCGGGGAGGGGGTCAGGGTAATCACAAGCGGAAGCGGTCAGAGAAGTTCGGTGACTGGGGAACTGTGAGAGGAACTTCACTCTTCTTCAGAGCCACAGGTTTGTAGTGTCTGATGGGTTGTGCCTTATGAACCTGCGGAACAGAAAGATCATTCAGACTGAAGCTGCCGCTGGAAACAGGTCTGTTCAAGAGTCACCAAGTAAAAAAAAGTAAAGATTCAAAGGCCTCACTGGACCTAAACCAACACGGAGACTGAGCTTCAATATTTTCAGTTCAGGCAGGAAGCGAGTGCAACTGTCATAAAGGATGCTAATGCAGTCCAAGAGGTATATGTGATGAAAAAGATGCACCATGGCGACTATAGCAGACAAAGAGGCTGTGTTAGGCAACCAAACAGTGCTTCCTTATCTTACTTCCAGATTCAGTTAATAAGCTACAGAGATGCTTCAATAAAGTGTTGATTGATTTCTTGAATGGGAAGTAGAATGTAACGAAAAAGATAATATGACTTAATAAACCTTGGACACAAAAATATTTCAGCAGCAACCTAAAAAACTGTTAATTTTGAGTAAGGTTGGCAGTAATTTAACAAACTGATCAAATATCTTGAATGACATGAACCTCCCTCTGAAAGAATTTTTCATTCACCTGTTCTTGCCGCAGCCTGGCGATCTCCTCCTTCTCCCTCTGTTCCTCCTCTCGTCTCTGGTCTTCCTCCATCAGCGCCCTGAGAGCCTCCTTCTCGCTAGCCTGCCGCTCGTACTCCTGTCGCTCCCGGGCCCTTCGCTCCGTCGACAGCTCGAAGGCCTCCATCACTGTGGAAGAGCAGATGCCTTCTAAAGAGTGCCGCAACCGAGTGTAATGAAGGCAACAGGAACACAGTGAGTGTCACACAGCTACAGGGTGCTGCAGCCTCAGCAGCAGAGAGCTGAAACACTCGACAGGGGCGCGTTTAAGTCCTTACACACTGTTGGAGCCATTTAATCAGCATGCAAAGAGCAGGGCTTGGACAGATAGATAACTGCAATCTAAGCTGAGACCACTGCAAAGGTATCACATAAGTCAGGGTTCCTACATAGTTGGAATTTCCATATCCTACTTTTAAGAAGTATATTTGGAAATACTTACTTTCCTGTTTTAGAAAACAGTATTTTAGAACTGTGGCCAAAGTCTGGAGACAAATATTTTTCCATACTTTATTTTTCATTTACAATACTTTTTAAGACCTGAAAATTGATCAAATTTATTTCCATACTTGCGTAGGAACCCTGACAAGTGATATAGAATTCAAAACTGTGCACACATGCAGAAATTTGTTGAATCATTTTCATTTCAAAGTAGATAATACTTCTCCTAGAGTAACCTGGCCACACTCCGGTAGAAGAGGTGTATTTACCCAAACACTGTGACAACACAGATCGCATAAATGTCAAATCGTTCAAGATCAGAACTCTGGATTCAGTTGAAGCCGAAATTACAATCCTGTTCTGTTTGGACTCCAAACAGGGGAAAATACTGTATCTTTGGCTTCTGGAGAAGCTCATTAAATATTTTTTTTATTTTTCGACATGAACATAAAAAAAAACAATAAGCCTGCTGTTGATTTTTTGTAGATTTGTAACACAAATATTCCAGATAAGCTCTCTTTCAGGCTTTTCCAAGGCTTTGGCATGAAGCTTTCCTTCATCAACAAAATTCTACTTTTTGCTTTGGGTACTTCAGGGCTCAGTGTTGTATGTCAAACCTCTTACCTGCCATTGTGCGGCTCTCCTTTATAGGCTGGAAAGGTTCTTTATGAGTAACAGTGTTTGGTCTTGCTTTGAATACTGTGGCTTCCTCTCGTTGCTTCTGCTCCTCTTTTACCTACAAAAGATAAAGGATTCAGCTCAAATTCTGAGGTACGGACTGATTCGTACAGAAAAACTGTTCCCATTTGTTTCGTTGCATACCATCTGCTCCCAGCGGCTGTTCTTCACCGCTCCCCGCTCGTCCAGGCGCAGTCTGAACGGCTCTGGCTTTGTGGGCTCCAGCTTCTTCTTCTCTGGGAGACTCACAGAGTCAAAGTCTGGCAAAGGCTGGGCCTTAAACTGTGGAACCTGGACAACGACAAAGAAAATGTGACTCGGTTGTTTTAACTTTATTCAGACTTTGAGGGACAAAAGCCTTGAAAGTGTGACCCCACCTCTTCATTTCTCATCTCCTCCAGCCTCTTCTCTTTCAGCGCCCTCCTCTCTCGTTCTCGCTCCTCAAAAGAGAAAGGACAGACCTCCACTTGGTGGTTCTCTTGGAGTTTGGGCTGGAAGGGGAGGCCAAAGTGAGGCACTGGGGGGGCTTTGATTGGTGATGGCCTTTTCACCTTACAGGAAAAAAAAAAAGACAAAGTTAAGATATGGACATGAATATGGCTGGGTGGAGATCTGCGCTATAACCAATAATTCATGCCAGAACAGTCATTACCTCCTCTACTTTGGGTGCTACATGAATCCTCTTCTTGAGGGCGAAAGCTGGAGACTCTGGCACTGTTGGGGGCAGAACTTTCTTCTCTGGTAATCCCTGTTATATGAGTACAAAAAAAAATTGAATTTTTTAAAGAATAAGGGTTCAGACTGCTACAGCTAGCTTTGATACTGATTTGAAGGGTTTAAACTCACCACCACTCCCTCTAAGATCTTCTTGGGCAGAGGCTGAGACTTGAAGATGTGCTGCTTCTCTTCACCCTCCTGAGGTTTGGTGGATTGTCTCTCCTGGAGCCTCTTGTCAATCTGCAGCTCAAAGCCTTCAGGTACAGTTGGCTCCTTCACTGTTGGCTTCTTAAGACCTTCGACACCCTCCAGAATCTTCCTGTTCAGCTCCAACGCCTTGAATTTAAACCTGTGGTTAAAACAAAAATGTTACACTGATTCTCCGTTTTCACTCTACGGACCTTGAGGCGTGGGGTATTAACTTGCATTGATAGAGTGCATAATTTAATACAACCCCAATTTCAAAAAAGGATTGAGAGGCTGTGTACAATCTGTATTTAAGATTGTCTAACACGGGCTGGGTCTGGAGAGGTCGCTGATTTGTGTCCTGACATTTCTGACCATTAGCAGCACAAGACTAGAGCAAAGGTACTAGAGACTTTATGCGGTTATATTTATGGAGAACTGACCCTTCATGGAAAAAACGAAAAAGTAAAGTTGGTTGCTCAAATTCAGTGACTTCAGGAGCAGAGAGGATAAACTCACTTGTTCAGTTTCTCCACCTCTTCGGCCTCCAGCTCAGCGCTGCTCTTTACTGTTGGTGCTCGGCTCCTCTGGTTGGTCAGCAGGTGAGGGGTGTGAGGCTGGGTGAGTTTCAGGTGGTCACCCTTCACGGGGGATGGCCCTGAAGAATCAATAAAAAATGATTTAAGGCATGTATTTCACTTACACCTGACAGAGAGCGTGCACAAAAGAGGAAGATATTGTGTTCAACAGACAATCATCTCCCTCTCACCTCTTGCTTGACTTCTGCGGCTGCGCAGATGGTAGCGTTCAGGAGTTCGTTTCTGGAACTGCGCGATCTGCTGAGCCATGGGCACGTAAGCCCCCTGCTCGTCCACCTTCCTCTTAGTGCCTGTTGACAGGTTGAAGGGTTTGGGTACTGTGGCACCTCTCGGAGCCTTTGCCTGGATGATACAATATAGGGAATCAGTTGGAATCAAAGCTGTGCCATTAGGCTGGGAAACCTAAGATTATTTCCCCTCTGGATTAATCCTCATCTCCGATTTTAATTAATGTTATCCACCCAGACTACAGTCTTAACTCTACATTTAAATTACTCACTGGAGAGGCAGGTTTGCGAAGCTGGGAGACAAAGTCCACATCCTTGTGAGCTGTGCTGGATGAAGCGGCCGTCTTGGAGCGAGTGTTTGTATTAAAGTGGAACTCTTTTGGCACGGTTGCAGAAAGGATCACCTTCTTTGGTAATGGACCTATAACAGTCATGAAGTGAAGTTAAACAACCAGGAAAATACTGAGCCTTTACATGCTCTTCAGTCAGCACATCGATAAAACCTGTCTCCAAGTAGTTTCCCTAACTGACAGATAATCACCTCCAGCCAAAGCAGCTTTGTAGTTGGCCTCATTCTTCTTGCGATGCAGAGCGACTTCCTTCTGCAAGTTCCTGATGCGCTCCAGCTCCTGCTCTTCAGAACTGGCTGGCCTGTGTTGACACAGAGAGGAGCAAAAACACACCTTTTAGTGGGTTCCCAGTCTCCAAAAGCAGAAATGCCTACTCCCCTCGTAACATGATGCTGTGAGTGACATGTTTGTCTGCTAGCCCTCGACTCACTCAGTGTTGGAGGGTGTTGGAGCTGCTGTGCGGGGAGCTGCAGCAGTCCTGGTGTTCATCTGCCCGGTCCTGCGCCGCCCATTTGTGCTTCTTCGGGTCGGCTGAGCAACAGGACTCCTAGAATTAACAGCAACAGTTAGAGGATAGGTCCAGAGAACTCGGAACGAACAGGAAAGCATCTTGTACATTCAACAGCACATTCACATCACTTACTTTTTCTGTTTCTTTAGAGGTGGCGCAGCCTGAGAACTTGATTTACGTTTTAAAACCCTAAAATAAAAATTGGGGGGGGGAAAAAAAGATTCAATCAAACCACAAATTGAAATGATTAAGTTATTGCTCCACAAAGAATTGATCCTGAAACAGTCATGATGAAAATCCACAGCAAGTTTTTCCTCCTTATGGGCTTCATCTTTTGAACTCTGTTTTTGCTCAAGTTTTTAAGCACCAGAGTTTAGACATAACCCTGAACTACAGACAAAATGATACTGCGATTAAATGAACTGCTATTAAAAGGCTTCGAAATGTCTCCGTTAATCATTACACTGAGTTTTGGGTGTTAACTGAACTGCTTTCAATGTTCTGTTTTCTAAAGCAGTAATTTCTTTAGATTCTGCAAGAGCCTCACAACGAGCTCTGTCGTCAGTCAGCCTTTGCTGTGTCAGTGCATGGTTTAACAGGCAGTACAGAAGCGCCAAAATCCAATTGATTAAAACGTCAGAATTCAACCTAAGATTTGACCTTGCATGGCTCTAAGCTAAGACTTGTAGAGATTTGGTTTTGTGGAAAATAAAAAGATGTCCTTTTCCAAGGGTTAGGGAAAATTAAGAATTTAACTCAGTATTCCTTCAAGAAGAGCCAAAGTTTAATGGTGCAGCTGAATTTCTGGCAGCCCACAGGTAGACTAACTATATCTAAAGCTCACAGTTACAAAATACATCATTTTCACTGAAAGCAAACATTTCCCCTTGAGTATACCTGCATGGTTGGGCAGGGGGCTGATTTGAACTCTTCGTTTTTGGCCGGGCTCCATTGCGAGCAGGAGACGCACCACCCCATGATGTGACCAGGTTTGGAGGTCGAGCTGTGGAGGCACTGGGCTCTGCAATTGATCATTCCATATGAGTTTGTGCTACCCGAGTTGAGGAAACGTTTCACTAAAATAGAATTAGACTAAATCAATGTGCTCAACAACCACTATGATTAACACACAGGAGCCTTTTGGGATTATCTTTCAAGATTTCACCACTTCTTCCCTTTTACCAACAGAAAATAACCGTGTTCCGGCACAAACAAGGAAATATGCACATAGCAAAGAAAACTAACCAGGGGCAACATCTCTCTTGACTTGAGGAGTGACGATGGCCTTGGGTAGGTTAAGAGCATCACTTCTCATAAAGTGGCGGTCAACTCCTGGTGTCAGAAGGGAATTAGCCACCCCAGCCTGTTGTTCTGCAAGCAAGAGACACAGAGAGATGATGATGGCTTCCTTTTACAGTTTTTTTTTTTAAGAGTTACTCTCAGTGAGGCAGTCTTTGATATCACTTTAAATCTATTTCATAATCATTTAGAATCACCAGTCATTCAAAAATCAAAGCAATCTACCACATAAAGCCCATCAAGATAATCTGAACGGATTAGAGGAAAACTAAAAAAGTAGGTGAACAGGAGAAATACTCTCTAGCATTAAACAGAGAAGCATGCTGATGGTAGCAGTAACAAAAATGTAGGCACTTATTTTCAAAAGCACTTTGAAGGGTCATGATCGTTTGAGCAATGTTAGATATTTCAAGAAGAAAAAGTCTGAAGGAAAGACTGCCAAAGGACTGCTTTAAACAATCAACCAATCAGTCAATCACTTTATTTGTAAAGCACTTTTCATCCATAGACTTGTATCACAAAGTGCTGTACACAAGAAGGAGAGGATCAGGACACACAGACAGACACACACACACACACACACTCTCACAACCATTGGGACACCAAGTCAGGGCTCAACAGGAAGCCACAGAGGACCAAGGAAACGCTATCTTAAACTAAAATGGGGAAACACTGGAGCTGAAGCTAAACTGATAAAACCATGACAAGACATAAAAAATTAAATAAAAATAAAACAAATAAAGCTCTACTGGGCTCATGTCGTAAAAGCAAATCAGATAAATAAGGAGGACCAAGACCATTAAGACTAGCCTGGCCGGGCCATCCTGTTGCGTGAATCACTTGATGTTCCTGGTGGGAAGGAACATCAAGTGATTCACGCAACAGGATGGCCCGGCCAGGCTACATTAAGACATTTATAAACTAATAAAAGAACCTTAAAAATCTATTCTAAAAGATATAGGAGGATCCAAGGACTGGACCATCCATCACCACTGTGTGGGTCCAGCCTGTCCCATTTAATTGCCATACATGTAGTGTAGCCAAAACAACTTAATCTTGGTGGGAAAATGTTGAGAGGAGGGTTTCAGATGGCAAAAACTTGGGGAGCCTGTGTTGACATATTGATCTTTAGTTTATCTTCAACCAACAACAACAAGCTTTAATCACAGAAGTGTTTTCACAGGCGCAGGACAAATTGCATCAGAAGTTCCAACCTGAGAAACACATCATTCTTCTTAAAAATGAGAAAAATCCCAAATGGCCTTGACTTACCAAACCACAAATCCTCATTTCCTGCATTCTCTGACTGCTGCTGCAGGTCCACAACATGGGACGGGGCGTCAAAGTCATACGTTTCACCATTATCTCCGGAGTCACTTTCAGCCATGTTCAGGAACTGTGTGATCGACAATTCACCTAAACACAAATCACAATAATTCATCAACACCTAACATAATTAAATTGGTTCTCTTTGTTGCTTTAATATAATGAAAGAATCGTATTTCTGTCTTAGCTCTGTGTGTTAAGGCTGCAGAGAAAAAAACAACCAAGCTAGTCTGCTAATGCTATCTTACGGAGCACAACCTCAAAGCAAACGTTACACGATCCAAACGATCTATTAGTGCTCAAAAACACACGATACGAGTTGCTGCATTGATGTAAATATAATGTAGTACATTTCAGCCTTAAATTGGTAAAATACTGACTGAGTTAATGACTAAAGAAGAAGGATTATTTGTGGTAATGCTTACCGAGGATGTCCGTTCTCGGAGCAACGCAGCTGAGACTGAAGTCAGACCGTTAATGTTTAAATTTCCTGCTCTTTGAAACAGCCAATAGGGATTGATTGTCCATAAACTCGTCGCTCATTGGCTCAGACTCGTTCACTTCCTGTCAACATTTCGTCAGATGATCAGTGTCCGCATAGGATAGTCAACAACAATCGAATTTGAAATAGTTTAGAAATTATTAAAGAAATCAAAAAGGAAGGGGGAAAATCTATTCTTATTAGAAGTAAATTTATCATTTTTCCACAAAATACGCAGTCTTGAGATAAATAAGTAGACCTTACACGTAAGAAATGTTTGCTACAAACAGACACTCCTGTATTTGTGTTGTGCAAGCAAGCGCAACACACCCATAGACTGTGTTCATATGATCGTACACATCTCTATTAGTAACCAGTCAGTGTTTATTTTGGTGTTTGTTTTTCCAATTCAACATTGGATGTGCAAATATCTGGAACACAAAGTGTGTTTTGCACAATTTTACACCATATTTTACAAGACTTTCTATGTCCATGCTTAATCTCTTGAGTTTTCAGTAGGGTTCTTTATCATCTTAAATTTATATGTTAATTGACTATCCTTACACGCTGTCGTATAACATTACAAACATAAGTATGTTTTGTGCTGATAATAGCCTGCACCAAAGAGCCAGAGGATCACTGGTTTGTATAATCTTTAAATGAAGCATGATTTATTCTGGCCTCATCAGTGTTTGATGCCTGAGTGATGTACTAACCAATGCAGGTGTGGCACTGTGTGTTTGCACACAGACAAATGAAGTGCATCGTTTGCTCTTTTTGACTCCACTAATCTTTTAGTTTAAGTATCACTTAAATGTTTCTCTCCTGACCAAATTCTATTAATTAAAGAATTGTAAACATCAAGAAGTCAATTTGTGTTTTTCTTTTGTCTCATACTATCTAAACTTTCTTCTTCTCAAAGTACGTTTTACCTTTCTGTTATTTCCTTTGATTCCACTTAACTTTTCAGAATACAAATGTAAATGTTTGCCCTGGAAATCTTCTGTCCCATGTTTTTTTTTACTTTATAAATGTTTAAATGATTATTATTATCACCTACTACTACTACCACTACCACTGCTACTTCTACTACTAGGGTAAGGGTTAGTAGGGTTAACCCTAACCCTGTTGTTAAATGAGGATGATGATAAAATTGTCCTTTTATTTGCATCATTTGTTTTAATCTTTTTCTTATTCATATAAGTGAGCACCAATGACTAAATGCAAAATACAGGGGAAAATGGCGTTTAAAGCGAGATTCCTTTAAAACGTGAATGTAAAGCCTGAAATTTGTTATTTATTTATATTGCTGATGTAACTATATAAATTGACTTCACTGTTAAAGCTTACACTGACATTGAGGTCTTATTTTTACCTATAATCTACCTGGAGGCTACTGGTTCCTACTCAGTTACGCCGCTGTGAAAGGAGGGGCTAGAACTTCTTCTAGAACTTCAATATTTTATATTAACAGCTCAGTATATCCAAAATGCCTTAGCTACAGTGAAGCTCGCTGCAGATTTTATCAACGTTACTTGATTCCTCCTTTTGAGGTGAAACAAACTCAAGCTTCTCAAAGGATGTATATGTATGATTAGTGATTAGCTGTACTAGTACTCAATCACTACTTTACCGTCTCCCATTGGTCAAAAGTGTTGTGTGGGCGGGCTCACTCTTCGTGGCACTGTCGGGGGGTGGGACTGTGAGGTCCAACAGGAAAAACTAAAGAAAGGCGAGTATCTTTGAGCAAACGGTAAATATTCGATTAAAAGTCATCATAATGTAGGTCATTTTGATTATTATTATGAGTCGATGTAGCTGCCGGATGTGAAAATACTGTGTTGCGGTCTGTAAATGTGGTGAGACAAGCTTGACAAGGCCAGTTGTCCCGAGAAAGTTAGCAAAGTTAGCAGCTAATAGTTAGCCTCCTTAGAGGTAATGGAAACTACTGCTAGCTGTAAGTTAGCACGTCTTATTTTGAGACAGCTTTTGGACATTTAAAGGTATCTTTGAAACAATAAGCGGTATTAGGTTGGTAGATAATCTGTAATAGACAGTACTCCAACATAAAAGGAGGTGACAGTCACTTTAACCCTAAAGGATAGAGGAATGACTAGTCAGGAAGTGAAGTTAAAAAGCAGCTTAAATAAACTAAACAGGGATAATTCTCTCAAGTATTCAAGAAAACCGGAGAGAAAAACGACTCTAAATGTCATCTGATGGAGAAATAGGAGGAGAATTTGACGGGTCAATGTATCGCTGACATTGGAGCTTCACTAAATACTGAAAACATGACTTTATTCTTATTTACAACTGAGTGTTGAGGTTTAAAGTAGGCAATAACGATCCTTTATTTCAACAAAGACAGGACTTTTTAAATCATTGTTCTCAGCATGTAATTTTACATTTATTTTATAATTATTGACCAAGAAGTGAAGTAAGGGGAAGTAAGTGAAATTTACATTTCTCTCAGAGCAACGCCACAAAGCGTTTCATAAAATATCTCAATGATCATGAAAAAAAGGAGAATTTTAACAACTTAACCCTGAACACACAAAAAACTTCAAAACAAAACATTACAGAGACTCTTTCACTCAGCTGTGTGGTTTGTATCTTATTGGTTGTGAGTTGTTAAAGTCAAGGATGTCTAAAAAAATGTCAAAATGTGAACAATGTAAAAAGAAATTGGATTCGACAAATCTTTTTTTATTTGTACTTGAAAGTGAACAAATTAATTAATCAATCTATCTACAGAGTAATTGATTACTGGTAGGTAATTCTTTTGCTAATACTTCAACAATGTCTGTTGAGGTTTTATGTAAATTTTGTTCTGTTGAGCCTTTTAGATTTCATTTTTTGTTAGTTTTACGTGCTTCATCACAGAAATGTTCTAAACCACCTCTGTTGATCCGTCCGTACAGAAACCACTCAGACTATCTTTGGTTGAGGTTAAATCATCCCTGCATTATTACATTTGTAAAGGACTGTGTTTTGTTTTCATTTTCAGATGGCTGCAATCAGAAAGAAACTGGTGATTGTTGGTGATGGAGCCTGTGGAAAAACCTGCCTCCTTATAGTGTTCAGCAAAGACCAGTTCCCTGAGGTTTACGTGCCAACAGTGTTTGAAAACTATGTGGCAGATATTGAGGTGGATGGTAAACAGGTAAATTGATTATTTATTGGCGTTTTTAACTTTTTGCTTATACTCACAGAAATCCAAACACTTTAGAAAACTGTAAAGATGTTTTATTTTTGTAGAAAAAAGCTTGTTGGATTTTTTTCATTGGAGTTAGGATTTTTGCAGAGATGCAGATCTGGGGTTACAAAGGTTTACAATGCCAAACATTTTTCTTCTGCATTAATGAACACCTAACATCAGTAGATCTTAAAGACAGGCTTTAAATAAACCATATCAGTCATGTTATCTCAGTGTCACCTCCACTTAGTGCCTGCTTGATTTAGAATTTGCCTCTGAGCCCAAAATTATAATGGAATCACAAGTGCACTGAATATCTGAGAAGCCTGAACAAATTTAAAGAAAAGTTTCGGGCTCGCTGGTTATTTTTTGTCACCTAATCTCTACTACGGAGCTGCATTTGGCAGTAGTTTTTTAAAAACTCTGGATGGATCACAGCCAGCTGTTACTTTCTTCTGACAGTTTCTCTGCAAAGGTAATGCCATGACTTAAGACCATTAATTTACAGACAAACATGTCATCCAACTTTGAGAAATACTGAGAAACGGTATACTTCGAAAATGTTATTTCTTAACTAGAAGAGTTTGTGAAAAAATTATCTTTGCTATCCATGTCACAAATTTCCAAATCCAGAGAAAAGGACCCCTCAAAAAATCAGAGCTTATGATGTTTTTCCTGCGCAGTAAGGAAGTCAGTTCTACATGAAACTTTGCAGTTAACTGTAGTGCTGGTGTGTTGTAGGTGGAGCTCGCCCTTTGGGACACAGCTGGTCAGGAAGACTACGACAGGCTGAGGCCTCTCTCCTACCCCGACACAGACGTCATCCTCATGTGTTTCTCCATTGACAGCCCTGACAGTTTGGGTAAGATTTCGTCTTGTTAGCATTTTTTCATCAGTGCTAGGTTTTTATCTGGTCCATGTTAAACATTGTGGTTTTGTTCCCTGTGCAGAGAACATTCCAGAGAAGTGGACCCCTGAGGTCAAACACTTCTGCCCCAACGTGCCCATAATCCTTGTGGGGAACAAGAAAGATCTGCGTAATGATGAGCACACACGCAGAGAGCTGGCTAAAATGAAACAGGTCAGTGAGGCAGGGACTCTGAAACCTATATTGAAGCTTAAGTTTCCCAGTTGTGGAGATAGTCCATAATAAGTATTGGGCTTATCCTACCAAAGAGGACTAATTTCATGCCTAGCTGTGTCAGGCTTAAATTCAAACAGCTGTGGATTTTTCTAGGCCAGTAAAATTTCTTACAGTGATCAGATTTTAAATTTTGATCATGGTCAATAATTATTTTTTGTTTAGAGGCACTGAATGACAGTAATATGATGATGATGATGATGATGGCATTATTGCTTAATGAAAGACAGGAATAAACACAAACTCTTCTGGATAATCTGATGTTGAAGTCAGCAAAAGCAGATGTGAAGCACATGTGGTTGAGAGACAGTAGCTGATGTGTTTAGAGACTGCATTGCAGCAGATTTATATTTCACTATCATGTTGTCTATGAAGGGCCCTTAGAATAAACTTTCCTGTGATGAATTAGTTCAATTTCCTTTTTTTGTCCTCATTGAATGTTTGTGTTTCTGAATTTTTTTTTTCTATCTGGCAGGAACCGGTAAAATCAGACGAGGCCAGAGACATGGCGAACCGGATCAATGCTTTTGGTTACCTGGAGTGCTCAGCCAAAACCAAGGACGGCGTGAGGGAAGTGTTTGAGATGGCCACCAGGGCAGCGCTACAGGCCAAGAGACGAGGCAAGAAGAGCGGCTGCCTTCTGCTTTAGAGCATCAGATCACTCAGGGTCAACCGGGACGGAGGGGGTAAAAGATCCCTGCTCCGTGGGCACAGCTGAGCGGGGCATTCAGGGGATGTGGGAGAAAATCAAACCAGGCCAAAGGGACAAAAGGAAGAGGGTTAAATTCAAAGGAAACAGGGACAGAAAAGTCCAATGTTATAGCTTTTAGCTTTTGAGAGTTCATTAGACCTCAGATTTAGAGAGTGATGAGAGGGGGGTATACCTTAAAAAGTGCAGGAGTGTCAGAATCATAAGAAGGTTATTCGATTTTCTGAGAGGGGTATGATGATCTCAGATGGTTAGGTATTGATACTAGTAGAGATCAGGGTATTGGTGCCTGAATAACTGTCACAAATCTGCAAAGGCTTGCTGTGTAACCGTACTTTTCTTTCAGGTTTGTGCTATCAGTCTAAAAGTTTTCTTCTAGTTAATTTCCCTGAAAATATAGACCAACTTGACTTTAAATGGACCTTTTACAGAAATTTGGAAAAGCTTAGTTTATGTGACTAAATTTCTGAGCATGGATACATGATGGTGATGAGACCAACTTATTTGAGTGTTTATCTGAGCTTGTTATCGACCGCAACAGTCTGAAAAAAGATTGAATAAAGCAGACTGTCAAACACACTGTATACTTTAGGGTTAAAGGGTTAATAAAAAAGTACCACCCTCTAAAACTTGTAAAACTAGCAGCAAGGCCTTCACTATCTAAAATCCCTAAGGACCAGACCTGTGTGTAGAAAATGGTTTTTTTTAGAAACAACCCTTTATTTCCCTCATTTTGGTAAGAAAAGCCTCCATGTTTCCTGTTTTGCTCTAATTATCTGTTGTTACACCTCCTCCATTTTAACCTGTTGCTTTTAAAGTAATGTGTATTTCTACAGCACTGTTTCCATGACTACACACTGACAGAATTTCTTTTTAATACATGAAAGTCAGACTGATTATTGCAGCCACCTAAATTAAAGCTCCTGTTGCTTTGAATTTGAAGCCCCCTGAGGACAGACAGGTAATAACATTATATTTTTTATCATGAATCTTATCTTATTTTCATTTAGCAGTAGGAAGAATTACTTCATGAGAATTTCTGCAGTGGAAAATATAGAAAAAAGCTGTGCAGTTTACCACTTAAACTGACACATATTCACTGACACTGGTACCAGAAACCAGTTATCACAACATGGAAATAAACAGACCTGTTGCTAATTGTCTTTGTTTGCTTTTGTAGGTCATGAATAGACATCAGTTTTACTCTGTCTGATTCATAACCGGCTAAGAACTGTACCAGTGCATCAAAGTCCTCATTTTTTAGATTCAGATATAAATGGCAAGGAACTGAGTAGTCTCAAGGTAACAAAACATTAAAATAAAATGTCGAACTGGAACACAATTCTTACATGTCTAAACAACAGGTCACAGAATCTGCAGGCAAACAATGTCAATATTCAGAGCTAGCACCACCAATCTTCAGTCCTCATGCCTATACTTGTTACACACACAATAATGCCAACCAAATATAGCTGACATACAACTTTTTATCAACTTTTTAATCCAGTCTTTTTACTTCCTGCTGGAATGTCTTTAAATCCTCCACTCTGTTTTGGTTAAGGTTTAATTTGAGCTGCAGCAAAATACACTCCAGCAATTAAAGTAACGGACGTAGTTGCAAATGGTGTAAGTGTTGCAACATATGGAAGTCTATGCTTTCTGTACACTTCAAGTTTATTTACAAAAATGAACTTAATAAATCTGGTAAATCTGAGCATCTTGATATGATAAGTAAATGAAAACTGCATTTAAGAGCAGTTCTTATATAGTTCATTTGTTACACTTGTGGAAAAAGTGCTGTAGTAATGCACATTAAACAGAATTAAAGCTGTTTAGACATTATACTCTTGTTTCTTCTGCTCCCTCTCAGTCGCAGTCGGACTGATATTAAAATACTTGTTTTTATTTCCCACCTGACTGATCCTGTTTCTCTCTTGTTTCTCTGTTGTATTTTATTTTAACTTTATGTGATATTCTACTGGCTAACATTGTATTATTTGCACACATCTTGAAACATAAAGGTCAGTGTGGTATTTACTCTTTGGAAAAGAATGTCAAATCATAAATTACAACTCTTAAAAAATGAATAAGGATTGGTTTGAGAGAGGATTAGTCTTTTGTATACAAATGTATCCTCACGTTTCTCCAGTTGTCTTTTTTATGTACTCTAAATGAAATAAACTGTAACTGCTAATGACCAAAACTGTCTCTCATGCTTTGTTTTTAATCTTCCAAAGAATGAGTGGATTTCATCATCTGCAATACATCATATTAAGAGAATCTTCGTATTATTCAGAGAGTCTGGAGATTCTCTGGACCAAAACCAAGACTAGATGGTCCTCATCCTCAGGTCCCCAGGCAGCACTCATTTAAAAATACACTGGACTCTGGAGTGGAAATCATGGCATGGGCTCAGAACTACAGACCAAAAACAGTCTGTGAGCTCAGTTCATCTCTGTATCCACAAAAAGATGGCCTAAGTTGAAGCTGCTTGGTTAATAATCGGCATTCTTTTTGGAAACCATGGACGGTGGGTCCTCTGCTCGTAAGATACGTTTATTACGTGTTGTTAAAAGATGAGCTGTTGTGGAAGGTCTCTGTCTGAGCTCTACTGGAAAGTGTGGATGACAGAACAGTGTGAATGGTTCAAAACAGGCTTATTAAAACATCATTTGATTTCTCAGGGTCAGCATCAAATATGCTGTCCATGTGATATTTTCTTGAAAATTTGAGGTTTCAGTGTTTTCAAATCTTAGCAGTCTGTGTTTTTTCACATTCAGTGTCTCATCAGTTTCAGTTGTAAATCAAAGTTTTAACAAAGCTCTCTCTATCAGATGCAACATTTTGATTCAATCAACTTTCTTTTTTTCCCTGCTATTTTAAAACTGCATCACACTCACATGATCCACAATCATCCATCTTTCTCTGGCACTGAATTCTCTGCCGTGTTTCAACTTTTCAAACTTCACAGGCAGGGTTGATTCTGTGAAGTATTAAAATAATGAGGTCAATGACAGTTTTTGATGCTTTATATTTAAGACAGAGTTCCTTACAGACCATCAGTCAGTAAACCATGACATACACCATCCACTATGAAAATTTCATTCAAACATCTCCTCTGCTTTTATGAAATGTGCAATGTGTCCTGAACACAGACGTTCAGGACTCAGGTAATGACCCAAAAATGTCCAGTGGAAAAATATGGAGCCAGATCAGGCTCAAAAGTATTGAAAAAGTAGTGTAAGTGAAAAAATAAAAAGTGAAGTGAAAAAATAAGATTTGAACCTGAAAAAAATAAAATGGTACCTGAAAGTCTTGAATTTCGAAATTGAACTTTGAAAAATCCCAGAATGCATGAAAAAAATCTGTTCAAATGTAACTTTGATTCTGTTTTTTAATACTTTTGAATAAATTACTTATTTCTATTTTTCACTTCAATGTATATTTCGATCTTTGAGTACTTTTTTTTTTTCGATTGAATTTTATTTATTTATTTCAGATTCAGATCTTATTTTTACGGATTCAAAACTTTTTTTTCGGTTTCAGATTTTTTTTTTTTCAGATTCAGATCTTCTTTTTTCAGATTCAACTTGAAAAGTTTCAGGTTGACTTTTGAGCCTGTTTTTCCGTGGGGGCGGACCTCGACTTAGAGGGGCGCAGTCTGCCATGAGTGACAGGCCTCCCCCTACTTCCCCACCCCATCACCCTGCGTTCAGGAAGTGGCATGAATACACATTAGCTTAGCCTACAATTAGGCTGTATTGGCTGAATGAGATCGTGTTGGTTCGTTCCACTTTAGTGGTGCAATATAAACTGTGATTCATTAAAAAGCTCTATTGATAGTAAGTACTAAAAAGAATATATCTACTCCTGTCATCCTGTCGATTTTTAGTAATCAGTGTTTCGGTGTCGAACTATTTCCCCTCTGCGGCGTTCTCGACTTTACAAGGACACGTCGGGAAACTTACAGAACTAGTATTAGAAAGTGGCTTTCTCTACAGGGTGAGACAAAGGACCTTGCAGAAACTTTGCGTTGATATCGACTTTGACAATGTTCCTGATGACACTGGGTTTCACATAACATGCTACAAGCGATTTATTTGCAAAAGGGGTTTGAGAAACAAGAACGTGATGCAGCCGCGGGTCAGTCAAACCCTTAACGCAGCATCGCCGATGCATCCACGTCCACGGCATCTGAAACTCCGCGAAAGAAACTTCGCTTGAGGTTTTAGGCTGTATTGGGACAAAGGAAAAAGTGCCTAGAAAGTGAATTTCGTTCAAATACGCTAGTGCTACTTGTTCAATGCATTTTTGCATAGACAATACCATTCATCCATACCATCCGCGATTGCATCACGTTATTGTTTCTCAAACCCCTTTTGCAAATAAATCGCTTGTAGCATGTTATGTGCAATCCAGTGTCATCAGGAACATTGTCAAAGTCGATATCAACGCAAAGTTTATAAGTTTCTGCAAGGTCCTTTGTCTCACCCTGTAGAGAAAGCCACTTTCTAATACTAGTTCTGTAAGTTTCCCGACGTGTCCTTGTAAAGTCGAGAACGTCTTTACTCTGGACAGATGATAGATGCATATAACATCGTTTCGCTCCTTTTTATGCACTTTTGAAGGCTGTTTTCTTTTGTGCCTTTTCTTTTCTTCCTCTTCGCTTGTCTCGCTGCGAGATGCGGTCGTCGCCATGTTTGTGTATTTCTGATACTATGGCAACGAGACTCGGCTCCTATTGGTCCACGTGACAAAAATCGCTTCACCCCCTGCATATTCGATTGCGCGTGTGCAAGTATTACTACGCCGCAGAGGGGAAATAGTTCGACACCGAAACACTGATTACTAAAAATCGACAGGATGACAGGAGTAGATATATTCTTTTTAGTACTTACTATCAATAGAGCTTTTTAATGAATCACAGTTTATATTGCACCACTAAAGTGGAACGAACCAACACGATCTCATTCAGCCAATACAGCCTAATTGTAGGCTAAGCTAATGTGTATTCATGCCACTTCCTGAACGCAGGGTGATGGGGTGGGGAAGTAGGGGGAGGCCTGTCACTCATGGCAGACTGCGCCCCTCTAAGTCGAGGTCCGCCCCCACGGAAAAACAGGCTCAAAAGTCAACCTGAAACTTTTCAAGTTGAATCTGAAAAAAGATCTGAATCTGAAAAAAAAAAAATCTGAAACCCAAAAAAAAGTTTTGAATCCGTAAAAATAAGATCTGAATCTGAAATAAATAAATAAAATTCAATCGAAAAAAAAAAAGTACTCAAAGATCGAAATATACATTGAAGTGAAAAATAGAAATAAGTAATTTATTCAAAAGTATTAAAAAACAGAATCAAAGTTACATTTGAACAGATTTTTTTCATGCATTCTGGGATTTTTCAAAGTTCAATTTCGAAATTCAAGACTTTCAGGTACCATTTTTTTTTTTCAGGTTCAAATCTTATTTTTTCACTTCACTTTTTATTTTTTCACTTACACTACTTTTTCAATACTTTTGAGCCTGATCTGGCTCCATAGAAAAACTGATATTTATAAAAGTAGCTCATTCGTCCATAACTAGAAGTAAAACAGATGGAGCGAATTGTAAACAAACAGAAAAATCTGTCATACTTTACAGAGCACTGACAGCCTGCAGCTGAAAATGATTTCAGAAAAATCAAAAAGACAGTGAGGCCCAGGAGAGTGTAGTCACTAGCCTAACTTTAGATTAAAAATGCTTTACTGTAATCTGCATTTTCCCAATCAAATAAAATGTATAAATAAAATAAGTTTTAAGAATGAACTTAAACGTGTGGTAATGTAGCCCCTGTTTTGTAAATTGAGACATTTTAGAGATATTATGTTGTTACAGATGGAGGATGAGAACCTTTTGGGTCTGAAGGGCATCTTCTCAAGGAGCTTTGTGCTTTGTAAAGCTCACTTATTCAGTAAACCAGGGTTTAAAAGGGTTAAACCAGGGGGGCTTGTTTCACTTTAAACAAGTCTACAAAACACGGTCCTTGTTGCAGCAGCAGTCTGGGTTGAATTCTGACTTCTACCCTTGGCTGCATGTCAATACCCAACACTACCTCTTACCTTTCTGCTCTCCTGACAAATATAGGTGATAATAGCCCAAAAGCTCTTTGAAGAAAGACAAGAGGGGAAAAAGTTTTCCAGATGTGATCATCGCTCAGTTAAAGGTAAATCCAGCACTCATGAGCTCTTTTAGGATTAGCTCCAAAGTTCAGCCTCCAGCTGCCAGGAGTCAAATCTTGGTTGATGTTCACTTTAACAAAAGTAGCACATATGACTCCTAGCTTTACTTCACATTTGCCACAAACAAAAAACAACAGTCCACCACACATTGTGGTGTCTCAACCTCGTCGCGGTCGTCCCAGTCCTCAGCTTCACCTTATAAAGTCTGATGAAGTCCTGCTACAAACTCCTGATAGTATGGCTCTGAAATAAGAAGCACATACTTGTTATAAAAATTAGTGACAGAAAATGAAGTTTTCATTAAAAGCAGACAAACACAAACCAGAGTCTGGCTCGATGTAGGAGTGCCTGATGAGGAAGTCCAGGACCACCATGGCACAATTTGGTTTGAAGTCACCAGCAACTAAAAGCTCCTTTACCTGAAACCAAAGACAGAGTTATTAAACATTAACCCTTATCTGTTTTTGTTTTTTTATTTAGTCTAAATCTGTGTGTTTTAATGCCATCCACTCTGAATATGGGTGTATCTACGTCACAATATTCAGTCTAAATCTGCGTGTTTGTAATGCCATTTCTCCTGAGTATGGTTATTTCAAGTAAACTTATTCAGAAAGTGTTCATCATACAAACCTTGTCCATAGGCAGCAGGTAAAACTCTTGCACCTCTCCGTCCCCGATCTTCGGCTTGAACTCTTTAGGAAGCTCCAAATCAAAGACAAACTGACTCTCTGGAAACACCTCCCCCTCCTCCACGTATGTATAACTGGAAAATAAACCAGACAGGTTAGTTGTAGTCAACCAGCACCCTTGAGTAAACAGCTTTCAGCTAAGTTGTTGCACCTCACCTCACTGTAGACACAGGTTTGGCTTTTTCAGCGATGGCAGCAGGGATACACGCCTCCTCCTCACATTCTTTAATCATAGTGTGTTTGATACCAGCATCAGCAGCCAGACCTCCTGCTGCCTTCAGAGAGAAAACACATCATGATCCATTAAAAATGTAGAACTCCTCCTTTACGTATCACTGCAACATGTCTGAAGGGTCTAACTAACAGTCTTTCCTCACCACATGGTCCAGCATCCCCGGGTACGTCTGCTTTGTGGCAGAGCGCCGTGCCAGCCACATGCTGATCTCCCCGCTGTTACTCACAGTGTAACCGTTAAGGTGGACTCCATACCTTCTAACCCCGAACAGACCTGAGTGCAGCATCACAGTCAGCACACAAAACAATTGAGCATTGTTAATACATCCTTCTTACTGAGATCTCTGACTCACTGGTAGCAGCTCTTTCCATCCACATCAGAGGAGGGTCGCAGTACCTTGGCATCACGCTATACCTCTAAAGGGCGAGGATACCAAAACATGATCAGGTCACATTCAGCAGACTGAATAAATCCTAAGTCCATCCAGACCTGACACTTAATTTTAAAATGCTTCAAATATAGGGATGGGAATTGATGAGATTTTACCAATACCGATGCCATTATCGATTCTGCTTATCCATTCAATTCTTGAACAATTCCCTTATCAATGCCTATCTTTGATTAAAAAAAATAAAGGTAGACTGTAGGTTTTCACCATTAACTCAAAATTTTATTGAGTCTCTGATAACAGAAAAATATATGTGCAACCTTCAGTGAGAATCTAAAATAATCAAACAAAACTGCTATTTGTACTGCATTTCTGGCATGCATTGTGCTTATGTTAACACAGGACAGACGGTAGGGTGACCATATTCTGAATCCCCCAAAAGAGGACACTACTACGAAGGGTGGACTTGTGTGAAATTCTGAAGGTTTTTTGGGTCTGGTCGAGTGTTTTTTATGTGCTTCTAACTCTAACTTTTAACGCGTATTGTAAATTCCCAAAGACAGTGCATGCATGTGTCGCGTCAGTGACTTTGCTTAAAAGTGAGCGGAGGGGCAGAGCTGCAGGGAGCACTGATGAGAAAGGAATCGTTAAGATAAAATGTAAATTATGTCGATGGATTGAACCATTTGGAAACAGTTTTCAACAAGAATCGGTTCTCGATTCCCATCCCTATTCAAATATGAAAAATATCTTTAGATCTGAAGGTTGAGTAAATCACCTAGAAATGCATTTCTGTCCTCAACATTGTTCACATCAATTTTATACATGCTCGTAATTGGTCTTTGGACCTTGCCGCTATGCTAATATTTTTCTGGGACAAATTAGCCAATAACAGTATCGATATGATACAAACACACCTTATTTTCATTGTGAAGACTGCAAAGCTTCTCCTAAAACAGAATTTCCCTGTTGCTTTAAAATGATTTCAGATTCCACCATGAATGATAAATGTAGTTTTTCTAAATAAAGACATGAATACATCTGTTGTGTTTCCAACACTTCAAAACACCTCTGTACAACCAGCATGTATACGCTGTTATTTTACACTGATTTTTGCACAGTCATCATCTTTTGTCTGTTTGTAAATCTGGGCTATATCGATACTACACTGTATATTGCTTAACGGCTATCATAATTATCCTGGTTAAGTACTTGGAGATCAGTTATGCAACTCACAGTTGCTTTTTTAAAGAAACAGTTATTGATTAATGGGTTAAAGCGCAACGTCTAAATTCCATCTAAAAATATACAGAATCTAGACGGTTGAAATTAGGTCTAAAAAAAACTAGACATCTAATAGCCGTCTATTTCTCAGTGGGAACTTTATTTATACAGCACAGTAAAAAAACAGCTAAAGTTGAACCAAAGTTGAAAGTTGAACCCAAAAGATACTATTGGGTTAACATGGGTTAAAAGACACTAGCCACACACACATTATATTGAAAGTTAACACAAAAAGATGTGATTGAAACAGAGATTTTAAACTTTTAAGGGACTGAGCATCAACCTGAGCATGAAAGGTGTGTTTTGGGCTTGTGCTCTACCCAACAAACAACATAAAAACAACATTTATCAACTGCTTTGATAAAGTAAGTAAAGAACAACACCTGTAGGAATCTTTTATACTTGAGACAAGTGTTTAAGGTGTTTCTGTGACTTTTTAAGTTTAAGGTGTAGGCTATCTCTTAATCAAACATAGATCCATCTGGAGCCTGTATCTATTCGGCCATTTCCTGTTTGACTTTAATTCACCTCAGATGTGATGTTTGTGCTCTGAGAAAAATAATTTAAGTGTATTTTTTAATGGCAGGGTTTGAACAGCAGACCTGTCAAACCAGATACTGTTTATACCAAAGAGGATCCTTGTAAACAAAGACCCAGTCTGACCTCGTTTCTCCAGCCTTTCAGGAAGGTGAGGCTCTCCTCTTTCCTCAGACTCTGCAGGACTTCATCCACAGCTTCAGATCTCTTCTCATAAGAGTCCAGACTGCTGCACAGAGACACCACGCCCCCCTGGGGTGGATCAAACACCTGAGGGTACTGTGCTAACAGAGGAGCTACATGAGGAGGAATCCAGCCCACCTGAGCTCCTCCTATCTCAAACCTGAGGCAGTGAGCCCGACAGGAGCCTGCAGAGACAAACCAGAGTTCAGTGACTGTGCAGGTGAAGGGAAAGACCCAACCCCAAACAAAGTTTACCTGCTGAATAAAAGTTATTCATGCGACGGAGGAGCTGAAGCATTTTCTCGGACCACGCTGGAATAGACATTTTTCACTCAACGATGTAAACAAACCTGTCTTCCGACTGAACTTCAAGAGTGTGCAAAGTTAAGACGATAAAATAACGCTGAGACTGCACATGGATATTAAAGATGGCGGAAACCACTGAAGCTCTGAATCTGTTTTTGGCACAAACAGACAGCAATCATGAAAGCTTAAAGTACTTCATCCGTTCATAACAAATCTTAATCGCCCCCCTTTTTTAACTGTTTCACTGTCGGTCAGTGAAAATACTTAATGAACCTCAGAGTTGCCGTCCATGCTGTTTTCAGTCCGGCTTGCAGTGATACGCATGCGCAAACTTCCTCTTCTCCGGTTTGTTTCTGTATTTTGTCCCGTTTTTATAAAATAAAAAATCATTGGAAATATTGGAGACAAATATTGGTAAAAGTTTATATTTTTAAAAGAAAATGTTTAAAAAAATCTTGTTACGGGTATATATTTTGTAAGACAATGTCAATGTACGGTGGCCCTCAAGGGAAGCTGACTAACATTACAGAACAACATTTCATAAAATGTGCCAAAAAAAAAAGAAAAAGAAAAAAACATTGAATGCAGAAATATTTCATGAAACACACAATGGATAATGGAATCTAATCCAGTGCTGTCTTATTATATACAAAAATATTTAATAAAAACATAACTATTTGGTGAAAGAAAATATATCATACCACATACAATTATTTTAAGAGCAGTTCACAAAATGCTGATATATTATTAAAGAAATGTTGCAGTCAGTAAAATCTATCATGTGGTCATAAAAGGTGTGTGCTGTTGACCTTCAGAGGCATCATATTAATTGATAATACATAGATTTGAGACAAGTCTAGTGGACACCTTGATAAAATACTAATAGATGTGGTTAAATAAGTTAAAAATAACCAATAGATACATAGATTTATGCATCCTTTCACTCTTTTTTGGTTAGGTAATTCAAAGTCATTAAGTATAAAATCAGGTGTTTTTGCATTATACTTTTTGTTATTTGATTTATCTTGTTTGCTTTTTTGCAAGCAATTTTTTCTTTATGACATTTTAAAACCCAATGTCAGTGTTCTTCCTTCTTTCTATTACTGAAACTGTTATGCTGTCCATGAGCCCACGTATCATCTATGTTATTATACATGAATACATGGCAGGGTATCTACAGTACACGAAGCCACAGCTGTGTGTCCAGTGGGTAATAACCATTCATGACAATAGACCTAGTTGGTCATGAGTAAAGCGGTTATTTATTTGTTGTCAATCAGTTGTCAGAGGACCCGTTGGAATTCTGCCGTACACCGCTCAAACTTTAGGGGGCGACCTATACCTATTATGTATGTTTGACATCCAGAAATAAATACACAGAAGAAGAGATTACATCTTTGGTGTATATGTTGATGCTTTTGTTGATGTATTCGTTTATACTTTTTATTTCTTACCTGTTTTAAACCTGACCGGTGAAACTGAATTTAGAATTTAAAACCAGCCCCATCTGCTCAATGGATCCGTTATCTGCTGCCTCCTCTCCGTTAGCTTTGTGGAACAGATGCAATAAAGCTAGCTGAGCTGAGAGCTAACTGTGGAGCTAACGGTGAACCGAACTGATGATTTCACATTAAAACGACTCAACGTTCAACAACCAACATTTATTTACATCACAGTCCAAAAGGTAATTTTTCACTTTGTTTGAATGTGTGAAGTGAGTGAATATTGATCATTATTTCAAGGTACTGAAGTCTGAACTAAACATGTAACAGAGCTCACTGTTTCACCATCTCACTCTTTCCTCTTTCAGTTTGACTTTGATTTCAGAGAATTTTGGACACTTCACTTAAAAGTATGAATAAGTTAATGATTCACTGTTGCCATGAAGAGAATTTGTGCAGTGCTAATGGAATAAAATGACAAAACAAAAAAAAAAACATGAAAAACTGATACACATGAATCTGAATAATATGACATTTATAAAGCATACAAGCTGCTTCTCAGGTCAAAGTCTGGTGTGTCCTTTCGTTTTGTATTCTGCCCCTCTATCCTTTATTTTTGATCTTCTATTTATTAAATATGAGTCCTGATTCTTTATCCTTTCTGCTGTCCTATTCTTCCCTTTAGAGCTCCATCTGTCCTCCATGACTTCATCCGAGGTCAACAGCTTGCCAGACATGAGTGAGGTTGTGATCGTCACCATCCCCACCACAGCGGAGGAAGATCTCCCCTCTGTGGTAGAGGAGGATAAAGCTGTGCTGGTGTCTGCAGAGCTGAACACTCAGACAGGGTAACGGTTGGCGCAGTACTCTGTTGTTGCATAACTGACAGGACATAAGTTTTAAACATAATGTCAGCCTTTCATGAATAAACAAACATGACTGGTAGCAATATTAGTGTTAGAAATGGATGCTCTGCTCATAGAAAACTCAGCAGCATTGAATCAAATTAAGTACACCCAAATAAAGTGGGAACAAATGAAGAGTCTTGGCTTCACATTTTAGGAAACTGGCACATTATGAATTGTTGCTATGCAGCAGCAGTTAAAAGGGAGGAGTTAATAACAAAAACCACTCAAAAGAAACAAAAGTCAAATGAACAGGAGTCACAGAGCTGGTCCACCAAAACTGCTCGTCATTCATTGTTCAGAGGTATTCCAGGTTTAGAATGCAAAGAATGCATGAACCATCTTAAATATTAATACGCCAAGTGCAGTCGAACGGGTGTAGGAAGATAAGGGAGAGGAATAACATGTCTTCTCCCTTTCCCCGTACAGCATCATGTCCAACATCCACATGCTTTAGTTGTTCACTTTTGTTTGTAATGTGCTTCAAAAAGATGAACTATATTCATGTAAAGAACCTGGTTTTATATCATAGTTTGGTATAAATGTTGCACATGATTTAGGTCATAATATTGAGTTGTAACCATGATGACCTACTTTGATGAACTAAAACTTAAATTTTTTTTTTTCCCTTAAATTCACAGAGAGGAGGAGCTCACAGCTGCACCTGCAGAAGCAGAATCTGAGTCCAGCAGAGCTGATCCGCTGACAAAGGAAGAGGCAGTTATTGGTAATGTGACCTTCAAGAATTTTGTCAACTGTAAAGTGTGGTGGGTCAGTTACTGATACAATTTTGTGCAGCTCAAGTATCTTTACCCCCCCCCCCCCCCCCTTTTTTTTTTGACTTGAGCAGTCTATCTGCTTCATTTAGAGTTAATCTAATACATCACAGCAGTACAGGTTTCAGTCAGTGTTCATTTTCATATCTCAGATCAGAAAAAAGCTCCATGTGAGAGTGTGTGTTGGTCTCTGTCTCTGCAGTGAAATTAACAGAGGAAGTTGACGTTGAAGCAGATGTCTTCTACCCAATCACCTGTGGAGACGCCAAAGCTACACTGGTCTGGAAGAAGTTTGTCTGCCCTGGGATTAATGTAAAATGTGTTCAGGTACTCTGTTATTCCTCAAACAACAGAAAACAGAATTCTGAACACATTTCATTTGAAAAAAAGGTGTGCTTTATGCCAATATTTTTTCTTTCCTCTCTGATCAGTTCAACGAGCAGCTCATCAGTCCAAAGGAGTTTGTTTGTTTAGCAGGAAAATCCACTCTGAAGGACTGGAAGAGAGCCATCCGCCTCAACGGCACCATGCTCAGGTCTGAGTCGTCTGTTTCTTACTATTGTGGTAATAGATTAATGTGTTTAAAGCTGCAGCACACAGATGATAACAGTCACGGTTTTAAGCGCAACATAATTTTAAAAATGTGTTTGAATTCCTCCTTTACCTGAGAAGTTGGTCCTATAGATTTGATGAACAAGAGAACTAATGAACCCCCTCTTCAACAAGACCCTGAGATTTTTTAACTCTTTGGCTTAGGATAGGACTTCATCCCCCACCTTGAAGGGGCAATCCACCTTTTTCTGGCAGGGGACCAGACTGAAACTCTAATCCTGACCACTGCAGACTGCCCAAGTGATTGCTGCTTGTCCCAGCTAGAGAGAGCAAACAGAACCATACCATTATAAATCAAATGTTTCAGTTGATGCAGTGTCACCGTGTAAGGGAGGGTTGACTCTCTTAGCATAGAGCCTGAGTTTGGATTTGGCAGCTAATTTTCACTCCTTCCTTTTGAAATAGTGTTTTAGAAACAGACATGTGAAGAAAGTTCAAGTGAAGCAGCTGCTCCTTTTAAAAGATCCTGCTTATGTTGTTCGGTTGTTCAGGATGCCTCCTTTTGTAGCTTTTAGAGACCCTGGGCAAAAACCCAGAGTCCTGAAATCAGTTAATCTGGTGTTTCAGACCTTTTTTTTCTTCCTCCACAATGTAGAAGGGTTTTCTTCTGAAATACATTTATTTTAAGTTCATTGTAAAAGCCCCAGATCTTGCCATTAACTGTAAAAAAGTTCTTTGCGGAATTCAGAGAGACTAGCGTTTTTTTGTTTTTCAGTTTGCTTTCTTTCTTGTTTCATAAAGTGACTTTTTCAATATTTAATTTTCTAAAGAAAAGCAAAAATCTGTTTTTAAGTGCCAGGACTGTTGCTCTCAAACATCATGTTTCAAACAGAGTAGAACTCTATGTTAAAAAAAATGTTACTGTGTCTTTAGAGAGTGAATTCAAGATTGTCGGGAAACTGGATGCTCTGTCAGTTTATCTTACTGTTAACACAGTAATAGAAATAAATGAAAATAAACTGTTTTTGCTTTTCTTACCGTGGACAGCACCTCAGATGAGCAGTGTTGATAAGACACTCTGATGATTTAAACCCAGATGATATGTCAGATTAGAGTTTGAGAAGTCTTAGATTCTGGATTTTTGGGCAGGGACAAAAAAAGAGGAACTGATTAAAGGAATGACTTCTTTAAATTTATTTTTCAGTTTGTTTGAAACATGTTTCCCTCTATTTAAGTTGGAGGCAGATGTGTAGTTGTAAAATAAACCACAAGATGGCGCCGTTAAACCTGTTCTATCCAGATGTTGAGTATCATGTCTTCTTCAAGCCTTTATTTTTGACTGCATTTCTGTTTTCAGGAAGATCATGGACTCAGGTGAACTTGACTTCTATCAGCACACCAAAGTTTGCTCCAACACCTGCCGCAGCACCAAGATCGACCTGGTGGGAACTAAAGTGTCCCTGAGCAGCGACCAAGCTGAACTGGTTCCTGCTGCACCTTCGTCAGGTGACTGTAAGTCCACCTCACCTGAGAGCTGCTTCTGTCACTTCACTCTGTAGTTGTGGTTATTTACTTTTTGGCACATGCCGTTTTCAAAGTTTGAAGGGTTATTTATGAATTTTAATGGCGTGGTGTTTGTTTACTTTTTACACTCATGTTGTCTACTGATGTTTGTGTTTCAGTGAACGGCGCTTCTGCCTCTTTCTCAGATGGTTCAGAGGAGACGTCAGAGTGGGTCACAGCCATCGGAGGTGATCACCGACCTGCGCACAAGCTATTTTAGCAGTGTGTAATTCTCTTAATAATATATGTGTGTATCTCTGTGTGTTTTAGAGGACTCAGTGGCGTTCTGGCGTTCGGTGAAGGAGGCAGGGCTTCTGGACGAGGTGGTGGACGATTTCCAGAAGGAGCTGCAGGAGGTGCTGAAAGGGCTACAGGAAAGAGTGTGTGACCCCCCACTGCAGGTCAAAGGTTAGAAACGCTTGGATGACTTGGATGATGCTCCTCTCGTATCTGCAGACACACAAGGTTTTCATCCAAATCTGGGAGTTCAAGTAAAAAATTACCCATTATCAGAGTCAGGATGGAAGTTCAAAAACTAAACCAGCGCTGCAGATTGTCTTCAGTCTCTCGCTGTTGAACTTCAATCAAACACAGAATTTAGTTAATGAACAAAAAACAAGTGTGCTGGTGGTGCTTTGGTGGTGCAGTTCAGGGCCCTTTAAGAGTGAACTTAACAGCTTCTGTTGTCTAAAAATACTCTCATTGTCTCCAACAGGTCTGTTTTAGTTAGGATCTTTTAGTTAGTAAAAAATTACTCTGTAGCTGTTGCAGCCTGTTTCCTGGAAGCTGACAGCAATTTCATGACTATTTTTCTGTGAGGATCATTCAGAAGAAAAAAAGCAAGGGCCTGGTCAGAAAGACGTCAAATCCCAGTATTCAGAGAGCAACATACTAACAACTAGGAGTGGGAATCACTAGTGGATATTATCACAATACTTGGGCCACAATACGATATTAATGTGATTTTTAACATTTTGTAATACAGTAAGTATTGCGATACAATATAAAGCGATTTATACAATTTTTTTAACTGTTTAGCTAATTTAGCATTTATCTTTATGTTTGCCTTATTTACACTGTATTTTATTTTCATATAGCACATCTTGCAAACCTTAAATATTTGTGGCAATAACTTTCTCCTTCTCTATGGTGTCACCTCTGCCAACCTCTCTGGACAAACAGTTGATTCTATTTTTCCATTCTCATAGATTTGACTTCACATTAGCAATTAATTTTAAAAAATCAGTGCTTGATAAATGAGATGATACGATATATCACCAGGCAAATTCCGCAATACTATGCTGTATCGATTTTCCCACCCCGACTAACAACAGGTTACTTTTCCTGTTTGTGGTCGGTTTTCTGATCACTCTGTGACTTTTGTGCGTCCATTATGAATAAATAAGCTACACACTCACAAGGTTTTAATTGAGTTAATGTTAATTATCATGCTCTACTTACCTGCAGACAAAGTTAGCTCTTCAAAGTCCTGCTCTGGTCGGCATGGATCTCAAATATTCAGGGGTTATGTAGCTGTCAGGAGTGTCTGCATCTGGTGTTTTATTTTACACTGTTTGGTTCAATCTTCTCTGTTAAGCCTGTCAACATAGACTCAAATCTCCAGTGTAGACACTTCTGGGACAGGGCTGAGACACTCTGCTGCGCTCCATGTAGAAATACGAACATCGACTAGGACAGGCACAGATAAGCTCTGGAGTGTGTGGCGTTGACAGAACGTGAGGCACGCGCTTCCTGTGCAAATTAAAAGCAGACGACTTTACGCCGTATTTATATCAAGTGCAATCATCGTCTTAGTCGCACATTCACACACTTTCAGATCACACTTTGTGCTTTCCGTTGGTGTAGATATGCCTACCACGTCAGCCTGTGTCATTCTTTGTTTTCCTGCTGCATAGCAATTTAACCCTTCAGGGGAATAAAGATAATCTCAATCTTAATCCGAGTGAATGAAATTTTTATTTTTACTCTAATAGTTTTTTATGGGTGTTTTTTCAGATGCTGTTTTACTGAACAACATCGTGCAGAACTTTGGGATGTTGGACCTGGTGAAGAAGGTTCTGGCGAGCCATAAGAGCCAGATGGACCGATACAGAGAGCAGTACACTCGCAGCCTTGCTGGTCAGTGAAAGAAGAGTTTGAAACATCTTTGATTTTCATTTTTCATGAGAGGTTAAACAAAGTTCTTGATGCATAATGAGCTGAAACTTAAAAAATACAAATACAATTTAGGACTAACTCCTGATGGCTCCTTTCATGATTTAAGAAAGACTTTTTTACATTGGTGCAGATGTAATATGGTGCTACAGAAATCAGTGTACCTCCTTTTCTCTGTGTCTTTGCTGGTCTGTTCCTGGACTACGTTTAAAACTGATAGCGTCTTTCTCCTCCTGCAGCTCTGGAGCAGCAGTGTGACGAGCACAGGAAGCGAGCCAAAGAGCTGAAGAGTAAATCTCAGCACCTTAACAACGTCTTGATGACCCTCACCCCGGTCCCTGCTCCCCCTGCTTCAAAACGTCCCCGTCTGACCCGTGCTGTCTCCGGTCCCGCCTCAGTCAACGCCACTCCCACCCAGATCACCTTACCTCTGAACCAGCTGACCGGGCTGCCGCTGGGGAAGGTTCTGACGGTGGCAGGAGGCCAGGCGGGGGCTAACCTGGGCGGGTACACCCTCCTGACCTCGCCACTCTCTGGGTCAGAGCTGGCAGGTGACGCCTCTAACCTAACGGTGCTCTCCACAACGACAGGTCAGGAGGGCATGGCCGGCAGCTCCCCAGCCTTTGTTAAGGTGGTCGGGCCACAGTTCCAGCTGGTGGCGCTTCCCACCCAGCTGCAGAGTTTGGCCACCACGCAGAGCTCTGCTGTCCAGCAGCACATTGGCAGCATCAGCGTGGTGGACGCCACAGCAATAGCCGCAGATGGCGTCCAACAGGAGGAAATCCAGGCGGAGGGTGAAGAGGAGGGTCAGATAGAGCAGGTGAAAGGGGAGGAGGAGGAGCAGCCAGCTGAGCAGCAGTGAGACAGACACAGCTGCTCCGTCTGTCTGCAGCAGGTGATGAACCTCTGGACTGAGCTGAATGTTTCCCTCCGGGCCTCCTGCTCCTTTTGACTTGAACGTTTCAAGCATTGTGCGAGTATGTAATTTAACTTCGTGGACGTCATTCAATTTTCCATCATACCAAATTTAAATAAGAGCTGCATCTGCCAATAGGAGTGTTGAAGTTGAGACTTACTGTAAATATGTATTTGTAACTTATACAGCAAATACAGCTGTATCAAAGCGTGTGAGGAGGGATTCTTTGTGTGTGTGAGTGCTTCGGTTTGGTATTAAACACTTTTTCAACAAAAAAAACACAAATCCAGTTCATCTTATAAAATTACAGTCAGACTGGTGTGAGATTTCTAAGATAGATTTTAGATTAGAAAAAAATGTATTCTGTGTTAAATGATGGCAGATAGAGACCTTTATGTACAACATGGTGGACCAACAGGACTCTGCAAATAAAGTCATGAAGGGGGACATAAATTTATATGAAGAGGTGCAGCGAGGCTTGATAAAAGTCTATAGGGAGCATTGTGGGGATTATTTCAGTCTAGGGCAGTGGTTCTCAAGTCCAGTCCTCGAGGCGCACTGTCCTGCATGTTTTGGGTGATTCCCTGCTCCAACACACCTGATTCAAATGATCAGCTCATTATTAAGCCATTACAGAGCTTGATAACGAGCTGATTATTTGAATCAGGTGTGTTGGAGCAGGGAAACATCCAAAACATGCAGGACAGTGGGCCTCGAGGACTGGACTTGAGAACCACTGGTCTAGGGGATTATTTTCATTTGTGAATGTGTCAGTGTGTAATTGAAGGTGAGAGGCAGAAATATTTCTACCACTGCTTTAAACTAAGAGATCAACTTTACTGCTGGATCTGTCCCTTACTTGGTGCAGACCAGTGCTCATGAACGCTGCACACATACACAGGTGCTCTGATTTACTGGTCATATTTTACAGCTGTCTTTTTTTAAATTGTGCTTATGAACATCATTTTTCAGTTACACATTTTTTAAATTTAATTTATTGTCTTTATTAATGATATACCTTTATGCCAAGCTCATTTAGAATAAGACACAGATTTGTATTTTAAAATGACCCAGTGACCAAATAAGGGCCAGTGATTCCATAATGGCACTTACGTACGTTGTCCACAAGATACCCCAATTTTATGACCAACAGCTCTTTCAGTGTTCTATTGAAGCCCCGTGTTTCTCTACCGTAATTTGGCTGATTTTGATTCCACGAGATGACAAAGGTAAACATTAATTTCGACCTCTTATGATGTGTATGTGAAATATTGTGAGGGAGATGTGCCCAAAACCATGCTGCCTAATTTTGAAGAGAAATTGAGTAACTTAATAGTTGTAATGCTCTCGATGTTAAAGTTTAGAATTGTGATTTCAAGCTTAATTAACCTCGGTACATGTTTAGATGATACTGCAGTAAAACCTAACCAAATACCATTCGTATTTCTATTAACTTCTAGATGTTATTTTTAATGTAACCTCTTACTGTCTAGAGATAAAATGCAGCTGTCATTGGTGATGCATTTTCGTAGCTGAAGTCAGGCCAGATAGGGTAAACTATCCAAACATGAAGCCCTATGTTTAAGTGAAAATGTCCTAACTAAAACAGTTTATGCGGGCTTTTTTAAAAGCTAAGCTTGCACTTCTATTTTGAACCAAATTCAGGTCAAGTTTTAAAAACTATATGAAGCTGTTCTGTGATGGTTTCACAGACACATGACCTAAATGATCAGACGGCTTTGGCTGTTTTTTTTCTCCTCCCTGAATGAATAAGAAAGTGTTTCACTTCATGGTTTTATTAAACAAGCATCTTTTATTGAATGACAGACGGGATGTCAGAAACACAGAGATGGAGTTCTTTACACTGAAGGCAGCCGATACACGCAGGAGGCAGGCAGATGAGACTTTTTGGATAAATGTTGGCATTTTTGGGGGAGTGAACCTGCATCAGTTCTTTTTAGTTTTTCTCCTCCCGCAGGTCCGTCTATAGGCTCACATCATCATAGGAGTAATAGGGCTCCTCCACTGAGCGCACTGAGATTTTGAAGTGTCGGCGCAGGAAACCTCCGTACCTCTTGTCCCACTTCAGGTTGTTCAACTTTGGCCGGACCCTCCTCAGGAAGCCCCCGTAGCGCTTCTGCAGCTCCTCGGGCTCCTGGCTCTCCTGTTCTGCGGAGTTACTCCTCTTTGACTTTTGGCCAAATTTGCGTAAAAAACCCCCGTATCGTTTAGCGTAACTGTGGAGCATCTGATCATCCGCGTCGTCTACGTCCTCCTGTGCGTCTCTCTCTTCCAGCCTCTTCAACAAGTCCTCATACTTTTTGGGCAGCACCCCACCTTTCGTGATGTAGTTTTCGCGCCACGGAGAGCTGAAGATTTTGTTCTTGTTCTTGTCGATCCTCTTAATGAAGCCTCCGTAGCGCTTGACCAGGTCCGCCTGCTGGCTCTCCTCCTCCTCCGCAGCTTCGTCCTGGCTGAAGTCCGCCAGCGCAGGAGCCGGAGCCCGACCGCAGCTCTCCAGCTGCCCTTCACAATCCGCGCTGCACGACTGCAGGAGGACACACAGAGAAAGAAAATTAAGGTGAGATCAACAAGCATCCACACTCAGCCGGGTAATTGTTTCCAGAACTCTACTTTTTATCACTTTTAGAGCAATTTGAACAAATCAGAGCACTTCGGGAACCCCGGTTTGATCAAATTCTCCCTCTAGAAATCCTGTCAGTGCTAAATCATTTCATCTGCTTTTCCAAATCTTGAATCGTCACGCTGAATGAACGATTAAAACAAAAGATTTTACATTTTACGCACGTACATTTAAAAATTTTTGTCGGTTGGGTCTCTTTTTGGGCTCTCAAAATCCGGTCTCTAACGCTCAAGAATTATAAAAAGGAAATAAATAAAAGCAACCTCAAAAGCAAATTAGACTTTTTTCTGCGTAATTTGACATTTAATGAAGAAGGTCTGAACAAAAAGTCTGCCCAGCTCTTTAGTCTGTGCTCTTACCAGGCTGCTGAAGGCGGCATCGGAGCTGAGGATCTCCTGCGCGCATTTCTGACACTGGGAAGAGCAATCTGCGTGGATGGAGGACGGCAAGCTCAGCATCAGCACCAGGAAATACCACTCCATTCTTCACCCGATCCCTGTGACAAGTAAACACAAAAAGAAAGCAAACAAATTAGATCAATAATGCCACTGATGCTTTTCAAGTAAGTGGTTTTTCCCTTCTTGAGCAGCAACTCAATAGAGCTCAGATCGCTGGTCTGTGCGTAATTGCGCACAAGCACCAGTCCCATTACTCGGGTATTAAAAGCCATGCAAAGAAAGACTTATTCTGACCTGGGATTGAGTTTTCAGAAATGAAATAGGAGTCAAAAGTTGTAGTTCTGTACCTCAGGAGTTGGACAGAAACTTCCAGCCGTGTTAAGTCTCTCAGAGGTGCATCCACCATCCAGTGTTCACTCGCTGTCCGCCTCAAACACTGTGTTCCTCCTGCGCGGCTCGTCATCTTTCTTTTTATCGTCAGAGACTCTGCCGTGTCACCGAGCGGCTCCTGAGAGGGACCAATGGGAGGCAAATATTCTGCGTAAACAATCCAACCAATACCGCCTCTCCGCTTCAGGAGTTTTTATCAACGCCCACACAGAGAAGGTAGAGGAGCGGCAGCGCAGCAGTTCGTCCCATCAGCACATCATCATCATCATCATTACGTCTCTGAGGGCCCGGATCAAACCCTAGGCTGTACATCACACTGACATCAAACAACTGTTTTCATCTTCTATAGTGAGATAGACACAAAGTGAAGCCAACAGGAGAGGAGGGATCACGCTGAGACCAAAGAAACACAAGAAAGGAACCCAAATATCAATCAATCCGAGTTTATTGATACAGCGCAGATCAAATCATCTTGGTACACCACAGTGAGAGAAGGTCTAGTCCCACAGAGGCTCACATTAATCCACCCTGAGCAAACTCTTTACAACATCTATAAACAATGTCAGAGAAAAAAAAAAAGGTAATTTTAGGAGGCAGAGACCTCAGACAGAATCAGACTCATGCTGAACAGTCAGCTGAGATGGCACTGGGCACAGACAGAAAATATAGATCTGATCATGACCTCAGTGGTGAACTAAGGAGAGGAGAAATGTGTCCTATTGGATGTTTTTAGTGCAGGTGTTAGGATTCATACCCAACCATTTCAGTTCAGTGCAGGTGTGAACCAAAATGAGTCTATACAAAGCTAAAGGTATTCAACCCCAAAACAGGCGCACGCCCAGCATACAGCCCATTTTACAGGCTGCTGAAACATCCAGTTAGGCAACTTTCTCAGTTAATCACTTTGAGATCTTTTAGTTCTTCCCTTCAACACATGGAAATCTCCATACAGTTTTTTCTAATTGCGTTTTGACACCAACGTTTACCTGCTATGTGGCGAACAGGCCTCTGACATTCATTTGCAGAATACAAACATTGTTTTATTTGTTACACCTGCACTTTACTGTGCAGGTTTATCATCTTAAGCACAACAATAATAATTCATCATAATTGCAGTTGCACTTTGCAGCATTTACCAGGTTACAGTGGAGAGGAAGAACTTCCTTCAACAGGCAGAAACCTCAAGCAGAACCAGACTCATGTTAGACAGTCATCTGCTGAGACTGCACTGGGCTTGGAGAGGAGATAGAGGGAGATATGGAGAAAGACAGACACGGGCAGAGGATTGAGTACAGCTCCCTCTTAATGTATATGATGTTGCTCCTCTCGTCTAGGTAAGCCCACAGATTTGTTGTGATTGGTGAGAAAGACAGCTGCTCTGTGCAAAGTGAACATACAGCCCTGTCTGTTAGTTTTTTACTTTTTATTTTGCCATCTGTGATGTGGAATCCAAGATACTTCAACAGAGTGCCTCTCTGGTGCTAGGGCATCATCAGGATGGTTTTGATTGCAGAACGTCCTCCATTTTTGCAGAAATTCACCATATTAATCTTCCTGAGGTCACGAGCGCCATTCAATTGTGCAGGAAGTGCAGAAAGTTTGGGCTCATTTCTCTGCTATAAAACCGAGAGGTTGACCTACAGATGGACCTTGTCCGTTGGTGAGCTGCTAAAAGCTGCAACCTTGAAAGGAGACAAGGCTGAATTTTAGTGTATGAATAATTTCACCAGGCCCTTCTTCCGTGGGGCACAGAGCACTCTGTGTCCTTACTTCTGTTCATCTCCAACACAAAGCAACCTGAAGGTATTTACGTCCTTGTGGACCACATGAATGACAGATAGTAGGAGTGTATCTGCTGAGAAGCTGGAGAGACGTTCACAGTATAAAGGGTATAAAGGACATGTTCTGTATCACTGACAATGTTTAGAGGAAGATTGCATTCGTGTTCACCTTGTATGAGTCCTGTTCATTATTCTTCCGAGTATCATATGGACAAACATGACACTCTCAAGGTTGTATTGTTGTTACAAAATAGGACTGTATGCCTCATAAAATAAAGCTTTTTCACCTGGTCAGAACAGGTTTGTGAGAGTTACTGTGCTCAAGTTTGTAAAGGTGTTGTTCTCCAGGTGAAGATGTGCTTTTAGGAATAAAATTAAGGTGTTTCTTTTGTAAACTTTAAAATAAGTACAGTGGATGTCAAAATGCTGTTATAAAAGGTAGGAGGATCACTGTCCCGAACTTTCACGTATGTGCTCTGCTCCTGCAAATTTCCAAAGCTGCCACCCCGTTCTATCAGTGTATAACCACCAGTATCCTTAAAACACTTTATTTTTGTTAATTTAGACTGAAACTGTCATATCTGTCTTATCTTAAAAACCCTGTGCCTCTATCAAACGCATACTTTATCAAAATAAACAGATCATTTGTTTAGATTACACATTTGATTTTTGTACTGATAACTTTTGGTACATTTGGTTTCAAAATAAAAGCAGCAGTCTTTGTAATATTACTCACAGGAAATAAATATCAGATTAAGATTATACTTTCAAAGCAAGAATTAACAATATCCACATAGTGCAATATGGATTATTTACAGCAGAGAAATTGACTTTTTGGGTGTGGGAAAATTTAGAGTAGCTTGTCCTTTAGCATTGTCCTGATAGGACAACAGAGCCTGATGTCAGGTTCAGGCCAGGTCTTGCAAAGTTCTTGAGGCAAGCTGCTCAGAGGAACTCAAAACTTTTCTGCAGTTTCGTGTAAACATTCAACACAGTAACTCTTATCCGTAAACTACAGACCAGCACAATAGTTCTCCTTTAATGAGCTGCTGATTCATCAGGAGCTTGTCAGTGATCCGTTGTGCGTTCAGGAGTCTTTGAATGATCAAGATTCTGTATTTCAGAGGTTTAAAAGCGAGATCTCTGAAAAATGTCATCTGAAAATCTTCTCTGAGGAGTTGTGAAAAGCTGGTCTGAAGTCATCACCATAGAGTTTCGGTTCTTTTCAGTCTTTGTTTGACACTCTTTGCTTTTTAAGGATGAAAGCTATGAAGTTCTGTTTGGAGGACACCGATTGGTGACTAAGCACTCCCTGCTCCATTGTTAGAGTTAATGGACGTAGGTCTGAGACACTGAACTGGAGCTTTCTTGTAATTGATGGGCTTCTTTCTTTGCATTCGGAAGAAGATGGTCTGAACACGCTGAATGCTGTTTTGTTTGCAGTACAGACAAAACCATAAGGTAAGTGTTACGGATCCTAAAGAGTGTGGAACAAAGTAGTTGCTAAGTTACCATTCTTCTTCAGGAAATCCTGTTTTCTCCAGGTTTTCTGTGTTTGCTTATTCGGTAATTAGCAGGTACAAAAGCTTGTCATACTGGGAGAAAGGAGCTTTTTTTATCATCACCACTGAAATATACAGTAAATACCTTTAAAGTTAAGTTTTGCTAAGCTGGGTGAAAGAGTACACATGTACCTGCATTTTAGGAGCAGTGCCCATCTAAAAAGACATGTTACTGCACACAGACGGACATGACTGCAAAGTAGGAGCATGTTTTCCTACAGCTCTTTTCACACGCCAAAGACTTATAATAATCTTTTTGAGTTGATACCAATACTAATACCTTTTACTCAATTTTCGTATTTTAAACGTGTAGTTTGTGCACATCTGTAAGTAAAAAAGGCAAAGATGCACATCTGTAAATATTCTCCAGGGTGAGAAAGGTGGCTTATTAAGTTCCCTTAATTTACTGATTTTGCCATTAACTGCTTCAGCTTTGTATTATCTCAGCTAAACTGTTTTTCCCAAATCTACATTCCTGCACTGATACTAGTTTTGCCATGGATGTAAAAGGTGACCATAAAGTTAAAAAGTCTTAAAATGAAATGTTAAAAACAGTCTGTGATCTCTACGTTAAAATAACACAATACGAAAAACATTTTTTTTCTTAACACATGTTGAATCTCAAACTATTTGCTGTTTGGTTCAGTCTGAGGGTTGTTGAATATTGTGAAGTTCTGTTTTTGCCCAGTAGGGGCAGCATGTTGCACCCAGCTTCTCCTTTTACTCTGGAATAACAGCCGTATACAACCTGTATGATTTTTCCTTCCCCTTTCAGATCAGAATAATTTAAAAAAAAATATATAAAAAAAAAATATATATATAACTTAATACTGTTCATATGTTTGGTTGTTAGAATTAAAAATTGTGATATAACAGGTCTCTCTAACTCAATAAGTGTAACACAGAAGTGCAGATGCTAACATGTTTGCTTTAGCTACTGTTAGCTTGAAACATGTAGTCAGGGTGTAGCAGATGGTGCTAACTGGTGTAAGTCTTTCTTTGTATTTATTTAGTATTTTTGAGTTAAATAGTGTTGTTGATATGTTGCAGGGCACTTTCAAGAGAAATTGAAGTTGTTTTTGAGAAAAAGTGCACATATTGTATTCTAGCTTTCTATAAACCTATGTGTGTTATTCTGAGAACCTTGAAGACTTATGAATAGATACTGTAAACTGCGTTTCATTAAGTTAATTTCTTACATTGTTCAATGAAAGCCAACAGCAGTATGTTTGTTTCTCTCCATACATCCAGCTGTGCAGAGTTTAACAAGTGTTAACAAATGCCTTCAGTGACTGGAGTCACAAAAACTGCCTCCTCCTCAACCTCTCAAAGACAAATGAGATGGTTTCAGCCAGTGAACACCTGTGGAGTGGACATCGAAGTGGTGACATCATATAAATACCTGGGTGTACATCTGGATAAAAAGCTCAACTGGTCTAAAAATGAGTCTTAATCTACAAAAAGGGGCAGAGCCACCTCTTTTGCCTGAGAAGACTCCAATCAATATGCTGCAGACGTTTTATCAGTCTGTGGCAGCAAGTGTTCTGTTCTACGCTGCAGTCTGCTGAGGAGGAAGATTAAAACACGAGACGTCTGAACAAACTGGTGAAAAAGGCTGGCTCTGTGGTTGGTATGGGATGCTGGAAAGATGTACACTGAGAAAAGTGGAGACTATTCTAAAGAACATGGATCACCCACTTTACAACACCTTGATG